CAGCCTGCAAAAGACTCTGCAAGACAAGGCAGTCAGCGTCAAGCAAAAGATGCAGGCCCTGCGCAACGGAATCGCCACCGGCGAGACGGCACGATACAACCGCGCCATGGTCTTCCGAGCCATCCGTCCCTTGGCCCGCTTCCACGACGACTACCGCGCCATTGATGAGATCATCCTCAACAGTCCCACTTACGAGGCTTCGAGTCAGCTCAGCTTCGGCAGTGTCAAGCGCGATGGAAACTTCCACACTCATCCCGCCATCATTGACTCTCTGACGCAGGGCTGTGGATTTGCTATGAACTGCAATGATGACACTGACTTGGATGTCGAGGTCTTTATGAATCATGGCTGGGGATCTCTGCAGATGTTTGAGCCGCTCCAGTTTGACAAGACTTACACCACTTATACACAGATGCGTCCTGGCGAGGACAAGCTCTGGCATGGTGATGTGGTGATCTTTGATGGCGACCGGGTTGTCGCCTTTTTCGGACAGATTGCGGTAAGTACATCATGTGTTTGCATCATCAAGTAGAACCAACTAACTCTCGACCAGATCCAAGGAGTGCCTCGCCGAGTCCTCAAAGTCATTCTCTCGCTTGAGAGCGGCAAGAAGACTCAGCCCCAGCGCCCTGCTCAGAACAAGACGCCTACCATCTCCATCTCTGCTCCCGCGAATGGCTCGTCGGGTATCCAGAAGTTGCCTCTGCCAGTTGAGAAGGTTCAGCCGTCCCGAATCTCCACGGCTCTCACCATCATCGCTGAAGAGAGTGGCATTGATGTTGCTGACCTGACCGATGGCACCAACTTTTCCGACGTCGGCATCGATTCCCTTCTCGGACTGACCATCTCCGCTCGCTTCCGGGAGGAGCTGGACATCGACCTTGACTTCAACGCTCTCTTCTTTGACCATCCCACAGTCCAAGATCTGAAGATTTTCCTCATGGGGCCCGACGACGATGGAAGTGCGACCTCCTCTTCCAACGCCAGTGACTCTGGCTTGGAGTCGCCTCCTAGCGGTCTCATCACCGGCGCTGTCACGCCTGATGCCCACGAGGACTTTGCCAACCCTTTCGAGGTCGACTTTCTCCGCGCTCTTGACATCATCTCGGAAGAGAGTGGAGTCGCTCGAGAGGAACTGGACGATGACACCAACTTTGCTGACTGTGGTGTTGACTCTTTGCTCTCTCTTGTCATTACCAGTCGCTTCCAAGATGCCTTTGGACTTGATGTGGGACACGAGACTCTCTTCCTTGATTGCCAGACCGTGGGTGACCTGAAGGAGATGTTGATGCGGGAGATGGGAGGAACACCTCCAGTTCCATCCGTTCCCGTCAACAAGCCAGCTGCTCTCCCAGTGCCTGAGGCTGTTCAAGCTTCTCCCAGCAAGACGGTTGTGGTGAACAATGCCCACAGCGGTACTTCAGATCTCGATGCCCGCCAGAAGGCCGTTGACGAACTTGTTCAGAAGTACACTGCTGGCTTCTCTGCCCCAACCTCAAGCCCTTCAGCCGTTCTGCCCGCCAACAATGAGAAGGTTGTCCTCATCACAGGTGCCACCGGAGGCCTTGGTAGCCACCTCGTCTACTCCATCGCCCAGCTCGAAGACGTCAAGACCGTCATCTGTCTCAACCGCGACAACAGAGAGGGGCCCGAGACGCGTCAGTACAAGGCCATGAGGGAGAAGGGCATCCGGTTCCCGGAGAACCTGAAGCACAAGCTGCGGATTTTCCAGACCGATAGCTCCAAGCCGCATCTTGGACTTGACAAGGGTGACTACGATAACCTTGTGGGTTCCGTTACTCACTTGATCCATAACGCCTGGCCCATGAGCGCCAAGCGTCCTCTCTCAGGCTTTGAATCGCAGTTCCAGGTCTTCCGCAACCTCGTTGACTTTGGCAACGAGGCTGCCTCTCTTCGCCCTGAGAGCTTCAAGTTCAGCTTCCAGATGGTGTCTTCGATCGGTGTCGTCGGACAGTATGGTCTAGCTGCGGGCCAAACTGAAAAGACTGTCGTCCCTGAGAAGAGCGCGACCGTCGATTCCCTCCTCTCGAATGGCTACGCAGAGGCGAAGTGGGGATGTGAGAGGATGCTTGATGAGACTCTGCACAAGTATCCTAACCGCTTCCGCGCCATGGTTGTCCGTCTTGGCCAGATCGCTGGTTCCAAGACGAGCGGCTACTGGAACCCAATGGAGCATTTTGGATTCCTCATCAAGTCGTCTCAGACTCTGAACGCCTTGCCTGACGTCGATGGTGCCCTCAACTGGACGCCTGTCAACGACATCGCAGACACTCTGTCTGATCTTGTTCTATCTGACCGCACGCCTCACCCATTCTATCACATCGACAACCCTGTCGGTCAGCAGTGGCGCGATGTCAATGCCATTCTCTCAGACACACTGCGAATCCCCAACCTCGTTCCTTTCAAGGACTGGCTCAAACTCGTCCGAGAGGCGCCTCAGCAGGATAATCCCGCTGCTCTTCTGGTCGACTTCCTGGAGAGCACCTACCTCCGAATGGCCTGCGGAGGGCTCGTTCTAGATGTCAAGAACACTCTTGAGCATTCCAAGTCCCTCAGGGCCGTTGGACCCGTCTCTGAAGTCGTGACTCGGAAGTACATTCACATCTGGAAGGAGATTGGATTCTTGAAGACTACAGCAGAGGACAAGGCTGGCTTTGAGGCTGAGAGGCTTCGACTTTGGGGCCCCAGGGTATAAGTAGAGGAGGAGTAAAGAGAACTAGTTGGAAGAAGTTGAGCATGGATCACGGCGTTTTGATACATTTTGGTTGGATTCATAAAGATCATTTCCTTTGTCGCCGCATCTTTATCAGAATCTCTGTACACTTCTTTATTCTCCTAGACTGCATACAGAATACATCTTAACTTGTAAAAACTCCACATGTCTAACCTCTATATGAGTCGCCGTCAGCAGAGTCTAAAGAGTGCTTAACACTAACCTAGCCATTTTTCCACTCCCTGGTCCTCTTTCATTGAATTTGGTGCGCCCAATTTGTCGCTCATCTAAAGGCCATGGTCGTCATGATTAGAATACTTGACATCAGCACCTGCATTGCAGCAGTTCCATCCTAAAGTATCACACAACGAGTAAAAATCTAGAAAAACAGCCACAATTATATCTTGGTCGTATCGGCTGGGTCTTCAACATCTTGTGAGTAATTACAGCCCTCTCCGGAGTTGAGTTTGAGGGAGTTGAGCTACCTACCCTAGACTGGAAGGCCCACTTGTCGGAGTTGAGCTGACCCACGCGTTCGCAGAAAAACATGAGACACAAGGCAAATAAAAGTCCCTAAAATACTCAAAGATTTAGTATAATTCTTTCCCCTCTTATCTCTTACTTAGCTCATAATTAGATTATTAATTGAATACTCTTTATTGATTTAACTAAGCGCAACCGTCCGTCCTGGTGTCTCAAGCTTTTTATACGACCGCATGCCACCTCAGGTCTCAAAGTCCCAAAGCCATGGGTTTGTCAGCAGGGCCCCGAGTTTCGCCAAATCATTATTTATGAGGTGATTGGGGCAGAGGCTTTTTACATCCCTTGCTTTCTTTTGCCTACCTTCACTCAGCTTTTCCATAAGCCACCTCAATTCTGGCTCAACAATAATCATCTCATCCACACGGGACAGGGTTTATTATAAACGTTTAGTCTTACGAAACTCCTTTTGCGTACGTTTCTTGCTCCCTATCTGCATTAAGCACCAGCTTAAGGAGGCAGCTAACACTCAATCATACAGTGACGCGAAACATCCCTCGCAGGAGACGACGATGGAGAACATACAGAATTTCATTAGGGACATCCCAAAAGCAGAGCTTCATATGCATATTGAAGGCTGCATCGAGCCGGACATGATGTTTTCCCTGGCTGAGCGTAATGGAATCCCTCTTCGATGGAAATCCCCTGAAGCATTGCAGGATGCCTACAAGTTCAATGATCTTCAATCATTCCTCACTTTGTACTTTGAGGGATGCAAGGTACTGGTCAAAAAGGAGGACTTCTACGATGTGACCTCGGCATACCTTGAGAGAGCACACGCCGAGAATGTCGTCCGGGCGGAGCTCTTTATTGGCCCCCAAACCTTTACTGAAAATGGAACTCCTCTATCCGACCTCATGGAGGGTGTCCTCGGTGCAATCCACGAAGCCGAGCAGAGATTGGGTATCAGCGCAGGGCTCATCATAAGCACCCACCGACATCGAACAGAAGAGGAAGCGCTTGCGTTGCTCGACTCGATCATGCCGTGGAAAGATCGAATTGTTGGCATCGGTATGGGCGGACCTGAGATGCCGAACCCACCCTCAAAGTTTACTACCTACTTCAAGACATGTCGTGAACGTGGATTCCGAACGTGTATCCATGCTGGAGAAGAAGGTCCCGCCGGCTATGTACGCCAGGCTATCGAGCAGCTACAGGTCGACCGGATCGATCATGGAATTGCGTGTCTTTCGGATGAAGTACTGGTCGCGGAACTTGTTGAAAACCAAATCCCATTGACGGTCTGCCCCGTGTCGAACTTGAAACTCAACGCGGTATCGTCCCTTGCTAGTCATCCATTGCGGAAGCTACTCGACGCGGGAGTCAAGGTATCGATCAACTCTGACGATCCGCCATACTTTGGCGCTTACATAAATGACAACTTCATAGAGAGCCAAGCCGCACTTGGTCTCTCCAGACACGACATTGTTACTCTCGCTCGCAATAGTATTTCCAGCTCGTTTCTACCTGAAAAGGAGATAAACGCTCTGAGTTTGAAGTTAGAATCATTCCTGTCAGGGGTTTAAATATCGGGGCTATGTATCTATTCGCTTAGCCATCCCATCAACGGCTGGGCTTCATCTGGAACAAAGAACACAGAACAAAAAACATAACTTGACGACCAAAGCCTCCCGTGGATAAGAAACTTCCGGAATTTTGCCCAGGGGTTTAATGCCTCGACTGGTTTGATAGAAATGCCATGGCAGCTTGGGAAGTTTACTTATGGTTACGAAGTGCTGCCAATGAAGACAACCTCCACAGCTGCAAACCTAAGAGACGTTAGTATGAAGTTGGTAGATTTATTAGATAGGGTTAGCTTACGTTGCTGTCGCTGAGAAAATTTCCGCCCTGCTTACCCTGCTGAAAACGGAGAGTACCGCAGCAAAGATGGTCGTGATGCCGATCATGATATATATGCGGTTAAGCAGGTTCTTCTCAAAGTAGAGGCCAAGAACTGCCAGCACAGGAAGAATGGATGCCAAAGTTGTCGAGACCGCTTGGCTGACTTGGCCAACCTTTGTGTCGGAATACTCCACCATCCCAGACTCTTCATCAATGACTATCCCACCATGTCCTTTGTGACCCCACAGTCGATGGTAGATATGAATGGTAGCTTTTCGAAAGCACCGGGCAAAAACATCTTCGTTGTCTGCTACCTTGTGAAGTGCAACGAGGTCTGAGTCCACCACGGTGTCCCATTGTGATCTTTCCAGGCCTTGGAGGAACTCATCGCCTCCTTTGGCATCATTAAGCCACTCTCTGAGTACCGCAACGTTCTTTTTACTTGGAGGTTTTAAGTCAAGTAGACTTGCCACTGTGGATAGGATGTCAACGCGACTGCTCAACTCATGTCTAAATGATTGGTTTCTTGCCCTGTAGTATCAGCGTATCTATATCAGCATTGAGGTTAACGTTTGTCAAGGCCAGAAATGAGATGAAGCATACTGTACTCCCCAAGCCTAGCTCGAATCTCCTGCAGTTTCTCGTACTGAAAAGAATTTGGCTTTTCTCTCGAGTTGCGCAGCTCTTGGAAGCTCAAATGGAACTTCTCCCCTCCCTGAACGTCGTCTTCGCAAATATCTCCGTAGTCGGCCTCTAGCTCTACAAGCTCCGCTTGCAGACTAAGCAGACTGAGCATATTCAACCGGGTAAACTTCCTAAATACCCCAAGGTCGTTGGTCCGACCCATGAGGGCCGCCAGCTTCTGGTAACCTGCCGGCTTCGGTTGAGACATTATATCTGGTATTGACTGACAATGCAAGAGAAGCCTCACTTCAAGGTCTACAATGTGTTCAAGTTAGTATAGTAGTTGATTGCACTTGGAACTAGCTAAAAGTCTCTTCGGCTATTGATGAATCGCTGCCTAAATTCGCTGGGTTGAAAAGAACTCAGCCGCACGGGCGTAGCGGCTACGTGGCGTTTCTATTGCATGAATATGCTCTCTTAAAACCTATCATAGAAGAGGAGGCGGAGGCGGAGTGCCCAGTCCTAGACAGCCACAGCTGAAAACCTGTCATTGAGGCCTTCCGAGGCTCACTCGTATGAATTTTCAAATCAGAAAACTCTAAATATCCCTCTCCTGCGCAAGTCTGCCTCTCCCGGATTTCCGTGGCCTTTTCCCGACTATGATTCGTGGTTTTCGCAGGGACTGCAGCATCTAACTCTCTAAGGCACTAAGACCCTTGACGACTGAAGCCTATCCCAGCCGCGTCAGGCAATCTGACCGCCACAGATGGACCCTTTCAGCGCTTTAAGCATCGTCGGTACCACTACAGGCCTGGTAACACTCTGCTTCCAACTACTTAACATCGGAGTAGCCGTGGAAAGGAGTCGACGAGAGCTGCAGCGACAATTGGAAGAGTACGATGTGCTCCGCTTGATTCTTACGGACAGTGGTCGGACAATTCTCGCCCATGGTCAGCCGCCAGAGTCTGCTCAAGCAGCTATGCTGACCTGTGCCAAGCGCCTACGAGAGGTTGATGATTCGCTCGGCTCACTGCGGCGCCTCGATGAGAAGGCAAAATCTGGAAAACCATCGCGACGGGCCTTATTCATGTTGCTAGTCAAAAGTTCAGCTGAATCTGACCTCCGGCAACAAGCCTTTACATCGTTTAGGGATGCGGTTTTGCTATTGCGCGATATGAGTAGTATGTGAGTACTCATCCAAAGTCTAATTCCGAAACGATGAGCACCTGATAACGATTCTCAAGTACCACAATGAACAGACAAATGGTGGTGATGAGGTAGGTTCCCATTTAATTGGCCGAGCGACCTTCTGTTGACAAGACCACGTAGGGAGGATGTCGCGGGCTTGCAGGTGGACTCTCTCACAAGCCAACTTGCGTCTCGAGAACGCGATGAATGGAGTCCTGCTGCGTATCGCGAAGAGACTGGCCTTGATCTGGAAGATCTCACTCGGTCAAAGCCCAAAGAGGACAGTCCTCGACCCCTTTTGCACACTCTTGTGACATCGGACTACACTTTGGATGCAACACTTGTCTTTCAAAGTCTTGGTGGCCTGACCTATGTACCTGTTCGCGGTTTTGTTGATACCGGCTCTTCAGCGTTCATCATCTCGAGCAAGGTCTTAGAGAGAGCTGGATTCTCCGAAGAAAAATGGCAGAGGGTAGATGAAGAGACCTGGCTTCGTGGGCTTGAAGGAGTTCGGTACCGACCGACCCACCAAGTCGAGCTGACATGGTATCTTGACCGACGAAGATATTCCCGAGTCGACACCTTTTTGGTTGCCAATGACGACAGATTCGACATCTTGTTGCCAAAATCCTTGGCATGTCCTGGCGGCGAAGTCGACACTGGCCTTGTCTTGATGCTGGAGTTGAGAAAGAAGACAGACGGTACGTTTTGGCCCATTCATATCCCTTACTAGGCCACAGCTGATCATTCTGGACAGAGGAACGTGAACAAGAGAAAATCCGCCACGGGGAGAAGGACAGTGAAGGCCAAACAGCCGAAGAGAAGCGGAAACGGCAACGGCGAGAACAAAGAGAAGCCGAACTTCGTAAGAGAGAAGCTGCAGAAAGCTCTTCTAATACTCGGGGTACAAGTGTTTCCAGTACCTAGGCCGGGCATGATTGCTCTACCGTAGGCAGCAGAAAGGCAAAGAAGGAGGCTACTGTGCTAGGATTTGGATGTAATGCTATGATGGGTTGATAATCTGGTCTTTAATATAGTTGAAGCCTAGCGCTTGACGGGATAAGTGAACCAGAAGACCGTCCTCAGACCAGGGTCATAGCCTCGGTGGAAGGCACCGCTCGTCATAAAGGAGACCAAAACTAGATGTGCAGTCTCAAGAAAGGATCAACAGGTTGTGCGTGTGAGGGCTAACCCTTGAGCTGTAGTGAGGATAGAGGAGTTGAGGATACCCGAAAAAAAAAGGTGCAGAACATCCCTAAGTGTTGGCTAACCAGTGCTGCAAGTTTCAGAAATGGCTTCTTATTACTAGGGATCAACCCCGCGTAGTTGGTTTAACAAAATGAGATATAAACCCGACATGTACTTTATTTTTCAACTATCGAGAAAAGAGACACTGTGGTGTACCAAGGGCACGCCATTGGGCCCAAGGCGCTACCAGACAATTCACCGCGTCACCACTCCTCGTCATTTCCCAATTCGCTTTCGTCTTCAACCTCTGACTCAGAACACGTTTCATCACTCGAGTCATCTTCAACATCACTTTCAGTATGGCACCTTGACCAAGTGCCTACCGCGCAATCCTCCCCCCGAAGATTAAACCTAGGACCAAGAAGCCGCTGTGCTCTTTCAGGCAACTTGTCTGTACCGCAAGTTAGAAAGCCGTCAGTTTCGCACCACGTTTCAATACTTACATGTCTTCACGTCATTGACACTTTCTTCATCCACGTGAAAGAGTTGGGCCATCCGTTGTCTCCAGTAGCTGTTGAGAAAGCTTTTAAGAGTTTCAGGACTTGGCTCAGTCCCTTGCAGTTCCCCATCGAATTCTTCCATCAAAGAATCCAAAAGGCTCGCATTCCCTCGTGCCCACAAGCCAGCTCTGACCTTTTTGATCATGGCTTTCTTTCGACCAAGAATGACAAACCACTTGTGCCACCAAAGGGATTTGTAGGCCGGGCCGCCGTCACCGCCGGTGACGATTTCAAGCCTCTCCATATTTAGAACCCCAAAATGGCAACAAGTGTGTGTCATTTTAAGAGCTTCAAATGTGAGGAACCGTACAAAGTGACTCATATTGACTGATATCTCATCGCCGCATCGAGCAGAGCAAAGGATGTGCACGAGGTCCCCAGCCCAGAAGTCGGATTCTCCACCCCGATCACAGTCGGCGTAGGCCTTCAAAACTGACCCCATCGGCGAACATCCCTTGCCTCCGGGGATACACCAGCAAATGCAATCGTCTCGAGCCGAGGATTGCGAAAGGTCTGGAAAAATGGTCCAGGCCATCCTGCTATCGTCTTGGAAGCAAGACATTGCCGCAAGATAGTGCCATCCGGTGGAACTGACATTGAGTCCAAGATTGCACGGGTCTTCTGGAGGTTGGTCGAGAAACCCCTTCTCTCGCAGCCATCGCAAGCAATCCCCTGAAACAAAGATTGCAGAAAAACGCCAAATCATGATGGGAGTAAGGCCATGGTTGAAATCAGGGGAGTGATTCCGGAACCCAGCTTTAAAAAGGATCGGAAAGTGATCAAACGGTACCCAAGGAGAGTGGTAGACTGTGCTGTAATCGTGATCCACTTCCAGAGCTGGTGGGACAGAAATGCCCTTGTCTGTGAGGTTTTCGTAAACAAGCCTCGCTTCAGTTTCCGTACTATCAGAAGTGTAATCATCTTCGAAATCTTCAAGCTGCTCCTGGGCGCTTTGGAACAATTGTACTCTTCTCTGGAAGAGCCAGCGGGCTACGGCCTCGACGAATTCAGGTGATATCTCCTCCCATTCAGGATCGTCAAATTTGAATCGACTGCCTGCTCGCATCAATATATCCAGGGATTCGGCGCACTGGGCTTCTATTGCGAGGTTAAGGGCAGATAAGTCCACCAGACCTCCAGGTTCACAATCGATAAGGTTTCGAGCCTTAGTCGTTAGGAAGAATCGCAATCCCTCAGGCCATGCCGAACATAGGTGGAGGACATTGAATTCGTCAACCGTTTCTGTAGCCGCTTCCGGGTCGTTTCCGAGGCATCTTTTTACTTCGTTTAGGGATCTCGCCACTATCGCCCGTGTCATGGCAGACAACTGCATCTCTAGGAGTTTGTTCAGCGAGGAACCTACACCATGCCATCCTCGCAAAGGGTGGACACCTACCATCCATCACATCAGGTACATAGTTAAATCTGGCAAGATTATTATGCACGAGGCAAACCCGAATAACCGCGCCGGGATCAAAGCTATGTGTCGCCACCAAGTACGATACTAGTTCACGCCCCCGGGGTTGTGCTTCGAGGGCCCCAGCACTGACGGTGAGGTTTGAGTTAAAAAATGGGTTCGAATCAATGCAACTAGTGACAGGTTTGAGAAAATATTAGCTGGGAGTCATTTCATCGTCGTCGTGGCCAGAGACTGCAACTTACAAGCGGATATCATCAACCAGGACAACCGCATCCAATGTTTGCAAGGTTCGCAACACAGCAGCAAGTACTGAGTCATGAAGCCAGATTTTATTCGGTAGTTTTCTAATGTCATCGTAGTTCAATCCCATCTCAAACTTCCAATCGTAGTTGGAGTTCACAAAGGTCTCAATGAACATCTGTCCTGAGAATTAGATAATCAAACTTCGGTCAAGGAATTTACGTCACTGACCTCCGTGTGGCAACGATCGTCCTGGTCCCGGTCGCTTGGAGAAGCCCGTCCATCTCGATATAGGGACAGTATTTCGCTTCCAGTGTATTCGAGTAATTGAATGGTTCGATTGGTAGATCGCGAAGCGAGGATGCCACGCGCGGCGTCAAGCAGCACTTTGCGGACCGGGCTATGTTGCCTAGGCACAACATTTCTGTAACGTACCGAGCATCCTAGAGCACTAGTGCCGATCGTGTAATCCACGGATGCAACAGTCATTCGATGAGACAGCCAGGCGAGCTTGATGGGGAATTGAGCCTTAATTCTCCTCTCTGTCTGACTGTTGATCCCAAAGAACTTGCAGCTCTCGCGGTGTTGCCCTGGTATCTGTTGCTTGAATTCAAACTGAAGGCTACAAAAGGCAAAGGAGAACCCAGAAGAGCGATCTTTCCGTTTGCAATTGCACATAGGTGAAATGAGGCGGCTTGAGGAGTTGTTTTTTGACCTATACTGAGCTGGTGGCCTGACAGGCCCACAGGACAATGGGGAGCCTTGGTCTTGAATACGGGATAATTCCATTCTCTTGATGTAAGAGTCATTAGTTGGTAAATCCTAAAGAACGTACAGCGACAGCTTGGACTTACCATTTGAGAAATCACCGTTGATTGTGAGCTTAGCATTCTTGCTACGCCAGCCAACCCCTGGTGAACCGAAGTCACTCCGTTTCCTAACACAGTAAGTTCGCCAGTAATGTTGCTCTCGAGGTCCTTCACAGCAACCTCAACTTGAGACACGCGATGACTAACTTGCGTGAGCAAGTCATTGATGGTGAATTCCAGTGATAGGAGTCGACATCTGTTCTCCTGCATCTTGGTATTGAGATCTTGGACGCCGGCGTTTGTGTCTTTCGATAGGAGTCCCAGGTCCTGCATCGCCTCGTCGATGGTGTCGACCTTGTCCTTGTTCATGGTTTGAAACTCCCTTGAGAGATCAGATATAAATGGTCGACATGATTTTAAAATGAGCTTACAGAGATGTGGTATTGATGGCCAGATTCAAGTTGCCCAGAAGTCCCCGCAGAGACTCACGAAGAGCTTCCAGCTTGCCTGCCCGGAACGGGTACAACAGCATGCGAGCCTTCTCTCCCATCTTGTCTCCGTCGGTAGTAGACTGTCGGAGGCCCCTCAGCCGGATCAGGGATTGGTATAGCTCCAACAGCATCTCTTCGCTGTTCTTGAGGCATTGTCGGATCATTGTCGCTTCGGTACATTGTGCCTGATTGATCTTGGGGATGATGTCGTTGAGGGAGTAAAAGATGGATGCTAAGGTCTGGACCTCACCCAGACCACCTTCGATGTCTTGCTTTCTCCCTTGGACAGAATTGAAATACCAAACCAGGCCCTGGCAGACTTGTATCCCAAGGGACACTATCCCAACGGCACTGCCGGCAACGGACAGGGGGTCTGGCATGTTGGGTCAGGTGGTTGGGGCTGCTGCCCGAGGCAAATGATTCCCTTTGTTTGATGAGATAGAAATTGAGAAATGGGGAGGGAGAAGGGGACATGGAAAAGATAAGTCGGTGACCACTTTCCGGCCATGGTCTTCTGTCTCTAAAGGCACAAAGATCGCGCCATCAGGCTGCAACCAAGGTGGCTGTTGGGTCACTGGCACAATGCAGAGGCTTGAAAATGCACGCCCAAGTGATACTGCCTTATCACCACCAACAGGTGCATAACTCTCAACCAATCTTATGTCTTCGTGGAGGTTCAGCTTCTGCATGTCAAACGCCCCTTTGCTTGGCAAGGCATACACCGTACTTTGAGGCCGACAGTCCCCCCCCAGTCTGATTTCCCAAGCCCATCGGCTTAGGCGAGTTCCGCTAGTTGCTTGAATGAACCCGGTTCAGGACGGACAGGCTCCCATGAGGCTGATACAAGGCCTCCTCGGAGTAATTTGTTCCTTGGGCGTATTACCCATCCACACGTAAAAGGGATTGGCTGACTACGTATTTGATAGGAAACATACACACCGAGCCCATGTTTTAAGATTGCGCTATGGAAGTCGAGACTTGGCGTCTCGTGAGGACATATCAAAATACTAATAACATGTTCATTTACATACGTCAAGGCTCAAAACAGCTCTTTCAATAGAATATCGCAAAGTACCTCTTTATTCTTGACAGGGGCACAAGAATAGAGGAATGGGGTATGCTGAGGTTCGTAGAGTGCGTTATCGCCACGAGTGACTCAACGAATTGCATGAACCTGCCCATTTTGGCAGCCATCCTTTGAAACTCTAGGTAAGTTGAGGAATAACTTTGCGACCCAAGATAAACCGCAACCAAGATAAACCTTGCCGTCTTTTCCGTCCTCTGAATCGCTTCGAGTCTGACTAAGCCCTAGTAAGCGAGACATCAAGGGCCCGACTCATTGTCCTATAAGAAGTTGCTCCTCTCCAGGCCAGCATCATTTTATCTGATTTTCAAAATCTTGAGCGAAAAGACTTGAGATCAACTGCCAGTGGCACTGTTCCCCGCCAAAATGTCTCTACCCCTACTCAAAAAATATCTCCCCATCTCCCTCGCCCTGCTCCTCTACTTTGGCAGTGCCTCACGATTCACACACGGTGCAACCTCCACAGCCAGTTTCTACCAGTTTCAAAACGAGCGGAGGGCTGATGATGGCTCGACTGAAGCCCGTCTTATTCCCGCCTTCGACTTTATCCTCGCGACCGCCATCGTGACGCCCGGCATATCACGCAAGATTGCAACCTGCTTTGTTGCAGCCACTATTAGCGGGTTCGCGGCTAAACGAGCAATCGATGGACTCCCTTGTCAAGGGGACATATTTCAATCCGTCTGGGCTACGGCTACTGCTTTTGTGGGATTTATTTAACGTTGGAATGGTTATACGATCAGATGGGGAGTCAGACAGCATTATCGTTGGGAAAACTACAAGGTGATATCATCTTGAAGGGGGATTGTGTAGGAACGACTTGGAGTCGTCATTAATTGATTTTGCGCGCTGCGGTCCAACTATGAGAATTATAACTGGATATTTACCAATCGACAGTCGAAAATGGCGTCTCATTCTCTCCGTTGCCAACCACTAGTTACCTTTGTGAAAGCTAAGCAGTAATAAACGATCTTCTGGCTCCGTTAATCCATCAAGGACCGGCCTTCAACTATATTGAAGAACTCAGTGGCTTATAATGCCCTTTCTTACTGTAAGGATATACTTCCCTCAAAAAACATATCCAAGTTCCACCCCCATAACATAGGGTATGGATTTTCTCTCTCCACTGCCGCTGAACCATTCATCCATTCTGTGCCAGCTTGTTGAGTATTAAACGCGGCGAGAGGGCCGCCCCACTCAATTTGAGAATGTAGTGAGCCAGGATCAAACCGGAGCAGCTCAGTATTGCGACAATCATGAGTGAGCTGTCTTTCTTCCGATGTTTCCTGACCCTGACCTTGTTCCTTGTGATTCTGGCCTGCATGCACGTGTTGCTGTACACAAGGGGCATGTCTCGTTTTATAAAGTGACAAGGCTTCTTGAGCCATCTGAAACAGTTTCCGGCATCTCATCAGGAGATATGCAAGATATGTCTTGTTGTCTGACTTATCCATAGCATCAAAGAGCTTAAGAAGACAGAGAATAGCTTCTAGGTCCTCGTCTGCACTATCCGTTCCGGAGGTTCGTAACAGATTAAAGGACAAAACAATAATAGCAGACAGTATGGAAGGAAGTAAGCTCCTAGAGTGAGGTTAGTAACGAAGAAAGGGAGAAGTAAAGGAAGTAAGGCAAGTTTGATTCCTCTTTTCATAAACATACCAAGAAAGTTCTTTTCGGCCGTATGGTATCGTAGCACCGATAGCGGCAGTAGCCCTGGCCGCAGTAAGACAACGTCGAACAGATACCGTGACATTAGCAGTCAATTCTGAGGTTGTTGAGCGATCTAGAGCCATCCAATATTCAGGACTCTGAGAACGATTGACTGCGATCACTGAGTGGTGATAGGAAGCGTGTAATCGCTTTATCAAGCAGCCATTTTCGTTGCTGGATTTTGCACCCGGCTGGAACGGTAAAGGTAAACTGGAGGACCATTCGTCTAGCTGCCCATTGAGCTCTGCTGCACATTCTTGGCTCAAAGTCGAATTACCCTTTGTGGTGACCAAAGACAATTCCCGAGAAATGCGGGCTTGGATAAGTGCAAACTGGGCTTGGACTCTAAGAATATTGACCTTGGAGCCGTCGGTAGCTTGTAAAGTTCCGGAATCATCTTCCAGCTCGTCACTCGGTAGTTTAGGGTGAAAATCGTGCAGGTCGTGTGCCGGAGGTCTCCCTGTTTGAAGGCAGAGCTGGATGTCAAGGCTGACAGCGACCCAGAAAACTCGATTCCTCATTTCCTTCTCGATGGAGCTGAGGTTATGGTTGTAGTCATTTCGGTGAAGCCCAATGCTCTGAGCCATGCGCACGGCGCTCCCTATCAACATGAAAGCAGGCTGCGGATTGGGCGTGCCGATGAAGAACCAACCGATTGTCAGAAGCGCTTGAACTGACAAGAGGCATGAGCTTCGCATAAGAACGTCCAAGGTAGATCCCATTGCGTTAGCAGCATAGCCCCAGGCCAGGCCCTCTTCTTCCACTGGGCTACGGCCGGTTTCAACCCGGTGACGCTGAGCGATTGCCAGCACGGCGTTAAGAGCAACCCACCAAGCTGGACTTTCCTCTGAAGTGACGCAGTATTGCTGTCCGAGTAGAGTCATAAAGGTGGGTGGGTGTAGGCACGGCACAGCTTTGTGGTCGTGTTCAAAGAACTCGCTCACTAGAGTGAAGGCTTTTGACCAAGAAGGCAAGGGTTGTTTCGTACGTCTCTCAAAGGTGGCACGGACTAACGGGTGTGTCCACCTGGACCAAGATTCTTTAGAAGGAAATGCTTGTTTTGGTGCGCGCTGAGGAGTACACTGTCCGGGTGTAAGATCTGAGAATCCAGGCGGAACCCAGGCAGATGGTCCTAGAATAGGAACACACATGTTAGGGGTTCTCTTGTTTCAAACTTCATGATTCACACTTACCAAAGAAACGCATATCCTTACTGTCACCCACGACGATGCCTGTAGAGGCGCCCGATGGTGAACCATGGGCGCTCGCTGCACCCGGACTTTGGCTGGCAGGGTACTGAGAAGACCCTCGAGAGCGGGGAACATTGTCAGGTTCGACTATGACTTGGTCCGGTGTTCCGATAGGAAGTGTCTGCACATTTGTCGTGCAAACATTGCTCGGTCCGGCTTCTTCGGCGCGTGTTTGTCGTAACGAGCGCTGAACCGAGCCCCTGTTGGGTTTGGCAACATCGGCATAGCGACATGAGTTACCGAGGCGTTGGCAGCGAGTACAAATTGGACGTTGACCATCACATCGGAGTTTCTTACGCCGGCAAGCATCACAAGCCTGGTGTGGGCGCAATTCAGTAGTGTTCGGAGTTTCAGATGGTGGTTCCTGGCATGACGTACCTTGGCAAAGCGGCGCCGACGATCCACATGCACACCGGCCATTGAAACCATGAAACAGGCCTTCCGAGTAGGGGTTTCCGATGTGCAAATCTCTAGAAAGGACGAATTGACGTAATCTCAAGGTACTGAAGACTATCCGAGTCTTTACTCATCGATGATGAATGTGTCATGAACAAGCTACGTCCTCTCGGCCTTTGCGAAAGCCGATTCCCCTAGCCGGCCCCACAATTCATTACCGAAACTCCGGCTTCACTTCATTGCCTAGTCAGGCTATGATCTACGAACGAATAACTTACCTTACTGGCACCGAGTAGTTGGGAAGCGCAAGGAGTGGAAATTATCATTTTAGGTGACAACATCAGGAGAAACTCTCATTGTACTGACTACTGCAACCATTCAGGCTTAGACCTGCCCCGACGCCCGGTGGGAATCTCCCAAGCCAGCTCCGAAGACTCAAAAGTGAAGGCAGGCGCTAGGATCTTGAAGTCTTCCTCGATGCCGTATTCCTTGCCTGACATAGTCCAAAAATACTCCGGATGCGTAAAAATGTCTGGACGGACCTTTTCCAAAGACTTGTGCGTCTTGCCGACAAGGGTACTCATCTCGTCGTAATGACGTGGGTTGAATTGGGTGTCCCGGTTTCTGAGTTGCTGCTGCTGGTCGTCGCTATATGTTCCCAACCGGTAATACCAGATGTTATATTGAGTCAAGCTGATTTCAAGATCAAACGTCACGTTGTCTTTTGAGCGAGCCAGTAGAGCGTCGATGACCGCCACAGCACCGACTAAACCCGTCTGGTAGTCCGAGTTGGCTGAATTATTTAGTCAGTGTGAACGTTCTAAGGGAAGAGAGTAGTAAAGTGATGGTCAACATACGTAGAAGTGGTACGACAGGTTCATCCAGTCCAAGGAACTTGCCTTGGAGCCAAGACAAACCAACCAGGCAATCACTAATCTGTTGCCAGCCGGATCGGCCAGACAGCGGACCCTTGAAACCATAACAGTTTTCCCGCAAGTATATCAAGCTGGGATTCAATCTTCGCAACGAGCCCGAGTCAAAGCCAAGTCGTTGCAGTGCCCCGGGGCGATATCCATCGATGAGAACATCGCCGCCTCTCACCAGCTCAGAAAAGGCTTTCTTTCCCGCCTCTGTCTTCAAGTCAAGGTTCGTATCTCTTTTGCCGGTTTGAAGATCTGGCATGGTCGCAGGATACTCAGGAAGTTTGTCGCACGACACGCGAAGAACTTCAGCGCCAAGAGCAGCCAAAAGCTTGGATACAGCTGGTGCTGCAATGACGCGAGAGAAGTCAATGACTCGGATGCCGGCTAAAGGTTTGTATCCGTCGTGGCTTTTTGTCTGAGGCCAGGGTTTCATTGGCGCTGGTATGGGTGTCTTGTTCCACAGTGGTTCTTCAGCCATGACCTCCCCGTGTTCGCTGGAAAAGAACTCTTCGGGTGTCCGGCAGACGACGCCTGCTTGATCGAATTTGTTGTTGGCTGTCTCTTCGAGATCTCCTGACTCCCAATTGGCGACCTTTTTGGCATAAATGTCGATTGCCTCTTGTTGCGTAACCTCGGCATCGTCCACGCCAAGCATGTTCATAGTCGGGCCTGCGTTCATGGAACCGTGGAGATGATACCATCCATCATCTTTAGTCCGATAGATGTTGGTAGCATAGAATTTGATGGGTTTCATATTCTGATGCACGTCCATCTTAACGAGCTCCTTCATCATTTGCGGATGTTTCGTAAATGGCTTCCCACCGATGGTCGGTAGCAAAACTGACTCTAGGAATAGAGTAGCCACATCAGTGCTGACTTGAACGCCTTGATACGGAATTCCATATCGTTCGGCTGCCACGACATTTGCGGCAGTGGCCACAAGAGCAGTGAGCGAAGCACATGACTCGGTGATTTTAAGAGGCGTCAAGACGAAAGGCTGGTCATCACCGCCGACGAACTCGACTTTTTTGGCTGCTTCGGCGAAGGAGGTAGGAAGGCCAAGTTTGGGATCAGAGAGGAGGACTTCTTTTAGAATCCTAGACGATTCTGAAAAGATCGAGTAACGCGACATTGTTGAGCAAAGAGCAGTGAAAGACAGTTGTTCAGTACAAATCTGGTGGACAAGAGTTTTCTGAATGCGATCTTGAGAGACGAAGTAGAAGAAACAATAAAGCCATTTAACAAAGAATTAAATAATTTCCTTCTACCCCATTTTTCCCTTTCTCCTGGAAACTCCATTATTCGGCCTTGGGCGAGAGATTCGGTCTCACTCGGGTAGTGAGTCGGAGTTTCAGAACTCCGTAAACCAACGGGCCGAGCGGCACGCATTCGCAAAAAAATGAGACACTGAGTCAGCGCTCTTTATTTTCTAAGGCCAAAAAAGGCCCTAAGTATAATAAATAAAAATGATCAAAGACTCATAATATTATTCCTTATTTTTATATTTTACTTAGCTTATAATTAGGTCATTATTTAAGTACTCTTCACTAAGTCTTGACGTCCTGGTGTCTCAAGTTTTTGTACGTCCGGGTGGCGGTCCGGGTCCTCCGCCCGGAGTTGACGATCGTTGTGGGTCTTTCTTTCGGAGTTTTGACCTTGGCCACCTCACTGAGAGTCCGATCACAAGACTCCCCGCATCGGGAAGATAATATCCGTTCAGTCCATGATGTAAATAAAGAGAGACGGGTGCCTTGATGAGAGAGCTTGATCACCAAACTTCCTCTCATCCAAGATAACACCACTTTTCTAATCGTGTACTGTCTTCCTGTATCATGAGTGCCACAAACAACTGGCGAGCCGGGGAATTTGGTGTCAGGCCAGTCCGTATAGCGAACTGCTCTGGCTATCACGGTATGTTGGTTGAGAGACGTGATATACATGGATGAAAATAATCGTGGAATTCGTAGGTGATCCGGCTCAAGAAATGTACAAGCAGGCTACACTGGGCGACGTCGATTTCATTACTGGCGATTATCTGGCCGGTATGTCTTTTACTATCCCATTTTCAACCTTGAGATTGGCTGATCGTACAAAGAGGTCAACATGGCAAATAATGCCGAAGCTTTTAGAGAGGGACGGCACCCCGGCTACGAAGAAACCGCTTGGGATGGAATACAGCAGACAATCGACGTGATTTCGCAGAAACGGATCAAAATTGTCATCAATGGGGGTGCCCTAAATCCCGGCGGTCTAGCTACGAGAGTGGCCAAACTGGTAAATGATTTGCACCAAATCTTGAAATACTTGGCTAAGAGAATCCTAGGTACAAGACAGAGGCTATGACCTTAAGGTCGCATACATCTCTGGCGACAACGTATTGGCTGAGGTCGGCAACCACATGCCTCAACAGGTAGAGCAAGCTCTGCCACATCTCGACTCTGAGAACCACCACGTTACCATTTCTCCAGAGTCATATCTCTTTACAAGAGAAGGGCAAAAACCCCGCGAGATTGTCTCGGCCAATGCCTACCTCGGTGCGCATTCCATCTATGAGGCTCTACAGAAAGGGGCAGATATCGTCATTTGCGGCCGAGCCTCAGATGCAAGCCCCGTGATAGCCTGTGCATGGTATTGGTGGTCATGGAAGAACACGAGTTACAACGAGCTAGCGGGTGCTTTGATCGCCGGCCACTTGATAGAGTGTTCTGCCTACGTCACAGGCGGTAACTTTTCCGGTTTCGATGCTTTTGATATTGAGCGTTTTGTTGACCCTGGCTTTCCAATCGCTGAGATGGACCAGGATGGAACATGCGTTATTACCAAGCATCCCGGGACGGGAGGTATGGTTACTATTGATACCTGCAGTTGTCAGCTTCTTTACGAGCTGCAAGGCAACGTTTATCTCAACAGTGATGTCAAGGCATACCTGGATGATGTTTCCATGGAACAAGCTGGGGTTGATAGGTGAGTCCTTGCATGTTTCTATTATGAAGAGAGGCTGACCATTTGCTATTAGAGTCCGTGTTTCTGGAGTTCGTGGAGCTCCTCCTCCAAACACGACAAAGCTCGCTGTTTTCTATAAGGGCGGTTACGAAATGCAGGCACTCTTCAATGCTACAGGTTACGGTGTGGCTAAGAAGTTGGAGCTTTTTCAGAAGCAGGTTCGGTTCTTCATTGGAGAAGAGGCCTTGCAGCAATTCGACGTCCTTGAGTTTCAGCAGTAAGTCAATTTTCCCCGATCTAACGTTCTTTCTTGCTAACTGAGGCTGAAGGATTGGAGTTGCTGCCACTGATCCAGCTGATCAAAACAGTAGCACTGTCTATTTCCGCGTTTTTGCACAAGCCCCTGAAGCATCTCTTCTCAATGCCATCAATGTTGCTGTGCGCAATGTCTCACTGAAACATTTCTCAGGTTAGTGTTTAGTTGCTAGGGGTAAAACTCGCTTAACTAATCCGAGTCGCAGGGTTTCATAGCTCTCTCGATATGCGAACAGCGATCCCCCGTCCCTATCTCGCATATTATCCCGCCCTGTGGAACCAGTCTGACATTAAGGAATGTGTTCATTTCGTTGACCACGAGAGAGAAGCTGAGTCGTTTGCGACCTGCCCGCCAACAGCGTTTGAGGATCTGGGTCAGCGTCAATCATATGACGCAGAGCCATATATCCAAGCCAATTCTGAGCTTTGCAATGTTCGTCTTGGCGACATTGCACTCGGGCGGTCTGGTGACAAGGGCGCAAATCTCAACTTTGGCCTCTTTGTCCACACCCCAGCCCAGTGGGACTGGCTACGATCATACTTATCGCGAGCCAAGGTCCAGGAGCTTCTCGGCACTGACTGGAAGGAAAACTACTCTATCGAGCGTGTAGAGTTTCCAAAGATTTTTGCTGTGCACTTTGTCGTGTATGGGATCCTTGGTCGTGGCGTCAGCAGTTCCAAACGTTTGGATGGATTTGGCAAAGGCTTTATTGACTATTTCCGGGATAAAGTCGTCCAGGCGCCGGCATCCATTATAGATAGTGCACCCATTGAAAGGAAGCTATGAGTCTTATTTACCGATCTTCGATCAAGGGCCGGGCTGTAACTATAACAAAGAACAGATCTTCAACACATCATAACATCATGACCCGATGTTAACAGAGTGGCCTGAGTCTTGTTTACCAAGATTTGTTTCTTTTCTCTTTTAATTAAAAACGCTTTATGCATTCACCCGGAGGCTGTGTGGGGGACCAGAGCTATTATGGCCTCCTCGACTTGTCTCTCGTCCAATCTTGCCTGCTATCTCATTTCCTGGCTTTGCATAGACTTGATTATACTGAACCCCTACTCAGCAGGGAACAATGCTGCGGGCAGCCCGTAGGCGGTATTAAAATGCCGATAGGATCATCAGAAGGGCAGGGAGCAAGATAGGTGATGAGAAAGAAAATTTATCTCTGTAACTATATACGTTGAAATTTCTCTACTTGGGTCCAAAATGCAAATCATAGACTTGGTAACGAGAAGATCCAGAACCCCACCCCACCCCACCAAAAAGGGGCCAAAATGCATGCGACGGAGACATTGTACTCCCACTCTCATGAACGAAGCTTCATGGCCAAGTTTGCGAGGCTTCAGAGCCATTCAGTCTCTACTGTCACCAAAACTATCAGCAACATCCTCGCAGAACGATGTCTTTTCTTCACTCACTGTGTGTCTTTTAGAGATAGCATCGACCAGCGCTGCAGTATCTCGCGGTGTTCTTGCAACACTCGTACTTGCAGCACTTCTTGGTACGGCAACAGAATCCACCGATGGAGCAGTATCGGGGGTAGTTGACAGGGCAGGTGACAGCGGCGAGCTGCAGGGCATCGCCATGGCCGCCAAGGTCATAACGATCCTCTCCAGCGGAGGCAGAAGACAGCTCAGGGAGGACCTCGGCGGACTGCTTAGCGGGGCCGGCGGCGGCGAGAGGGATGAGGAGAAGAAGAGCGGCGGTGAACTTCATGTTGAAGACTTGAAATGGTTGGTTTGTCAAGAAAGAGTTAAGTGAGGAGTTGAATAACTTGTTAATGGCTTGATAGTTTCTCTCAATCACGCAATCTTGGACAATAGCAAACTATTGAGGTCTTTATACCACAATCCTCCATACTAGCGGGCCAATATTGTGCCGTTGACGTTGCAGATGACTTGTACAAGCTTCTCACGACCTTGTCCAAATTAGACCGCCAGCTGAGTTGTCCGCGTTGATCCCTGCCCCGTCTGGTCGCACCATCAAATCCCCAACCCAAGAAGAGCAAGGTGCAAGGCATCGCCCTTTAGCAAAAGGGGCACAAGGCTGACTCGGAGCATTGAGATCGACTCCACAGTTAGATGAAAGTTGATGGACAACGATGATCTACGGGGTCACGGACCGTCGGTGATCACACCCCGCAGAGGGTTTGTGGTTCTATTGGAGTTGTTTTGGTCTCTATTCACAGGGGTCTTGTTAAGCTTCGGGAACTATTAGCCCGTCTTACAGGGCTATGACTAGATCGAGGCAGGTCTAATACCGAATGGAAACGAATGCATTGTTGACAACTGCCGAGCAGTAATTTCCCGCTGCAGCCACGAATAAGTCGGGCGTTTCGTGAAACGGTCTAATAACACCGCGGGGATGGAATGCCATTCTTACGGCTAATATCACTCTCCTGCTGATACTATAAAAAGATTGTCTGTCTTCAAGCCAGTGGCACCCATGTCATCTAATGTTCGGTAAGCAACGGACCTAAACTGCTTCCATGCCTGATGCCTTAGCCTCTGTTGAACATCTACGACGCCTTGGTCAATGTTCCAGCAATGTGAGGAATCACCTCCAGCCAACTCTCACCCGAGAGAGGAGCCACGTTAAATCTATCCCAATCGCCAACCTTGAGGATTGACCTAAGAGTTGGCCGACACAGCTTACAAGACCCAACAAGGTACTCCCAAGGGATGTTGGTGAGCCCTGTCACAAGTTAGTCCGTGTTCAATATCGTAATTTCATGACTACTCACTCTGAATCAATGGGATTACAGTGCCCTGCTCTGACTTGACATGCTCGTAGACATACCACCGGCCGCCTGGCTTGAGGTAGTTGTACAGAAGACGAATGTTCTTCTCTGGCTCCGGGATGCTGCAGAGACATTGAACCGTAATGATGCAGTCGACGCTTCCTGGGCCGATGGAAGTCTCATCCTTCAAGTCTTGGATGCCAAAAGGGAGGACTTCATAAGTTCCAACAAGCCCCGTCTCATCGACGCGTCGCGTCAGAGCCGCAGCAGAGATGGGATTCGGCTCGACGCCATAGATCTTGCTAGAGGATTTCTCAGAAGTCGGCTTGGTCTTCTTGATGACATCGGCAAGAACCTGCGTCCACATTCCACTGCCGGCTCCAATCTCCAAGATGACACCATCGATCGGCGGGCCTTGAGCCTCCTCGTGAATCTTGCCATCCTTGACACGACCCTCAAGAAGCGGGACTACCCAACCCTCAGCTCCAGCTTTGGACTTGGGACCCATGTACACCCAAAAGTTGCCGAACCATGCGTCATGAAAGGCCTCCCAAGAGAACAAGGTACGCAAGTCACCAGAGACGGCGAGCTTGGTAACGGTGACGAAGAGGTAGAAGGTCGAGATGGACATGATGCCCCACGGCCTCAATATCGAGCCAATCATATTCTCGGTAGACCAATTGGTTTCTCGGCTTTGTTGAAAAGTTGTTTTTGAAGAGGTAAAGTGCGAAATCGGCATATGTTGGCTCGTCTTGGGTTTTATAGCTCCTCTGCCGAGAACCGAAGAATGTGCTCAACCCCGCACAAACAAGAGTCATGCCAGATACGATATCGCCAACTCATCATGCTGTGACTCAGAAAGTCGGGCGAATTCCGTTACTTATTTTAGTTTGGCGATTTGGTGATGAAGGATATTTCCAAACTTCAAGTTATCAGGCCGAGTATAGTTCCAATACAACGCAGGCCGAGCCTCTTCATGATCAATCGCCGACATCCGTCTGGCGACTCCAGCCTGAAACATATCGACCCATATCTTTCAAATCGTTGCCGCTATCTAGATGCATTTGTCAGCGCCGGGGCATGCATTGACGAGTCACAGGCGTTGTTGCGGATAGGCATGCATAGATGGCCTTGGACCTTCATCAGGCCAGTGCCTCGGGGTCAAGTGTACAACAAATTCATCATTCGATAGGTGGATTCTAGTTCTTCGTCGATGGATAATATTTCCACCCACCTAATAGATCAAATAAACATGTCTTCCCCAAATGAAACCCCGGCAATGACAGCATAGCTAATCTTCAAGAGCGCTCAGGACACGACACTTGTACTATGTGAGCAGTAACGTTCGGGCTTTTCGATCCGGACGTAGATATGCGTAAACACTGCAACTATCCGATTTTGGACTCGTCGGGACGAGTTCCACGTTGTAGTCGCGCTCCTTCAAGTAGCTGGCGAGGAACTTGCCAATCCCCTGCTACTCCTCGCTGGTTGACGGGATAGCCGTTAGCTACTTTAACGGCCGGACAACAGGGGCTTGATCCATGATCGCAATGATAAGGTGAGACTTTCCAATGGTGACTAGGTTAAAAAGTTTCAAAATTAAAGGACGAGCGTTATTCGATGCGAATGTATATGTTCATTCGCAACAACTCCCGGTCTCGGTGCACCATGCCCCTATAATTCGGAAGTTGAGCCGTGGACCTCTCTAACCCGGCCAATGCAGCAGTCAGTTAGGTCATTGGTCGCTTCTTTACTTGCTGATTGATTCCCTGGCAACGAATTCGTAAATTAAGACGAATAATATGTTATAGTACCTAAAGCTGTGCACATAGCGCTCACAGCTACCTAGTCATCCATGAGTTTCTCATAACCTCATCACGTACATACAGCACCTACAATATCCTACAACTTATACACTTGGGGGTCTGCAACTTGTTGAGTCCAACTCATGCACCACAGTGCTATCCTCGCTCTTAATCACTCACGCCGGGAGCTCAGTCGCAGAACCCCGAGTTCTAGCCTCCGATTGCGCCTCCGCATTAGTATACGGCAGAGCATCAGTTGGTCTTTGGACCTCTGAACTAGCCGGAAGCTCCGCCTTTGGCTCGATCGACGTCTCAGTCCCCCCTTTCGTGGCATCTGGACGCCTCCATACAAGAGCCGGTCTTGGAAAAGATTTCAGTCTATCCGCCAGGCTCTTAGATCGCGTCTCGTGGTCTCCTTGACGGCCCTTCTTCCTCCCCATTCTGAAGGCTATGATAATAGCACAAACAACCAAAACCACCCCCGCCACAGACCCGACAGCTATGCCAGCTATAACGCCAGCACTGAGCTCATCCCCGCTATCTTGGTCGTCTGTCCCTTCTGTCTCGGTCGTGGTGGGGGGCGATGCCGTCGACGGGCGGGATTTCTCTGTTGGTTTCGAGGAAGTATCGTCGGTTTCTGTTTCGGTGGCAATCGTCGTCTCATCTATCCAAGAAGGGGGTCTCAGTAGAAAGCTTTCAAGGTGGAATTTCGGGGCATTGACGAACACGTTGTCGGGTTCTCAAGAAACAGTGTTGCGAAAGAATCACGACTCCCCATGCCGATCATATTCTTGCAGCTGATCAGATAATGGGGCGATTCCCCCTCCCCTCCGTTGTACGACTCATACAGGGTGACAGTTGTACAGGCGTTATCAGTTTCACTGTAACTATGGATTAGTTTATTCACGAGGTGGGCTAAGAGGTTGTCAATATACCATCTCTCAAACGATGAAGGCTTATCATAGCTGAGCCTGCTGATGTCATCCGGGAAACTGGTCGCGTATAGGAACACGATGACCCCCTCGGTGTCAAAAGAGTCAAGACTAGCGCAAGATTTTCCAACAACCCAACCATTGGATGCCGGTGCTAACGGTTCGCAGTTCGCCCACGAGTGTTGTGGTGACCAGTTAAAAGTTCCAGAGTTTGGGCAGGTGACTGTTTTAACTAGCAGTCGATGGTTGGTCAGCTCGCTGGCTGGGCAAAGGCTCCAGAATGAGACGAATTACTTGTGCCGCTCTCGACGAAGTAGCCAATGACCAAGTCTGGTTCAGCTACGGAAAACCACAGCTGGAACGCAAGAACAAGGTAAATGCGAATACTGAGAGCAGAATCCATCGCGAGGACTGACAGGGACGCGCTCGGGCGAGTGGACCTAATGACTGAGGAAGAACAGCAGAGAGGGACGGGGCGAGCCAGTCTTTAAACGGTGCGGATGAACTGTGGCGTTGATCCTGCAGATTAGGATGCTCAGCTTGACCCTTGTTGGTTGTCGTTTATTGGTGATGCTCATCTTGGCAGCAGAAGGAGGAGGGCAGCCTGCTTTTGAGACTGCGGCTAGCCCATTCGGTTGATAATACTATGTATAGTATGAGAGGCAGGCTGTGAGCCAGGGCGTTTTATTTGTCTCTTATCTGGCATCCTTGCTACGACTTGATGAAGAGCATATGAACATGTGCCTGCTTTGTCCCGGCTCGAGCTGTCTGAGTAAACGTGTTGCTGTCCTAAAGAACATATAGGACCTAACTACAACTCCATTTCGACTACCAAACAGAAGCAAGTACTTCCACGCAACAAAGACACCTGACAACTAATGTTCAACCCAGAAAATGTGACAAACCACAAAGGCTCAAGAAAAGAGGTCAACAGCAAAAAGTCAAAAAGAAGATTTTGATGAGACTGGGACTCGAACCCAGGAGGATTGCTCCATCAGGAATCTGAGGTTGTTAAGGTGACCTTAACCTGACGCCATAACCAACTCGGCCATCTCACCAATGTCATTGGATGGAAAACAGGCGCCGAAATCACGGCTCTTGAGCTAAGCCTTGCTGCAGCACGGAACTCTAACGAGCGCCAAAGTCAAAGTAACTGAGGAGTTGCCGCCATGGCACCTAATTGAAGAGGCAATCATCTCTTGTATCCAGATGAAAAGCTCTAGTATCTTCGGCTTTGTCGTCCTGGCCACCAAGCCCATGGTCAACCCCACTCAGAAGCAGCAGGACAGTCGCATTGACAGTCATTTTTACGTCAGTTCTGGCAATGATTCGAATCATTTTAGTGGACGATTGACTTTCAACTCAATCTATCTATCGTTCCTTAGCTCCCGATCAGCCGCCTCTCGATCCATCTCCTCTCAAAAAGCCTCCTCCCCAGCCACCAACAACAAGGACACATGTCGTCTCACAAACGAATCCATAACGTAAGTATCTTTGATTGAGTCACAAACAGAGTTCATGTGCCTCCTGCTGGTGCATGCCACCCAGATAACGAGTTTCCCAAAAGGGAGATCCAGGGGGTCAAGAATTCAGAAAACCTCGCGTAACAGTCAAGAGTGAATAATACTACTTTATGGTAATGTCTACTCAGCCTTACAAGCACGTGTTAATGACTCTCATGTCAGTTAAATGTACACCGTCTCTTCATCAGATGTGTCAGCTACGTGGTTCTCATCCAATATCACCCAGGTCCAAGACCCCATCTACATTCTTGTCGATCAAATCTCAGAGTCGATAAATCTCTGGACCTAGAAGTATCTGTCAGGTGTATGACTTCATCACTCTGCTTGACAAAACTCACCGTCTCGGTGACTACGTTGAAAGATTAACTTCAGCCACCTAGCTGCAACATGTGAGCTTCTCTCACGATGTAGATAACACCGGTCACGTCCTTTTGTTCAATCGCATCCGAACTTTTCTCCCTCGACCGAATTATTTACATGTCTTGACGGAAGCCTGCGACAGGATAAACTTTTCAGTCCCTCGCCCAAATCTACTTAAACCACACAGCTCGCTACCTGATTCCTCTCCTTGATCAATCACCCATTCTTTCCGCTGTGATTATCATTCTGACAGATTCACGAATTAACAATAGCTTCTTCCTTTTAGCAAGCACACGCATTACAATCCTCGACTACGATCATTCCGAGTCCTCGACTTCTCCCGATCACCACCTTATACTTCCAACACTTTCTTAATCCTTTTTTTTTTCTTTTTGGGTCTTTCCGGACACTCTACCTTCCATGGCCCATATTCACTCTTCTTTTTGTGGCTGCTCTTGGGTCTCCAAATTCATTCAAAAAGAACAGGATCGAGTCACACCTTCGCCAAACCATATCACGGCTTGGCTCAACACTCTCTCCGACACTCCTACTCTTCCCGAACGCACTGCACAACCTTTCGGCAGTCAAGTCAGGAAGATGAACTCTGAAGGCCACAACTCGGCTTTTAGCCAATACCCCGTCTTCGGACATCCTCAACTCGCCACCTCCTACAACGCTTCCGTCGACGTACCCATGGTCGACTCTCACACTTTCACCTTCTTCTCGCCGGGGATACAGGTCAACTTCCCCATGACCACCTCCGAATCCGACTCCGACATGTCCTCTTCTCGTTCTCTGGTGGGATCAAGACGCTCGTCCCACCTTAACTCTAAACACACGTCGCGTCGCCATGGGATCCTCGGTATGGGCCGAGGCCGCAGGCCGAATTGTAGTTTTGTTATGGACTACGAGAAGAAGAAGACACTCCGACGAGTGATCAGAGTGGAGGATATGCCCAAACCTCCCCCTGCAAAGCCAGCTGAGCATCATCACAGCGCTTGTGGGTGTTCTCCTAGGTCTGTCGTGAAGAAGAATCGGGAGGTCCTTCGTCTAGAGGGTATCCTCCTAAATATGAATTCGTGGGGAGATCTCAAGTCCCCGTCAGACAAAGCCTATGACTTTGGCCTTCCGGTGTTTCCCCCTCTAGTGCCCAAGCATCGGAAAAGGAGACCCGTCAAGTCGTGTCTCAAGAAGGTAGCTACCGTCAAGTTCTGCGGCGACCCAGATTCCGGTGACAGTGACAGTGATTGCTCATCGGTTTCTTCCGACGATAGCGACACTGACAGCATTTGTCACTCGTTTGACGGGGACAATGCTTCCAGAACTGGGAGGGTGTCAAGGTTTGTCGAGAAGAAGGTCAAGTCTGTCCACTTTGGCAGTACACGTTGCATCCGGACAGGTCAGGGCATGGCCCCAACTCCCAGGACCCCCGAGAATGATTCGCGGAAGGAACGGTACAAGGCCAGGCAAATGATGGAGAACAAGTACCGCAAGATGTTGGCCCACGACGAAAATGAGGCTGCCAACACCGAGCAGCCTCCATCTATAGCCTTCATCCGGCAAGATGAGGAAGTTGAGCGGTGTCTTGCAAGGGCCGAAGACATCTCTCGGGCCAACGAGCGGGCTGCAATTGGGCGTGGTGCCCTCGACTTTTTCATCTTCGTGTGTCGCGACAAGAACTCCACCGGCAACCAGATCTGTGAACACCTGGTTGACCGGCTTGTCAAGCACCGTGGCAATCTCTCCATCGTAGGTAGTTACCACGGCGAGGAGAGGAAGTTCGCAAACCCGGGGACATCAAATGTCTCCCCTGTGCCGGCGCACTTGTACCGCGACTGTCGAAGTTCCATGTCTTGGGTCGGGACGGAGAAGGAGGATAAGGTGGACAAGATGGACACGAGTTTGTGATGATGGTTACAAGTTTATGATTGTGGTTACGAGTTGATGATTGTGGTTACGAAGTTTATGACGATGGGCAGAGCCCGATGATAAAACATGGCGAATCGATTACCAAGGCATCAGCCAGCCCTCGATATCAGGTATCAGGATGGATACCAAGGGCGGCAAGGTTAGAAGACCTGACTGTACTTCTTTCAACAATACGACACCCTTATAGAAATATGACGTTCAGTTCATTCATCTGTCTTGCCGTCATGACGTTTCTAGTCGCTCGACTGTCTCGCCCTCCTCTTAATCCTGATCCCAATACCCTTTGTGGTTGCATAACCTCAGAGATTCAGCAATCTCTTCTGTTTCCACCAAACTCTTTTGTCAACAAGGCCAATAGCACTGACAACAAGTCTTCCTCATCCTTGTACACCCTACAATGAGGCTATCTCAGCAGATTCATCTACCACTACTAATTACCCAGACAGCAAGGGGCCGTTTCCAGCATCCTTCAAGAGGGCCGTCAAGGCCTTTTTAGCGGCCTTTCCCTGAGCTACGCGAACTGCCAGCTACGTCTTATGTCAGTTACAATCGTCTCCCCAAGCACGATCCGGCAAGAATGACAAGAAGGAGAAAAGAACGCACCGACTGGAAGTTTCTGTGGGCGTCGGCCCGCCCGGAAAAAGTGTTGGCCCTCCTTTCAGAGTTCTCGCGCGCTTGCTCGTGGCCGTCGCGGTAGTGAGCCTGATGATAGCCAATGTAGTCTTGATTGAACTCGGAACGCAGATGCGAAACCCTAGCAGATAGACATTCGTCAGCGTGTCATCTTGTGCAGCTCCCATCGTGGGCCAAAGAAGGCATACAATTGGCATGCTTGAGCTGCATTATCAGCCAAGGCACCTGCCTCACGGTGGAATTCTTGAGTCCCTAGCGGCGTGCCGCCTAAGGTGTCCGAGTTATCCTCCACTTCCTAGCGGGTATATCGCGGGGCCTCACGCCTGTATGTCGTATACGCATCGGCGGCCTCGTTGGCCTCGGGCTCGGCGGCCTTGTACTGGTGGTACTCTTCCTCGTACTCCGAGTCAGGCGGACCAGCACGACCCCACTGGGCCATGGCATTACGGAACACATCGTGGTCCCTCGCGGGGTGGTCAGCGTGGGCAAAAGAGCTCTGTTGGCTTCCGTTGCCAAAATAAGGGATGATGTGGCCGTTAGCCCTCCGGTGAACGTAATCCGGGACGGGGGTTCCAGGCCAGCTACAAGGCCCTTGGTCGTAGGGCTGGTAGTTTTGACCTGTGACGGCAGGGTGGGTGTTGGGCAAGATAGGGCTCATGTTCGGGGAGCTGGGCATCTCGTCAACATAACGATAGCGACCCTCGCCGTCAACGTAGTAAGCACGGCCGTCGGCAGTATAGCGCAAGTTGCCGTTGTTATCCATTCCGTTTTAGAGCAGTACTAAAGTATTGAGACTATTCGGCGGTTGCAGTCAAGCGTAGTCGTTGAGTGATCCGAGATGGATGGCAGGAGAGATTAGACGAGATGAAGTTTTTATATTACACGAATTCTTCTGTTGTTAACTCTACTTGTCGTGCCATCTTCTCCCTCTTCCACTTTCAAAGTGCAATGTGCGGTGGCCATAAATAGGACTTTTTTGTCACACGTAACACGGCCATGTGGTCGAGACATGGCCATTGCAGAAGCGTCAAGATGATGGCGGATGACTGATTGGAGAAATCCAAGTGAAGAGTGCACTTAGGAGGCCTCAGATGCAAGTTTGTTGACGAGTTGTCGTTCAAGGCATACAGCACAAACTATGCCATCTACCGGGATATCGTTTTCGTTCAAGACCCATCCCTCAAGATGGTGCTTACGAATGTATGCCAATTGTCGTACAAGGTCAGCCTCGGGCATTGATGCAGTTGGGATTGTCATGTTTGTAATTCCATTCCAGGCCAATCACCAACTGCCTTTCAGCCACCCAGCTCATCCCTCGAAGCAGGCTACCTTGGCATCGCTCAGCTGTGACGCGGGGTAGTCACACTCTGGATGTTAGTCATCCCGTCTCACCCCATCCCAAGACTCCTAAAGGCGGAAGATGGCCACGTCAACCCACCATAGCAACTGAATAGGTTCTCCCTCTCAGACCATTTCCTATTACCTCCCCCGGCCTCAACATGCCAGCCAACAACCGTCCTCGTTTCTATCTTTATCTCGCTTCCGGGTACTAATTAGGATACACCCTGAGCACGACTTGCATTATGGCCGGAATCCAGAGTCTTCCTGTGGAGATTCACCAGCACATCCTCTCTCTGAGCCCTGACCCCCCTTCTCTCCGATCACTAGCATTATCGTGCTCTGCCTTTTTCAAGGCATTCGCCGTCACTGAGAAAGCCACCACCACAAGCGTGCTGTCACATCACATCCACCCCCAAGTCCAGCGTGATGCTATCGTTGCACTAGCTGCCTCTCGACTGCCAGCTCGAGACCCTTTTGCACTATCTACATTCGTCACAGTAACGCTCGCGTGGAAAGACATAATCTCCTTTCCACTAGAATGGTCGCTGGTCGACGCACTATCCGCCTATAAACTCTACACCCACGTCAGCTACTTTTCTCAAGTGTTATCCCGTCAGCTCCTTGGCCGCCCTCCCTTCCAGATACCTGATAGCAAGCACGACGATAGTGTTGCCGGAATTGACACCGAAAGGTCGCTGCCAACACCATCAACTGCTGAGTTGCATCGCTTCGAACGCTCTTTGTACCTGTTTGAGATATGCTCCAGCCTCTACAGGCTCTCCCCATTAGAAGATGGCAGGAGTTGGGAGTCGTGGTTCACCCAACTCCCCAAGTTTCAGCTTGAGCAGCTCAGTTGCCTCAACCATCTCCTCACACACTTCGTTGCACCTGGTAAGCTTGACATCCTCAACCCTCGCAGTGCGTCCGGCAGACGTGCTTAATCTCTTGCAGCATTCAACGACCTCGTACAACACGACGTCTCTTGGGGTTACTTCGGAGTGAGCCTCATCACCGACGAGAGCTCCCCACTAGCCCAGCGTGTTCTAAGCCGAGGCCTGGAGACGCTCCATGCCCTTGCTCAGACCGAAACATATGACGAGCGTCATCGCATCCTTCATCGCGGCGACAACCGCGAAGATGAGCCAGTCGGTGCGTCAGGCTTTCTCTACGACTTGCTAGAATGGACGCCCGAGGCTACTCTGGTCACCAATTTACTCGTATCAAGACTGCCATCAGATAAGAACTCACAAGCCTTGAGCACCCTAGAGTTACGGAGCTATCAGGGATGGGGTTACGTATTCTGGGATGAGGCGAGACTAGAGAAGCTCGGCGCTTTGACACATGACGGCCTAGTCAAGCTGAAGGCACCTGCTGATCCGCTGGAGGCTTTTCGAGAGCTGGAAAATAGCCAACTACAGGCGTCTAGAGCACGACGAAGCGAGGTCTGGCACCAAGGAGGATCTGGCCGGTGGGATCAAGATGACGAGTCCAAGATCGTCTGGCCGGAGAAGAAGAAGAAGAGTGCTCAGAGGAAACATCCTCTGATGACAGCGAGGTCTGTTCAAGGTGCCAAGGATTTTCTTCGGAGCTTGAAAATCCCTGATATGCCAGCTAGAAAGGCAGAAAGCCATAGCCACGGCCGATGGAGGGTGTACCCGCCTCGTAAGGGATAGGTTGTAGTCAGAAGAATGCGGTCAATGATTTAAAGGGCGAATTACACAAGGCACTCTCGCACTGATATTTCAGTATTGGGGCTAGATACTAAGACCAAGTCGATTAACTACCTATATAACTCACACATCTCCCTAATATAGTCTATACTTCTAATTACTAGACTGCCTCGTCCTTCTCTTGATCCTGATCCTAACACCCTCCGGTGGTACCACGGCCTCGGCCATCCACACATTCGGCGGCCTCTTGCCTTCATACTCTTCTGGGAAGGCAACGTCGTAGTTTCTCAACATATACGCAAGAATCATCTTGAGCTCAAAATCGATCAAGAACCGGCCAGGACAAGCATGTTTTCCATGTCCAAAAGGGAGAAACTCGGGAGATGTAGAAACCATGCTCACAAGAGGCACTTTTTCGTCGCGACTAGCGGCAAGTTCGCGCATACGGGAGAAGCGGAAGGGGTCGAACTTGAGGGGGTCTTCCATAGTTTCGTCGTCCGTTTGGGCTGGCTGACCAAGGAACGAAATGACGAGGCCCTTGGGAAGTGGGATGCCATCTTCGGTCGTGAAGCCAGACGTCATGACCTTGCGAAAGTTGGCTCTTCCTCCGAAAGCGCCCAGGCGCAGAGTCTCACGGCAGAGACTATCGGCACGGGTCATCTGGTTAACGAAGGCCTTTGTCCACTGAGCGTCCTCGTCGGGTCCAAGGATACGGTCGATCTCATCACGCAGGATGGCGATGGTGTTGAACTCAGCGTCAGAACCGAGCACGTTGAGAATCAGGTTTGTAACCTGGATCTGGGTCTGATGCATGGAGCCAAAGTTATGGGCAATCAAACGCCCAGTCATAACATCCATGTCGTTAATCTCATCCGGGCGTTCGCGCTGGCCATATCGAAGCATCATCTGTAGATGGTCCTGGGGCTCGGGAAGACTTGGGTCGACTTCCATGCGTCCCTTCCAGACAGGAACAAACCACTTCTTAAGTTTGCGGAATTGTATGCCTGTTGGGATGCTGAGAAGGGTGCCGACGATGGGCTGCAGGACCAGAGGCAAGCCCCCAGTGAGGCCAGCATTTAAAATGAGAAGGTCGTTAATCTTGAGAGATGTCTTGAGGTAGTCTTTGTTACGGCCTGTATCCTGTCAGCAAACTCACCACATCAACAAAGCAAGAAACTTACACAACGGCAATCCAAGAGTAAACCGACTAGCAGCCTGCGCAACAATAATCTGAATAGTCGACCTAAGATCAATCTCTTTCCAATTCTCAGTATCCTTCCCAAACTGCTCATCAAACACAATCTTGAGCTCATTGTTCATGGCATTGACAATATTCTCCAGCACGCGGTTCAGATCGCTCTTGACGAGCATGCCCTGCCACGCATCGACCGCAATCTTTTCGTGCCCGAGGCTCCATTTGACCTGGTTGACTTCTGCAAAGGCTTTGGTGACGTCGAGGACTTCTTCGGGTTGGGAGAGGACCCATTTCATGGAGCTTTGCGGGAGGATGACTTCTTTTCGGAAGCCGAAGCCTGGAATAACGACTGGTTTTCCTTTTTTAATGTACTATGAAATAATCTTAGTAGAGTCAATTTGTTTGGGCGAGGGTTGGACAAACGTCGTGATATGCCTCGCGAAAGAGTGCCTGGCAATCCGTGAGGTAGGCATACCTCGTCCGCAGACTAAACCGACGAGCACCCTCCGGCTCACGAATAAGTGGAATCCCCGGAGGATACGGCACATGGATGAGATTCTCGACAAGGTAGAGAACGAAAATTGTCACAGAACCGGCCAAGACGATGCCCAGAGGGCTCGTCAAGCTAGGTAGCTGATCCAGTAGTAAAGGCGCCATAACAAAGATGACGAACCAAAGAACCGCGGGGCCACGACACGCTGTATTTAAACGAGCGGTCGATACAAGAAGCGGTTCCTTAGATAGTTAAGCGCCTTTTGGTCCATGCTCTCTCGCTTCGCTAAGACTAGCGCTTACCGGGTCTGTTTCGAGCTTGGTGATAAAGTCCGCGCAGACAAATCATGGCTCATCCTTTTGCTTAGGGTGAGATTTCGAATTGATCTGGCAGGGTAGGGTACCCGGTTAGGTGATGGGAAGTGGGTGTATAACGTTAGAGGCTGGGCATTGACGCGGCGCAGGGATAAGTTGGTTATTTTGGCATAAATCAGCGAGATGATTTCCTCTTTTACCACATGGTCCGTGTCATTCTTCAAGACAGAAGCTTTGAGTGGTCTGCCATGGGGGATATTCGTGTCTTCAACAGCCCATGTTCGGAGTAGGCCTCAAACTTTCATGCCAACAAGTAGAGATACCAACGAGTAGAGATATAGAAGGTTGCAACAAGCCACAACGATTCGCAAGGTCATATCATGTCCATTCGAGTATGGTAGCTTATCAACGACTTGCTGTTCTACCTGTTTGGGTAAGGATGAGCCAGCGCAGAATGGGACCCAACAAAGTGACAAGCAAACCAGGGACCAATCTCGCGGTTTGCTTACGCGATCGCATTATGGGGCTCAATAAAGAGATCTAAGATCCAAAGTTCTTATTCTTAACAAGCCAATTGCCGCATAGTTTCTCCTCAATTGAATGACCTCCGAAATCGACGTGTTTGTCCAGGGTAGCTCAACTGACAACTGCCATTACATAATCAATGCCAAACACACGGGGTCTCATACACGCACAGCCGGCTGTGCGTTTAATATCACGTGACTTTTGCGCACAGCCGGCTGTGCAAATAAGATTCGTTATGTAAGCCCAAAAAGGGGTAACATACTGCAAATTGGTGCAATTTGGGGCCCCAATTCAACGATCAACAGCTTCTGTGACATCAATTTAACTTGCCGCGCCTTCTTTCAGCTATGATGAACCCAATTGGCGTTCCCACTGCCTTCCCTGATGATGCTATGCCTCCTGAAGGCCAGTATAGCTCACGGGAGGAACTATTCGCCGCAATCAATGCTTGGGCAGCGCCTCGAGGCTATGCCTTTTCAGTCAAGACCTCTTGGAAGACCCCCAATGGAAGAACTGGGGTTATCTACAACTGTGACCGCGGAGCAGGGAGACCCCCTAAGGTCAATCCGACGAAGAAACGGAAACGGAAGACCACAACACGCCGTACAGGATGCACCTTCTCTATCACAGCAAAGGAGAGCCTATGTGGGACTATGTGGAATCTCACGCATCGCCCCGGGGCCGGCTTTGATCAACACAATCACGAACCAAGCTTCAGTGAACTAGCACATCCAGTACATCGTCAGCTATCATCCCCAGATAGGTTGACGGTCCATCAACTCAGCAATGCCGGCATTGAGCCAAAGAAGATCCAATCCTATCTACGCATGAACACAGATACACTTGCTACACAGCAGGATATCTACAACTGCATTGCACAAGGCAAGCGAGAGCTTGCTAAGGGTCAAAGCAACATGCATGCCTTTGCTAATGAACTTGAGAATGAGGGCTTCTGGAGTCAGATACGCCTTGACGAGAGTGGCAGAGTCACATCAGTGTTATTTGCACACCCAAGCTCATTGAGATACCTCAAGCTATACCCTGAAGTACTTATCTTGGACTGTACATACAAGATCAACAAGTATAGCATGCCTCTTCTCGATATAGTTGGTATTGATGCTTGTCAACGATCCTTCTGTATTGCATTCGCCTTTCTTAGTGGCGAGGAAGAAGGGGACTTCATCTGGGTCCTTGAACGGTTGCGGTATATATATGAGCATTATGGAGTAGCCCTTCCATCTGTGATACTCACAGATCGCTGCCTAGCTTGTATGAATGCTGTTTCTTCTCCTTCTTGTTTCCCTGAGTCAGCCTTATTGCTATGCCTATGGCATATCAATAGAGCGGTCCTGAGCTATTGCAGGCCTGGATTCACTCGAGATAAAGACGATACTCAAGGGCAAGAAGAGTGGGATGCGTTCTTTAAGTCTTGGCATCAGATTGTGGCCTCAACGACTGAGGATATCTACAACGAGAGGCTTGAGAAGTTCAAGCAACGCTACACCCCTGACCACCTCAACGAGGTGGGCTACATCATAGAGACTTGGCTGGACCTCCATAAGGGGAAGTTTGTTAAGGCCTGGGTTTATCAACACCTTCACTTCGATCAATTCGTCACGTCACGGGCCGAGGGCATTCATTAGCTCATCAAATCTCACATGAAGACCTCAGCAATTGACCTTTTTGGGGCCTGGAATATCATCAAGCTCATCCTATCAAACCAGCTCAACCAGCTCGAGGGAAACCAAGCTCAGCAGCAGGCCAGCATACCTATTGATATATCTGGGCCACTGTATAGTAATATCCGTGGTTGGCTATCACATGAAGCCCTGCGGCTGGTTGATGCTCAACGGCAACGACTATTGAGAGAATATCCTGCATGTATAGGAGTCACTATGAGGACTCTTGGTCTGCCCTGTGCTCATATGATTTAGCCCTTGCTACAGCAAGATCAACCCCTTCTGCTACATCATTTCCACACACATTGGCTTCTCCATCGCCCAGGAACCCCCCGGCTTATCATTGAGCCTCATAAGCAATTTGATCGCCTAGCAGCTAGTTCAAAGCTTCCACTAACAAGCACACAGCGTGAGCCGTGTGCATCTGAACGTGTTGAGAAAGCACTATAGCGAAAGGCACCGCCAAAGTGTTCGAAGTGTGGTATACGAGGCCATAAGATGAACTCTAAAGCATGCCTTTTGCGTTACGACGATCTATTGCCGGCTCCTACTCAAACCTCTACAACAACACATATCACAACACATTCAACCACTCGCTCTGTGACCCGCTCGCTATCCCTATCAGGGTCCTCTGTGGTATCTGAGACTATAGCCTGCACAACAACACATACAACAACACACACAACAACTCAGGTACTATCTCCTCCGGTAACTAGATCAGCAACTGTTGCTGCAGGCGGTGCAAGAGAGAAGTCCCCATTGCGAGGTGATCATGCCCTTGTTATCTTCCAACGATACAAAGAGGCACGAGAGGCCTGGTATGCTACATTGACCAGGAGAGCTCAGAAGACCGATCAACTGTACCGGAAGGCTATGAAGCTGCCTCAGAAATATGCAAAACGTGAATATGAATGGTGCCTTGATTATAAGCAAATGGGGCCCCGTTGCCAGGAGGAATCAAGGGACTGGAGGCAGGAGGAGATGATGAGTTATATTGATTGGGATAAAGCTGAGACCAAGCGGGTTGAGGAGAGGATACAGAAAGAAATAGATGAGCAGCCTTTCTCACGGCACAGAGGAGTCAAGCATGTCTGGGAGGCTACTGAGAGAGATGTTAGATTACAAGGGGGGGGGCTCTAGTGGCGGGAACCCCCTTAAGAACATTTGCAGTATTGACGGGAAAGGTAAGTGGTATATATCATTCGAATCAGAAAAGAAAGGCAAAACTCCGAGTATATATACCGTGACCCAATGGCTCGATTTAATGGGGTTGTGGCCGAGTTCATATGTAGGGTCAAGTAGGCTGTGTAGTTAGAGATATAGTAAGTACTAAAGCAATGTATTCATTGAGCTATTCTGTGACCTCACTGCCTCCCTTGCCAAATCCACTGAACGTAGCCATTTCGATCAACATTGCACACATGAATCCCCGATATCTCTGCGGCGTAAAGGGCTGGTTGATAGTTGGTCATACCTACAGCTGGAGAGGGCTAATTCACGCCCGGGACGCCAATTGCCTGTTGGCGATAGAATTGATCTATCTGCTGCAGATGGCCTCGAGTCCACATCGGATTTACACAGTGTGGCTAACAAACCGACCGTCTGACAGACCGTCTGACAGACCACCTTCAGACCGCAGTCCGACCGACCGGCCATTCTCGTCAGACCGATAGACCAGAGCTGCCGGTCGGATTGGGTGGTCTGAGTCGGTCTGGGTTAGTGGTTTCCAGGCGTCCCATTGGTCGACTTAGCCTTTAGGTACCCGTGCTATCCCCACTTGTTCGGCCGTTCGAGTTTCGCAGTGCCAAAATAAGTGGGGCAGGGCAAAGGTAGCCAATGAGAGAATCAGCTAATCAGACCAAGACCGACCAGGCTGCTGGCCCAGACAGACCTAGACCGACAGACCGAGAGTCTTGGTGAACCCAGACCGACAGACCGAAGGGGCCGGTCTAGGTCGGTCGGTTTGTTAGCCACACTGGATTTACATCAGGGTCAGTGCGCTGTTGCCGTTGGGTTATCTGATGACCGAGGTACCCAACATGCCACTCTCCTTCAAGGTGATACCCCCCCGGCCGTGGTACCTCGCGAAGGGCATCACCTTGAGGACCGTATACGGTATTCCGTGCTGCTACCAGGGCTTGAGGGTTCTGCCTGTACAGGGAATTGGGGGACCTTGGGTCACTTGGCAAGGTATGCTGATTCCACCAATGCTGATATGTCATTGGGTTCTGCATTGGATGACCCATACCACGCGGCGGTTGCTGTTGATTGTTGGCAATAGGCTGAAGAACAAACTGTTGGTTCTGATTAGAGGCGTAAGTTAGCCCAGGTTGCGTTGATGTTTGGGGGCAGATGTAGATGGGCACATTCTGAGCGTTGTTTTGGTTGAAGTAAGACATCTTGACGGTATCTTGCACTGCATTGATATGAAAATGAACAGCTTCCTACGAGGGAGAAGCCTCTGCTTTATATACTATGATATGTGAAGTGATTCACTCGTACCGTAGCGCCTGTGGTGTCATGAGAGGCATTGTGTCTTCTTCACCGGTCCTAGGCAGATGAGAATAGATCATATGTAATGTATTGAAATGACTGTAGCTACATGTGATCATCTCATCTCTCAATGGCGTGAATCAATGCTATTTCAATTGATCAAGGGGTGACCCTCTTACTCACACACACATGTATCGGGCTTACATAACGAATCTTATTTGCACAGCCGGCTGTGCGCAAAAGTCACGTGATATTAAACGCACAGCCGGCTGTGCGTGTATGAGACCCCCAAACACACAGACACACAAGGGTATCCCTGTCACGCCACAAAAAAGCCCACCAAACCCACTAAACCAAACCTCAACGCCTTAGCCCCACACATGAAGAAAAACTTTGACTTGCAGATTCTTTCCAACCAACCCAATATGAACAGCATTTTCAGGCAAATTTTCAAAAACAGATTGAGCCCGGTTAGCTCAATCGGTAGAGCGTGAGACTCTTAATTACCTTGGTAATAGAAAGAGTGTCCCTCTTCGAACCAGGTGATGAGTACGCGATCTCAAGGTTGCGGGTTCGACCCCCGCATCGGGCTTTTCCTATAACATAACTTATCTTTTTTTGCTGTTTGCCTATACTTTTGCTTTGTTTGGTCGAATCTTGCTTCTTTAGTACTTGTTTCATTTGTACTCAGTATGGATTAAAGACTTGTGTGTCTGACTCGCTGTGCTACTCTTGTCCCGTGATGCCTCATGGCGGGGTTGCTTATCGGCTTATCCCGAGACCCTCAACTTGAACTCTACAACAGCCCCTCCATCATCACCTGCAGCCCTACCTACCAATAGAACATCACTACAGAACTTCAGAATGGCAGACGCGAAACAGTTCAAGCCAGCCCTTATTATTGTGGACTTTCAAGAGGACTTTTGCCCACCGGTGAGTCTGGCTCTTTATCTCTGTCACATGCTGCCCGGGTGAGATGGAGGTTGAAGTCAACCAAGGACCCTTCTCGTTCGTCAAGAATTGAGCCTACACGAGCTGTGATATTTCATTTTCTGGCAGCGGAGATGCTGGGACACAATTGCGCATTTTGGTTAGGGTAGTCCGACAATGACGGGCCCCCTCTGCACATCTCAGTTCCTTGACTCCAGCATAATCTTGACATGAACCGGCAACACCACTCTCCACTCACGATTGAGCCTACATCACTCAAAATATCCTCATGTTCAAAAAGCTAACTCTTTCAGAACGGCTCCCTCCCCGTCCCAGAAGGCCGGTGCATCGCCGCCCCAATCAACACCCTAACCTCCCTCCCCTTCCCCCTCATCCTCGCCACAAAAGACTTCCACCCACCAACACACGTCTCCTTCGCATCCAACCACCCTTCTGCGGAACCTTACACATCATCCACCATCATAGTCCACCCCCGCGATTCCTCACGCACATACGAGACGACCCTCTGGCCCACGCACTGCGTCCAGGGCACGGAAGGCGCGGACCTGGTGCCCGAGCTGGATGTCTCGAGGGTGCATGCTGTAATTGAAAAGGGACAGGATGAGAGGGTTGAGATGTATAGTGCTTTTTATGATCCGTTTCGGTTGAGCGATAGTGGGTTGGCGGGTATGCTCAAGGAGCAGGAGGTCACTGATGTTTATGTTGTTGGTCTGGCGGGTGATTATTGCGTCAAGGCTACAGCAGAGCACGCCGTCGATGAGGGATATCAGACTTGGATTGTGGAAGAGGGCACAAGGCCTGTCACGCAGGATACGTGGGAAGAGTGCAAGAGAGGGATGGAAAAAAAGGGCATCAAGTTCACATCCATGGACGGCGAGGCTGTTGCCAGAGTAAAGACATTCACCTAAACACGAGACCGACAAGTACAAAAGAGGATTAAAATGCATTTTTAAAGCGGAACTTGATCCGCCTGTTGTTGTATCTTTTACTTGTAGTGTATGTATATGTACGCTTTGCGTGACCTTTCCAGAATGTCCCATAATGCGAAAACTCCATGCTGTGACCTTCACCAACCAGACGATGTGCCCTACAAGCAACGTCTATGAATTTTGACACCAACCCACTATATGCTCCGTCAAACACTTCATCATCTTTACCTCTTTGATCGTTGAATGGCGGCTGCGCTCATCGATGTCGTTGAGGCAGAACGCTCCTGGGCATTGGTCATGGCCAGGGAGATCGGCGTCATGGGAGGAGCCGGAGTCGTGCTGCGAGAGGGAGCAGCACTTCGGTTGTGCTGCATGTGCGCTCGCACCAGGTGACCAGCAGCGAGGGCACTGCAGAGAGACAGTTCACCAGCGAGCACAGCCGCGGCAATGATGCGGGCCAGGCGTCGGGCGTTGTCTCCAGGGTTTGTGGGGTGAGATCCCCTGACACCGAGGATGTCGAGCATGGAGCCCTGAGGCTCAAGAATGGTACCACCACCCAGAGTTCCGACCTCAAGTGAGGGCATGGAGACGGAAATCTGAAGAGCTCCGTTCAGGCTGTGACAGTGGTTAGCATAACTCTGGTGATACGTGAATAAAACACTTACTTCTTCATAATGGTGATACAGTTGGCACTCTCAACAACCTGAGCAGGGTCCTGACCAGTGGCAAGGAAGATGGCAGCCACCATGTTGGCAGCGTGAGCGTTGAATCCACCGACGGAACCAGCCATGGCCGAACCGATCAAGTTCTTGGTCACATTGAGCTCAACCAGAGAGTCGACATCACTCTTGAGAACACTGCGAACAACCTCACCGGGGATGATGGCCTCAGCAACAACTCCCTTGCCTCGGCCGTCAATCCAGTTCAGAGCAGCGGGCTTCTTGTCCGTGCAGTAGTTGCCTGACACGGAGATAATCTGCATATCGTCGAAGCCTCCATCCGAAGACATGACACTGAGAGCGTGCTCAACACCCTTGGAAATCATGTTCATACCCATGGCGTCACCGGTAGTCGTCTTGAATCGGATAAACAGGTTGGTACCAGCAAGCGCAGTCTTCATCGACTGGAGACGGGCGAATCGGCTGGTAGAGTTGAAAGCCTTCTTCATCGTGGTCTGGCCGGCCTCAGAGTCAAGCCAAAGCTTGGCGGCACCAGCACGCTCAAGAGTCTCAAAAGCAACACAGGGTCCACGAGTCATTCCGTCGGCGGTGAGAACAGTGATGGCGCCGCCACCAGAGTTGATGGCCTTGCAACCTCGACTGGCACTGGCAACCAGGACACCTTCAGTGGTAGCCATGGGGATAAAGTAGCTCTGGCCATCAATAACAAGAGGTCCAGCAACACCGACAGGGAGGGGCATGTATCCAATGACGTTCTCGCAGCAAGCACCAAACACGCGCTCCCAGTTGTAGTTCTCGTAAGGCAGCTTGGATCGCTCGAGGGTGTGAGTCAGGTCGGTCGTGGCCTTGGTTCGGGAGATGATGGTACGTCGGATCTTGACAGCACGGGTAAAGTCACCCAGAGTCTTTTCCAGAGCATAACCGGGGATCTTGCCGCGCATCGACAGAGAAACAACCTCCTCATCGTTCATCTCGCGCACTCGCTTCTCAGCCAAGAGCTTCTCGAGCTCCTCGTTGCTTCGCCTGGGGAGGTTGGCGGGTCGAGCCTTGGTCATGTGCAGGCCGTCGGCCTCATCGTCGGTAACGGCGGGGGTACTGGGCTCGGTGCGCTGGGGTGTAGGAGGAACGTATTCGCCTAGAGGAAGGGTGGTCGAGCTGGTGTCGTTGAACTGCTGCGCGCGCGCGAGCTCGTTTCGGTCAATGTGGTGTTCGGGGTCATTAGGGTCCTTGATGCCCCATCGAGCGACGTTGAAAAGGTAGCCGTTCAGAGCGACACTGAGAGCGAGGGCGACGACAATCCACTTGGAGAGAACGGGATCCTCCAGACTCTTGAGCAGACCACCGACCATGCGACCGCCGAGGCCATATCGCTGGAAGGGGTGGAATCCCTCCTCAACCTCAGCGCCGCTTCCGTTGAGAGAAGACGCTAGGGCGTAGTGGATGGAAGGATACTCGAGCTCGTACTTGATGGGGGTGAGGACAGTGACGAGGGTGGGTCGGTTGTTGGCCTTGGCGTCAGCCAGGATGGCGTCCAGGCCGTTGGAGGCAACCTTGAAGGGGTCAACGGACATGGGCGAAGCCACTCCGCCAAAGCTGCTGGCCCAGGTACGGATGTTGGACAGGGAGCTGGGGTTGCGGAAGGGAATCGAGCCGAGGTTGACAACGTTGACGAGGAGGAAGCCGAGGACCATCAGGACCTTGAACTTGGGAATGCTGCTGCTCTCACGGCCAAAGAGGGAAGTGTCCTTGGCGTTGCCGCTGACACGGGGCCAGTCCTCGCTCTTGGCAACGTTCTCGGCAACACGACGGCTGACGCCATCGTCCTCGAGAGCCATGCGCATGTCGACGTGGCGCTTAATGCGGTTGATCTCGAGCTTGATGCTGAGAATGGCAGTGTAAAAGGTGAAGAGCAGGATGCAGTCAAAGAACAAGATCCAGGCAGCAAGGAAGCAGAAGTGCTGAAGGCCACCCTGAACACCGGAGGCAGCACCGAGGACGAGAATGACAATCTCGATAGCGTAGTCAAGCATAATCTCGAAACCCTTGTCCTTAATGGCTGCCTGGACGGCGTACTGGATGACGTTTTGCATGGAGCGCTCGGGGGATCGCTTGCCAGACTTGGAGCTCTTGGCCTGCGTGCGCCGGTGCTCAATGGCATGAGACATGACGGCGCGGGTCAGAACAATGTTCTTCTCGAAGCCAATGGTGACAACCAGGAAGGGAAGACCCTCAGACAGCAGAATAACGCTGATGGGGACACCCAGGTTGGTCGTTACAGCCAGACCGAAAAGGAAAGCAAACACCGAGGAGAAGATGGTGCACACACCGAGCCAAAACTTCGAACCCATGCGGCGCATCGAGAGGAAGAGCGACACAAAGGTCAGGTGCATGGCAATGTAGCCCAGGAGCATAATAACAATGTCGAGGGTCTCGGCGTTCTTGAGAAGATCAAGGAACTCGGTCCAGGTGTTGCTGGCCCACTGAACAATGCTGTTACGGGTGTTGACCTTGGCAGCCTTCATGATCCAGGTCTTCTTCTCGCGGCCATGTTCCGTCTCGGTCTCCTCCGAATCCTCATTGGGAATCTCCTGGGTGGCAGCAAGGAACTCGGGGCCCTCGGCGTAGGGGAGAGAGTAGGCGAGGATGCTGTCCTGGGAGTAGGTGGTAAAGGGGTTCTCGGTAGACGGGAGTTGCGTGATGGACAGGTTCTGAGGAACAGGAACGTGGTGAGATCGAGGCGCAGTGCTAGGCGAGTCGGTAGACAGAGTGTCGGGGAACACGAGGGTCAGGAGAGCGAGGTGGTCGGCATCGGCACCCGCAACGTCAACGTCTTGCTCGACGCCCTTCCACTTCCAGGCAGTCTCTGGGCCGGCGCGTAGAACACGGCTACCCTCGACCAGGGAAGACCAATCGGCCTTGCCCACGACGGTGGTGTCAACATCGACGTTGAAGAAGGTTTCTTGAAGAAAGCCGACGTATGAGGTGCTCGCAAGGACGGCGACAATGACGATGGTGTGGATGGGGTGGGAGCAGGCGCGTCGGGCGAGGTACTGGGCGATAGGAGTGAGGCGCTTGGAGGCCCAGGATGGCGTTGTCTTTTCGGTGACCTGGGACTCGCCGCGGAAGCGACGCGGGAGGAAGGAAGCCATGACGGTTTCGGAGTAATGGGAGGTGACTCGTCGATGTCGTCTACCGCATTGAATGTCTCGTGCGATTTGAGCTGGTTGGTCTAAGCGCAGGTGTAAGTCCGGGGTCAAAGTGGACGGTCTGGGGCAAGGCAAGAAATTTAACGTAGCCATTGAGGACGGCCAGACGGGCACATGATTGAACCGAGGCAACAGATGACGACGGGAGAGGAGGCTGAGGGGATACTTACGTTGCTAGGGTGGGTGAAGTCCTAAGGCGGACGAAAAGTTCACCGAGGCGGAGGCAGCACACAACGCTTCAACGTTTTCTGGGCGACTAAACGCGCAGGAGGGGCAAGGCGTTGAGGCCTGAACCATAGAAAGTGGGTGATAAAGAGGACAAACAAAGCCAATTGCTGGTCCGTAGCCTACGCACGTCGAGAGAGCGAGACCAAGATGGAGGTTGAAGGAGGATGAGGATCGTAGGAAGGTTGGGGGAGGGAAAGAAGGCGGTAAAAGGGGGTGGGAGGGTGTGGAGGGATAAGAGAGAATGTGTGAACAGCGGGAAGCTAAGCTCACAGAGAAAAATAATTGGGGACCCGAACCCAGACCGGAACAAGTGGAGGGGGAGGGAGCGGAAGCGGCCCAAGATGGTGGAGGATGGAGGAGGAAGCCGGGTCGGAGGTTGAGCGGGGGGCCGAGAAGCGTGAGAAAAAAATGAAATTGGCTAGAGGAAGGAGCAATTGGGGCTTGATGGTCCGTTGACAGGCGGCGCCTTTTTGTTGAAATTAGGTATGTACAAGTAGAGGACGGGTAAAAGATGCAAGAAAAAAAAAGGAAATAAATACAAGAAAATTCTTGGAAAAAAAATATCTTTGTTGACTCTGCAAAGCACAAGCTTGAATTTTTTTCTCAATTTTTTCTCTCGTCTTTCCTTGGCCAATTGCCGATGCAAGAACCCCCAGTCTTCATCTGACCCTGTCTCATCTCGGTCCCTCTCCTCTCTCTTTTGTGTGCCTGATAGAAAATGGATGGTGGATGCCACGCTGTGACGCTGCTGAATTATTAGGGACCCCCCCGTTGAAAGGCCGCCGCTGGCAGGCGGCATTTTTAGCGCCCTTTGATGTCGGTTCCAAGGTTGGTGTGGCGCACCGACCGCGTGGGTTATTACCGGGGGGGATCTTCTCAATGGGGTGGGGCCAATGCAAGAAGATGAGATTCATCAGAGCTTCAAGTCGTATCTCGGGGGTTATGAGGAATGTATATATTAATGGTTGCTCTGCTGATGTTCTTGATGATATTGTTCTCTTGCACGGACCAGAAAGAGCCTCTGCCGCTGCAACACTCCAAGCCCTTGCATCACGGGTATGCCCGTCATGAGACGTCTTTCTTTGTAGCGTCCTACCTCGATGACATGCCCTGCACGTGGACAAGACCTTTGATAGATCCCAAATGTCGTCAAAGCGTTTTGCCCTGCTGTCATTAGCCATGCCCGAGGCGAGGGCTTGATTGCCAATTGTCCCCTAGAATTGTTCCGTTTCATCGGCAATAGGCTAACTAATCTATCCGTGGCCCCCCCTCCAAACACGTTCTCGTAATCGTCAACGCGAAAAACCCGAATACGCTTCGAAGGTATGGATAGCTGCATCAACACGTCCTCGCAGGTCGTGAACCCGTTTCTGACATTGTGTGCACGCGTAATGTCCAGCTTGACCAGGTTTTTTTGCCCTCTTTTGATGATTACTTGAGGCGCAGCCGCCGGCAAAGCTTCCAAGGTTGAGGGACGCGTCTTTAGGTGGCGGGCCCGTGAGGGTAAAAAAAAGTCATGGACCCAATGCGAAGCTGGGGGTCCAGTGTGAAGCCAAGCCAGGGGTATCCTAGATCATCCACACCAAAGCCGAAAAGCCCTTTTGATGCCGATCCCCATCTGCATTCTGATATCAAGACTGTTAAGCGCCTGCTTGCTTATACGGATACGTAGGTACAGACAATCGTTCGTTGGTTGATAGACACAGCCTGTCTACCTGTTGCAACAACATTGGATACCTACGCAATTCACTCGCACTGTCAGAGACAACTCTCAAACTTCATCACCCCCATCCCGGGAATCGTCGCCGGCTCTGTCCGCGATGGGTCTCGCTACATTCTGTACGTAACCGTTTCAGACCGTCCCGGACGCCGTCGCCCGCGGCCCACTCCTTATCAATCAGTCACTGGACTGCCGCCATCACGGACGGGCATCAGCGCGGCTTCAAAGTCCAAGTTTGTCCTACGCTAGACCACGTCGGTGGGGGTTAACAGCGTGGGAGGACCTGCGACTTCGGCATTTGGAGCTGCGGCTGCGTCTCAGAAGAGTAAAGAAACGGAGCTTTTGATGAACGGCTGTACGGATGAGGGTTTGTTCAAAGTGGGATTCAAGGAGAAAAGGAGTTGGATCCTTGGCTGATGATGCCGAGCCGCACGCACTCCGGGATTTGCGGGTTGCGGCTGCTGGCAGGCCGAGACATTTTGGGTTATTCTCTTGGACTGCGTAATCTGCAGTTTTGTTTAATTTTTTCTTCGTCAGAGCTCAGCCCAGGATCTGCAACGATCAGCCTGAGCCGCGTCTCGAAACCCCAAGACAAGGCTCATCGGCAGCAAGCGACTGGCGATTGCTGGGGAAGAGAACAGGTTTTGCACCGTAGGCGAGGATCCCAACAGGGTCCTCGTCAAGGCAATTTGAACAAGCCCGGTAGGGCAAATTCAGGTCATCTCGCTCGACCTGGTAAATCTCCAATGACCAAGATCTGACATGGAGCTCGCCTAAGCCTGCCAGCTGTTTCTTTGTGAAAACAATTGACCGCCCCAAGACCCTCCTCGGTGAAGCTCTCACGGTGACCTCTCTTGGCGAGTCTCCATCACAGACTTTATTCCCGTCAGCAAAACCGCTCGGAATCCGGCTGCCTCCGTAAGACCCTGGCGGCCACGTTTTGAATGCCCTCTGGAGCATGCGTGATTCCCGCAGGTAGAATATGAAACAATACCCGCGAGGTGGTATCGCAAACATGCAGCAGCAGTAATAGGCGAGTACAATACGGCTTCTTGAAACAATCAACGCATCCATCCGTCCCGTGTTCCGGCAATCCACGGCTCGGGTGATGATGTGACATTGAGACAAGTGACCGGCAAACCACCCGGATCTAGGGAAAAAAGTTTGACGACCGTGCTTTTTTTCCTCTTCAATGATGCTGAATTGAGAGGTTCAACTTTCCCATGCTGTCATGATGCAAGAAATCCCCATCTCAAGGCTCTGCTCCTCCGAGGAACCCTGACCCAGCCGTTGGAGGTCCACCCTCCGGATAGCACTTTGCGGGGCCGTCAAGGACCCTTAGGACCGGTGTGACGGGGCATCATATCATTCTAGACTTGCTTGATGGAGCATTACAACTGTTGATATTGGGCGGTTAGCAGAGGGACAGGTCTCAGATGAAGAGAGCAGCCTGATGAGTGCATTTGTGGATGGATGCAGCTGTTCTTCTGTCCAATCTTTCTACCTTGATAAGAGAGGCCTTCCGTTGAGGGCCCCGCTAACTCGACGGCACACCGCAGGCCAGGTCGAGGCCTATGCGCATTGGCCCATTGCGTTGGCAAGTGAAGAGATTTCGTGATGAGGCGTAGAGATTGGGAGCAAAGGGAGGCAAGCAAGATGACTATCTGTACATCTATGAGATGCCTCTCTGCAGTTTGTTTCACTTTGTGAGTCTCCGTCTGTACGATCAAGAAGCAATGCACAACACCGATCAAACACCTCCGGAGCTTCATGCCTCGGCCCTCCGCAACCTGCGTAGCGGCCCGCTTCCGATGGACGGACGATCCACCCGGTGTCACGCCAAGCTGCCCGCTGTCCAACATCGTACGATTGCTCTCCCCTCTGGGTCTCTGCAATTTTTCTTTCGGTTCAAAGGCCACACAGTTAATCCAGTAGAGATAAGGAACAAATGGCAAAGTCAAAATTGAGACAAAAGAGTAAAGTGGGTGGATATGACGCCAGACACTGAACCGGTCTCGCCGAGGCTGGGGTGTTGGAACAACGCTTGGGGAGACGATGCGTGTGATGACAGGCGTCCCCATTGGTCGCCGGGCTTGTTTCTCCCCTTGAAATCCGACCGGGGACAAGCTCTGATGGGGGGAGGTTTGTGCTCTGTGTGGTCTTTCTAGGTGAGGGGAGAAACGAACCGGCCAGTCATAAATTTTCCCATCTCTCGTGATATTTTTCCTGTCTTTTGCGACTCGGCATCTTTTTCACGATATTCACCAATTGTTCAAGAGGGGAGAGAGGCTCAAATACGTGCATATTTCGCCAACTCGCCAAGGGTCAGCCTGACGATCAGCATCCTTCTCGGTTAGTCCGAAAGCCTGGGCACGAAACGAACCACGGGTAGAAGAGATGGAAGATCCTACGGCTGCGGTTACAACGGGTACACCTAGCTCGGCGACACCAGGTGACATGGATAACAGCAACAGCAATGGGAACAATGTCGCCAGTCTCGGCAGCAGCCCCGAGATCATCAATGGACCCTGCCCTCATGTGTGGCTTGTCGGCGGCGGGATAGCGTCGCTGGCTGCCGCCGTCTTTCTGATTGACGATGCCCACGTCCCGGGTGATCACATTCACATTCTCGAGGCATCGTCCAAGGCTGGAGGATCGATGGCTACTTTTTCCAAGCCGTCATGGGAGACTGGGTATCGTGTGTCGGCCATCAGGAAGATGAGTCTCACGTATCGCTGTCTGTACGGTATGCTGGAGAAGGTTCCCTCCGACACTGAGGGCGAGACACTTGCCGATAAGCTGAACCGGTTCAACCAAGCGAGGAGAAAGCTAGGTGCTTCGGGTACGAGATTGGTGAGGCAGGTGATGGACAAGTATGGTGTTGAGAAGCCGGAGGCTGTCGATGTGAGCACCATGGGACTGAGTGTCAAGAACCAGTGCGACCTGATGAGGGTAGTCCTCGAGACGGAGAAGGAGCTCGAGGGGCTTGAGATCCAGGCACTGTTCGAACCCGACTTCTTCGAGACCAACTTCTGGGACCTATGGTCGTCGCTCAATCGGTTTCATCCTTGGTGTAGCGCCGTCGAGTTCAGGAGGTGTCTGCATCGCTTCTTGCACGAGTTTCCCAACATGGGGACATTGTCCGGGGTAGAACAGGCTCCGGAGGAAGACTTTGAGGCTATTATTAAGCCATTGTCGCAGTATCTCAAGGCGATGGATGTCGAGTTTCGTCATGGTGAGTTCGGGATCTCGGTTCGAGTGGTAGGAGGGACTAACACCGCCAGGCATTCAGGTCAGCGGACTGGACATTGAGGACATTGGTTCCGAGTTCCGAGTTACTGGACTCAAGACTTACCAGGACAACAAGCACGCCGATTTCGCCCTTGGTCCTTCGGATCTTGTCCTTATGACGCTGGGCTCACTCACCTCCGGCATGGGCTACGGCTCAAATGACAAGCCTCCGCCGACAATGGAACTCCGCGACTCTGCTCCCCACGAGCTGGATCCCTCGTGGACCTTTTGGGACAGGTTAGCGATGGACCGACCGGAGACCTTTGGCAACCCAGAGGCCTTCTTTGACCGACCGTCCAAGTCGACTTGGCTCTCCTTCACCGTTACCCTCCGTGATCCGGCCTTCTTCGAGCACCTCCGCTCCTGGACCGGAACCCTGACTGGCGCTGTGCCGCTGATTACCTTCCGAGACTGTCCGTGGATGCTGTCGCTCACGATCCCCCAGCAGCCACACATCAAGGACCAACCCGAAGACGTCTTTGTGTTCTGGGGATACGGCCTCTTCCCCGATCAAGCCGGCAGACACGTAAAGAAGCCCATGCTCGAGTGTACAGGCACCGAGATCCTGACGGAGCTGCTTCACCTAATGGCGTTCCCTCTACACCCAACTCTCGAGCGATCTATCACCATCCCCTGCCTCATGCCTCTAATCGGCAGTCCCTTCCTAACGCGAAAGAAGGGCGACAGACCAGACGTGATCCCCAAGGGAAGCCAGAATCTAGGCCTGATGGGCCAATTCGTCGAGATCGACCGCGAGGTGACGTTTACGATGGAGTACTCGGTCCGGTCGGCACAGATCGCAGTGTACGGGCTCATGGACGTCGATAAGAAGCCACCGGGAGTTCAAGGAGAAGATCACTCGGTGGTGACGCTCGGAATGGCCTTGAAGACGATGATGACCTAGGAAACCCGAACGAGGTCAGCTCGTTAGTGCTGGATGGGAGGAAACGGCGCAAGGGAAGGAAAAGCAACGCAACGGATCAGGACTTGAGGGATAACAAACCTTTCCACTCTGCCTCTGTGCATCGGATCTACCTTTGGATATGACTTTTAACGAGAAAATGTCTTTCAGGACGGTTGGTTTGGGGGGGATGGTATCGGGGAGGTATTTTGTCTTTTTTTTGTTCTGTATTACTAGATGACCAAGAATGCCAATGCATCGGGCTTTTACTTACTCGACTTCTTTGTGATTGGATTCTCGACGGTTCTACAAGGCGGCTTGTGTTGTAAATGGACTCTGTGCTACTGTATCTAGCCGCTGATATGCATTGATACGGGGGGCTGCATCGACTTTGTTGCAGTCGACGCAGCCATAGCATTCAAACAAGCCGCAGGAGGTTCAATAACTAGGATAATAGAAAAATTCAAACATCTGTTATTTTAATCTCTACTTATTTCTTCCTATCATTCCATATTGCGATGAAAAAAAATCAGTTTCATCTTTAGATGCTGACCGTTAATATCTTTCGTCCAGAGATAATGACTACAATACATCCCCCTCGTTTGACACTTGCAAACACTGTCAAGTCAACTGTCAAATCCCCCTCCCAAGTTCAAGCCGCAGCGAGCCCAGTGATTCACGCACACCCACTCCCATGCATTTTGTTTTTCATTCTTCTGCACCCACACCTTTTCCCTTCCCCCCCTCCCACGCCTTTCTTCCTCGCGCATTCACGGTACGACCAAGCACAACAGCAACCGCAACCATGGAGGACGACGAGAGTTTGTCTCACCAGCTGGTAAACAAGCTGCTGATCGAGGAGATTGAAGTGGATGATGCTTTGAAGGAGCAGAGGCGTCAGCGTGCTTCTGCCGAGGTGCTTGCTGATCGGCTTGCTTCTGAGGAGAGCGCTGCTTTGCCCTCGGGCACTTCTACTCACACAGATCGCCTTCGTGACCTCTATCAGCATACTCTAGGTCCTTCTGTCGTTGGTCAACCTTCTCAAGAGACTTCTGCCAAAAAAGATCCCGTCGTTGACGCTGCTGGCGATGCTCCGAAGCCTTCTCCTGCGCCCGTCAAAGGTAAACAACACCTCCAAACCCACGACACACACACCGACTAACCTTGCTTCACATAGAAGATGATGGTCACGAAGAAGATGACGATGATCTCTACCGAGATGACGGCGTCACCATCCACCGGCGGCCCATGGCTTCTCTTGCCCCTGCCGTTGCTGCTCCCCCTGCGCCCGTGACGGGTAAACACCATCCCTAGACCCTCGAGAGAGACACCAGCTAACTATGTTTGATCAAGATGATGATGATGATCTTTATCGTGACGATGGTGTGACCATCAACCGGCGGCTCGCTCCCTTTCCCACTCCCCTCGAAGGTAAAACACCACTCCCAGCCGGCCAACCCTCGAGACACACACCAGCTAACCCTATTTCACAAAGGCAACGACAAGAAACTCTCCCGTGACGACAAAGCCATCTCCCAGTGGCAGAGAACCCTCAAGACCTCCTCTCGTGGCAGGAGACCCTCCGGAATCCTCGGCGATGGAGAAGCCCGTCGCATCGCAGCCGAAGCTCGCCGTCGTGATCCCCTCTCCAGCCTCCCCGTGGAAGCCAACGACCGCCGCCGTACTGTTTGTGGCCTTACTCAAGTCCTTGGTGCTCCTGGTCGACGCTCTCAGCCTGTTGTTATTCATGAAGACAACGACGAGGAAGATCTTATTTCGTTTGAGAACACTGTCACATACCGTCCTGGAACTCAGCCTGATAATTCTTCTCTTGGCTCCATGGCTTCTGATTCTCATATCTCCGGAATCTCTTCTCTTCAAGCTCAGCAGTCTCAACCTCTTCGTCCTCAACCTTCTCCTCCTGTCAACTCTCTTCAGTCTATCTCTTCTGGCCTTCTTAACTCTGGATCGTCCTCTACTCGTCCCCAGACTTCTCGCCCTGAGACTGCTCCTCTTCATTCTCGGCCTTCTGCTTTTCTTCGATCTGGAACATCTTCTCGCCACAATCAGTCTTTTTGTCCTAACAGTTCTCTTCGTCGACCTGAACCTTTTTCTATTCATTCCGAGACGTCTTCCACTAATTCTCAGCCTTCTCGTCCGGAATCTTCTTGCACCGAGACCTCTGTTCGTTCTAGTGGTACCGTTCTTCGAGCTGAGACCTCTTATTCTCGACCTCCTCGCTCTCAGTTTCCTAGTTCTGTCTACTCTGAGACTGCTGGTGCTTTTGATTCTGAGCCTTCCTACTCCCGAACCCCCGAGATCACTTCTGTTGGTTCGCAGACGAGTTCTCTTCGCCCTCAGACCAATTTCCCTCACCCTCAGCCTTCGTCTTCTCGCTTTGGGGGGCTCTTCGCAAACCCTCGACCCGAAGACAATGTCCGACCCCATGGCGCCAGTGCAGAGACCGATCCCGACAAGGAGAACGTCTACTGCCACGCTTGCGGAAAAGACGTCGAGGGGTCTGTCGTGCTTTGCCCGTGCGGCCACTACTACTGCCCCCAGTGTCTTGGCCGGATCGTCGAGTCTTCTGTTGGCGGAGACTCGTCCCCCTTCCCGCCTCTCTGTTGCGGCAAGCCAGTGCCGGTCGACGTCAACTCGACCATCTTCGACAAGGACGTCCTCAGGGCGTTCGTGGAGAAGAAGCTTGGCTTGCCATTGTCGGAGAGGGCAACTCGCGCGGCTCAGACCTTGCCGCCTGCTGTCAAGGTCGGTCAATAGGAAGACCGACCGAAGCAGCAGGCGGTGAGGGACGTCCGCCTAGAGGGGGGAAAGCAGTGCCAGCGCTGCAGACGTCTTCTCGGCCAGTATGAGGGTAAGTTTTTTCTATGTCTAATCTGTCTTGTGCTCTGAAGCTAACCTTTATCTTAGCCGTGTGCCCTTGTGGCACCACCACCACCAGCGTCGCCCCCTGGCGACCCAGTGGCCCCGGCCCCCGTCCCGCTACCAGCGGTTCGGGCTGCCCCCATTTCGAGTGGGATACTCGAAATGGGGCAGGCACCTGCAACAGGTGCGGCGTCTACTTGGGGCGTTTCCAGATGGTGTGCCGAGGTTGCGGCGTCCATGTATGCATGGACTGCCGCAACTTCATGCGTGGTTAGGTGGACGAGAGGGGGTGGTTGGCTTTTGTGGTTAAGTAGTGGCAAGACGAAATAATAAAGTGACATTTTGAGGGATACTTGATTTTACGTGATGCTACTTGATGTTGATGTGCCAAGACGAAGCAAGTTATATCATACCTTGAAACGTCTGTGTTCATAACGACTGCTTTTTCTAACTTAAGATTAGCCACGGTGAAGTCTTTGTTCTTTTGGTCATGTTTTAAAATATGGTGACACCCTCACCGGAGGTGGGGAGGGCGTAATAAAGTCCGAAGGATGTATCTCTATGTTGCGGAGGATTGCCTTGGATGAAATTTCATGCTGTATTGCTAATGTTGCTAACTCTGGATATCGTTAAGGTTTTAAGAAAAAAGAGGATGGAAAAGGGGCTGATCAAGTTGCTGTTGCCTCCGCCGGTCCTGGTCGCGGACCTTCATCAAAACACCTACTAATCGGTTAGGACTTATATAGCCTCAGGCGTGTTAGCCTCGTGGAACTATTCTTGCCATCAGGTAGCTTCTCATAGCAGAGAGATGCCCGTTCAAATGGGGCATCGATCATTAACCCCTCTAGCATCTTGACCCTCGACACCGCAACATAGCTAAGCCCTGTCTGAAAGTCCCGTTCAGACAGATCCGTCACCATCTTGTCCACCGTGATGCTCTATGACTTATGAACCGTAATGGCATACGATACTATAAGCGGAAACTGTTTTCGTATGCACGCAGATGTCCCAAGAAAGAAGTCTCGCCTCACGGGGGTTATGGGTACTACCTCACGCCCGTCACCGGTGGTTAGATAAGGCGGCCCGGTATACTTATCCATCACCATCATAATGACACACGGCGGGTCACGAAGTGTATCAGCGCCGGGGGCCCAACCGATATCATACACTGTCCCCTATGCCCCGTTAACCAGACCGGCTGGCTGCCAGATGTTCTGGGTCAGCATGAGACGAGCACCGATACATACCGGAAACTAGCCAACCAGGTTGCCAGCCTGTTCAGATGTTGCCTTATCAGCACCATTACCGATGTTCTCGGCCATAACCTAGATTGCTAGCTGCTTCAGATGGACGAGGTGCTTGTAGTTGTACTCATTGACACGAGCTTTCTTGCTATAGATCCGGAGAGCAGCATCGAACTTATCTATCTCGCACTGGCTTAGCTTGACCTACACGCGCTGGCTCAGAAGTCTCCATGATTCGACGGATAACTTCAGACCGCGCAGTTCTTCAAGCGCCAGACGAAAACCAGTCTGGTCATCGCCCTGCTGCCGCTCGATCTTCTTCAAGAAGACGGTATGGCTGAATGCCCTATATGCTATCTAGCCAGAGATCTCATGCAGGTCCTTGAGTGGCCCATCAAAGTAGAGAGGCTTATTCGCAACCGGCGGCAGCTAGAAGAAGTCACCAACGAGGATGATGTTCATGCCACCAAACAAGTTAGCTGCTCTGTCGGGAAAGACTTGGCGGAGGCGTTTGTTAACCTACGAAAGCTAGCGTAGACCCAGCATACTCTTTTCATCGATCACGAGATACCGAACGTCCCGCAGCTTCTTCTAGATAGCATTAGCACCTACTAGCGATAGCTCTGCAAAAGCCCTATCAACAGGTAGCCGGAGGAGAGAGTATAGGGTCGTCCCCATGATCTGGTTGCTTATAACACCCGTGGGTGCAGCTCTCCAGATCGGACTGGGCCGCCCACCAGCGAGCCTCTAAAGATGCGAAGACAGAACCTTGATCATATAGGACTTACCTGTCCCGCCACCACCGTCAACTTGGAGTAGAATCTGCTCTTCGCTGCCGCTTTGGAAGTGTCCAATAAAGGTATCATATACTATCCGCTGCTCTGGGTTAAGCGTATCGCGGGCCTCTAAAAGCAGGTCTTCAACATCCATATCGAGACGATATTGCTCAATCTAACGGCGCCAATAGTCGCCTTAAATGATTGCTGGGTCAGCATAGCGGCCGATGTGGGGTGTCCAATCGTATTGGATATCGATATCCCGTCTGCCAAGAAGATCTATTGCCTCCTGGCTTAGTGGGCAGTCGGGGAGCTAGCGGGCAAGCTCGAGCCAGTCCTCCTCCACAAGGTCAGGTTCGTGATATTCTTGCTCGAACTCATCCGGATCCGGCCGGCATTCCTCCGCGTCAGGTATGCCGTAGTAATCGTCAGGGTATTGGTGGTTTCCGTAACAGAATTCGGCGGCAGATGCGTATGAGGCGTACTCAACGCCGTTGATCTTGCGTAGTTGGTTGGGATCGCGATGTAGATGGGCCAGCATCAGCTTGACACGGCAAAAATCACCGTATTAGTCATACTGACGGCTAGAGTTATACCGCGGGAAGTAGTATAGAACACGAGGCTTGGCTTGACGACCCCAACGTGTCCACTTTGTCCCGTCCCTCTTGCTTGTATTCCAGTTGGCTAGAAAGTCAAGATAGGTGAGTTCTTCATGAAGGTTAGGGCGAGAAAGATACTTGTCATATATCCCAACGACCTCACCGTCGTCATGATCACCCTGGAGGCGGAGAGACCGTCCCTGCTGCTCGTATGGACGGCAATCAACAGCTCTGACAACACGAGTGCCCTCCTGCAACTCGCAGTTGAGCAAGATATGACAGATCTCTTGCCCCGAGAAATCCCTCTCCGCAAGCAATTTGTTCATTAGACGCGAGGCAAAAGATAGAAGAGGGTTATAGTGCGAGACGTGGGGCAAGATTTGCCGCCCGAGGCTGGCATAGCTGTCGGTCCGCTTCTCCATCTTACTGCAATACTTGGCTGCATAATTGATCACAGCCTGAAGGCTGGTGCAGGGGGATATATCAATGTTGGCTAACCAGCCAAGACTAAGGCACCGGTTGTAGTGATTCATCAGGCTGTCGTTCCTAGCCGCCTCGAAGGAAAAGTAAGACTGTCCCTGTCGCCGAACAACATCGGCCATATCTCTCGTATCCCGTGGAAAGAAAAAGCGGCAAGAGATCTCCCCTAAATCCTTCTTCTTCCGTAGGCAGTATGTCTCACTGCAATGGTGGCGTTGGCAACGGTTCAAAACCTGCGAGAGCCATTAGAACGTCAGGGGATACCGCAAGGGATTTATGGCCAGGGGGTTGCCTTCTCCTTGCTGCTGCACTCGAGCTAGCTCGGGATTGAGAGCTGTCACATGGGACCCCCAGATACGGACAAACTCCTTACGTGTATGCTCGTTCCCCAGGTCAACACTAGGCGCACCGTCCATCCAGAATAGGCCATGGCAATGGCTACTTCCGCGGCCCTGCCATTCATACCTGTTCCAATAATCAGTCACATTGAATTTCCGCTTCAGAACAATATCCCTAAATAGACCAAACCGCCTGTAGAAGTGCCAAGCTGCAATATGTGGATTGTCCCTAAGAAGCTTACTGGATATGCCCATTCGTTGTTGCTCGGGCAACTCTTGCCAGTCTCGGAACTGGGGCAGATGCTAATAGAGGCTCCTCCAATGTAAGTCTGCCGGGGTGAAAGTAATAAAGGCTCCAAGACAGTCGAGGTTATAGGCATAAGATTCAAGCTCTCGACGCTTTCGGTACCAATAAGGCCATGTCCCGCGAAGCTGCGCTGTCTGACGGTTGATCGAATTAAGTAACTGCTGCGCTTCTGCCGATTCAGCGTCCTGGAAAGCCCTCAGTAGATCATCCCGCGTTATTAGACCCTGCCTTTGCTGGTGTTGCTTAACGAAATAGCTGCTTTTGGCCCGCGCCTATGCTCGCATCAGCGTGTTGAAAACCACAAACCGGAAAGTAGGATAGCGGGCAAATCTGCCATCATGCCATCGTAGGGCATGCTGTATGTAGTCTGCATACTTGATGGGCCGCAACCTCGGCTCGACGAAATCGGCTTAACCACGAGGGAATAGTATGGGAAAGGCCAGGGACAGGAGCGCTTGTGATCGGTTAAACTCATTGATTGGTATCCTCCGAATATCTGGCATTTCAAGCTGATGTTATGTTGACGGTCATACAGGGATCGGTTCATCGCGCTCTTCGCCGAGAATATGCGAATGTAGTGCTTCTATCTCGGTATCCTCTGGTAGCAGATCTGGCACTGCAGACTGGTTAACCTCATCCGGCTCAATATCGTCATTCTCCGTGATACCTAAATTAGTTAAAAGAGGATCAGTAATATCTATAGCAGCAACCTTATTAAGCATATCACCGTCTTCGGGTAGCACTAATATCCGCTTCTAGCAGACGGTAATATCTCGGTAACCCGGGTGGCTATGACGCAGGAAATCCAGCCACGCCTATAGACAGCGACGGCGTACGCGGAACTGGCGTCTGAATTGGCGGTCAAGGTGGGCATGCTCGCTTGCATTCGGAGGGCGTAGCAGGATAACATCTAGTTCAGAGGGTAGAAGAGGAAGTTGGCGATACACCTTGCCAACATCGCGGAGAAAGTGCACGATATGGCCACGATACTTGTATTGCTAGCCCCGGACCTGCATGACGTTCACGAATACATGAACTCGAGCGATTAGCATCTCTTCTATTCTTATCAACTGAGGGAGGAATGCGGGGATCGAGCCAAAATCCAACTGATTTTCGGCCGAAAAAAACAGAGGCTCATCCTCCTGTTTGTTCTTATCCTTGGCTATACAACGCTTACAAACGCCGTCTTTCAAGCCCATGTCGAACCATATCTCCTGACAGCGGACGCAGTTTTCCATCCGGTCGTTTTCCAGCTCCGTCCAGAACTTCTCCAATAGCTCCTTATCTCTATCAGACAACGGGCAATGCGACAGATCACGCATCCAATTAGGATCTAGGAGCTCGAAATCTCGAGGTTCCATGCCCGGGCGTTCAATAGCCGACTGCTGCAGCTGCACAGGTGGGCGGGAGTGTCTTTCCCGGGCTGGTCTTGGCCAAATAGAAGGGCTCGACATCGGAGATTCAATCGGCGTTCCAAGTCATACGCCTTCTTAAGAAGCAATCAAGGAACCTAGTCGGGAAGTCACCGGCGCGCCTGCTCGTGTTGACGTCGCAATTGGTGTCCCCAGCAAAATAGACCCTTGTGAGTGAATTGGTGTGCATAGTTGCAAGTCTATCAATGGCAGTCCTTCTCGACGTATTGGGGATAACTCAGCTTGTTCCGCAGTACGCTTAGAGGCGAGTGAGGCTTGCCGATTCCTACAGTCGAGACAGTTAGCCATAAGTCTTCCACATATTATGGAGGACTTCGTCTTCGAAATGAATTGATCTGCCGGTTTCATCTGCTTGCAATTCCTGCAAACCTTCGGTAATGGGATAGAATCAGCCATAAGGATGTTAGATTGGAGGGACGTTTTGATGAGGAAGAATAAGAATGAGGAAGGACTGCGCGTTAGCGACACGCGTTCGTTGGCAGGCCGACAGCAAAGACCGTGCACCCGCCATGACACCAGTCCATGTTGAGTGGAGACGCATCTAACCAATCCACGTCGAGTGGAGCTTTTTCAATTCAAGTTGTCGTGGTAAGAAGTTATCGTCGTAATAGAAGTCCTTCGGACTTAATTATGTTACTATTCATTTAGCAATCAAGTTAGTGGCCATGATTTATTTTGATTATTTGGAAATTAAGAATAAAAGTAACTAGGATAAACTTCATATCTTACTTTCGTCTGCTGTAAAGTAATATGCAAGTGATGGAGCACTGCTAGCGGCAAGCAACTTCGAGATATGACATTGGTGATTTACACGCGCTTACTTGACTCTTTGATCACCAGAACATCTTTTGCTTAATTCACCGCGAGGATCGGTGCCAAGAGGCCTTGGCCCAGCCACAGCGTAGAGAATGTCAACAATTTGTTGACTTGGGGCCAGCGGCAGCGAGCCAGGAGCCACATTCGGGCTCGGCGCAGGGGGCAGTGGGAGCAGGGGGAGCAGGGGGTCACCCAGACCAAGAAATAAATGGCATATTGCAGGTAGGCAATCGGACCTTTGCCGGGCTATATAGACATAAACTATATTAAAATAAACAAATAAAAATATAAAATAAATAAATTATACTCTAAAGTCTATATATATTCTTATATTTATTATCATAAGCCTTTTATGCTTTGATTTAGCCCATTAAAAGGCAGAGTATGTACTTACGAAGTGTGCTATTTTTTTCTTGGACCACTAGGGGGTGCAGGGGGCGCAGGGGGGCAAGTGGGAGCTGGCGGCGCGGGAGCAGGGGGCGCAGGAGCAGGCACATTGTGAAGGGGGAGGCCTAAGCCGGTAGAGGAGGAGGAGGTCTGGTTGCGACGGCGACGGCGACGGCGACGGCGACGGGGTGCCATTGTTGCGAAATCTTGAATATTGGTGCATAACCGGAAGCAAGGCTATCAGAAAATAATTTTTGGGAGCATATGTTTTGGGGGAGAATACAACATCCAGTTGACCTCTGAGCTGAGGTTACACCCAGCGCAGGGGGCCACGTTCGGGAGCCCGCATGTGGTCGCTGGCAAGAAGCCATCTCGCCGTGACGGCCGGATGAAGGAACTAATAATTGTTTTTGAAATGGCGGAGAAAAGGGCACCACTCCTTGTTAATGGCCCGGGACCGGCGACTTTGCTTTCTCGAGCTGCCACCGAATATTCGAATCCTATACATTGTCATCCACGATTTTCAGGTCTCCAAGCCATGGCTGCGGGACGAAGGCCATGCCGAGATTTTGAGTCTGCATCTTTGGACAGGCGAAGATCGAGATGCCGAGGTTCAGGGCTCTTTCACAAACGGATAATTGCGTTTGTTGACAGCTGAGGGCAAGGCATGCATTTTCCATCAAGAAGATCAATGCGGGGGATGGTGGGTATGATTGCGGCTCTTGTTCCTCAAAAGGAACTTTTCTTTGCTCTCTTGTTTGCTCCTGAAAACAGCACGGGTCTCGAAATTTCGTCCCAAATCTCGCTATCACGACAGCGAACCGTTCTTCTTTTCAGTCTTGCCCTGATACGACTAGCCACAGCCCCCCATCCTCTATGAAAGACACCCTTAAAGATTCATGGAGACGCTGTTCAATGTAGTCTTCAGGTACGGCATGTTAAACCACCTTGGAGAAGTTTGCTGACAGTACAACAGTTGGGGATGATGAAGTCGAGCATTCCCAAAATCCCACGTTCGTAGAAAGAGAGAACATCGCCCAGATACGCGATGTGCATTGGCTGGCCTTGACAATAATCACGCACGAGTCGTCAGTCTACGAAAGATCCCCACGACCGCCAGCAGGTCTCCTTCCGATGTACAAACCAAAAGACAGCGAATTCCGGGAGAAGCGACCGTATACGAGCCCTTCGGGGGTGCTAGGTGTGCTGAACTGGCTTCAAACATCGCCCCGTATCCTCAGTCAAGACGCCCAGCTCCGACGCATCACTTCAACGCGAGGTTTGAGGTTCCCGTGGTGCCTTGGTCAACCCTCTCTGGAAAGAGAGGAATCGAGGGCTTGCCTTGGTGATAACCTACAACCGAAAGAAGTGACAGACTGCCCAGTCTACTACTGACAGCTTTAGCGAGGGTCCAGTAACCTCTTCGTCTGAAGGAACCTCCATGTCTGTCAGTTGAACTGGCTTGAGAGGCATGAATCTGGCGATAGTCAGTTCGACAGATCCCCGTCGTTATCGGAAAAGGTGTCCCCGCGTCAGAGCTCGACGGATTGCGCTGCTGGCTCGAAGATATGGTGACATGGCTTCGAGCTTCTCCAAATCCGATATTCTCGCCTCGATTGTCAACCAAGCAGACGTTCTCGCTTCTTGATGCAAGCTGCTCAAAGTCGTCTTCCTCGCTAATATTCAACAGGCTCGACTCTGGATTTGACTACTCCATACTTCATCCCGGTTTATATACGCCCACAATTAGCAGATTCATCCCGTGACAGGCACGATGCCCCGGCTGGGGAAATAGGGCCGATTCGGAGCTTTTCCCTGCAAAGTTGCAACCGACTGTTGATTTCGGGCCATCTCTCGGCCGACGTCAACACGAGAACCGAGAATGCTGTAATACGACCCCGAACAATCCCCGACCGGTCGAAACAGAGGTTGATACTTATCTCACATGCTGCCATCGACTTGCACGCGTTTTTCGAGTATCCGAACATTCCTCCGTCACCGAAACCCATCCTCCCGTGTCTGTCGTGGACTAACGAAAAGGGCCCAAATGAAGGCGAGTGGTGCCAAAGGTGACCGAGAGCTGCTCCGGCCATCAAACAAGGAAACCAACGAATTGGAAGCTACCGGGAGAAAGAAATACTGAGAGTCTTGGCTTGAAGGCACGGCTAGAACGAGAGCAACAGGGACCACGATATGGTCTACAATCCAAGGCCAAGCAACACAACAGATTAACTCGTCAAGATTGAGCATAGATATACGATCGACGAGCTAGAATCTATCTGAGGAACTGTAGTATCGAGGGTTGAAAATCCCAAGAAATACCCGCCTTTGGGTCGTCCCACTGGCTGGGAAAATCGTTGCCGCCCAACTTGATGTTGAGGAACAGATATTGGCCCAAGTGCTGGCGAGAGACTTTGTGGATGGCTCCCTCGATCTTGATAGTAGCATGGTAGTAGCAAGTCTCGAGGAATTCCATTATTTGTGAACATCTCAGCATTTACCTGCGATCTCGAACTCCTCACCTGCCAAGCCCGGGCCCAAGACTGAGCTTACATGACTACTGACTTGACCAGTTAGCTTGCAGTTCAATTTCCCCAAGGATCAAGCATTTAGGCATCTGAATTCTCAGCATTTTGACTTGTCCAGAGGACCCAAACTTGCACTCCCCCGAAGCTTCGACCCCAACGTAACGTCGGAGCATGGGTTCGGTTACATCCACGGAAAAGAGACCCCAGCAACCATCCAACAGCGGATAAATACACCATGATCACCTGGGGATCCGGCTATGCTGACCTGAGCTGATCGACGTCTCCCTGTGCGGGGGACCCCATGGAGGTTGTGCGTCTCCGCATAAGATCGGCGGTCGACGCTCGGTGCCGAACTGTCTGATGCTACTCTTTTGCAGAGCTTGATTGGAGCGGACGTTGTGTATTTGTATTGAGCCTGAATTGAGCGTTGGATGCAACCGGATCCTACATGCGGTCGTAGGGAAGCCTTGTTGACTGCCGTTTAAACGGTGCCGCGTGTACATCCTGGTCGTGATGCTTCGTGCATATAATGCATGACGTCCAAGGACTCTTTTCTGGGAGTGCCTGAGTTCGTTAAGCTTCTCTTACATCAATTGAAGAGCAATCTCAGCTATCACTTCTAGTATCCAAGATGGGCGCAGTCAAGGCTACGACCACCTATGATGTGGCCCTCCAGCGACGTCAGGCCCTCATGGGCGCCAGCGGTGCCCGAGCCCTTATCAAGAACTTCAAAGTCTTTCGAATTGCAGCATTTGCTTGCATCGGTGGTATTCTTTACGGTTACAACCAGGGAATGTTTTCGGGAATTCTGACCATGGCGTCGTTTGGAAGACGTACGTTTCTCTCACCCCGATCCCTGGCAAACAACCCCTGATGTGCTGCAGATATGGGCGACTACGTCGAGAATACGACCAAGAAGGGCTGGCTCACAGCTATTCTTGAGCTTGGTGCTTGGCTTGGTGCTGTTCTTTCTGGAGCGATTGCTGAGCTGTGCTCTCGAAAGTATGGTATTCTAATTGCCACGACCGTCTTTATGCTGGGTGTGATCATCCAAGCTACGGCGGTTAAAGCTGGTCACGACTCTATCCTGGCAGGTCGCTTTATCACGTACGAAGTCCCCGGAGTGTTCGTTGTTGTTTTACTAACAAAGCTGTCCAGTGGTATGGGAGTTGGTAGTCTGTCGACCATCGTCCCTCTTTACAACTCTGAGTGTGCTCCTCCGTAAGTCTGAGTCTCTAAGCCCCACCCCCAACCTAGAATTACTATGCTGGTCAAATATTTCCTATAGATTTCAGTGGCGTTTCTGAAAGACGTCATCGTCACTCAGAGAGTTGTTTTGGCTGACTATTGGCAACAGTGAAGTACGAGGCGCCCTTGTAGCTCTGCAACAGCTAGCGATTACTTTCGGTATCATGGTCAGCTTCTGGATCGACTAGTTCGTGCTCATTTCTGTGGTGTCCTAAACAAGGCTGACCAAGGCAGTGGCTGCAACTACATCGGTGGCACTCACGTCGACACCCAGTCCGACGCTGCTTGGCTGGTCCCAATTTGTCTCCAGCTTGCTCCCGCTCTTATCCTCTTCATTGGAATGATGTGGATGCCCTTCTCCCCTCGTTGGCTGATCCATCACGATAGAGAGACCGAAGCCAGAGAGATCCTCGCCGACCTCCGCGGCCTTCCCACCGACCACGAACTCATTGAACTTGAATTTCTAGAGATCAAAGCCCAATCTCTGTTCGAGAAACGAAGCCTGGCAGAGCGTTTCCCTCATCTACAAGCCCTGACAGCGTCAAACATCTTTAAACTCCAGTTCGTATCTATAAGGGCTCTCTTCCAGTCACGTGCCATGTTCAAGCGTGTTATTGTTGCAACCGTTACCATGTTTTTCCAACAATGGACAGGAATTAACGCCGTCAGTCTCTCTCTATATCACTCTTTTATCGTGGAATGATGGCGGTTGTTGTGTGCTGATATCTGTGTTCTTGTCGTGGTGTCGATAACTTCATTTTGGAGTCGTTACGGAGCCCACTTTAAAAGTGGGTCCAAAGGTGGACCCGTCACTAACGTTGTTCAGGTCCTCTACTACGCGCCTCAGATCTTCAGTCAGTTGGGCTTGAGTACGAATACGACGAGTCTCCTTGCAACCGGTGTCGTGGGCATTGCCATGTTCATTGCAACTGTCCCGGCAGTCTTGTGGATCGATCGTTTGGGCCGCAAGCCTGTTCTCATAGTCGGTGCCATTGGAATGGCTACTTGCCATATCATCATTGCTGTTATTCTGGCCAAGAACATCGACAACTTCCACAACCATGAAGCGGCGGGATGGGCTGCCATCTGCATGGTTTGGCTCTTTGTTGTGCACTTTGGCTGTAAGTTACACTTGTGGATCTCACTGAGAGCCCTTGCTAACCGGGTCAAGACTCCTGGGGTCCTTGTGCTTGGATCATCATTGCCGAGATTTGGCCCCTTAGTACCCGTCCTTACGGCACATCACTTGGTGCCTCGAGCAACTGGATGTAAGTGCACCTCCCATCTTTTATGTGTTGTTAGATATCTAACATTGGTAAACAGGAACAACTTTATGTAAGTCAAATTCAAGAGTACCCTAACACATCTAACACAAACTCCATAGTGTTGGCCAAGTCACACCAGACATGCTTGACGGCATCACCTACGGCACCTACATCCTATTTGGTCTACTGACCTATCTCGGCGCTGTATTCATTTACTTTGTGGTGCCAGAGACGAAGCGTTTATCCCTCGAGGAAATGGTATGTACTCCAAAAACTGGTGACCAGGCATATGTTGACATTCTGCAGGATCTCATCTTTGGCTCCGAGGGCACAGCTCAGGCCGATGCTGAGCGTATGGATGAGATTAACCGCGAGATTGGCCTTGTTCATATCCTGAACCAGGACGGTGGGGTAGATCAGCTGGGTGATGATGAGAAGCCGAGGACCTCTGTTTAGTTTGGGCAAGGTCTGGTATGGGGCGTCGACACGATTTTTGTCTCATGGGTGAGGGTGATGGCGGTCAATAGGCGTCTAGGATGAGCCGCCTAGGTAATTTAATTATTGACGTGGATGCTGACAGTCTGTCAATTTGAAGCCATAGCAGGAATTCTATTCTTGGTACATCCGACGTCCATTGATTCGGTGAACTTCAGCCCATCAGCATCCAGCTCTTGGCATCAAGCCTCCTCGTATTCAGCTGAACCACCATTCACACCCACACACACGTCCAAAAAGACGTTGTAAACGAAAAAGATGACTTGTCTCGACGCTCGAGCCTCCTGGGTTGACAAGTGGCGTCTCTTCTCTTCCAAATGCGTATTTTCGCAGCTCGGTTTGCCGAGAAAGTCCGCAGCCAAGAGCGCCGTGGAGACAAAACTGGACACTTTGGTGGGCCTGGCTGATTGTCGTGTAATGTTTAAAAGCACAACAAGTTCCCCTTTCCCCTTTCCACTTGGATTTGTTCGGGTTTCATTCATTCCTTGATTCTTCTTACGTGTAATTCTTGATCGCCATTGCTTTTGTCCGCCATGTCTCGCTTCTCCTTCATCTCTCGCCGTCGTCTCGGCCAAGTCGCCAGAACCGCTGTGGGTCTTTCTGCCACTGGCGCGACGGGCTTTTACCTCTGGACGCGGAATTGCTATTTTGAGCCATTCGGACCGGAATTAAATGAGCCTTTGTTCAAACATCCCATGCTAAAGCAGATTAATCCGTGGAACAAACCGCTTTCATTTGATTCGTGCGTGCGGGAGGTGTCGTTTGACAAGCTGGATGATGGCTTGTTGGAAGATGCGAGACAGGGTGGGACGAAGCTAATTGAGAGGTTTTCGGAGGGAATGTGGGGAGGTTATGGTGAGTAAATATGACAATCACATGAATATTTGTTAATGAACTCTAGCATATGCGATTCAACGGAGAATCTTGGAATCTTTCAAGGATGAGACGTGCAAAGACGACGTGTGGTCTCGAGAAGAACTCTTCAAGTGCAAATACGAGCCAGGTTCAACAACCCTTATCACCATACTACAAGCAACTACTAACACTATGCAGGCACAGTCTTTACAAACCACTTTGTCGTTCTCGAAAAGTCCCCATCATGCCTCACAATGCGCGGCTGCTTCGGCCCACGCCAAGCTCCCCCAACACCGCAAGCCGTCGACAATCTGTTTGAGCTGCGGGCTGAGCTGGATGAACAGCGAAAGGTCGTCAAGCTCAAGTTGAGATGTCTCACATTTGATGGGACTGAGGGGGCTAAGGAGGATCCCGATCCGTTTGGAGGGTTCGCTGGGTTCTTGCATAGGAGGTATTCCACTTTGCTTGTTGAGTCGGGTGCTGGGAATTGTTTGCGGTGATATAGACCTAGACAATGGTCTGCTGGCATTTAGAAGTTGGCAGCACCGGTGCATTTTTCTTTGATATACTGTGTAACAATAGATAGAGACTTGCTATGGTATAGAAGCGGCATGAGGAAACGGAACAGGTAGAAAAAAGTAGTAGAATTATTCATAGATCCAGCTTGTCTAGATACTAAGCACTATAGCCTCGAGTCTTAAACCTCACGTAAAAGTTACTCTGCTTAACAAACCACGCATTGTGTAGCTTCCAGTCCGAGTTTTCTCTTGGGAGCTCCAGCTGCCCGAATGTTAGCCTGGCGGTTGAAGGACGAGATCTTCACTTTACTTACCTTATACCGCATCAGCAGAGCGGGTATCAACTTGTACATTTCCAACAAACTAATGTTCTTGCCGATACAAGTCCTTGAACCCGCCCCAAAGCTGAAGAGGCAATTATCCATCAAACGTCGCTGGTCCGGGGACGCCTCGAGCCATCTGAGAGGTCGAAAGCGGTCCGGATCTGATCCGAATATCGAGGCGTCGCGATGGATCGTCCATGCGTTGCAGCCAATGATGGTGCCTCCGGGGATAAACTTGTCCGAGATTCTAACTCCTTGTGGAGGTGTGATTCTTTCCAGGGTTAGACCGGCTGCTGGGTGAATTCGCAGTGCTTCTTTTATCACGGCACCCAAGACGGGTAGGTCACGCGCTTCTTCCCAGTCGACCAGTCCATCTGTCCGTTTGAACTTGCCAGTCCTCTTTTGCTCCTCGAGTTCTGCCATGAGCCGCTCAAGTTCCTTCGAGCTCTTCAAGAGAAAGTAAAATACCGATCGCAAGGAAATAGCAGTCGTATCAGAGCCAGCAAAGATATTAGCAACCGTCAATGCGAGGACACGTTCACTAGTGACAAAATCGGGATCTTTCTTGTGTGCTTCAAGAAACCGAGAGAGAAAGTCGCGTCTGGTTGATGAGGAGTCCATCCTCGAAGATGGCTTTTCTTGACCTGTTGCTAGATCGACTCGTTCAGAGAATCTCTGGCGGGCGAATTTCACCATAGGGGTTGTCGAACCGATCAGGCCTAGCCGGGAGAGGAACAGCCGGATTGGGTTCTTGAGTAGGAAGCTGTCAATAATGGGCATCTGACCAACCTGTTGCACCGGGTTAGTAGGTACTCGTAGCAGTGCCAAAGCATTATAGGTCTTACAACGCTGGCGTAATCAAGCATCCACTCAATGCTAGAAATGATCCCCTCAACATCAACACCACGGTCAACAAACCCCAGCCTCTTCGAATAGGTGAGTTCACCGATGACATCAAAAGCATAAAACTGCAACCACTTGCCAAGATCACAAGACTCCTGCTTGTCTTTAAACCTCTCGTCAATCTGTCGAATAAGCTCGACCGTCGTCGAGTCCACGTATGGCTCAAACTGCACCAGTGTGCTCATGGCGTAGGCACTACTGACAGACCTCCTCAGCTTGGCGTGGAATCTTGTGTCGGTTGATGTGAAGAGTGTGAACAAAGGTCGTCCCCTGGCGAGCGTCTGCTGGACGGTGTAGAAATCCGACTTCTGGAAGCCGGCTGCTAGTCCGTAGATCTGACGGATGGCGCCGGGATCGGATATGGATATCGCTTTGGGACCGAGTCTCACGAGTTTGCCATATCGCTCGTGTAGCTTGACGTGGTCTATGTCTGGTCGCCGGCCCCATACGACGTACAGTCTCCATAAGTCGCTGAGAGACGCAAAGAAAGGGCCAGGGATGTGGGAGATGCCATGGCCGTACCTGTTGTAGACTAACTTAGCCAGAAGAGATAGGACGAGCAGTCCGGCGAGGATATCTAGATGAGTTGAAATGAAGCTGCTGATGAACATCTTTGCGGCAAGGGGGGCTTTCTTTCAAGGCGGAGACCTTGTAGACATGATGACCGTACTTGTAGACATACTGAAACTCTATTTCTGCCTTAATAGGGTTGGTCTAGGGAAAGAAGTGTCGGGTTCTTGGGGATATTCGTTGTCCCCGCTACTATCCGTCGGAACTCGGACGTCATTCCGACGTTCTAGCCTTGGATACCCTCTACAAACGCGGGGTATGGAGAAGCACCACAGCTCAACCCGAGGACTAGGCAGTTGCAAGCGCTGTTCAAAGGTCATGAGTTTGTACCTAGACTATCAGGGACAAGGTACGCGATGTAGGCAGTTTGCACAGCCAACAGTTTGGCGAAACTAACCCCGGCTTCTTTGTTGCTTCGCCAAACACTCTTTCTGTGGCCTTGGGGAAGCCAATTACCAGCTTGACAATCTGTTGTTCAATATGATTTCTCCATCCAACGCAAACCGTGTAGTCTTTTTTCTTTCCCGCGTCGACGATGCTTCCCTTCTTAGGTATTAAAGAACACATGTCCAAGCACAGTAAGATCAAGGTTTAATACGTTGAAGCGGAATCAGTACTTTTCTTCTCATTAAACAAGTGAATATGAAAGATTTCTGTGAACTATCTGCTTCTACTTCTTAACTCGATCCGCACCCGTGAGCTGTCTAAGAAGTACCATTCACCAGAGCCTGCTTCTTCTTTGCTGCGTTTCTCGCATTTATCAAAGCTATCTGTTTCTCCAGCCTCCACGGGTAATCATACGTCCCCATGAAAATATCGAGCAGCTGAATTTCCTTTGGGTCCAAGTAGCTCGCAGAGTTGAGCACCAGTTCCAACTCCTCTCTAGTCTTGACCTCGCGGCTGTTTGCTCGACCGTTGCGTGCACCAAAGGTTTCGAGGAGTTGCTGGTGCCGCCACTGTGAGATGTCGTTATACTCTTCTTCTGGTCCGTGAATGGCCCTTTCAATGGTGAAGCCGTTGTTGTTGATGACGAGTCTGCAGTTGTCTTAGCTACCCTTTCGCAAATCTTCTTGGGAAATACTTACAGCAGGGGCGCCAACCCGTGCCGGATCATGGTCGCTATCTCCTGGACAGTCAGCTGCAAACTCCCATCGCCAACTACCAGAATAGTCCGTCCGCCGGGCATGCCACCCCTAGTCTGAATCTCAGACTGGGCCAATGCAGCACCTAGGCACGAACCAACCGAGTAGCCTATGGAGCCAAAGTACACTTGTGTGATGTACTTGATGTCGTTGGGGAGAATGGCATCAGGGAAGCCGAATTGTGCTGTGCCCGACTCAACAACTATGGCATCACCTGGTCTGGAAAATTGGCCGATCCGCTTCCAGATCCAGGACTGCCTGATCTCGTTGCTATCAGAATCGGTTTCGTTTTCCTCGGGAAATGTTGGCAGAGGAACAGGAGGGATCTTTCCGCCCTCGAATGCAAACAGTAGTTTCTTCAACACTTTCCAGATGATCGTCAGTACCATGGTTCGGATACGCAAAAGGTCCAACTTACAAGGCCGCAGAAATACTTCATCAAACTTCTGGCCGAATATCTAGAGGCTGGTCAGTAACAAGAAAACAGGCTATGTTTCAATTGGTGCACGAACCGTACAGCTGTCTGGTTCAAGCATGAGAGCCTGGTGTAGACCGATCTGCCTGCTGTGGCCTCCAGTATTGCTATCAGACAGGAAAGGGCCAAGGTTGATGATGCAATCGCTGTCCTCGACGTATTGCTTCAAGCCTGGTGTGGACACATCCCCAGCATAAATACCCCTCCAGACTGGCAAGGTCTCGTCAATAATTCCCTTGCCCATTGGAGCCGTGAAAACGGGGAGGCTTAAAAGGTTTGCTAATTGTCTCGCTTCCTGGACCGCGCCGTGTCGCGATACCAAGCCGTCAACGAGAAGAAGAGGTTTCTTTGCTTGATAGACGGCTTTGACGATATGTTGAACAGCGAGGGTTTCGTTTTCGATTTTGACAGGATATGTCAGGTCGATTGACTGCTCCAAACGGCGAGCCGATACGGGAATATGCACAAAATCCATTGGCACAAAGATGTACACGGGCAGGGACTTGATCCAGCATTCCCGGATAACCCGCTAGAAGGTATCAGCTAGATGTATTCAACCAGATGGCAATTTACATACATCGATTTCAGCCGTCGCAGTATCTGCATCGTCAATCCATGCGTGAGCACATCTGACATGGCTCGAGATTTTGTCAAACACCTGTAACTGCGTCAGACTTTCCATCTTTAAGACATGAATTAAACCTACTCTATGGTCAGGGTTTGAACCTAGACAATGATGGATCATGACGCGGTTCTTTTGCGCTTCAGTCGGAGTCGTTCCCACAACGTGGATGACCTTGACTTGTTCGGTATAGGCACCTGCCACACCGTTCAAGGCACTCATCTCTCCCACTCCCATAGTGGTAGTGACTGTAGCCTTTGTAAGAAAGTTGGATCGTTTTCAGAACGGACAAAGCTTACTTGCGCTTGGGCAATCTTTGACACGAGCATAGCCATCTGCAGCGTATGCTGCGTTGAGCTCGTTTGTGTTGCCAACTGTTGGAAATATAAGCAGCTAAAGAACAAACTAGCAAGTGTAACTCACCCCATCTCAGGCCCGGGACTTGCTTGATGTAATCAAGAAGCTCTAAGTTCATGTCACCAGGGACACCCATGATGCTTTCTGTACCCTGCTGGCTAATTCTACACGCACACCCCAGCGATCAACAAGGGGTCCCGGCTTGGCAGGTGCGTGGACTTACCTAGTCCATAGGTATATCCCAAGAGGAATGGTAGGGGTTGTGGCATCGGATGATACCTCAGCGGTGAGAGAGCCCATGGTTGTGTAGATACGGGTAGTTGAAGGCAGGTTAGAGGATCTTCAATGAGACGAGATGGGCAATGCTGCTTTCGGTTTCACGTATAGATCCAATTCATATGGCAGTGAATTAGATTGGATTGGTCTTATATCGGCTAGGTACCGAGGCAAACAGTCGAGTTTTGAGGTCCGCCAAGCAGTGAGGAGTTGGCCAACATGCCGAGTTCCACCCGGAAAGCCACGGAAATACATGTTCATTGGGCAAAATGGTGGCGCATTTTAGCGCTACCTGTACTATTATCACAATCTTGGAACAATTCGAGCTCTGTCAATGCTTGCTTGGCTTGGTAATTAAACCTAGGGTTTTGTCATTCCGGCCGGTTTGCCTGATTCTCTTTGTAGACTTCTGCGGCATCGACGGCAAAGGAAGCATATTCCCCTACCAATGAAGGATAGCAAACCCGTATATTTACCCAAATAGCCTAGGTAGCTAGGAAAACGATTGCCGTTTACACCTCAACCGCAACCTGCCGCTTCGGAATGGTTCCGGCCAACCACGGATATATCTCACTCCGTCGCTTCCCGCTCCATCCCCCACAAACCGGGCATCCCACTCACTCAAGATGGAGCAAATGTCAGCAGAAGCGACACCCGGCGAGACGCGGCCTCTCAAGGAGCCCAAGCGGGCTTACAAAGCGTGCTTCCATTGCCGCAAGTCCAAGGCCAAATGCGAGCTCAGCTCCGATCACAGAGTGTGCGTCAAGTGCGTGAGGGAACATAGGGAGTGCCGCTTTCCGGAACAGAGGTCTGTTAGAGCGAGGAAGCAAAGGACTACTTCGGCATCGGTGAGACGAAGAATCATGCATGTCCATGAGCGCAGCTGAAAATGTGGTGATAGAGCTCCCAATCCGCCAACACCTGTGCTGCAGGCCTCGACTATGCCTCAAGCCAGCTCCCACTCTGTACTCCGGTCAAAGATGTGGCGTCAACCGGGGTGACCCAGACACTTGCCTTCATGCACCAGCCAGACATGTCTTCGCCCATCCGTCAGCCTTCCACCCAGCGAGATCCAGACTTGGGGAGTTCGACTCATGTTCATCAGACAAACACAGCCCTAGACGAAGAGGTTGTAAGAACTGTTGTCTCTTCCTCCAATGACGCCAGAAACGTGTTGTTCAAGGTCGCCAATGAGTATGACACCGATGACCCGGACGACCAACCCGGTTACGCCAACGTCTTGGACGACGTCAGTCTAGCTTCTCCCTTGACCAACAACACCAAAGTCTCCCATCAAGCTCCCCAGGTGGTGGTTCTATCGAATCTCACAAAGGCAGATGCCGAGTTATGGAGTCGTCAGAGGTTCGTCCGTCAGGGCTGGTTTACTGCTCAAGAAGCAATTACCTACATCGATCTGTAAGTCACCAACTCCGACTTGAGGCTGTGTCACTGATTGGCAGTCCAGATTCTTCCAGAACTTATCCTTTCTGTCGCCCATTCTCGATACCTTCTTTGCCGATCACAAAAACCACAAACATCTAATCATCGAGGAGCCTCTCCTGTGCTGCACCTTGTTGATGATCTCTTCGCGTTATCATATTCTCCCAGGTTATGATGGTCCATCTCGAGCCGATTTTATCCACATGAGACTCTGGAAGTATTGCGAGCACTTGATCAACCGCATCACTTTCGGTGCTGAAAAGTACTGCACAGCCCGGACGCGGACATTGTGCAGTATACAGGCTTTACTTCTTATCACGGAATGGCACCCTCGAGCTGTACGGTTCCCTCCGGAAAGCGACGGCTGGGATCACGGTCTAGCTCCCGGCGTCGACGACTCTTACGGTCATCCTCATGGGGTAATCAACCCCAACGCCATCAGATGGCGAGAGGAGGTCTTTGAGCCAGCCAAGAGATCGGATAGGATGAGCTGGTCATTGGTCGGCTTGGCAACTACGTTGGCTCACGAACTCGGCGTCTTTCAAGACACTGGGGATGAGATTGGTGATTCTACAACAGGATCTCAGCCGAGCCGTGCGCTGATTCAGAGACTACTCTTTCTGTACATCCACCAACTAACACTCCGGCTGGGCTGCACAAGCATCTTTCCTCAGACCCTTCAGCTAGCTACATATTTACCCCCGGCCGCGTCCACACCTGAAAGGCGTTTCTATTATGACCGAGAGGTGATGCTTTCGCAGTACATCGGCATAACTAAGTTACTCAAGACCGCTACAGATACTTTCTTTCCAAGCAAGCGAATGGCTAGACAAGTCATCAGAAGTGGCAGATACCTGACGCTACTTGGGCACTTCACCCCACTATTGGACTCGTGGTACAAAGAGTTTACCGACCTCGAATTACCCAGTAGGCTCTGGCCCATTATGAACTTCTCCCTCGGTGCATGTGCTTACATATGTGAAGCTATCTCGGACGCCTCAAAGCAACTTCTACTACTCGAGTACTACTACGCCACTATGTACATCAACTCGGTCGGCATCCAGGCATTTGTCGAAAGAGCCTCACACCGAGATAGCCAGCACATGTTTATGCATGCCAGCGGCATTCATCTCAGCGACTACCCCCAAGATCTAACCTTTAACGACGCCGTCAGAGAGGCCAGCTGCAACATCCTCGCCATCGCCATCAAGCTCGGCGAGAGTGGATGCCTGAGATACTGCCCAGTCCGCCCTCTTTTGAGACTTGTCGTTGCCTCAGTTTTTCTGCTGAAGTCTCTCAGCTTGGGGGTGAGAAATCGCGACATGTTTCGCTCGCTTGACATCCTGGACAAATTTATCATGGCATTAAAGGAGAACCGGCACGATGACGTTCATCTCTCCGTGAGGTATGCCACGCTCATAGCTCGGCTTATCCGGCGGTTCAAGAGAAATCTTCGCACACAGACCAGCCTCAGTGTTTCCAAGGTTGTATCCCCGGAACCTAGGGCAGCTCGTTCATGCAGACAGTCGTTGGGGCTCAATGGTGGACAGAACGGGGTCGCAGACATTATTACTGGGGATATGAGCCTTGGGCAAGGAGATGCTGGCAACTTCTCCAATGACGCTCATCTCAACATGGACGAGTGGTTTGCACAGCCGTTTGATCCATCTTTGGCCCCGTTTGGTTTGGAGCTGGATGCCGGAATGTCAGATCCAGTGCCAGAGTCGTTAGACTTTCTCTGGAATATTCCATATCAGTAATTGTGAAGATGACAGACAATATGATCCCAAGTCGCAATTCCTAATTTTCGTGGTAGAGCCATTACGGGCCTTGATCTCATAGAGCAGTGCCCAGATGGGCAAGTCATGATCGGCTCTGTCTTTAGCTACATGGGAACTAATAGATAGAGATCTATCACTCCTAATATTCTTCTTGCATAGATACAGCGATCTTATTACCTTAGGTTCGGCCTATGAGATTCATTGAGAATTTCGGTTAATGGCACCTGTGTTTGAAATGCTTATTCGGGCTTACAATTACATTTCTATGAAATTCTGCCCAACCACATATCTCTCTGCCTCCGCTGTCTCGGAAGCGACTAGTTCGAACAATCGACTGACAGTCTACGCACTCGTGCCATTCTGGCCTGACTTTTCCCCCCCATTCGTCAAACCATTGGTATCATACTTGTACCTCTCCTCCAATGCCCAGTACTTGTTGAACCCGACTCCATAGCAAACCTCTTCATAGCTTAGAATCTGCTCCGGCTTCCCGATAGAGAAGCTCTTCTTCAACGACTCGAGAGCCTCCCTCGTGCTCCTCAGATGTGCTGCTACGAGCGTCCAGGGATAGGCTACGGTGACCATACCGATGGAAGCAAGATCTTTAGCTGACATGTTCTCGGTGAGACCGCCCTCGATGATGTTTGCGCACAGGGGGCCCTTGACCTCTTTCACGGCACGGATCATTGTGTCTCTGTCGGGAAGAGCCTCGATAAAGACAAGGTCTACGCCGATTTCGAGAAACTTGTTGGCGCGATAGATGGCTTCTTCCCAGCCGTGGGTGTTGTAAGAATCTGTTCGTGCCTGGATGACAATGTCGAGCCCTTCATCTCGGGCATCCACGGCAGCCTTCATACGGGCAAAAGCCTCGCCTCTCGAAACGACAGACTTGCCCTTTGTGTGGCCACACCCTATGGGAAAAGGCTGTTAGCCGAACTGAGATTCATGATGATGTGAGAAGCCGAGTTAGACTTACGCTTCGGCCAAGTCTGGTCCTCGATCATGATGCCAGCAGCACCAGCACGGGCAAAGGATTCCACAGTCCTCTTGACGTTCATGGGCGAGCCATATCCCGTATCGCCGTCTGCCATGACGGGAACTGAGACTTGACGGACGGCCTCTTGAATCTTGTCGCAGACTTCCTGCAGGGCGATGTATCCGGTATCCGGAAGACTAGAGTAGAGGTCCCGTCAGCTGTTATGCGCCGGGCTAAAGAAAAAGAGGGGGAACATACCCATACGAACTTGCCACGGCATATCCAGCAAGGAATACGAAAGGGAACCCAGCCTCTTCAGCAAGACGCGAAGTGAGTCCATCATAAGTGCACACATGAGCAGCGATCTTTGCCGGATCACGATAAGACTCGAGGATCATGGTCCTCATGCGAGATGCCTGGATGGATGGGATCATGCCACGGACATTGGGGAGATGAAGCGTGACGCCCCTCAATTCCCCGGGCTTCCCATTTTGCTCCGTCTTGATGGGGTTGTCGAAGTGGAAGGGGTACTCGTGGGTGTTGACGATGCTGGAAGTCATGACTGCGATGTGTTCACTTGTTCTGATGCTTTGTGTTTGGTCTGAGATGATGTTGTTTGGCCAAGAAACTAATCATCGTAAGTGTCATGTGGAGCTTATATATCCAATACCAGAATGTCTTTGACTCTTTCCTTTGCAGAGACTCCATCTCCGGAGCAGTTCGAGTATATCCGACGCTCAGGAGGCAAAACCGGCCAGGTCCGGATAGTTCAGGAGATAGGAATGCCGACTTCCCCGCAATCCTACCCCTGAGCATGGGGGGCCGGCAGATCAAGTCACAATGATTGCCGAGTTGGCCTTGATCTCAGTGGTCATGATCTTGGTAAACACATGTCATTCCGAGCCCGTTCCGACACTGGTAGCCGTGAATCTCTGGGGTCCGGGTCGCATCCGGTCCCCCGCACGATGGTTCGAGTCGGTCACTTTTAAGCTTATTTTGCTCATGCGCTTCTCGATCCCACCATGACGACGCCAGCGGGGTGCATGAATGGGGTACATGAATCATATGTTACAGGAGGGAAGTTGTGTTGGATCTGTGACAGGTCAGAGGCCGGGTGAGAAGTCGTAATGGAAAGGTAAAAAGGAGACACAAATTTCATGCCATGTGCTCATCCTCTCTTGACGGCAGTCAGTAAATGGAGTGTGAGAGTTATTATAAATTTAAAAACAGGGGCATCCAAATTCTCTCTTTATTGTCATGTATTCTGTCTGATGTCTTATCCAAATACCAACCTAATAGAATCCGTTCAAGGCTTTTCACACTCGGCATAGAGAACAGCCACCACTATAGCAAAAAACCATCAGCAGTATCCATCCAATTCGAACACCAGATTAAGCGCACTATAGTCTTGTACACGTAGATACTGACCAATTGCTTATCCAAGCTAGATAAAGCCGCATTCACAGCCGTCTTTGCTTGGCTACATCCTACGATGGCCATGCCAACACATCTGATCACGTAGCAGCCCTCGGAAACAACAACAAGTTCATTTAACTTCCAGTCGACATGTTTTGATGGAAAATGACGGATGGTGACGGTCAAGAGTTGATTGGATTGAACATCCCGAACTTGTGACCTTGGCGACTTGGCGATCAGTCCATCCGCAAATCCAAGCGTGATTCTTGGCTGCAAACCACCGGTGGCTGTGTCTAAAGCACATTTAGAGTCATGTCCGAGGAATCCTGGCCGAGGGATGTTGTCTAATGATTGCTCCCAGATGTACATCGACCACGAATCTTGAATACGCCCGAGACTTCCCTGGCCGAATATTGAGCCCAGCATTCCGGGGCATACGTAAGACGATATCCGAGGGCAATTCAGGATAGTGGGGGATACTGGCTTGGACGAGTTGGGTAGGAAGCGGGACAATCTTAGATGGACTAGGGGGTTCGCCAGGTTCTCAAAATCCGGGGTAATCCGGGGTGAGGGGTACCTGACTCCTCGGGGCTCTCAGAACTATAAGAAGGCTTGAGAATCAAGGAGGACAGTCGAGAAGCAAGATTCAGCTCACCCAGTTCTCTCTCCCCAATCTACTTTATCACCTATCCATTCCAACTCAAGCCATGGCGCACCAAGCCCATGATACCGCTCGCAACCTGGCACATACTGCCTCTCGTGAGGGTGAGAAGCCGCAGTGCGTCCACGAAGAACTCAAGCACCATGACCTTGAGGGAGACACTAGGAGCTATGCTACTACGGCTCCCAAGACGTCTCCAGCTGAGATCAAACTTGTGCGAAAACTCGACTGGGTCATCTTACCTACCCTTTGGATCATGTACGTATGCCCATGTTCCAGGGAGGCAAAACTGACTGTAGTGAGGTACTGGTTCAACTATCTCGATCGGAACGCAATCACGGTTGCCCGCCTTGACGGTCTCGAGGAGGAACTCAACTTGACGTCGACTCAGTATCAAACCTCGGTAGCCATCCTTTTTGTCGGATACATTCTCGGCCAGGTGCCCAGCAGTAAGGACTCAAGCTCAACTTCACGCCAGAGACCACTGTATACTGACACCCATAGATATGCTCATCACTCGGGTCCGACCGTCCCTATTCATGGCATCCTTCATGGCTCTTTGGGCCGTCGTCAGTACCCTCACGGCCATAGCCAAGGATTTCAAAGGGCTGCTTCTCACCCGTTTCTTCCTCGGCGTTGTCGAAGCTCCTTTCTATCCCGGCGCACTTTATATGGTATCTATGTTCTACAATAGGAACGAAATCGCAACGAGGATTTCTATCCTCTTCACTGCGAATATTTGCGGTACCGCATTCGCTGGACTCATCGCGATTGGCGTTTTCAAGATGAGCGGTATCGCTGGTCTCGCAGGATGGAGGTGGTTATTCATCCTCCAAGGTATCATCACCTTTATCGTGTCTATTATTTCCATTTTCATCTTGCCGGACGAGCCTCAAAACACTCGGTGGTTATCCCAAGAGGAACGCGATCTTGCAGCTTCTCGCATTGCTGAGGATACGGTCCGTCTCAAGGCCAACACCAGCACTTGGGCCGGTCTCGTCGAGGCACTACGTGACCCAAACCTCTGGGTTCTAATCTTCATCCAACATCTACACCTGGCCACCAGCAATTTCAAGAATTTTTTCCCCACTATTGTCGAAACTCTAGGGTTCTCTAGGAACGTTACGCTCGCACTAACGTGCCCCCCTTACCTCGTGTCTGGTGTCATCTCCATCGCCTGGGCAGCGAGCTCCGGTTAGTTATTACCCGGAACGCCTTTGAAACAAGCTAACCAGGTTAGGACACTTCAATGAAAGGGTCTGGCACATTACAGCTTCAAAGTGCGTTGCTGTGCTCGGATTCGTGCTTGCTTGTACAACTCTAAACATTGGGGCTCGTTACTTTGCCATGTGTACATTTGCAACAGGAGTTTACTCTGCGAATAGTATCATTCTTGGTTGGGTATCGACAACTTGTGGGCAGACCAGGGAGAAGAAGGCAATCTCTCTGGCTATTGTCAATGCCATTGCGTCCATCTCTGCCATCTACGGTCCAGTAAGACGTCCCACTCTCAGGGTCAAGTTTCTTTATAACCAACTTCTTTAGTATCTCTGGCCAAAGTCGAACGCGCCCCGGTATACCATTCCTATGCTTGCGAGTGCTGCCTTTTCCATCGGAGCTGTTTTTCTGGCCTGGCTTCTACGGTGGATGCTTGTCAGGGCAAACAAGAAACTCCTTCAGCAATCTGGAGACAACCGCCCTAACCTGTACCCTTACTAGCAGCATGAATTACTTCAGGGGCGTGTCCAAGTTGACAGCCACTTTCTTTCAGCTGTTGTCCCAGACGCGCGTCTAATATGAAGTGGAGGAGGAGTGACATTCTCAAGATGGGTCCCTCCCTAGCCATTTGGAGGATGGTACAGCTCGGTTAGAATTAATGGCAGTTGTATGAATTCCCCTGAATCAACGTCATTGTGAAAAAATGCAACTTTGAGAATCATCTTGACTCAACACCAGTTGCTTTTTTGACACTCCGAATACCGAGGTTTAGCTCATGATGTCATCGCTATACAGAGGCGATCGCTAAAACGGTAATAATTACGAGCCTAACGCGGGAGGCCTTCCAGCCACGACTGCACAGCCACTCGCGATGGGCTGGACAGGGGTAAATCTACCTTTGGCGATGGCGATCTACCATTCCAGCGCGAGATGACGAGAGGAGGATCCTCCCTGGGCAGCACCGTTGGTGTCGCATCCAGAGACAGCCACGATAATATCGCTTTCAATAGATGGACCCGACAGGGAGGTTAAAGTTGTTTCGCCCAGGGGGCACAGGCCACAGACACCTCACCTCATTCATGCCCGGGCCATCCACGCCGAGATTGATCGATGTGATGATGACCATGGCCCCCCTGTAAGATAAGGATAAGTCTTCCCAAAGGAGAATCCCGACCGTGAATCCTGGGCTTCAGCTCTCGAACATGTCCGAGGGTGGGCTTCAGCTTGCTGTATTTGGTGATGCTTGCGTGCGGCAACGCCGTTTGAGGCGCAGCAGCAGCAGAAGAGTCAGGCTCTGGTGACGTCTTTTTGTGAATGATTGACAGATGATGAAATGTGTGTTCTTGGCCTTCCCCCATTGTCTTGCCGTGTCTCTCTCGCCTTGACTCGCACATGCGACATCAGACCATCAAGGAGCCACAAAAGCAACTCGTAGCGCGGGATCGTCGACGAGGACGTGTCTGTGTGAGATTCTGATCCGCGGGAAAATGGCGTCGTTTTGTGCCTATCCCAGAGTCTAGACCACAGAAGGCCTTGTTTGCACAATTGTCACCTCCTCACCCGTCTCCATGGAGATTTGGATTGGATTGGACCCTGGTTTTTCTCGTTATCCAGGGCTGCAGCCTGCATGAAGGGCAAAAGATGATGATTGGCGTCTTTGCAGGGGACACGGAATGGCTTACCGGGCATGGCGACCCTGCGACCCCTGCTTTTTTTCTCATCCGGGTTGATTTTTTAGCTGATTTTGATCATCGCGAATCACATTTCAACAACGCTCAACGCCTCCTCTCGCCCAATTTCCCTACTTCTCCATCAACATCCACCATTCACACCCTTTTTCTTTTTTTCGTTCCCTTTACCCAAGATCGGGTACGTTTGGTTTTCCCCATCTTTTTGACTTTCTCCCGCTTTCCGCACCTGCCAAGACATTTGCTCAACGGGCCACCCTCCCAATCACAATCACAAGCGGGAGGCCTTGCCCTGCCCTGGTCAACCAACGGACGAGGGGATTCCGGGACATTTCTCCATGGATCGGATCGAGCTCACCTGCAGTTCAGTCCCGGCCCAACTAATTTAATGCCCCGCGAGCCCCTGTTTTTAACGGCTTACCTGCCCACACACACCTACAAAACTCCCCTTGGCACTTGAAGGTGCCCGCAGTGCAGTGCAGTCGCGCTAAACGTGTCGGGTCCTGAGGTGTCAAGAAGTCCGCCGCCCGCTCCTGCCAACGAACCAACAAGGCTCCATCTCTCAGAAACATCCCATCCCACTCGGACATTGACTTGACACTCATCACGACGTCACCTTCAACTACGCACGACCAAAGCGTTTCCTGCCTCTCGTAGGCATCCAAGCTATGCTTGGCTCTCTCGCTGTTCTCGCGACCTGACAATGCCGTGCCGCAATCGTCGACTGTCGCTGCGAGCCATCATCACCAATCGCTCCATCAACCTCATTTCTAGACCGTCGGATCCTGCTCTCGCCGGTCCGACAGTATCATCATGACCGAAAGTTGGGCCGCCCTCTTTGCCAGGACGACGGACTTTCAGTTCGGTGTTGTGCGTCTCATCCATTGCTTCACCCATCGTCGTGTCTAACTTCTCCTAGGAAGGCGATGATTCTCGTGTCGGCTCTACCAGAAATGGTAGCAGCGGAGGCACCCTCAGTGCCAACAGCAACGAAAAGTCATCCTCCCTGCAATCCCTCGGGGCTACCTTTATTCCCGTTCTCATCTATTCCGCCTTGTGCTTGCTCTTCTTCTGCTGCTTTCGCCGGAAATGTGGTCGAGTCTATGCTCCTCGGACAATGCCCAGTCTGAGATCACCACAGTACGAAACCCTGGACTCATTTTATATAGCCTACTGACTGTCGATAGCCGGGCAACTCCAATTCTCCCCGATGGTTGGTTCAACTGGGTCGTACCCTTCTTCAAGATCCCAGATACCTTCATCCTTAACCATAGCTCCCTTGATGGCTTCTTCTTTCTGCGCTACCTCAGGGTCTTGCGCAACATCTTCCTCGTCGGCATCTGCATTACATGGCCTATCCTTTTTGCCGTCCACGTCACAGGCCACAACGGCGTCGAACAACTTGATCTTTTGACCATTGGCAACATCAAGGACCCCAGGCGCATGTGGGCACACGTCGTCGTCGCATGGCTATTCTTTGGTAAGTGATAGACGATACTTACTCGGCCAAACAGTCCAGTCACGAGAATATCGAGTCTAACCAATGCAGGCTTTGTCCTCTTCACTATCAGCCGAGAGTGTATCTACTACGTCGGCATCCGCCAGGCCTTTCTCTCTTCACCTCACTATGCCAAGCGTCTATCATCCAGAACCCTCCTGGTCACATCCATACCCGAACGCTATCTCGACGAAGCTCGTATCCGGAAGCTCTACGGCGACTCGGTTAAGCGCGTATGGATCCCCCGAACAGCAAAGGCCCTCATCAAGCTCGTGGAAGAGAGGGAACAGACTGCACTACGACTGGAAAAGGCCGAGATCACCCTCATCAAAAAGGCCAACATGGCCCGCAAGAAGCAGATGAAAATCCAACCACCGACCACTTCTTCTTCTGCCGAACCATGCGCTGCACCCTCCAATTCCTCCATCAGGACAGAAACCGACAGCGAGCGGCCTCGATCTAGTGGGCCTCGTGTCGAGATTACCGAAAATGACAGCAACCAGAACGAGAATGGCCAAGACCAAGGTTTCAAATCTGACCTGACACAAGTGTCTCAGACCGACACACACGACTTGCTCGAAAAGTCGGCTGAAGATCCCGAGTATGTCCACCCGTACGGACTCAACCCAGACCTCCCCGATGTCCGTGGATCCGTGGCTGCACAGTGGATTCCAGTCACAGTCCGGCCCCATCACCGACCCCTTCACAACTTTTTTCGGCGTGTCGATACCATTCGGTGGTGCCGTAAGCGACTCAAGGAGCTCAACCTCGAGATCTTCAAACTACGCCGTCAGGTTCGCCGAGGAGATGGTACGACTCTGCCCGCCGCCTTTATCGAGTTCGATACTCAGGAGAGCGCCCAGGCCGCCCACCAAGTAGTGGCTCACCATCGACCTTTGCAGCTCGCACCGCGTATTTTGGGTGTCCGTCCCGATGAAGTCGTCTGGAGCTCGCTGAGGATGCGTTGGTGGGAACGAATCATTCGCCGATTTCTTATTATGGGCCTGGTTACAACCGCCATCATCTTTTGGTCCATTCCGTCCGCTTTTATCGGTATCATCTCCAACATCAAGTTCCTCACCACCATTCCCTTCCTCACGTGGATCAACCTACTGCCCGGTGCCGTTACTGGCTTTCTCCAGGGTTTCCTGCCCGCCATCGCGCTGTCATTCTGGATGTCGTTGGTCCCTGCGATGCTTAGATGTATGTTTTGTGTCCCCCGTGATAATCCCCTTCTAACTTGTGCAGTCTGCGGTATCAGGGCTGGTATTCCGTCTATGGTGTTGGTCGAATTGTTTACACAAGAGGTCTACTTTGCATTCCAGATCGTGCAGGTCTTTTTGATCACGACTCTTACATCGGCGGCCTCGGCAACCGTCATGACCATCATCAAAGAGCCGTTGAAGACACCTGATCTCCTCGCCGAGAATCTCCCCAAGGCGTCCAACTTTTACCTTTCGTATATCCTCGTTCAGTGCCTGGCCATTGGCGCAACTGGTCTGCTACATATCTTTGAACTAATTCGGCATTATGCCTTTGCGAGACTCTCGCAGATTCCGAGGGCTCGTTTCAATGTCTGGTATAAACTGCAGCCTCCTAAATGGGGTGGTGTGTACCCTATTTACACCAACATGGCCGTCATCGGTAAGTATTGGCTCCAGCACTATCTCACAGGGACGTGACTGACTCTGGCAGCCCTTTCTTACACATGCATTGCGCCTCTAATCCTCATCTTTGCCTGTGCCGGAATGACATTTGTGCGCATCATTTATCGATACAACATTCTCTACGTCTTCGACTCGGAGATGGACAGCCTGGGTTTGTTTTATCCGAACGCCCTGATCCATCTCATCGTCGGATTGTACTTGGCCGAGATCTGCATGATTGGACTCTTCGCCCTCAAGTTGGCGTTCCCGCCCATGGTCATGATGCTCATCTTCCTCATCATCACCGGCCTTGTTCATCTATCCCTCCGCGATTCGATCTCGCCGCTACTCAAGAATCTCCCGCAGACGCTGTCATTGGAGGAGGAGCTGCAGCAGGAAGAGAAGGCGGCGGCAGAGGCCAAACTACAAGAGGCTGCCGAGACAGGCCAGGCCGGTACGGGTACGGCTGCCAGCTATTTCGACACAGAGCAGAACTTTGGCGAAGAAGAGATGGAAGACGCCCCGAGCGAGGACGAGGACGACCATACACACGAGGGACCCCAAAGCTCAAGAGCAGTTGAAGGAGCAGGTGGCCTCAAGTTGCTGACGGCCGAATGGATCAAGTCAATGACAAAGGAGAAGTTAAAGTCGGAGGCGGAACAGGCTGAGCAGGGTCCCGTCATGAAGTTTCTAAACAAGTGGATTCTGGTGGGACGTAATGAGTCGTCCGAGTCCGATGAGCCTCCGACGTTTATGAAGCGATTCTTCCACCCCGAGATTTACGAAGACTTTATCGCCCTGCGAAAGCTGATTCACGTCGATGATCAGCCCGAGTTTGACTACGAGGTGGACGAAAAGCTGTCCAACTATTGGCCACCCGAGCTCTGGAGGCCCAAACCTGTGTTGTGGATCCCACGAGATGACGCCCGCGTTAGTCGACAAGAGGTGGCACACACGAGAAAGATTACACCCATCACGGACGTGGGCGTGGGTTTGAATGAAAAGGGACTGGTTGTGGTGGATGTCGAGGCAGCGCCGTTCCCAAGGCTGAGGCTGCTGCACTAATCAATCGATCGTACATGATGTAATTTATGATGGAGCTTGTCACGATACCCTCTTTGGCATATAAGCGTTGTTTAGTTGCTATAATTACAGAAGCGCCGATGGGTGCGTTGTGTTGAGACCTTGTGTGTCTGGTGAACTGGAGATCTCGGAGTAGTAGGCCTCGTCATTAGGTTCACGTCCTAGAAAGTTGGTGAGACTCTTGAGCTCTGGTTGACTGCCTCCAGGTTGCAGGACGAGCTGGCGATACTTAAGACCGGCAGCCTTGTCCATGGGGTTTGTTTTGAATGCGCTGACCCAGAGATCTGTGGCGTAGACTTTGGACCTGCGACTGTGAGTACATGAGGTGAATGCCTGAGGATGTGGGAGCTTACAGGGCATAGGTAAAGTATGCAGCATCGTAGCCTCTAAATGGATGGGCAAATGACGCCTGGCCAATGCTGTCTTCTCTCCATAGACCCATGATTTCCGACTTGCTCTTATTCCAGAGCTCGGTAGTGTCCACAGGATGACCCTCCTCCGCACTGTGAATGGTAAGATCAAACAGCGCAAGAAAGACTTGATGCAGCATCGCATGCGCTCCATTGACATGCTTGGTCCTCGCGAGATCCAACGCCAACTTTTCTGGCAGCGTCTCACTCGGCCTCTCACGTTCACCTTTCTGATTGTCCCAGAATGCCAGGCCTTCGTCATTGAGAAAGCTATAGTGACGACCCAGACGACGCAGGACTGACGGAACCCAGATCCAGCTCTCGAGGAGGATGCTTGGGATCTCGACAAAGTCGCGGGCGCAGCCGTGTTGATGCGCCGTGCGTGTTACGAGCTTGTGGATGGCGTGACCGAGCTCGTGGAACATTGTCTTGAGCTCCGAGTGCATAAGGAGCGTTGGACGGGAGGGTGTGTGGATGAGGGATGTTACGAGAGAAGAGGAAGGGTAGTGACGCGTGTTTTCGGGAGTTGTGAAGCCCTGGAGATGTTAGTAAGAGATGTGTATGAGATGGGTGTACTTACTGGTTGGATGAGGGAACTATGAGCACCAGAGTATTTACCCTCTCGAGCATAGAGGTCAAGATATAGATATCCCAAGAATCCTCCACCCTGCTCCTCCGAATCCCACGCTTCATACACGGTGACATCCTTCTGCCACGTCGGCGCATCAGTGGGGATAAACACCATGCCAAATAACTCCTCAAAGATCCCCAGCATGCCCTTGAGACTGTGGTTGACTTCAAAGTACTCGGAGATGAGGAGTGAATCAACAGAGTATCGCTCTTTTTCGAGGATTCGTGCGTAAAAGGCCCAGTCCCATGCGTTGAGTCTTGAAGCATCTTCCAGGTCTTCATCGGTGCCGTGGTCTTTGATGTACGTCTTTTTGATCGCGTATAGTGTCTTCATTTCTTCTTCGGCTAGTGGTTTGAGCTCGGTTCTGAGTCTTTCGAGTCTTGCAATGACGCTTTCGACGCTCTTTGCCATTTTATCTTCCATTTTAAGAGCGGCGTGTGTCTTGAAGCCTAGCATTCTCGCTGTGCTGTTGCGTAGGTCTACAGCTCTCTCGAGTCGCGCCACGTTCTCGGGGAAGCGCTGCTCCTTTGCCGTGAGAAGAGCCTTGCGTGTACGAGGACTGATAGCATGTTTCATGACGGAGATGAGATGGCCCTTTTTGAATGTGACTTTGAGCTTTGTGCCGTCTTCATTGAGGGCCATGGCATCCAGGATATTGGGAGGGACACCAGCGAGCTCATCACGCGTAAAGTAGATACCCCCGTCATCTTCGCTGATGGTTTTCCGTGCTGCGACAAGGACTTGGTTACGTTCTTCAACAGCTTCCATATACTTTTCCCTCAGAGCTTCATCCTGGATGCCTGCGCCTGTGTTTTGATACACACGGTGTGTCTTGAAGAGCGTGTACGCCGACTCATCGTCCAACGCTTCTTCACCGCGTTGATGTTTCTCGTATACGGCTTTTACGAGGGAAGCGACATCTCTGCGCATAAGACCTTCGGCGTTGGCTTTGAGGGTCATCTCTTCGACCTTACGGGACGCGTCGCGAAGGTCTTTGTCTTCGGAGACGGAGCTGAAGAGACGGGCGATGAGGCTGGACTTGGATACATGGTGATCATGATGCAGAATGGGAAGGAGGAGGTTAGAAAAGGTGGCGGTAGAGGGTGTGAGTGCTGAGACGAGGGTGTCTTCAAGGGCGGTTGTGGATGAGATGTTGGAAGATGTCTCGGCGAGGAGAGCCGAGGGTGTCGTCGTGAAGGAGGGTGGTGACTGAGGCGGTTTCATTGCGGAGGATAAGATGCGGGGGATCACGTGTTGGAAACGGGGAAGTGAGCGAAGCATGAGATGAGATTGAAATGTTGAGGTAGGTGAGGCTGATGATGTCAGGGTAAAAGCGGAGAGAGGGAGTGGGTCTTGGTGTTTCAGCCACTTTGAGGGAAACAATGCAATCAATTACTTCTACTCATGCTCAAGATACTTTAAACCCTCCTGTTCTCCTAAACACTTGATTCGAACCATAGTCAGCAGCCATGTCCCTCGCAAACTACTGCCCCGGCAACCTCAACCACTGATAAGTGAGGGTATAGAACGCGTGCGGGTGTCCTCCGACCTAGCAGCGGTTGAATGGTAGGTCATGCGTTCCTCTTGGTACTCTTTATCCATGGGCATGGATGTTTCTATCGTCGTGGTGTTTTTGATGGAACCGCAGACATCTTTGTTGTAGTCTGGTAACATGCGTTATGGGATCCTTTGGGCGTGGGATGACTGCAACGAGCAGGGTCGCCAACAGGGGGGAGACGCATCGTGGGAATTTCGGGTGATCATGTTAGATTGTGATTTTCTTCTTTCGTTATTGTAGCCTTTTGATCTTTATCAACGGTTCTTTTTATTGGCTTTTGGCGTTGTGTGGTGAAATGTGGGACAAACTTTGAGATTTTGTACGTGTGTAGGGTAGGAGACGAGGCGTTCACGAGATGAAGAATGATACAGGTCGTTAAACACGGGGAATGGGCAGAACTATAAAGAGAAAGTTTTTGGTTAATTAGAATGCTCTTTTAAATATACATGAGAGGTATTAGTAGTCGCGGTACCTTCGGCTTTTCGGACGAAGCTATGCAAGGTCGATGGGTAGGAAGCCCGGTCATGGCGACTCCACATCGTCATGGCACAGTTCTGCTTGTGAAGTCTTCAAAGTGATGGCATCCAGGTTCCGTTTAAACATCATTCTTGGCTATGGTTAATGTATATTCTCTTGGAAACGACTTGAGGAGGCAGCTTATGCGAAATGAGTGATTTTTTCTTCATACTACTTCGCTTCAACCTGGTATCTACACAACGCCCCTCAACACCTCAACTACAGTCACTTCACCCAACTCCAATCACCCCAAAACCACTTTACAACCATCTACTCCATAACCAGCACGTTCCTGAATCGGGGTTTTCCAGCAATCAGACTGTCAACTGCGTCTTGAACCTTCTCAAACGGATACCTCTCAATCATGCACTTGACACCGTGTGTCATGGCGAACCGGATAGCCTGCTCGCTGTCGATGGCGTGACCGCTGGGCCAGCCAGTAACACTCGCTCCCTTGGCGACAAGAGCTACACTGTCAATCTCGACAGGTCCGACAGGCGCAAGACTCAGCAACTTTCCCTCGGGTGCGAGAGCTCCGACAAGAGGTGTGATGGCCTTGGGGTTGGGTGCCGTTTGGACAATGATGGAGGCTCCGCCGAGCTTGTTCAATTCAGCTGTCACATCCGACTTCTTTGTGTTGATGTAATGGCTGGCCCCGAGCTCCTTTGCGAATTGGGCCTTGTCGTCGCCTGAGGAGAGCACGGCGACTTCGTAGCCCATCTTGCTGGCGTACTGAACTGCGAGATGGCCGAGACCTCCGAGACCCTGCACAGCAACGAGGGCACCCTGCTCAACGTGGAGCTTGCGCATTCCGTTAAAGACGGTCACACCGGCGCACAGTAGGGGAGCTGCCTCGGCGGGATCAATCTCCTTGGGGACGCGCACGACGGCTTCAGCGCGGAGAAGAACGTACTCGGCGAAGCCTCCGTCGCGGCTTACACCGTTGACAGCCTTGTTGTTGCACATCTGGAATTGAGCCTTCTGGCACTGCCGACAGGTCTGATCATGTCCACCGTGCCAAGGACCACCAACACGATCTCCATCCTGGAAACCTGTCACGCCCTCGCCAATCTGGACGACATTGCCGACAATTTCGTGGCCGGGGACTCGGGGGAAGACATCGCCCATGTGGCCCGTTGCGACGCCTACATCGGAGAAGCAGACACCGCAGGCGAGGACCTTGACGAGAATCTCACCTCGGGAGGGTTGCTTGAGGGGAACCTCTTGGAGGGTGAAGGGGGCGTTGGCCTTTTCGAGGACACAGGCCTTGTAGGTCTTGGGAAGAGAAGACATGATGAAGTTAGATCAATTGGGTTGAGGTTTATTTGATCAATTGATGGACGAAGCTTGATGCTCAATAGTGAATGATATACAACCTTACCATCGGGGAAAGCCCATATCTTTTATATCAACCAGACGCAACCATAATCATATCACAACATAACCACACCCACCAACCAGACACAGAATAATAATCAAGCTGTCTGAAACTTTCGGGTTCAATCACCGCAAAACTCCGGTCCCCCTCACTCCCCCAGATCCGGAATTATGGCGTTCCAATCGTCACCGACGAGCGGCCGAAGAGTGTGACATCACAATGTCGACAAAGTCCGATCGGTCGGTTGCTCCCGCTAGCGTTCGGAGATCAGAGCTTGGGTGCCAAGAGCCGGGATGAGGCTTCGGATTTGTTCAAGGGGAGATGTTCCAAAGCCGTGGAGTTGATCCGACGGTTTATCCGGCATATGAGCCACACACAGCCACTGATGCCACAGCACTACCTAGCCATAGCACCAGCCACAGGCATCTACCAAAGAAATTTCCCCCACCATAAACTTCAGCCTTTCGTTTGGCGATCACTCAAAAGCACCTTTTGCACAAACAATAAACAATGCCTCTCGACACGTCAACATATTCATTAGCCCTACTACGCGTAGACGGCCGTCGCTGGAACGAACTCCGCCGTCTCAATGCCCAGATCCGCACCCAAGATGCCGCAGACGGTTCATCATACCTCGAGATGGGCCATACAAAAGTCATGTGCGTCGTGACAGGTCCGTCAGAGCAGGGACAGCAGCAGCGACGTGTTCAGACGGCGCAGAGGGATGTCGCGGCTATTAATGTGAATGTGGTTACTGCTGGGTTTTCGAGCGTGGATCGCAAGAAGAGAGGGCGCAACGACAAGTGAGTTGTAAATATGATGCTAAAGGTATCTCTGCTAATTGGTTACAGGCGCACTCAAGAGATTGAAGTCACAATTGCGAATGCATTCGCCTCGAACCTGCACACGCATCTGTTCCCCCACTCTTCAATCACAATCTCCCTCCACGTCCTCTCCCAAGACGGCTCCCTCCTCGCCGCCCTCCTCAACGCGACGACCCTCGCCCTCATCGACGCCGGTATCCCCATGACGGACTACATCGCCGCCTGCACAGCTGGTTCAACCTCTACGTACGCTGCGGGCGACGACTCGGCGGATCCTCTGCTGGACCTTAACAACCAAGAGGAGCAGGAACTGCCGTTTCTTACCGTTGCGACGTTGGGAGGTAGTGATCGCGTGGCTGCGCTGGTCTGCGAGAGTCGCGTGCAGGTTAGCCGTCTAGAGGGAATGTTGGTAGTAGGCGTGGATGGATGTAAACAAGTGAAGCAGTTCCTGGATCAGGTGGTGAAGGACAAGGGCGCCGAGATGGTCAGGGAGGGAGCGGCAGAGAGGAGCGACGCTATGGACGTCATGTTGGATGAATAGATTTGATACCTGGGTGGTTTTTATTTGGTTCAGGCAAATATCCATGGATATATCGGAGTTTTTTGTGTTTGATAGGTATGGTATACAGGTTTGTCTCCGCCTTTGAGTAAAAAACCATAGTGTCACAAAGCTAATGCCTACATTTTTCAAGATACCCAACCCCTTTACAGCTCCTCGTGCACAATCTTTTGCTCCTTGGGTTCAGCCTCAGCCTCAGGCTTCTTGGTCTCTGGCTCAGTCTCAGCTTCAACCTCAGGCTCGGCCTCGGGCTTAGCCTCAGTTTCGGCTTCCTTCGCGGCCTCAGCCTTGGTCTCCTCCTCGGTCTCGACCTCGGCCTCCTTGATAGTCTCAGCCTGCTCAGGGGCTTCGGTCTCAACTTCGGGCTCAGGGTCGGTAGCTTGAGTGGCCTCCTCCTTGGCGCCCTCGGCCTTGGGCTCAGCGTTAAAGTCCTCGGGGAGCTTCTTCTTGGCACCCTCGCCCATGCGGATGGTGTCAACCCAGTTCTCGACACTGTGGAGGCTAAAGTCGCCCTGGTACTGACGCCACCAGTTTCGGCGTGTGTTGATGGCGATCAGGTTGACCTCATCGCTAAGACCAAGAGCCTTGGGCACAGTCGAAGCAGCTTCGCTATCGCTGGGAATGGAGATGATGGGGAAGGTGTGTCGTCCGCCGTGGACATACTTGGTGTTGAGATGAGACAGGGAGTCAACAGCCTTCTCGCCAGCCTCTCCGGGAGTGAAAACAAGGATGCAAGTGTGGGACTTGGGGGCGAGGCATTCCTCGGTGAGCTTCTCAAGCGAAGTGATGGTGTCGATGGGAACGATGGAGGGGATGGCAGACTCAGCTGCCTCGGAAGCGGACTCGGGCTCAGCGGTGGGCTCCTCCTTGACAGTCTCGGTCGACTTGCTCTTCTTGCTCTTGGCTCCGTTGCTCTTAGCCTTGGAAGCCTTGCCATTGTCGGGAGCAGGGTCAGGGTTAGGCTGAGCAGCCTGAGAGAGGAACTTGACCATGTCCTTTTTGACGAGCTCTCCGTTGTAGAGGATAGGCTCTTGGCCGTCACCTGGGACGAGGACAAGAGTCGGGAAATCCTTAATGCCAAACTTCTCAACCGCAGCCTTCTCCTTATCACGAATCTGGGCCACAGAAATGACATCGAGGAACTCAATGGCGATACTTCGGATGAGAGCGCTGGTGGTTCCCTTCTTGGTGAACAGGATAGCCTTGGGCTTATCACCACCCAAGAAAGAATCCAGATCCTTGTCGCTCACTCGGGTGACATGGTTGTTGATCTTGCTCGAGACAGCCTCGCTGATGGCACCGGCAGTTCGCTGGCCCTGGTAGTCCTCGACAACAGGCTTTCCGTACTTCTTACCAGGACGAACAATCTTGAGAGTAGGGAAACCCTGGACGCCCATGGAGCCACAGAATGGCTTGTTAGCGTCATCATCGCAGTCAATGGCCGCGACCTTGGCGAGACCCTCAAGGTTCTTGGCAGCCTTTTCGTAGGCGGGCTTGAGGTTCTGACAGTGGCCACACCAAGGGGCGTAGAACTCGACGATCTGATTTGTCAGCGATGAGTATAGGTATCTGTGAATAGAAACATACCGAAGTGTAGTTGGACTTGGCAATGAGCTTATCATAAGTCTTTGCGTTCAACTGCAAAACAGGCGAGTTCTTGGTGTAGATGGCAGCGTCAGCCGCAGGCAGAGCCGCCAGCGCTGCCGTCAACGTCACCAGCAGAGAAGAGGTGGGGTTATGCATGACGAATGTTGAATCAGACGACGAGATTCAATAAAAGGAGAAACTTGGGATAAAAAAGATTAAATAGAGGAGAAGAATCTCTTTGTGCTCCAAGGTCAAGACCGAGGCCAGGTCAGCATCTGTTGTTTGTTCGTCGAATGCAAAGTGGCATCTTCGGAATGTCCAAAGAAAGAAAAAGCCACCTGGTGCCACAGTGCAATGTGAAGCTGGGGTATGTGGGCATATGATTGGTTGGTGGACAGCTCAAGCCACCTGTGGCGTGAGCTGCTAAACCTGGGGAACCGTGTGGCGCAGCACCAGCCACCGTTTACGTCAAGTTGGGCAGGCAGCCAAGAGAGGAGGAGGTGGTGGGGTGAAGTTGGACTTGACATTACTTGCGCCATCGCGATTGTTGCGGTGAAATCTCCCAGGACGAGGGTAATTACTACTCTTATAATTCATTCTATACTGTTTCGAACGTCTAGGGGATCGATATCGACATCATGGCGCAACCTCTTCCAGCCGCGCTCAAGATCCCCGAGGTCAGTCGCTTTATCAACCGCGCAAATCAGCTGAGGAACCACAAGCCCGCCATCTCATACTGGTGTAGGCACCACTGGAACAAATGAAGTGAAGAGATTGCTAACATGAGATTCCAGGTGAATACCATGCCGTCAATCAGATCGTGGGAAAGGGGCTACACAATACAGACGACGAGACCTTTGAGTTCACAAAGACCCTCATCGAACGTCTAGAGTCCACAAAAACAGAGCGCGCCGACGACGACGCCATTGTCGACAATGTAGCAGGTCAGGCATACGTCGAGCAGTTTGCCAACGATACATTCGACCGCGCTGATCGAACCCTCCGAGCCAACAAAGTAACAAGGTAAGCGCATCATCATACCTCTTGACCTTCATCTCTGACCGGCCACAGACAGACTGCTGATACATTCGACGCCGCCGCCACCTTCTTCGATCTCACTCGCGAGTGGGGCGAACCCGACCCCGAGGTCCTGCAAAAGATAAAGTTCGCCAAATGGAACGCCGCTCGTATCTTCAAGGCCGTACGTGAGGGCAAGGATCCGAACGAGTCGAACCCGAAGGCCCCTGAGCCTGAAGCGGCGCCGGCGCTGGACCCGTCTGACCCCGATGTGCAGCTGCTCACGGGACCGCCTCCGGCGTCGGTGGAGGACGCGCCGGACGCGGGGGAGCCGCCCAGTGTTCCCACCTTCACGGATGCGCCGCCAGAGATTCCTGACCCGGGATACTTCCCTCCTCAGCCGCACCCTGATGCGAGGGCGCCGGAACCATTCGTTCCCTCTCCACTGAGCCAGAGTCCAACGCCTGGTCTCACGGGGGTTCCTCCTCCACCTCCTGCGGCGCCAGCGGGCATCTCCCCCGTGCCCGACATCCCTCCTCCTCAGCCAGCGACGCAGATCCCTCCCCAACCATCGCCTCAGATTCCCACCAAACTTCCCTCCCAGTATGCGCCCCCTCCTCCACAGCCTTCGTCCGGTTCGTCTGCACCTCCCTCCTGGTCCACGACCCCGAGCGTGCCCCATCCGGCCGCTTCGAACCCTCCTCCAGCGATCCCTCAAGCGCCCGCTCCTCAGGCGTACGTGCCGGCTCCAGCTCCAATTCCTGCGCCAGTGCCTGCCCCTGTGCCGGCGCAAAGCATGGGCGGCTTTACGGCGGATCATAGGGATATCAACCAGGCGCAGAAGCATGCCAAATGGGCGATATCGGCCTTGAACTTTGAAGATGTTCCAACGGCGATAAAGGAGCTGCGGAATGCGCTTGCTCTTCTAGGAGCGCAATGAGTAGTTTAGCGTAGTGAGGTTAGTATTGGTCATGATGAGACTTGCATCTAGAACGAGGCGGACGATACCACACGTTGGGATGGGACAGGCCATTCATAGGAAGTTTCAGAGTCGAACATTGTAGAACAGAGGTGGACGAATCCAAGTGCTATCTGATTGCATAAACCCAATATCAAAAGACCCTTTGTACTCGTTACTATCGTGAAATCATTGGCACGAATGCAAACACTCGGTAAAAGCTAGGCCAGAGCCATCAACCCGTGCGACTCGTAGCCGGGATGTGGAAAGCCTTCCGGGAACACTGCCGCCGGAATATCTTGGTCGTCCTCCAAGTTATCAGTCCATCCCCTCTCAGGGCCCCATTCAATAGCGCAACCAAACTGTGTAACGGCCTCCATGAGGCCTTGCATCATGGCACCAGACCGCTTAACGCTGGTCCAGCCATCGAATTCAACTGTATCAACAGAGGGCAGCTCCCCCAGGACATCAGTTAGGAGGTTCACACTGAACCCCTCGTAGAATCCATCCGAGCGGCGGAATCCCCTAATTGCACTGTCGCTCGGATCGATTTCGACAAACACCTTGAGCCGCTGGACGTCGACACAATCTGAGAGGCCGAGCGCCGGGTTGACCACCCACCCCTTGGGCGGCGCATTCCACCCGGGGCCAAGGCGCAATTCGAGAGATGTGATGCACTGACGTTGTCGCGGCTTCAACCTCGCTAGTAGAGGCTTTTTGCTCTTGAAGTAGCGGCCGGGAAAGGTAGGGAATAGGCGAAAGGTGCGCGTGCTGTAAAAGGCAAATGTTGCCTCATCATGAACCTGTCTGCATACTCTCATGAGACCAAGTTTCTTGTGTACTTGCTTGTAGTTGTGCGGTCCGAGGTCGAGGATTGTGTCGACGTCATTGAAAAAGTAGGTGTATATCTGAATACGGACTTCGGCGGGTAATGATAGAAAGTGGAATGGTGTTCTAGGAACGCGACGCTTCGGCCTTAGGGGGATAAGAGGAGTATCGAGGGTGAGGTCGGCGATGGAGAGCTTGTTCACATCCTCTTCGGTGACGGGTTTAGTAGATGTCGGATTCGCGGATGTGGTTTGCGCCCGGCTGGAAGACGAAGGCATAACAATGCGTAACGTGCCCACCGGGCGAGAAACAGAACTCTTGCTCGTTCGTCGAGCCATGTTGTGAGGTGGTAGAGTCGTGACGCGGTTCAACTGCAGAATCTAATAGGCGAGGTGGCGAGGAGAACTCGGTCTATAAAAAGGGTGAAGAGGCTTGTATCAAATCCTTGCGCAATGACAACGGTCGCAAATTAAGACGATATGGTCTCGGCAGGTCGCCAGGGTCGTTGCGGTCGGTCTCGAGAAACGAGGCTTATCATAGAGGGTGGTGCCATGGCGTAGTAGCATTCGACGACAAGGAGACCACCCTCTAGAAGGCAGCGGACGCGGCCACGGCCATCTTGTCTCTCGGGTAGTCGGGGATAGCGTTAATCAGCGGGAATTGGGGTCGTGGCGAATTAGAGAGAAATTGATAAAGACCAGCAAAGTCAATTATGTTGACTATTGTTGTCGTCCACTTAGAACATGGACGTATCGTGAGGCACCGTGAGGGGAAGGAGATGAGGGTTCGGGTTGCAAATTGGAAAGGCCATGCCGCCGTTCGATGTCGCCTTCAACGTCGGAAGATGGGCGCCATGAACCTAAGCTGGGGGAGGTGAGCAGGGGCCTTGACTGGATGACATGAGCATCATGGAGGGGACGGCGGGGAATCGGAATCTGCTTCATGATGGGGGCGTGACCAGGGCCTCACGTGAAGGTCACACCAATCAAGGCATGACGCCATCGGTTAATCTAAAAGTCCGTGACCCGGCTAATCTGCGGCCCTCTCCGACGAGTGGAAAGCCCCACTCCACGCCCGCCGTCCGATTTTTTTTCCACAGCCGACGGGCGCGGTGCGTGCGACGGCGGAGCAATCAGACCAACTTCGTCAAGCTACGCCATTGAAGTCGAGTCCGCTTCGCCATCGACTCCCGCGCCAGCAGCCACCCCAATTCTTGTGGTATTATCCGGGACTCCCTCTTCAACCTTCGTCATGCTGTCCAGAGTGGCCCAGGCTTCGCGCTTGGGCTTGACGGCAGCTCGTCTGTCGAGGCCCGCCGCATCGCCTGCTCTCCGAGTCCGTCCCGCAGCAGCTCCCGTCCTTGTGTCGCCGTGGCTTCGAGCCTACTCCAAGGACAAGGGCCCTTCAAGCCAATCACCTCCCAATGAGACAAACAAGAAGCCCGCGCAACCCCAGAACGATGCCGATGCCGCAGCGAACGAGAATCCCGCCAAGTCTTCCGAGCAGAATGTCGACAAGGCCGGAGAGCAGTCGCCCGAGGCCCCGAAGGAGGGAGAGCAAATACCCTTCCACAAGCTCCCCGACTTGACCCAGGGCATTCCTTCAACGTTCGAGTATGAGATGGGGGGCGACAAGAAGAAGCCAGAACAGGCTTTGCAGGAGCTTGAGGAAGAAGGCTCGGGTGGACGTGGTGGACGTGAGCGATCGGAATATGTCTCAACCTCGGATCGCAACCGCAAGTGGTGGACAAGATTCATGCTTGTTGCGACCGCTGCTGGTGGTACCCTTGCCGTGCTATACATGGGTCGCAACTGGGAGGATACCATTGAGGCTGATCGTCACTCCGATATTCCCAATGGTCCTGGTTTCGGTCTCTGGTGGCAGCGTGCCAAGGCCCGAATGACCGAGTCGGTCACCTACTACCAGGAACCCTCATTTGATAAGCTGCTTCCCGACCCCGATCCTTCCTTTGAGCGCCCTTACACCCTGTGTCTGAGCTTGGATAACCTCCTTGTGCACAGCGAGTGGACTCGCGAGCATGGCTGGAGAATCGCCAAGCGACCTGGCATGGACTACTTCATCCGATACCTCAGCCAGTATTATGAGCTGGTTCTCTTCACTACTGTTCCCTTTGCCACTGGTGAGCCTCTTCTCAGGAAACTGGATCCTTTCCGCTTCATTCTTTGGCCTCTATACAGGGAGGCTACCAAATTTGAGGATGGCGAGGTCGTCAAGGTATGTTAAGCCCCTTCATATAACTTGTACTTGGCTGACCTTTCAGGACCTGTCCTACCTCAACCGTGACCTCTCCAAAGTCATCATTATCGACACCAACGCCAAGCACGTCCGCAACCAGCCCGAAAACGCCATTGTCCTGAAACCCTGGAAGGGTGAGCCTGGTGACAAGGAGCTCGTTGGTCTGATTCCCTTCCTCGAGTACATCCACACCATGCAGTACTCGGATGTCCGCAAGGTCATCAAGTCCTTTGAGGGCAAGCATATCCCTACCGAGTTTGCCCGTCGTGAGGCCATCGCCCGTAAGGAGTTCAACGCCAAGCAGCTCGCTGCCAAGCACAAGCACAGCTCCGGTGTTGGCGCCCTAGGAAGTCTGCTCGGCCTGAACCCCAGCAACATGAGCATGATGGTGAACCCCGAGGGTGAGCCGAACCCCACCGAGGCTTTCGCCCAGGGCAAGATGTTGCAGGACATTGCCCGTGAGCGTGGCCAGAGGAACTACGAGGAGCTTGAGAAGCAGATCCGAGAGAATGGTGAGAAGTGGCTCAAGGAGGAGGCCGAGATGATGGAGAAGGCCCAGAAGGAGGCCATGAACAGCATGATGGGCTCCTTCTCTGGCATCTTTGGCAACAACCAACCACCCGAGAAGAAGGCCTAAGAAGGCCCAAAGAGGTGCCAGCACATCTCCACTAATTAATGTCTTGTAATCTTTTTGTGTTACGGCGAATTTACGGAGGGGATGAAGTCTGCTAGTCACGTCATCTTCAGACTGGGAGAGAAGTCGCCTTATAGAAAAACAGCATTTTGGGACGGGAAGGCATTATGGGACATTCGGTCAGGGATGGGAGTCTTGACTTGTAAAAGATGGTTGAGAGATGATGTGTATATTAATTACGTGTACCGAGATGTTGTATAACAAACAAAATGAACAAGTATTTGCTTCAACTGGTCTCCTGGCGATGTGAGGTTTGGATGAACGCGATGTCGTCATACATCTGGTTCCTTGAATTGGGGTATATTACCTAAATAATGGACCTCATATCTACTGTTAGCTTGCTGTTGGTTTGCTGATACCAGCGAAACTGTCGTGCAGCTCTAAATTCGCCTGCCCTCATTCAGGATGAATGTAGGCATGCAAAACTGATCTGACATTCCGTGCTCAAGTCTAACCATCGTAGAGCAGATCTTGCCCTGCACAACAAAGTTACCCGGGACCAAGAAGTTGTGATGGCTCGGTTGGAGAAACACAGGGCATAGGGGACGCTGCTAGCTTATCTCGATGCATCACATGATCATAAATTTGGAAATGTGCTTGGCCTCTTTCCGACCTGACATCATTGCGATTGGGGCCCCGGCCATCTGTGTTGTTAAGGGTTATGATTACCCTCATTAGTAGGAACAGCCTCATTGATCTTCAAGTGTTAAAGTATGGAAGTGATTCGGTCTCCAACTCATGTGGGTATATCGCTTTAAAATGAATCTAAGAAATTTTCGGTGTGCTTGTAGGGAGCATTTCCGGAGAAGCCCTCGAAACCGACCGGAGCCGTCCCACCAGGATCCGGTGGTCGGCGCCGGGGAGCCCCGCACGGCCCCACATTTCGGCCGGAAGATGGCGCTTTGGGAACTTTGAGCGCGGAGACCCGGAGATGGAAGCCAAAATGAAGCCAAGTGATACAATTGCGGCATTTGTGAATTCCATATCAAAATAATGGCAGGGAACGCTGCTCAAGACCCCACGTAATGAGTTTAGAGCGGGCAAAAGACAAAAACACCCGCAAAAAGACTCGTGATGCGAGGATCAAGAGAGATCACAACAACCACATCGGTAGCGGAAGCTGATGATATCAAGAGGTAAAAAGAGCAAAAGACACTAGTTGCACGTTTTATGATGACTCTTATGATAGGATTATGTATAGGGACTTGCCCAAACAGGCAAACCGGCGAAACGCAGCAAAAATCAACGAACGACACCACAAGACAAAAGAACGGTATAAACACTTGAGAATAGCTAAAGAAGTGTTCAAAAAGATTAAAAAAACAAATCGACAACGACAAGATTCGAACTTGCGCGTGCGAACACAATGCCTATACGATCAAAGATAGCAGGGCATCGCCTTAACCACTCGGCCACGTTGTCTTATGGTTGGTTGATGCGGCACCACACAAAGACACCTCATCATGGCTCCGGGTGCAGGGGAGTAAAAGGATTCTGTTTCGAGAAGACAGATCGTTGTTCGAGAGACGCTGGCATGTCTTTGAGTTAACAATGTTTGAACAAAGGTGGCTCCTCTTGACTCTTGGACGGTCGCCAATATCACCCAGACAAAAACTGAACTGGACCATCAGGAAACCAATCAATTTACAACCTTTGCAAGATGGAGCCCGAATAAGATTTCTTCAGAAGTTTCATTATCTACATGGCCGTAATCAATTGAAAGTTAGCTAGGCAGTCAGAATAAGAGGAGTACCCGCGGTTGTCACAGACGCATGCAAGCGTGTGGATCTTGTTCTTTCTCAACCAACAGGTAACAAAAGGACATTGAGGTACCTATTTGATGCTGAACATCGACCGACCAATGCAGCTCTTGTACCTCGTATCAAGGATCAATGGACAACAAAAGTTCATTGTGGGTCATGCCGTTTTGAGATTGCAAATGGCTGATATTTATATGATATGCGCCTTTTGTTGGTCCCGAACCCTTACAGTTGCCGAGAAGTAGACCTGTCATTCGCTCAAGAAGAGATACGTAGAGCTGGCCAAGGAGGGAGATTTCTGAATGATGCCTGTTAGTTGGATGTATTCTATGAGATCAGGCATGAAAAGACGCTACGCAGATTCGGTACTCGGCACATCGAGTCGTTCATTCATGATCCCTCTCCCGGCAACGAACCTGGAGAGGGCACCTTGACCTGCGGCGACTCTCGGGCTATTAACTATATCAGGAAAGTTGTATTTCTAGCCAACATCATAACCGGGATGAGTCATGCTTGTGGAAATATGAACAGCATTGGGAAACCCCATGTGATCATCTCTTCTCTAGGTATATAAACACTAACAAGTAAAGCCAATTCCGTTGATTCTCAATGCACTGGTATAGTTCGTTTACTGCCTTTTGACCATTGCCTTCAGCAAGTCATAAATCATTTCAAACGTTCTTGCAAATATGAAGCTCGGTACGGTTTCAACGTTCTTGGTACAGGATTCTTGTCAAGCTCTAACGGAGGAGTAATAGGTTCCTCCCTCCTCGCAGCCTTGCTCACTGGCAACCTCGTCAACGCCAAATACACGGTTCAGGTTCCGGATGATGCCATCTGGGTCACCACCTGGGAGCAATATCATGCCGAAGCCCCTCAGTTCGGCAAGACGGTACTTTACAAGTACGGAGGCTTCGTCGTTGAAGTGGATGACAAGATTGTTCTGGCCACAGATGAGAAGATGACCAAAGAGATTCACGATCTACTCACTGAGCTGGAGGAGAATGACGAGGAACCCGAAAGCGAGCCACAAACTCCAAACAGGAGGGACACGGAGGTTCGTGCACTAAGAAACAAGTGTTCTCACCCTCCTTGCTTTGGCCCAGGAATTTGTACTACCTACTCCCATTGCCATGTCTGTACTGGGCTCACCGGAGGGGTTTTTAAGCGAGGTAGATGCATTTGAACTCGTATTCAATTTGGTTGATACTTGGAGAGAGTAAGCTCATGGGGTGCAGAAGGAGAAACTCTTGTACTGTTGGCTTAGGTAGTCATGGATCGAATTAGGATGCTGAATACGAGCGAACTTTTGAGAGAAAAATAAACATTACGTCACAAAATCATACGATCTGTTGTGAGTGTTATGTCGTTGGTTCAACCAACAACCGGGATTGGAAAATCCCGGCGTCACATGCCGCCACGAAGTGGAATGCATGATCACCCAAGATTGATATGTACAACTCCATCTGCACTACCAGTCTAGATTCACCTGGCACCAATTTGCTGAATTCAACCCACCTCCTGCCATCTTTCTCTCTCAAACAAAATTCCTATAAATCATGTTTCAACCCAGCCTAAAAGCTCAAGAGACCACAGAAATACCACAATGCAGCACTGAAGATGGCATTGTATACGAAGCTCTTCCGCCGGAACAAAAAGAAATGAGCGACATCCTGCGTCACATGGATCGCGATCCTGACTTGATGGGTATCGCACACCTCGGCGATGACGGAGTATTTCGCTTTCTCGACGCCGATCGCAACATTCATTACGCTACCCCTTTGAAGCCTTCCTTGATCAAGGCTCTTCTCGATCGTCTACCGTACGATGAGGAAGCCGAGAAACGTTGGCGTGGAGTCGACGGAACTAGAGTACCGAAAGAACAGTGGTATAATCCACCTGCTGGTATACTTCCTCCACCATTGTCAAAAGAGGAGCGGAAAGAGGAGCGGGAAATCATGGAAAAGCATAAGGAGAAGTTTGACAAGATACGTCAGGATCTGAAAGATGGCATTCGCGAGGACCGTCCCGTCTTTATAGAGTCAGACCACAAACTTGAATAAGTGTGCTATAGTCTAGCTCGGTAGGGTATTCGAAATAGAATCACGAATGTTATTCAGTCTGGAAGAGACCCATACGTAGACAACCAGCCGTGCAAATAAGATCTGTTATGTAAGGGGTAACGTGACTACTATCGTCTATCTAGGGCTCCCTACTTTCGCGTTGCTTAGTGAGAACACAACTGGTGGTCTCATCTCTCTCGACAACCTAGAAACCGCGTCGTTGTCCGAAAATCCCATCTCACTCAAGCCGTCTAGCTCGTCAGCCTCCTCTTGGACATACAACGGCGGTTCAACATCGAAAACAGCCTGTATATCACCATGGGGTGAGAAACCTGTGAACTGCCACGGTCTAGATGACTTCCTTCCTGATACTGTAGCCCATTGGCGATGCCTCTCGTAGAGGCCGATAACAAGTAACAGGGGTGCGTTGGATATCCTGACAAGTGTAATGTGTGTGAAGTGAAATGTCCGCGGGGAGAGAATAAACCTCAGGGGAAGAAGTATAGCAAGGGCGAATAGGTTGAAAGGCGGCGGATAAGCGAAAATAGCATCACTTTTGACACCTTCGAATGCCAAAACTGCGCGTCTAAACTGTATCTCGACCGTTTCCGATGTGACGATTTTGGAGAACCGGTTCGTGAGCAGTGAGACAAGAATAGTGAGGAATAGCGTGTTGCCGAGAAACGCAAAAGCGATAGTAAGGCCCGGTCCGAGGATAGCATGAAACTGAACAGATGCTTCGATGCCAGTTCCATCCAGGCCAAACCAGATCCATAGAAGCCACTTGATGATGGTGAAGTCTCCAGGAATAGTGGTCGACTCATCTCCTGTTGCCAACCACTGCAGTGCTAATAAGAAACCAGTGAAGCACCAGGTTGCCAGAAAGGTCAGAATTAGAAATTCCTTCATCATTGCGTGAAGTGATATGAAGACGATGTGGTCTGGAAGGATGTTGAAAGCTAGTCGAGTGAGCAGCACAGGTGCTGCTAGGCATAAGAAGTTGAGCGCCATGCCCCTCTCCATGGACGCAATGCTAACTTCGCAACCCCGGATTAGAACGTATATGGCGAAAATGAGAGTGAAAGTGAGATCTAGAAACGACCAGAGTTTCTGTGAGTGGATGGTCCATCCATGCTCGATGATGGCTGCAAACTCATGCAGGACCCAACCGGCCGAGTAGCTTATGAAGAGCGTCTCGTACATCCATAGCGCGTTGGTGCCTCGGTGCATCATTGTCAAGATGTATAACACAACCAGAACAACGTATTGCACAAACTCAATGGCATACCGGGAACGTGGGACGATGAGCCGACGGTGATTCAGCAAAGGTGCCTTTTGGGGATCGTAGAGAGAGACAGGCTGATATTCAAAGTAGTTAGGTAAAAGGTCAACAAATGACAGTGGCGTATACACAATCCACCCTTGGTAGACTGCCTCGATAACTCGTTGACAGCCTGGTGAACTGAGAAAGTTCTTGCTCTCAGAGATGATGGCTAACTCGAGGGCTGTGATCTTTCTTTCGTGTCCCCCGCGGTTTTGGATTGGCCATTGGGGGTAGCGGCCTGAAGTCTGAACATCCTCTGGGGCACCCGAGAAGGGATCAAAGCCTTCGACGAGGATTTTGGAGAGTGTGAGTAAGCCACCCTGACCAGAGTTGTCTTCTTGAAAATTGCGTATGATGCGTATGGCCAGGAGCTCGCACAGGTTGGCTCTGGCGATGCTGGTGCTTTGATGGACAACGCTGGACTGTTCGCGAAGAAACTGGACACGGTTTGCCAAGAGGCAGTATACTAGTCACGCAAGTTAGCGGCTTGAGACTTGAGGACATGCACACCTGCTTAGCAAAGGCAGGGCGATCAGGCAGAGATGGCAAAGGAAGTATGCGCACCTATTGAGTAATCATACTCGTCGTACAGTCTGTCGAGTAATGGACGGATAACAAGATTGTTGAATCTTGGGCTAGTCATATGATCGAGAGAATATGGATCATCTGTTTGATAGTTAGTATCTGTCAAGGTGAGATTCATTTGTGCCGAGCATCATACCAAGGCTTGCGAGAATGAACTTCCGTATCCTTGATAGGTAGGTCAGTGCGGGTTCAAGAGAATGTCTATCCTTATCAAAACCTACCGGTGGATGGTAATGAAAACCGGAGGTGCACGGTGGTCTTGTTCCCAGTCAAAGCATGGATCCGTCTCGACGCTTTCATCCGCTTCAAAGAAGACCATGTCGTTGTCGTCTGGTTCGACGTGGCTGCCGGGGCTTGGGTCGGCATCGTCTATGCTGTCGTCCATTGCACGGATAAGAAGGAATACGGATGTAACGCTTGAGTACAAGACCAGCCTCTGTGAAGACGAGCAGAAACTGCCATAGCTACAGGAGGTGCAGAGGGATTTTTCATCGTTTAGATCGCTTGACCCTCCCCTCTCGTGAACTGAGGGGATCAGCGGATCGTGAGGCTGTGACCTTTGCCTTTGGATGTGTGGAGAAATTTGCCATGGTATCAAGCGCGAAATGGAGCACACTGCAGGAAATACCATACGGGACTTGTTTTCTACCGACGACGTTGAGAGTATCAGGCACAAGTACGACCACACACGGCCTGTCTCTTTCAAGGATGACTCCTACGGTACAAGCGAAATACCTTATTGAATGGTGACCCAATCACACCTACGATCGACATAACTGGCAACCTGCACGGGGCACTTGTCTGCAACGACTCGAGAGGGGACGGGGGCTGTGTCGAGGGAGCATATGGAGCCGAGCTGCGCCTCCTTGGACAGACAGCAAGATAAAGCAGCTGCGTCATGGCACATGTCAAGCTCTCTGTTGACACGACAAGGGTCCAAGTAAGCTTTTTAGCGTCGGGCAGAGGGAGCTTGGCAACGTGGTACAGACGACGATCCACCTACCGGAGATGAATTGGTGAGAGAGGCAACTTGTGGTATGAGGGATAAACCTGACCTGAAACTCCAACATCTGGGACAGCAGGAAAGGTCGGGCTAACTAATTTTTGGCATTGGTTTGAGCCTGGACGGAATATTCAGGCGAATGAGTACAGGAGCTCCTTGAATCATCAAGCTGTTACCTCACGAGTACCTCAATTAAGCGCCTTTCGAACTTCGATTCCTTGGCCTGTGCACACAGACAGACAGGGGCACAAAGCTTGGCATCCCCGGACGATGTTTGCGTCGGTTGTGCGACATGAGAAATGACAGTGACGACGACGCACAGAGCGTCAGTTAAATGCGCAGTGGCGGTGGATGAATGAGGGATTTTTTGGAAGGGCGTTGCGGCGATGCTGAATTGGGTCATGGCAATGCCCTTTTGTATTGTAGCGACAAGTAGAAATCTTGGTGTTTTATATGGATGTCGACAACTTGATACACGACACATTAGCAAGAGTGGAGATGCTATTCCCGGCCCTGGTCACGGCGATCATAACAAGTCAAGCGCACAGATCGGGATACTCTATTCGTACGCTTTACGACAGGCGGCCTCCCGGTCTCCGTCTCGCTTGGAGGCAGATGTGTCGGCTTATGTGCTGTTGAGTCAATGTACATCGCGGTAGTGAGAGGCATTTACCTACCGAGGCAGCAGCATCATCAAGCATAACGCCTCCGATGCTGATCGGTGAGCAGGTAAGGCATGTTCTAGGCCCCGTGCTGTGGAGCGCGTCTGATCAAGGCGGGTCATGAACGGTGGCAGTGTAGTACGTAGTTTACGGGACGATGGGGGATTCTAAATGCCCTCTCAATGCTCTGACGAGAAGGTGAGAGCATGACTTTGCATTCTGATACTTGTATCTGTTCTGAAGAAACCCATTGCAGCTTGTCAACCCTGAAAGAGCCCTGATTTGACACATCTCGCATCGCAATGCCTCGTCGACTGTCGACGACCCTACGAGTGCCCCGTCGAGACCATCTCTTTTCCGCAGACGACGATACCGCCGAAGTTGAGGCTGATGCACTCAGACGACGTGCCGTAGGTCGCAGGAAATCAGCCCCGCCTGGCTTTGTTCCCGCAGAACATCACCACGCTGGCCAAACTACTCCGTCCGGAATACTTAGGTTGGAGTTGACAGAAGCCCCAGACGAGTCATCTATTCAAGATGATGCAGAGGTCGAGTCGGATACTGGGAGCTTCACTCTCAAACTCCTCCAGCAAGCCATCAACGAGACACCCCCTTTTGGAATCAGGATATGGAAGCCCGCCTTGTACCAACATGGTCAACCACCTGACGACGACGACGGAAACGATGGCATATACTCGGTGCCAGGCCAGAAGGCTAACTTGTGGTCACTGCTATTCAACATTCTCTGGACCATCTTATTCGGCTGGTGGCTGGCTGCTTTAGCTGCTGTCGGTGGTCTTGTTTGTATGGCCAGCTCCACATCCAGTTCGCAAGAATATGGGCGAGTCTTGTGTGGCCTGGCCGGATACCTCTTCTATCCTTTCGGAAAGCTTGTGCGACTGGAAGACAACGAGAACCTCAATCAGGGACGCAGCATGCACGAGTATGAGCAATGGCAGAACGGCAGCCTGAATCATGGCCATCTTTTATTTGGTCCCAGACAAGGGCAACCTACGGGACAGAGTACCCTGTTGGGTCGGGGCCAATGGAATAATGGAAAGATCGTCTTCCTTTCTGTTCTATACGTATTCGTCCTCCCACCGTTATTCTTGGTTTCAATCATCTGCTGGGCCCTTGTCTTTACCATTCCCATGGCCAAGACCTGCATGTATCTTCTCCGTCATCTTCGACATTGCCCCCTCGCCCTTTCTTTCGATTCGGATGCCCACTAAGCCCATTCAGGAGAGGAGCAAGGGTCTAGAGTCTTGCTATGCACGTACTCTGCCGTCGGCTTTCGATACTGGCGCTACTCCATAGGCGGGAACAGCATTTTTCTCATAGACCTCATGGGCATCGCCTTGATCATTATCTTCAATTGGCTTATTCTTCAGAAGCTGTTACATATCCACACCTTTACTATTCCACCTTCTCTACTCTTCCCGGCTAGCCTTTTTGGCATCATACCTCTGGCGTATTTCATCGGTCAGGCTGTCGCTTCGATCTCAGCTCAGTCATCCATGGGCGTGAGCGCCGTGGTGAATGCATTCTTCTCTACTATCTTCGAGGTCCTCTTCTACTGCGTGGCCTTGAGGCAGGGAAAGAGCCGTCTTGTTGAAGGATGTATCATTGGGAGCATATTCGCTGGGGTTCTCTTCCTGCCAGGACTGTCCATGTGTTTCGGCGCTCTCAAGCGCAAGACTCAGCGGTTCAACTCCAAATCAGCCGGTGTTACCTCAACCATGCTGCTTTTCGCCATCATTGGTGTCTTCAGCCCTACACTTTTCTACGCAGTCTACGGCACTCATGTTTTGAGATGCCGGGGCTGTTTCTATACCACACAGAGCTTGACGGTCAACTCTCAGCGGAGCATGGCAAATTGCCGAACCTGTTCCATCTCCGAAGAGCTTGATCTTTATGGGTATCTTTACGTCCACGTTCTTCGGCCATTCAGTTACTTCTGTGCGGCTCTTCTCCTACTGGCATATGTGACTGGGCTGTTGCTCACTCTTCGCACTCACGCTGCCGCCATTTGGGCCGGTGACTCAGAGGATAAGAAGCACTTGTCGCATAGACGACAGTCGGTGACTACACCTTTGACCCAGGAAAGGCCAACGACTCCCATTGATGCGTCTCGGAGACATTCCTTCAGCAGTCATCGCGGAAGTATTAGGTCGGCCACGTCTCCACGCGGAGCACTATCCCCTTTGTTATCGCCATTGCAAAGGGTCGAGCCAGAGGTTCCACCTAGGAATTTGGCACCAAGAGGCTGCGATGTTCTGCCTGAACTGCCTGAGGAGGACAGCACTCAGGACGGCACAAACAGAACATCCATCCCATCCACAGACGCTCAAGTTGCCAGGACGAGAGCATCAAAAGAGAACGACTGGCATTCTGTACCCAACTGGAGCAGAACAAAGAGCCTGCTGATACTACTTGGAGCAACGATTCTCTACGGCATTCTTGCCAACATCATCATTGAGATGGTTGATTCTGTTCTCAAAGAAGTCTCTGTAGATGAAAAGTTTGTCGGACTGACCATTTTCGCGCTCGTGCCAAACACGACAGAAATCTGGGTACGTTTCCATGCCCCCTACAGGATACTATCACTAACACACTCTAAAGAATGCCATTCTATTTGCCGCAAACGGCAACATTGCCTTGTTAATGGAGATTGGCTCTGCCTACGTGCTCCAGGTCTGCCTCCTCCAGATCCCGGCCCTTGTCTTTTTTTCTGCAGCGTTCCACTCACATCCTGGCCCTCATGAGGATTTGAGGAACTATGTGTTTCCTCTTGTTTTCCCGCAGTGGGATATGGTGCTTGTTGTTATTGCGGGGTACTACTTCTCAGGGGTATGATGAGATCAAAATATGGGGGAGAATTCATGATTTCAAGAAGCAACTAATCAGAGACGTCTCTTTGAACTTGAGGTGAGTGCAGCACACTGTCTGATACAAGGTAAATCTCTTGACAGCTCGTCCAGAACATGCTAACTCCGACCAGCAGCACCGCTGCTGTGGGTGGGAGCCACGCGAGCTGCAGGTGGTACTCTAGGAATAGCCATACTAGAGAAAAAAGCCAGATCGACTCGACTTGACATTAGAGATAGCTCATGTTAGCTGCTTGTCTTCTCATTTCTGGCCTGGGCTTACCGACCATAGCGGGCAAGTACGGGCGCGATTTATCAGCCACGGATCTATGCACTGTGGGTGGAAAACGTGTCCACAGGGCAGCTTTCTTAACCTCGTTCCCTCAGTGAAGTCTTCTGTGCAGATAGAGCACAAAGAAGACATCACCTGTGTTTTGGTCATCCCAGACTCGAGAGAACGAGGGGAGAAGCCCGGGTGGTACTGAAACACTTGGATTATGGAGCGTTTTGGCGCAGGTGGTTTTGTGCGAACTGGAGGATTTCGAAAAATGTGTATAGGGGCTTTCTTTGGGACTTGCTGAGCATGATACTCGACGGTCGGGATATTCTCCACCGCGTCTCTCCCCAAACCCGCTGTTGTTCTGAACCGGAGAAGTTGGTGGCTGATGACATCGGGAACTGGCCGGGTGCGCAAGGCACGGTGGGCGATGTAGATGATGACAAAGATGGCTATGATGAGTGCAACTAAGAGAAGTCCATAAAATGTGCTGGAGTCCATGCCATGGCTTTCGGGATTCTCTTGGGATCCCGCCATGGGAACCGCCTAGAGAGGGGAGGCGCGGGGGTCACGCTGTGTGGAGGAGTGAACGTGGGATGAGAGGGAAAACGACCGATTTTTAGCTCGCCAGCATTGTATTGACTCAGTGTCATATGTAATTCTCCGATGTCTTGAGGGATTTGCGGTTGTCAGAACATATTGGCCCTTCTGCCCTAAGGCATGGAGGTGGGTGTCCATCTGTCACCGCTATCCAGGGGTTCAGTCACAAATGACGGGCCAAAAGAGCCGCTAGTGGTAATAAGTACTGCGCAAGTATCGATACCTCAGGAGGTGAGGTGCGGGGAATGCATGCCGTACACCCCCTTGGACGGAGTCAGTCAATACATTTCAGGATCAGGAGGCCTCCTCGTGTCGCGAGACGGCCTTCTGTGAGGCATTTAAGAAGAGTCAATGGACTGAGAAAACAATTAGGTAAATTTAACGTTATGGATTGTCTCCTGGAGGTTGTGGGAGAGCTGGTCTTTGACGGAGGCGAGGCCATGTCTGGCGGGTTGTCAGAGGCATACCGAATCTGTGCTTCCGGTGTGGCTTTTGCACCTGAAAAGATGTGCTCGGATGGCTCCTTTGGTGTCGTATTGCATCTTGTCCATATAAGACCTTCGTTTGATGATGCTGAGTTTGACCACATTCCAACATCATCTCTTTTGCATCTGATCTCGATACTCTAGAAACTACAACATGGCCGTGTTAAGATCCCTACGCTGGAAGACCGGCGACGAAGAGAACGGCACCAGGGCCAGCCGTACAATGCAGACTGGTCCTGATGCCGATGGCGAGCCGAGGCCTCAGAAGCGTTCATCAAGCCAGAGCCGCCTAGGGAATGCGACCCTGCCGATCCAATATCGCAGCATGTGAGTCAACCACAAGCTTTGTAAGTGATTGATGTCTGACCAAGTGAACTAGCTCGTTCGAGATTGACGACGCTGAGAGGAACCATCATCACGCGCAGTCCAAGTCCAAGGCCAAGGATGCAGTCGTTTTGAGTATGTGCAGCAGCCGATGAATCGATAACGTTGCTGACACTTGCAGAATTTGAAACCATCGAATGGCACAAGCTGCGAATCGAAGAAGTTCAGAAACGCCTTCAAGTCGACATGGCTCATGGCCTGTCGACTCGAGACGCCGACGATCGGTTACGAAAGCAAGGCAAAAACAAGATCTCTCCTCTCCCGAACCCCTTGTTCTGGAAGATATTCGGATACTTCTTCAAAGGTTTTGGAGGCATCCTTTGTGTTGGAGGCATTCTCGTCTTCATCTCGTGGAAGCCTCTGGGAGATCCTCCAGCCATCGCAAACCTCGCCTTGGGTATAGTCCTCGTGGCAGTCTTTGTCATTCAGGCGGCCTTCAATGGGTGGCAAGACTGGTCTTCGTCTCGTGTTATGCAGTCCATCACCGAGATGCTTCCCGAGTCATGTGTTCTTCTTCGCGATGGTGCCAGGGTTGAAGTCAGCGCTACCGACGTTGTTACTGGCGATGTCATCTTTATCAAGGCTGGAAACAGGATCCCCGCCGACGTTCGCTACCTCCAAGTCTCTCACGATACGTCGGTTGACCGGGCTGTTTTGACTGGTACGTATTTGACATTTGTTGGGAGACGCATGTCTGACTTGAGCAGGTGAATCGAAGCCAATTAAGGCTACTGTTGACTCAACTGACGACAACTACCTCGAAACACACTGCATTGGCCTTCAAGGCACGCATTGTGTTTCTGGCAGCGCGCTCGGTGTTGTCGTCTCCACTGGTGATGCGACTGTCTTTGGCCAAATCGCGAAACTGACGGGCGAACCCAAGACGGGGCTAACGACGATGGAAAAGGACATATTTCGCTTTGTCTTGCTCATCGTTCTTATCATGGTGTCGTGGATCATTATTCTGGTGGCCGTCTGGTATGAAGCGATTAAAAGACACTTTGAACTTGAACATTTGCTAACTCTGCCCTAGGGCTGGATGGCTGCGCAAGTCTCACCCTGGCTGGATCGACGTATCTGCTCTCATCGTGAGCTGTGTCAGTGTTGCAATTGCCTACATCCCCGAAGGGCTTCCAATCGCCGTCACGTCTAGCTTGACTATTACGGCGAACCTGATGAAGAAGAATAAGATTCTTTGTAAGTCACTGAAAACAGTCGAGACTTTGGGATCAGTGTCTGTCATCTGTTCAGACAAGACGGGAACCCTGACTAAGGCAAGGAGAAAGAAGTGACACCATGGGGAATGAAACGTTAACAGGCACATATAGAACAAGATGTTTGCCACCGACTGCTCTCTATTCACCATTACTTTCAATCCCGAATCTGCCATGGACGACATCCGCCTCAACCAACGAAGCTCAGGCATCCATCAAATCCGAGCCGTAGCAGGACTCTGCAACTCTGCCGAGTTCGACCCCGAGTCTGAGAAAGAGGCTTTGGCGGATCGGCACATCTTTGGAGATGCCACAGATCAGGCAGCCTTGAGGCTCTCGGAAGGGTTTGGTCCCGTCTCAGAGTTACGCAAGGACTGGTCGAGCGTTTTTGAACTATCTTTCAACAGCAAGAACAAGTTCATGGCAAAGGCATTTACTGCGTCCAAGAAGCAGGATGTTGATATTTGTCTTGGCGTGTCAGGGGCAAAAGAGTTCACGACTGGCAGCGTGTAAGTTGTGCCCCGGAAAACGGTCTCTTTTCTCCTTACTGACCGTTCCAGGCTACTGACAATCAAGGGTGCTCCGGATATTTTACTCGGACGATGCACCAGCATGGTTCAACCGGATGGCTCTGTGGCCACCCTGACTGAGGATGGAGCCACGGCGGTGAAGCAACTCAAAGATCAGTGGTCCTCTAACGGCAAGCGCGTGATTCTACTCGCCCGTAAGATGCTCGGCGCCGATAGGATCCTCCCTGATCCATCATTACCCGAATTTGACACTCAAATGATGCACGAACTTCAGTCTGGCTTGACACTTGTTTCCCTCCTAGCCATGATCGACCCACCTCGTCCTGAGATGCCTGAAGTCATCGCTACGCTGCGTGGAGCTGGAATTCGTACCTTTATGGTTTGTCTACACTCTTAAAAGTGATGAACTGGGCCACTTGATGCTGACACCTACAGGTCACTGGCGACTTTGGACTTACAGCCTTGGCTATCGCTCGCCAGTGCGGCATGGTTACTGCTCAAGTCGTCCACGATGCATCCTCCCTTGTGAGATTCCCAACAGAAGGCGCAGACAACACGAAACCACCACGAGATGCCGCGCTCCTCCTATCTGGAGCAGACTTAATGAGTCTCAATGAACATCAGTGGGAGCAGCTCTGCAGATATCATGAAATCGTCTTTTCCCGCACAACCCCTGACCAGAAACTACGCATAGTCCGCGAGTTCCAGGCAAGGAAGCAGGTTGTGGGCATGACCGGTGACGGAGTCAATGACGCACCAGCTCTTAAGGCTGCAGATGTCGGCATCAGTCTCACCAGTGGTTCCGACATCGCTATCGAAGCGGCCGACATGGTACTGCTGGAGTCGTTTTCTGCCATTGTTGAGGCTGTCAGATTTGGGCGGGTTGTCTTTGATAACCTCAAGAAGGTCATTGCCTACCTGCTTCCTGCCGGCTCATTCTCCGAGTTTTGGCCAGTCTTCACCAACGTGGTCTTTGGGCTTCCTCAAATTTTATCCTCTTTCCTTATGATCATCATATGGTATGTCCTTCGTGCGGTACTACTTTTACTTCAAGCCTGACGCTACGTAGTTGCTTCACTGATTGCGCCGGCGCCATCGTCTTAGCCTACGAAAAACCTGAAGCTGACGTCCTATTCCGACCTCCACGAAACCCAAGCAAGACACATCTCGTCAACTGGCAGCTCATTTTCCATGCCTACGCCTTTGTTGGCGTGATCGAGAGTGTCTGCTCGTTTGCCATGGCGTACTGGTACCTCGAACGAAAAGGCATCCCTTTCTCGGACCTTTGGTTCAAGTTTGGCGAGATTCCTACGCATCTTGACCCAGATTACTACAATGCTCGGTTGAATGAGGCCAGCTCGATTTACTTTATGAACCTTGTCGTTATGTCAGTCTTTGATTGCCTCCATATGCTTGAGCTCAACTGACCCTTTCAGGCAATGGTTCAACCTCATGGCGGTTCGCAACAGACACCTGTCCATCTTTCAGCATCCACCCGTGTTCAACAAGCGCACGCAGAATCTGCTTCTCTTTCCTGCAATCCTATTTACCCTGGGTGTTGCCGTCATTTGGTTATACATCCCAAGTCTGCAAGACGTTTTGAGTACCGCTGGCGTTCCGGTTGAGCATTACTTCTACCCCGCGGCTCTTGGATTCGGTCTTTTCTGTCTGGATGAGGGTAGGAAGGCATGTGTCCGTCGCTGGCCAAACTCGATGTTGGCCCGGATGGCTTGGTAAAAGACATGGCATCGCACTGGTAGTTTCCGGAATTGGCCGATAGAGCTATGCTATCGATACATGAAGGGCGTTTCTAGCTTGCACCAAGAATATATGTCTATATGCTGGAGAGTAGACGGATTGTAGGCCTCTAAGAAGGAAATTACTCTCATTTCTACTATCTAGTACTAGGAAGAATCACGGGTCAAAGTTGTATTAATCCTCCTTTGGAACGTATTTGGCAATACCTTGTGAAGACGGCCCCCTTCTGCTTCGCCCAGCCACCTCGTACGCAAGCCTCGCCAGCGCTGGGCCAGAGTCTGCACACTTCGGCCTCAAGGCATAGCTAGTTAGCCAGGAAAATCACAACCATAATCGTACGATTCTCGCAACTGTCCGCATTAGAAGCAGCCGCTTACTAGCCCATAGCCAAGGCTCCAATGCATCATCAACGGTGTTTCCTATCCAATATTCCTCAACTCGCTGAACAAGTGCTGACGGCGATCCATCATCGCGCTGTCAGCATCTTCAGCTCTCCACTTGACCCGGCATCTTCCCGCTTCAAGAAGCGCCAAGGCGCCTTGCACCCCTGCACCATCTCAGCTGTGGACCAATTGTGAGCCTGAATGCTTTCTCCGCAAGAGCCCTAGGCCACTCAGGTCGGTGACAGAATGCAGGGAAGCAGTGACTGAAAACACAATCAAGAATGACTGCCGGAACGCTCGGGGCATGAATGAGGCCCTTCTGCATGAAAGCGGGGGCCGAGGGTCTCAAGAAAGGCCAATATGCGGTGCAGGCGGTAGGGATACTGCTCAGCTGGAAGACTGCCCGGATGGTGATGGCAAGGTACAAGGGTCAACATAACGGTCTACCGCTTACCTACAGATGGCCTTCATAGGAGTATAAGGGTTCATTGGTAGACACCTTACTAACGGGATTGCCTCTTACTTCCCTATCTAGCCATCAGGTAGCCACATAAGGTCTCTCAGCTCGTTACTAGCCAGAACATGCAGAAAAGTATTGAAAGGCAATGTTAATGTGCGTGCTAGTGGCAGCTGACGATGAAGCTGTAGATCGTATGATGAAGTCTGAGCTTTCAGAGAACAAGTTGACGATATAGAAGAGAAGAGTTGCGAAACTATAAAGGATTCACTGATGCCTGATATCATGGAACTTGGAGCATCTCTCTCAGCATCTCCTCAACAACCCAACCTTCTTCAACTCAAACAACCCATACCTCAAGCCTTCACCTCCTTCTTCCAATATGTTTGTCTACTCTGGAAAGCTAAACTGGGGCACCTCTGCCACGGACGAGCTCTTCATTGTCATCCTCCCCGACGGCACGGCCCGTCGCGGCGATAGTGTCTACCTCTCCTCCCAGTGGACCAAGGATGCTCATGGCAACAGGAAGGTTAACTGGTTTGACACCAAGACCGTGACGAATGTGACCAAGACAGAAGATGGTGAAGACGTGATCGAAATGACACACAACTTCTATACCTATGTCATCAACACCAAGCAAGCCTACGGGAAGCTCGACCTCACCATGTCGAACCCGAACAACAACAAGAGCTACATGACTCTTGATCGCGTCTACCAGTCTCAGGGAGAGGTGGCGACCGATTCATTCCAAATCTGGACTGGGAAGCTAGACTGGCCCAAGTATGCCAGCAACGAGCCGATCATCGTCCTTGCCCCAGAGGGTGTCGGAGCTGGAAAGCCCGTTCTGGCTTTCTGGCAGTGGACCGAGGACGCGGAAAAGAAGTCCAAGGTTCCGTTCTCCATCAACACCGTTCAGAGGGTGGAGAATGGCTTAGCCGGGCCTCTCAAATTTGGGTTCGACGGCCCCCCTTACAGCCTCTACTGCACCCGGAATGAGGCGACTGCGAATCTCGCGGTCCGTATGAAGGGCCCAGAAGGTGAGAAGGAACTTGGAGATCTCACGCAGGCAGTGAGCAGGCAGTCTCACTCTCAGTAAGCTGGACGCCCCTGACTTCTTCGACGATGCTAACATTGCCGCAGCGAGATGACTCCGCCAGAACCACCTTTGGAGAAGTCTGAACTGAGAGTTTGCTACCCTCAGACTGAAGCTGCGCTTCCTCGCATCCAGACTCAGATGCCGTTCCCTCACACTCTTGTCGAAACTCTAACCCACACGGCCTCTTTCGTTGACCAGGCTGGCTACCTCGCCAAGTATGCGACCGAGGTATGTAATCGTCTACCACATGTTGCCAGGAGCACAGCGTTGACCATGCACAGCGATTCAACGTCCTTGACAAGTCATTCCACGGACTCAGGGAGCAGGTGGACAACTGCAACAAGCAGATCCGTGACCTCAACGGCAAGATCAGCGAGCTTAACAACGAGAACAAGCTCGAGAAGAACAAGAGCGCCGAACTGGAGAAGAAACTGTCCGACGCGCGTGATGAATATGCCAAGAAGGAAGCAGAGCTCACTAAGCAGATCCAAGACCTGCAAAAGATCATCTCAGGTGATCGTGATCACGACGCAGCGGACCACAAGGCTCTCGACGACGCTCACCAGATGATCGCCGAGGAGCAAGCCGCCAAGGCCAAGCTTCAGAAGCGCCTGGATGAGACCGAGATTGCCTTGACAGCAGCCCAGACCCGCATCCAGCAGTTGTCGGCACAGATCTCGGAGCTGAACTCCGAGGTCAGCCACCTCCGCGGCCAACTAGACGTGGAGCTCGAGCACAACAAGGAGCTTGACAAGAACAACAAGGAGCTCAACCAGAAGGTAGCCAAGTTGGAGTCTGGCCTAGCCTCGACGCAGAAGCAACTTGCTCGCACCCAGGAGGATCTCGAGCAGGCTAGGGCCGAGAGCGATGACAAGGATAAGATCATCGAAGGCCTGGAAGCTGGCCTGGTGGCCATCAAGAAGGATCGCGATGCCAAGAAGAAGGCAGTAGAGGAGCTGAAGAAGAAGACCGACGCCACCATCCAGGATCTCGAAGCCAAGCTCGCATCGTCAGCGGGCGGCAGCGGCTGGCAGCCACCAAATGACAGCATCTTCCCCTTCAAGCAGACTACCCCCACCCCGTTGGCTCAGAGCATTGCCAAGCACGAGGGCAAGTCCACCTGGGCTAGGCTGTCGCCTTGGATCGGCAACATGGCCAACCGCGGCCACTTTTTCAACACGCTCGACGACGCGCCCGAGAGCGCCAAGCTCAAGACCCTCCGCATCCACAGCGACGGCAACTGGGTCAGCGGCTTCACCGTGGATTGGACCGACGGCAGCAGCAAGAGCTACGGCGTCCTCCACGGCTCACCCGTGCACACGGTCTCCCAGACGCCGGACCAGCCCATCGTTGCCGTCAACGTGGTGACCGATAACTTCCAGCCTCGCCTCCCCTATCAGACGCTCGCCAACATGACCTTCTTTGGCTTCGACAAGACCAACGGGTACCAGCAGGTAGACGAGTACATCGCGCCGCATGCCCATGACCGCTGGACCACGGCCGTTGCCAGGACGTCGCTTGCGCCGGCCCTTGATGGCACTTGGGCTCTGCGTGGAGTTTATGGGTACTATGATGGGTGCATTGATGCTATTGGCTTTGTTTGGGGGATTGAGAAGTGAACTGCAAGTCTGCTAAGATTCCAAGTCTGATGACTGGACCGGCACATCTTTGGCAATTTCATTTAGATCAACAGCTAGAGTCATGAAGTGGCGTGTATCTGATCCTTGGAAAAGTGCGACTGGAGCTGTGGCTCATCTCACATTTGAGAAAAGATTCCAGACAAATCAAGCCTGCAATGTTCTATCTACAAAGTTATAGCAATGTCTTTGGAGAAACTCGACATCACCAAGTCAAATAATATGCCTACGAAAAGAACGCAACCAGCTTTCCCTCTCCGCCCCTAAGAGCACTCCTTCTTAGAGCCGTCAGTGTAGAAGTAATCCTTTGCAATGACGATGGAGTCGGCGTGCCAGGTCTTGCCGCCATCAGAAGTCTTGAGACCGGTCGAGTCGCCGCCGTTGACAGTGAGGGTCTTGCCGAAGTTCGGGTCAGCCGATGTGAGCTCGACGGTGAAGTCGTCCCAGCCTGGAATGGGTCAGTAAGTTGCAAGACAGAGAGTAATTTGTACTCACTGTACTCCTGAAGGGTGCCGCACGCGCCCAGGTAACACTCGTTGCTCGAGTAGATGTAGGTAGGGACTTGAGAACCAGTGCCTTGATGAGGTTAGAAAGAGATTAGAAAAGGCGACTGGGGTTTGAACTCACGGTCGGTCTGCTTAGAGACGACCTTTCCATTGATCGAGACGACCTGGGTCACGGCCTTTCCGTTATAGGTGACTGGTCTTGTTAGGCCTTTCATCCAAAATCTTTGCGCATGCACTCACTCTCAAAGCCAACCGAAGCGCCATTAGGGATAGCCACGTACGGCTGGGCAACCTGGGTTCCAGCTAAAGTCTTGTCAGATATGGCCACTATAGCGGGATCCAACTCGTCTTACAGTCAAAGGTGCTGGCGGCAACGCACCACGCATTGTTAGGAGCAGGGCAGCCCCTAAAATGCTGGTCAGTCAAGTTTTTCTTTCATAATCTAGCAAAACTTACTCTTGCTCATTGTTGGGGGCCCAGTTCAAAAGAGGCTGGTACAGATCCGAGGATTGGTCACTGATGGAATCGGAAATACCGACCCAGATTGACATCCAAGGCTGGTGTGAGGGGTCCTTGACCTGAGTTCCGCAGGGGATGGGAGGAGGAGAGAGGGTATAAGTCGCCTTCTTGATAGCGCTCTTGGCAGGACCGGCCATGAACAGGTTGCCAAACTTCCAATCGTCATACTGACCAGCGACACCTCGCACAGCGAGGGCGGCAATAATGGCGGCAAGAGAAGATGTAGATCGCATGTTGGCGGTGTTGGATAGAAAGGAATGAGCGAATGAAGCTACAAAAATCACAAACAAACAGATCAACTGTCTTGAAGAGTAACAAGAAAAGCCAAGACACAGATATTCCCGAGTCTTATATCGCTTTCCATGCTCTAATTAATCTGCCGTGATCAGTAGATGAACATGGTTGTATCCGAAGACCGACATCGTATCCAAAAGGCCGACTTAATTAGAAGGGGTAAAGTCGGGCATGGGGTTTGGTCATGAAACATGGCTAAAAGAATAAACCCACGAATCGTCAATTGATCCACGTCGATGATGGATTTCTATGGGTCGACGAAACGAACATTCGAAAACGGGTCTTGACAATAGTTCCAGGTCTGGCCCATGGCTGAGGCTCTCGGTAATCGATGTCATTTCTTCCTAGCCAGTCCTTCCCGCGGCATCGAGGTCTTTGCCGCGTATGGAAGTAGTTCGCCTAATTTCTGAGCTATACGAAAATTGTGTCGCCACAAAAATGCGTTTGAATCTGTTTGATGGTGGCAGGGACCGGATCTATCGGCATAGCTAGCAGGGAACCCAGAAAGGGGCAAAGGATTTAAACATAAGGTAAGCGCAGGTATAGGACATGCGGGTAGATGTAAGCTTCCGCTTAGATAAGATGAACCGGTAGTTTAGTTATAAATGGCACATCCTGGCGTCGACATGCTCCTATGGAGAGCATGCCGGTGAGCTACTACTCCTGTCCAGCTCATCCTCATCGCATCCCTTGTTCCCAAAAAGTGGCGGAACTCTTACTTTCAAACACCCCAAATGAACGAAACTTCCAAAGGTTGTATTAACTCTATTGCACTACTGATACCACTTCCCGATCACAGGATCTTCTGCTGCCAAGCTAGTCATTGAGCAATGATCAGTCCCAGGCACAACACCCCACCTAACATATCCCGCAGCGGCATCCTCATCATCCTCGGGTGCATGGCATGCAGAGCTGATGACGGCCGAGCACGTGGCCCCCGTAGGAATCACTGGCGTCATCGTTCTCATACTCCCCCCGATAGTGGCTAATAGGATCAGGCTTCCTAGAATGATGGAAAAGATGATGGCGATGGGAGAGTAGCCACATGTAGTTGTATCGCTTGCGTAGCTGTCCACTAGCAGCTTGTCGTTTCTCCAAAGCACGACTTTGACGAAGAATATGGACTGTGAGATTAGCCAGTGGAGGGTAGCGGATCCGAGGATTAGAGGGACACCGTATCGCTAATAATAACCAACCTGTCAGCAAATACCTTCGCAGTTAAAAATGGTCCACTTACAAGAGGAAGAGACAACCAGTACGTCTTGCGTTGCTTCCCAACTGGATACGTTGTACGGAGGCCCTTGTGCTTCATTCCATAACTATTCCACTCAGCTCCAACAAGCATTGTCGTCCACATGCCGTTTATGGCCGTGTATAGAAGGGATAATATCAACTGGGGCAAGTTGGATATCACCACCATCTTAGTGGCCCCGTTGATGTTGTACACGGAAAAGTCGATGAGACTGTCAACATTGACTTGGCCGAAGCCTCTGTCCCAGAGAGCAGTCATACTTGGATGTCCTAGGGTGTTGAGGCCCATGCTGAGGAGGATTGCGGCCGTTATAATTGTTACAATACATCTGGATTTATGTTAGTTGCGCCCGAGTTCAATTGGGGGTGGGCTAGAACAGTACAGAAGCACAGTTATTCCATATCTTCTCCATGAAACTGCCGTGGCCCAGCGGCGCTTCTGGGGAAACCAAGCGCGAGGTCCAGGTTCCCAAGACAGCCTTTTGCCGGAGACCTTGGACATGAGATGACGCTTGTCGGTAGCTGAATCAGGATTAGTGAGAAATGAATCCACGGCATCTGGTAAGTTGTTAGCAAGTTCTAGCTTTGGCATAGGGAAATATACCTCCAAGGGTTAAAAGAGGCCGCTTCTCCAGATATAACCACGTCAAAGCCAACCCAATGAGCTTGACAAAGTTGCACGCAATGACAACACCAAGCAGGGGAAGGTTCACAACCACCTTGCAATGCTCAAGCGTGTGCTTGCTGTAGCAATGGTCAACCTTTACTGCTTGGCGAGGCTTGAGACCAGAATCCAACTGAATGTCGAATTCGATCGTCCAGTTATCCGCTTTGATGGCCGCCGTGTCACACTCCCAGTCCCAAGATTGATGAGAGACGGCACGGCCGGAGACACTGTTCAAGTTACACATCCAATTTTTGGATGGCGGTTGGGTTTGCAATGGGTTAATCTCGACTGGGAGGGAATCGTTGTTCCAGAGGTATGGGAAATCTGTGTCCATGACCAGGATCACATCGCCTCTTTTTGAGAGGAGATTTCGACGATAGGCGGATAGACATTCGTCAACTGGAAGCTTGTCGAATTGGCTGAGAGAACTTTTGAGGTTCTTGTAACTCTTGGTTACGTTGGCGAGAGTTTGCTCCTTGAGGTCGTTGGGTGTGGCAGTATAGACCGAGAAGTAGTTGGCGCTGGTTTCGAAAGCGACCACCGAGTTGTATCTATCAGTTGTCAGTATCCCAGACATTCTCATGATTGACTGTGGCGTACAGTAAGTGAATAGGTAGAGAGCTGAAAGCCAGGATTGTCCAGGCCGCCACTCTCTTGATAGAAATTTTGGTCAGGTTATGAATTGACGAGACGCCAATGTCTAGCCATTGCCTCTTGTCGTGAGCCTGGTCGATTTCCTGCCTCGTCGGCCCGGTCAAAACCTGCTGCGTGTAGTTGCCGGCGCCAAGCAACACGGTGGCCAACGCGTTGATGGCCAGATGAAGCCATAGGGAATACTCTTTCGCAGTTTTGCAGTCCCCCGTCCATAGAGCTCCACCATTGCGATTGACCCTCGCTCCGACGACGCCTAAGAAGATGATGTTGGCGAGCGTGACAAAGGCTGCCGCCGAAGTGGAAATGGCCAGACCGCTCCTCCATCCGCCGAAATATCGCTTCTTCTCGCGTGTGGCCGTCAATGGTCTCTGACTGCTCGCCTTGGACGCGATGCTGGGCGGACGATAAAGAGACTCCTCTTCCAAAGAGGCCAGCTCATACTCTCCCATTGTGCGTGAAGGGACGACAAGACCCGTAGTTGAAGGCGCTCGAGGTCATTTAGTGGTAGCTGATTGCCGTGATGTGGCGTGTTGTGGCCTTAATGTGTCTGCCTGTGGATGATCTGCGTTTGTGTGCCTTGGCTGGAGGGCGGTGATCTTCAGACACCAAGCGAACAGGCTTCCGTGGAGATGATCCGTGTGATATGACGTTAAAACACACCTTAGTAATGACGAGTGGAGATTATTTTTATATAAGGGGCTGGTGGCTGCAAGGATTGGGGTTGTAATGATACTCTGCCAACTCATCAACGCAGGGGACAGGTTTGCCAAATATCCGTATCAAATAGATACAGCGCCGGAGATAGTTGTAGCAAACAAGTTAGAGAGAAAGGAGTCGATAATCAGTTCCTGCCAAGCAGCAATTCAGCCAATTGACCAGCTGTCAAGATTCTCTTGTGAGCGAACTGCCAAGGCAGAAGGATCAGGGCTGAGACCACCCCTTGTATCATAATGCAACATAACCCTGCAAGCGTCAGCCGAGATGCCGTTGATTCGGCTAATTCCTAATACGGATGACGATCCTGGAGACGAGTCCAAGCGCAGACGAATCACGACATCTTACCCTATGCCATGGATGGGATTTCACCAGGCCGTACAAAGCCCAGTTGAGTAGATCACGTTCTTTCGATGCACAGCCCTTGAGTGTCGCCTTCACAGCCTCAATCTCGGTACATGGATGAGTCTATTCTTGCCTTTCCCTTGGCCGAACTAACTCCTTTAATCGTCCAACAGGAATCAAATCCCAAACACCATCATCCTTCAAGATAAGGTTGGACACTAGTTAGTTCATGCTCATGTCTTCCACCGTCGGACAAGAACATGCATGACAATATAGACGCAAACGCCAAAACCCAACATTCCAGAAATAACTCCAAAGCCCATGAGATACTTCGGCGCATCGTCCGATGGGAATAGGTAGGCGCCATAAATCTGCGCGAGATTGCCTAGAGCGTTCATGAGCGCCAACGCGACAGCTCGAACCTCGGCGTCCATTGACCCAAATGTCGAAGACGCGAAACTCAGGGAGATAGCATTGGACGCCCAGAGGCCTGCAGCCATGAGAACAAGCAGAGCGTACCGAGCTGTGAAGTCGTAGACGACGCAGACCGCGATGGATGTTATCATCGAGAAGGTGAGCCAACCGGCGATGACGAGACCGCGGTAGTTGGAGATCTTGTCGGCGAAGTAGCCGCTGACAGCGGTGCACACAAAAGCGACGGCATAAATAGGCACCTGGTTAAGCTGATTAGCTGATCTGCAACACAGACAACGAATGTCGCCTTACCGTCATGTATTGTGCCTGCACAGTGCTGGTGTAACCAAGGCCGTGGACCAGAGTCGGGTAGAAGTAGGACAGGGTTGAAGAACCGACAATGACCTTAACAAAGTCAGCATGGCGTAGGTAGCATGGCTATAGGGACTTACCATGTAGCCAAAGATGAAGCCCCAAGTCCGCCAGTCCCGCAATGCGAGCATAAACGACTGCACCTTGCCAACCTTCTCGCCCTCACCCCTCACAGTGACGCTATCCTCCTGAAGTCTCGCAATGGCGATTGCTCTCTCACGGTCCGTAAGGTGTTTGGTGTTGGCTGGAAAGTCAAGGAGTAGAAACGCGGCAACGATGGCCCAACCAATGGTGGCTACGCCCTCGACGATGAAGAGCCAGCGCCAACCTCGAATTCCATGAGCGCCCTCAAGACCACCAGTAATGGCGCCTGCGAGAAGACCGCCAAAAGCCCCGGAAAGAATGGCGGCGGACATGAAGACAGCGAACCGCTTCGACTGTTCACCTCGCTTGTACCAAGATGAGAAAATCAGGAGAATTCCGGGGGCAAAGCCTGATTCCATGACACCGACAAAGACTCGAAGGATAATGAGATGGTGGTAGCTCTGGACGACAGACATGATGCATGTCAGAACGCCCCAGACAATCATGATGGCGGGAAGATATAGCGAAGGGCGGCTTCGGACCAGGATCATGTTGGACGGCGGTTCGAAAACGACATAGCCAACTGTGTGTGCCGTGTTAGCTAACTGGCTGTGTGATCAATACGCGAGGAACTTACCAAAGAAGACTACTAGAATAATGCTATACTGCGACGATGTGAGTTCAAGATCATCAGCCATGCCAGCGATCTTTGCGTTTCCGATGCTGGAATACTGTTAGAGACACTTTTCACAGAAATCTTCATACAACTCACTTGGTTCGATCCATGTAAGACAGAAGGTACATGAGCCAAATATTGGGCAAGAGGAACAAGTCAATCTTGCGGACGAGCTTCTTCTCCTCCTCCGCAGTCCAACTAATGTCTTGAGTAATTTCGACATGTTCAGCGACTTGCCCCGGATTTTCGAGATAGTCCTTCTGGTCGACGGCCTCCGCACTGGCTCTGTCGGTCGCCATGATGAGTTGGGCTTGAAAAGGTTGTGAGAGTCGAGACGGTGCGATCAAGAGCGTCGATCAAGTGATTGTCGGGCAGATAGTTGATGTCATTGGAACACGGTGAGAGTCGTCGTGGCATCCAAAAGACTTATAGATCATCTCATGGACGCAGAACCAAGTTTTTTCTCACCGGAGCCACGGACGTTGCGGTTGAGTTCAATCAACAAGAGGGGCGGGGACGGGTAACCAATTCCCCACGGGGTATGGTGTAGTCTAACTTTGACGTGAACTAACAGCAAAGCTGGTACGACTGGGGACGCCCGGTGTGGACGCGAGGGTGGTGCCGAAACGAACGTGGCCTCGAAGCGAGCATGGATGGTCTCGTTACGAGGTCCATAAGCGCCAAGACTATGTAACGCTGCCTCGTCTCGATGGCTTCGTGTCGATGGCCTCGCTTCGATGACCTCGGGTATTGTCAATTGAGTGCATTATACCCTCTCCACCCAGATACTGGATAGATTCATTGTTTCTGTGGCAAACGTGCTATTCTATTCTGGGCATAAAAGTGAGACTGGTAGCGTCCAGTCTTGTTCCATCAATCATCAAACACCATTCTACAACAGTAGACAGACAAGATCCCAAGTTCAAGTCAAGCACTTCAGAACAAAAAGCACATAAAACAGTCGTTGCAATGTCTCCCAGCGCGCTTGAGACTCCTACCACCGTTCCTACCAGTGGCAACACTACCACAGCACCAGCACCGACACCAGACGCCGCCGCCGAGACCTCTTCGACATATCTCAATACACAGCCGGGCCCTGACCATGACTGGAGAATCACCTTGAAGGATAAGGTTATTGCTATCACCGGTGCCAACAGGGGCATCGGGCTAGGCATCGCAGAGGTCTGTCTAGCCAACGACGCCGCTGCCGTCTTCAGTCTCGACCTCTTTGAGCCTGGGGACGAGTTCCTCGCTGTGCAAACCGCCAACCCCAAACGTTTCAGCTACATCAACTGCGACGTCACCTCTGAGGAGAGCATCACCTCGGCCATCGACTCAATCATCTCTAAGCGAGGTGCCATCCACGGCCTTGTTGCCAACGCTGGAATGACAAAGCATCAACCGGCGCTCGACTTTGATCGCGCCCAGCTGGACAAGCTCTTCAACCTTAATGTGTTTGGAGCCTACTTCTGCGCCACAGCTGCCGCACGGCGGTTCATCGAGCTGGGTATTAAGGGCTCCATCGTCTTCACAGCATCCATGACTTCCTACCGCCCCAACCGTGCGGCACCATCAGCTCCGTACGGGGCCACTAAAGGTGCTGTGCGAAACATGACGCATACTCTAGCCATGGAGTGGGCCAAACACGGGATCCGTGTCAACTCGATCTCGCCTGGTTTCGTCAAGACAGCCATGACATACTTCGTGGACCAGACGCCAGATTGGGGTCTCAAGATGCAGTACTATGGTGGAATGCCGAGATTGGCTGATCCGAAGGAGCTCGGGGGTGCGTACGTGTACTTGCTCTCAGATGGGGCTTCTTATACGACTGGGATCGATATCCCCGTTGCGGGTATCGTAGGGGCTTGGTGAAGGGTTAGAAGCAGGCAATAGAACCATAAGATAGAAGGAATATTATGAGGCTGTCAAGAATAATCACTTGCTGTTTGCACCTGAACCCGAAGGGCTTGATCGATTAGCATGCTCTACATCCTCGAATGGGTTTACGTCACGCTTCATATGGGCTCATTGACAACCTCGACTTGGAACCTCATTCCTTCCAAACGCTTTTTAGCTCCTCAACGAGCCCTGAAGCGGGAAACTTGCTTATCTCCAACATCCTGCCCAAAATTTCGAGTAGTTCAGCTTGCTTCTCTGGCATTTGAACGCATTGGCCAACTTGGCCCGTCAGTATAAGAAAATGCCTGATTCATCAAAGGAGTACTTACCAGCAAATATGGCCTGGACATTGACAAACGCCATAGCAGGCTCCCCCTCCCTACAGGCGTTGGCAATGCCACAGACCATGTGTAGACTTTCGTTGAGACATTTCTGACGCTGGCGGTACGCGTTGAGACCGCCTGTTGTGGGCTGGTTTAGCAGTACGACAGCTTTGGCGAAATGGTACATTTGTATCGCGCCAGCGTGGTTGGGCGGGTGAAACCATATAGACTGGAACTTGGTCTGAGATCCGGTCGCCGAAGTGACCGGCCTGTACGAGCTTGGAAGAATACGATTCCAATCTTCAAGTGCTTGAAGAAGTTTGTTGCCATGTTCAATCCTTTGTCGTATGTCTTGGTCAGGCGAAGTCTTGTCCAGGGCGGCAAACTCGACGCATTTGGCACAGATGTAGACCATTCTCGTCGCGAGCTCATCCGAGTCAAGATCCTCAAGTCTCTTCCAGGGCCTCCATATCGTGAGAGTCGGCCTCCCTGCTCGGAAGGCCGCCCAGATGTCCTGCCGAAGCCACGCCCACCATACGGCCCGCCTTAATCCGTCAATGGACTCGCCGTCGTTATCCTGGGAACGTTGTATCCAGAATGCGCCTCGCAAGTGGCGTTCCCAATTTCCGCTTGTTGAGGTTCCGTCAGCGTCAAACATCTCGTATGTGCTGATCATTATGGCCGTGGCCAAGATCTCGTGGGATTTGGCGTAAGATGGATAGAGAAGGGTCTGCGAGAGATACTGGAGAGTCTCATAGTAGTACTGCGTGGCCATGTGTGCTGGACTTTGATCGCGCTCCTGTGGTCGGCCGCTACTTGTTGCTTCTGGTGGTGATGAGGAACTGTTCTCGCTCGAGTTTCTGCCGTCATCTTGCCGCTGCCTGGCTTTGAGACCAAGAGACATGTGCTTGGCCGCAACCGCAAGAATGGCCTTCAATAGTCCCGAATTGCGTAGTGCGAGATGAGGCACCATGTTGGTGAAGTGGCGCCCTTGGTCAAACAGATCGAGGATCGGCCCAACAATCTCGGTGTAGTAACGAAAGAAACCGAGGTCTTCTGGAGATAGTTCGATGCTTTCGGTCGTATTCCATGGTTTTTCCGCCAGGCCATGATCGATTAAAGAAGTACTGAGAATATCGTTGTGGCGGTGATGGGAGTGGGAGCCGGCATCTGTAGATATTGGGGCCGGCGACTGCCGGCGAGATAACGTGCTTTCGTCAAAGTTCCACCGAGGTTCACCATTCGAGGTATCGTTCCATCGCTGAATCTGGGAGATGGCATCCTGCGCTAGAAGGTCGTACCATTCAAATGGCGAGATGTTGAGTAATGAAACCTGACTCCTGGCCAAAGGGGAGGCAGCAAAGGCAAAGTCTACGTTAGGTAAATGCCCATGCCCATCACCACTACTCGTCTCTGGGTGGTCTTCTTGGGGTATGTCGATGGAGTCATGAAGCTGGAATGTGACGGAGGTCTCAACAGGGACCGGGAGGGTATCCGCGTAGCCTCCTTCGACACTGTGTTGAGGATTCTCCGTGTCGACCGTCCCTTGAGTGGCGCTCGGACTGTCCCCGCTGCAGGATGCTTCGCGGACAGCAATCTCGCGCAACTCGGCGGCCTCGAAAACATCCCGGTCCACTTGATCAGAGTCGTTCGGCTGTGCATAGCGACAATCTCGATCTGATTTGGAGCATTGGACACATCTAGGTTTGCCTTCGTCACACTTGACGCGTCTCTTTCTGCAAGTGAGACTAAGCTGGTGTCAGCGGATCAAGGCAGTTCAACAAAGAGTGAGCGAGCAAATACGTACCAACCTGTCGAAGTTCTCAAGCCGCGCGCTCGAGACGGTCTGATGCGGCGAGATCGCCTGGGGGTATTGTGGGCGTCCATTGATGAGATGGCAAACAGTTTGGGTCTCGTCTCGAGGGCACCAGCTCCATTTATTGACATGAGTCTAAACGAGCCGTTGAACTACCCCGCATTTCTCCGCCGAACCAAGGTGATTTTAGCTCCTTGTTCCCCGTGGAGATGATCCATGAAAGGAAGTTGATATCCGAGGCGTCTGTCAAATGGGGAACGTCCAACTGACCAGTCCGGGTTCTACCATTGACAGAGTTAAAGCGAGTGATCTTATGGACACTGTGAAACTTGCATCTAGTCAAGGACATAGACTTTAAATAATGAGATATAATAACAAACAACATAGACCAACTTCCTAGTGCTCAAAGCCAACGCCCAAGCTTCCGTTGAGATCCCTGAAATCGCCCCTCAGTATCTCAATACCATCTCTCTTGACCTCCTCCACAAAATCCTTGATCTTTGTCGCAACGTTGTCAGGCTGGAATCCGAAATATTCGTACGCTGCCTTGGACGGAAGGCTTTTTCCGAATCGCCTCATAGATATGGATGCATCGGCGTATCGCTCCCATCCATTCGCGGCATACGCCTCAACAACGACTGTAGGCTTTCCGGAGCGAGGCTTCAAAACCGATTGCTTGTACTGTCGAGATTGCTGCTCAAAGAGTCTTGGGCAGGGGAAAGAGACTACTCTTGACTTGATGCCGTACTCTTTGAGAAGCAGATCCTTTGCCTGCATCGTCAGTCCCATCTCGGAACCAACTCCGATCAAAGTCACGTCGAAGTCGTCACCCTCAGCCTCGACAAAGACGTACGCGCCCAAGCTCACACCTTCGCGAGAAGAGTGCTGGGGATATTGTGTCAGGTTCTGCCGAGACAGGGAGATGATGGTCGGCGTTTCAGTAGCCTGGATAGCAGCCACGAAAGCGCCTGCTACCTCTTCCGAATCGCACGGCCGGATGTACAAAGTGTTTGGCATAGCTCGGTAAAGAGCCGGCAGGGCAATTGGCTGATGTGTTGGTCCATCCTCGCCGGTGCCGATGCTGTCATGGGTTGCGATATGAATTTGCTGGAGTCCCTGGAGGGCTGCCATTCGGACCGCCGGGGCGGCATAGAGGTAGAACATGAAGAAAGAGCTCGTCATTGGGATGAATGTGCCCTTGTTGAATGCAGCGAGGCCGTTAGAGATGGCACACATGGCGTGCTCGCGGATGCCGTAATGGATGTAGCGGCCACTGTAGTTTCCGTTCAAACCACAGGCAGTTCGAAGATCGGGCTATTTGTGCGTCAGTACTTGCTGATAAAATTGCCGTTCCTCATACTTACTGATTGGAAGTCGACTTTGTTGTTGAAGGCCACATTGCACGAAGGGGTAAGATCCGCGGTGCCGATCAAGAAGGACTTGATCCTCTCTCCAAGGATATTGGTCACAATGCCCGCAGATTTTCGCGATGCCGTAGGTTCAGTTGGAAGCTCTGACTTTTCGGGGATGCACTTTGTCCAGTCGTCGGGCATCTTTCCAGCAACACGGAGACCGAATTCTGTCCCCAGCACCGGATCCTCCTTCTTGTACCTCTGTACAGTCTCCTGCCACTCGGCCTCATAGGCATCGCCGCGGGTACGAACATCTGCGAATAAGTCGTAGACATCTTGCGGGATGTGGAAATGCTTATCGGAGTCGAGACCGAAAGATTTCTTGATGTTGGCTACGTCGTCAACCCCAAGAGCGGCTCCGTGTGTCTTCGCGTTGCCGGCCTTGGAAGACCCGAAGCCGATGGTTGTGCGGATGTTGATAAAGGTGGGCTTGTCGCTTGATTTAGCTGCGACGAGGGCATTGACGATGGCTAATCATGGGTTAGAGGTCATTCGTTAAGGACGATTGGGAACGTACCGGCAACATCCGAGTCGCCATCAAACACATCCAGCACATTCCATCCAGTGGCCCTCATCTTGGCATTGATATCCTCAGTGTTGGCAACATCCGCAGTGCCATCACAAGTGATCGAGTTGTTGTCGTAAATAATGCAGAGGTTATTGAGCCTCCAATGACCTGCGAGAGAGACTGCTTCGAGGCCAACGCCTTCCTGAAGGCAGGCATCACCAATCATGCACCACGTCATGTTATTCACCAGCTCGTATCCCGGCTTGTTGTACGTAGCACCTAGGTTCTTAGTTGCCATGGCGAGACCAACAGCGTTGGCGACTCCTTGTCCGAGGGGACCAGTGGTGACTTCGACACCTTCATTCTCGATTTCGGGATGACCGGGACAGAGAGAATCGGTCTTTGTTGAGTGATATGATTTGAGCTGTTCGAGTGTCATACTTTTGACACCAACAAGGTGCATGAAGAGGTATTGCCATAAACAGGCATGTCCTTGGTTGGTCAGCGTGACTCATCGTGAATTTGGAGTCAACTTACCGTTGGACAGTACGAAGCGATCACGGTTAAAGTACTCGCAGTTGTTGGGAGAGTACCTCATGGCGTACTTGTAAAGAGCGATGCCAATTGCCGCCATGCCCATGGCGGACCTGAAGAAGTTAGTGCTGTGAATGAAATGATCCTAGAATGCTCTCTTACCCGGGGTGTCCGCCATTGAACTGCTGGCAGAGGTCTGCGATGAAGGCTCTAAAAACCTTCAACACTCTATCATGTTTCTCTGGGCTCTCGAGTTTCAGGCCAACAATGCCGTTGCCCTTGGTGGGGAGTGACTTGGTCGGGATCTTGTCAACGGCAGCCCGCTCATAAAGTTCTAGTGTAGGAGCCATGATATAACGGGAAGTGTAGAGTCCTGATTGTTGATAATGAGATGTGATTGTGAAGTGAAACTTGGGGGTTCATCGTGAGTTGTCTGCCCTTAGATATACTGGGGCATGGCATCACATTCATTGTTTGTCCAAGACGAGCTATAGTCGTCCAATGTGTCGATGATTGAGGTTTCCCATTTTCGAGACGAGCCTCAGTTCGATTCCAGTGGAAATGATTACCGCGTAGCATATCCGAGTAGACCAGTCAGCTGGATCGGTGTGAGATGCCGTGTACCTCGCTTCGGTTGCCCTCGCTTCGAGTCCATGATGGCCTCGTCTCGAGGACAGCCCCACCTTGGCCTACCACTTAGCGAGGTCGAGTAGCATGAAGCCCCAGACGTTTGATCCTTGTCAGTATTATATCAAAAAGTAATTGTAGATTGAATCTCTCTTCCACTCATCCGTGATCTAGGAAAAGTCGACTGCAAAATGGATTCCTGGCTGGATATTCAGAAGCGAAACCGTACCCTGCAAATCCTGCGTTCAGCAACTGTGGGAAAGTATGGAGTCTTGGCAATAATCTGGTGGGTATTGCTCCATTGTACTTGGGCATGAACTGTTCTCACTCGAATTGTGTCTTACACAGTTACAATATTGAGCACCTGACAGCTCTTGTTCGTGCTGCCGAGGCAAAGAAGTCGCCTCTCATCCTTCAGCTCTTCCCCTCAACCGTCAGCCAGCTGCCGACTCTAGCATGGGCTGCAGCGGCAGCAGTCAAGTCGGCGAGTGTGCCGCTTTCGTTGCATCTAGACCATGCGCAGGATGAAACGCAGATCAGAGAGATTGCTGCAACTTTACCATTTGACTCGATCATGGTGGACATGAGCCATTATGATCATGATGAGAACTTGAAAAAGACAAAGATTTTGACGAGAGTTTGCCATGACCGCGGCATTGCCGTCGAGGCTGAGAGCGGGCGAATTAACGGAGGAGAAGAGGGTATTGCAGACACGGGATCTCTAGAAGGTGAGGCGATATCGAGGTGATTGATGGAAGAGGCTTGAAACGGATGACTAACTTGTTGGCAGCACTCTTTACTACACCCGAGGAAGTGGAAGACTTCCTTGCTGCTGAAATTGACCTTCTTGCACCGAGTATAGGCAACATCCACGGCGACTACGGGCCAGCCGGGCCTCAACTCGACTTTGACAGGCTATCCAAGGTCAACAGTCAGATCAATAGTCGAGTGGTGATGGCGCTGCATGGCACCAACGACTTCGCGCCCGAAATTATGCAGCGTTGCATTCAACGTGGCGCGATTAAACTCAACATTAATAAGCTCATCTTAGACAGTTGGAATGTCTATGTGAAGGAGCATGCGCAAGAGCCGCTGATGCAGCTCATGGATGGTGGCATGGATGTACTTCAAGCTGAGGTTGAGCGGTGGATGGATATCTGCGGAAGCAGTGGGAAAGCGTAGAATAGTTTAAATCGCTTAGACAATGATAGCTCGACGTAACCAAAACTTCGATTGGCTTGACTTCTATTTCAGGTCTGTATTTACACGCACAACGATAGCTACCTGGCAACGGAGGCTGTGAGATATTGGTCAAGTCCAAGTGTGCTAATGTGACAGATGGTCTCTTTTGCAGACCTCGTTGATGGCAAGAAGAGCGTGCCCTAACTCTTCCAAGCTCTCTACTATTTCTCACTCTGGAATATTAATGATCGGTCATCTCATGGACTGAGAATCCGCGCCTCGCCAAAGCTGTCTCAAAGGGGTCATCTCGCTGGAATGAGACAGCTGTGGTCAGCTTTGCTGGACTCCAAATTTGGACCCGAGTAGCACCCGCTATTAGCACTCACCCGAGTTCGACTGGCACCTGGACTCGTTGCGAGCCCACCTCGAAGCGAGGTCCACCCTCTGCTTCCAGGCTGTGTTGTTCGAATCAACAAAGTCAGTATAATGAAAGGAATTGGCGAGCTGAAACTCAAAAATGACAACTAGTAAACCTGGACAGGGGATAGTCTCAGTCAGTTTCACGGATAGGTGATACAGTAACCTGTAGAATGAATAGATAGATGAAGCAGTAGACCCACAGGATTCATCAGTCCACTCTTCACCACCGCCTACACACTTTCCACCTCCTCTCCAACCATGAATCATACGATGAATCACAGCAACGGACCCTCGGATATCTCTCGGGTCAGTGGAAGCTTCTTACATGATCCTCGGCAACTCGATAGAGTCTCGACGCTGCTTACGAGTCTTATCTCTAAATCAGACAAAGAAGACCACGAGTAAGTATCGCAGGGAAATGATTGATTGGATATTACTAATATGATTAATCTTATAGATTTTCAAAAATCAAAGCCTATGTCGGAATTTCCCTCTTCAAATATGTGATGAGATATGGATCGGGTAATAATACTTACTTTAATCGTGATCGGCTAGTCACATCAGGACGTACGTCTCATTCATGGTGCAATCCCTTGACCTATGTACTTGCAAAGTCTAACATCTGTTCATAGGTTATAACAGCAAATGGCAAGACTTATTTATGCACCTCTTTGCAGCTGAGGGCCTCGCCGTCGACCCGACCAGACTTGCCAGCGTCCTCTCCAGAACAGCAACTCCATTGCGCCATTCAACTCAAGCAATCTCGAATGCCATCGGCCAAGGCATTGCAATGAAGAACCTAGCAATGCTCTACAATAAACCAGGCCTGGAGTTGTTGTATAACATGATCTGGTGTGTTATTGACGATGCCAACTTTCTGCAGGGTAGCACTCTTGAGACAGTTGCCCTAGCTGGTTGCTGGAGGCTGAACAACCTTTGCGTCATCTATGATGGCATTCAGAGCGCTCGAAGTCCTAGCGTTGATGTTTCCAAGTTGAAGTCGCATGGTTGGAACGTGATTGAACTGGTGAATGACAACAACCTCACCGTCACTGGTGAGTTCATCCAGTCTCCCGCGTCTATTCAAAGCAGTATTTAACCCCTAAGCAAAGCCTTTTGTACAGCTCTTGGAGCCGCAAGAAGAAGCAATGTACCGACCTTTGTCAACATCCAACCGCCAGACAACTCGACGTCCCATAGGCTTCCCTTCCCTCCTAATATCAACACTCCGTTACCCCTCCTTCTCGAACTGTACGACTTCTTCCAGGATGTAAGCAAGAGGAGCAAGTTCTATGAGGCTGAATGGCTAGTCAAAGTCAAGACATATGAAGAATTGTATCCAGCGCTTGCCAAGGAGTTTTGGAACAATGTTGCCGGCAAGAATCTCGCTAAGCCAACAAACCCCATAACTCCACCTCTGTCGCCCTTGCCGTGCTCCCGGGGAGGAAAACACAGCTCTATCAGGAGAGGCAAGCCGTCACAACGACCAGGTCGACGCTCAACGCCAGACGGAGCAAAATCCGAAATCCTTCATGTCCGCCCTTGCGACGCCGAAGAAGCTGCAGGCGCCTTTCTCGTGTCTATCAGATCGACTGAGTTGCCCACAACGATTTCCCTTCCGCAGAATGGTACCATCAGCTTTCCAGGTCATTCATCTCGCCTGGGCGTGACGCTTGGAGCTTACGCATTCTCCAACTGTCACGGGGAGGACTTTGATATGACACTGATAAGCGCGGGTGTTGGGATTTACTACGCAATGGGTACGCAAGATTTCCTTCTAAAGAAATATTGTCTGAAGGCTAGGATAGTTTCATGTCCCTGCCTCAAACTCTTTCAGTTGCAAACAGAGAAGTACAAGAGATCTGTCCTTCAGCCCCAGAGTGGGAGGCCGACAGTAGCGATTGACTTTGGGAATAGTCAAGGATGGGAGCCATACGCGGATGCGCTGGTCTCGCTGGAGGACGGCGATAATGGAGAAATGGGGAATAATCAACCTGATAAGATTGGACCAAGGGTCAGAGATTTTGTTAAAGAGTTTAAAGAGAGAAAGACTAGATAAATACGTTTGAGAAGCATCATACATAGTTGAAGATCAAACGAAGGGAAGTTATCTATACATCTTGGCCTGCCAATAATTTGAAGAAGTGCATAATTAGATGCTCCATTCTAAATTGGCCGATTATTTGAGAAAGGGCTTACTCAGCCAAAACCACGTCGCGTCTTTGGGGCTGAGCCAGGACAATGATCTGACACAATCCATTCACTCATCCCAACACTCATTCAAGCACAAATGAGTTGATGAAGGATGGATGCCGACGCTTCAAGGGCAAAGGGTCTCAAAGCATGTTCAACATGCGCTACCGCAAAGGTTCGATGCGAAACAGTAGCTGGCCAAAGGAGATGCAAGAGGTACCATAAACGCCGCGCGTCAACCTCTATGATGCTAACCTAGACTTTACAAGATGTGATCGACTGGACAAAGAGTGTAGTATACAGCCACGTGGAAGCCATAGTCGAAAGAATGGTGCTCGAGGATATGGAAGAGAGTGAGTACCTTGAACTTATCTCAGAACGTGAATTGACTATGGCAGGGACCTTTTGAGACTCGAGTCCAAATTTGATTCGGTTGCACAGCTCTTGTCCAACTCTTCAGCCGTCACGGGTGATGCATCGGGTGTAGCTCTGACCTCAAGGTCACCAGCGTCCGACTCTCCCATCACCGCTGTCTTTACACAGCCATTGACACCCGAAGCGCAGTTGCTGGCTTACAAGATGTTTGAACTCTATCACCGACAGATGATGCCGTTGTTCCCCTTTGTGTGGATATCCCTAGACGAGTCGCCCGAGAAGCTCTTCCGGGAGAGACCCATGCTATACATGGCCATCATGGTGGTGGCATGTCAGCAAAATGTGGATGCTCAACAGGAGCTTGCTCAGCGGTGGCGAGAGGAACTTGGTCGCAGGATATGGGCACAAGGAGAGAAGAACCTCCATCTCCTGCAGGGAGTCCTTGTCTACCTGGCCTGGCATGGCTCCCTCTTCAAAACATTGAACTCTAGCTGATTTGATGGCAGGCACCATATTCACCTACAGCTCGGTCCACAGCTCAACAACCTCATGCACACAGCCATGTCATTAGCTGAGGAGCTTGGAATCAGCAGGGAGAAATCCATGAGTACCAAGACCTCTCCAGGAGGGTTGAATGATTATTTCACCACCAATCAAGGGACTCGGGAAAAGACCAACGAAGAACGACGATGCTATCTTGGCTTGTTTTGGATCAACTCCGTGTTTGTTAAACTCAATCTTGATTGAAACCAGCCACTAATGTCAGCTATAGGTTGAGGATGTGTGTAAAGGATACTTGTCCTTTGCCAGGAGGCCAGTCTATCGAAGAAGCCCGCTTAGCGCTGCAGCAAGCGGCAGAGCTCCCTTGCGATGAATATCTCGTCCAGCTCGTCCGGGTACATCAAGTTGCCAACATTGTCGATAAAACTCTCTATCAAGATCTGAGTTCAACCGAAGTAGTCCTTCCTGGTGCAGTACTCATGGCTGTTTCACATCTTGAAAAGGAGGTAGAGGCGATCAAAAGCTCTCTCCCCCAAGCACTTCCTCAACAAGGTAAGGACACTCATGCTTTCTCAGGGTATCTCTTACTCACTAGTGATAGAGTTTTTGCTCATGTCTTGCCACGTGTTACAGATCTTCCTGTACAAAGTGGGCATGGATGACCGCCTATTGCAGAGCATGGAAACACCAAGCTCTTCAGCTTTTTCTTTGCGGCTGTCTGACGTCCTGGCTTCATGCTTAAGCGCAGTAAAAGCCGAGACTTCATCTGTTCTCTCTTTGGCCAACTCTGTCATTCTGTCAATGCCCTACCCATACTGGATCCAATTAGGTCATGCGATCTTGATATTCTCACGCCTATTGACTACACATCACAACTTCTGGGATCCAGGACTTCTCACCAGCATCCAAGATTTTACTGATACACTTGAGGCACTATCTCAAAAACTGGAGGGAGCCATGAGCGAAGCCATTAATTCCTATCCACCTCGGTTCCTGCCAACTGTGTTCACCAAACTGCGCGAAAGGTTTATCAATATTTGCAAAAGAGTTGAAGAAACCTCAAGAGCAAACACTCAAATGAATCTTGGGAGTACAGAACCATCAGTCTCTGACATGTTTGATCCCGGGAATATGGCCATGGATGAGCAGACGGAAGCTTTACTGTTTAGCTTTTTCACGGATGGACTCATATAAACGTTAATTTGATAGTGCCTTTCCATTCACCATTGCTAGTAATGCAAGTAAGAATGCTTTAGAAAATAAAAGAAACATTTTAACGTAGGGAAATCTCTCAATCTCGCTTTTAATGTTCGCAATCGACCAATGACCATCGCCTCATTCTTCATGCCAAGGCAGACCAACTCCTCCACGCCCAACACACATCAACTATCGATCCCACCCTTTCAACCGGTCGCCGATGTCACTCCTCAGTTTGTCCTGCTCAAGGGACGACGCTGAGCCTCGTCAAAATGAACCTTTCTTTGTGGCCCTGTCCTGTGGGGGCCACAAGTCACTGCCCAGACGGAATCGGCGCTGCGCATGGGGACTGGAATCCCCGGAGGAGATACCAAGATATGGCTCTCCGGGGGACTTTTCCAAGACTTGCCGTATTTGCCGCGCAGGTAATACTGCGCCTGGAATGCCGCCTCCTCGTCGCGGTAGGGGCATTGGCTGTTGTAGTCGTCCGGGCGTGTCAAATGCTTGCCAGGTTGTGAGGGACCCTGTTGTATAAATATTGGGACACTTGCTGTCCGAGGAGTTTGCTGCTGCGGCAGCGGCTGTGTGGTTGGGACCCGCGTTGGTCTTGGTTGACTGGCTGGGTTGACAATTGGCTCAGTCCATGTTTTTTGCTTCTTCTTGCCGAAGAGCGCAGAAAAAAGGCCACACATGTTGATTCTTGGGGTATACGAAGTTGTCCAAAAAGGTGTTCGGTAGTCTGTCTGTAGACGATCACGTGGTGGATGAATCCAAGAGGAGTAGTAAGACTGTGTTTAACCAGATTAAGAAGAAGAGTAGAAAGAATCGGTAAAGAATCTTGTAAGACTCTGTCTGAGTAAGAGAGCAAGTGATGATGTGGACTGTCTTGAATTGTGACGATGATGAAGATGGGGAAATAAGAAAAGTCAGCATAAGTAGGAGAGGCCCTTATTTTATTACTGGATCTGACTACTCTTGAACCTCTCCGACGTGATTGTTGAACACATCTGTCAAGGCAATAGGCATCTACGGTTAGAAATTAACTTTCGGTTCTCAACAGCATTTTGCATACCTATGCACGCTAAAAGTTTGACGTATAGCACTGGTTTCTTAGAGTTATCGATGCTTAGTGTACTCTAGCTTTATATCAAAGCATAAGATAATCTTCCAAGTATTTACAAGTTTCTTGCCCCCAATTTTACATTGAGGGAAAGAAGATTCATGGTGGACGGCGTTGTTGGAGAGCATGTACGATGTTTTGCAGTATTGGGTTTTGATGTTGCCGTGTGTCTCTGTGTTTTGATTTTGTGTCTGACAAATATGTGATTGGAAAAAATTAGAATTAGAGAATATTTCACTAGTTTTAGGATTAATTAGAGCTACAGTGGGTCTCAAAAAGTAACGACACATTTTCCCGTACCCCGCTTTCACTTCTACCTCCACCAAAATCATCACCAACTTCAATCATTCATCACGCAATCAATTTACGTCCAAATGGCCCCAAAAAGACATCATTCTCCTCATACGCGAACGAGGATTATTTGGAAATATAATTCGGGCGTGTCGGCCGCCCGGATCGCGCGGGAAGAAGGCATCTCTCGACATACAATTTACGGTGTGGTACGAAGATATCGCGACCAAGAGAGTGCCGCGGACCAACCTAAGTGCGGTCAGCCGCGCATCATTAGAGAGAGGGAAAGAAGGAGAATTTTGAGGGTTATTGCCCAAGATCCTCATCTTCAGATACGTGAATTAATTGAGGAAGCCGGGTTAAGCTGCTGCAGGGCAACTTTAATCTTATACCTACGGAAGGAAGGAATTATATATTATAAGTCTCTTCTTCGACCTTTCCTTAGTAAAGCCAACGCCAGAAAGCATCTACGCTTTGCACGGCGGTATATTCATATGGCTGAGGACTTTTGGGAGAAATAGACCTTCTCTGATGAGGTTATCATCGCTCGAGGAGAGGGCCAGAGGCATACATAGGTTTTCTATAAACCGGTATATATTCTTTTCATAACTACGACTTTTCTAATTATTTCTAGCACGAGAGACTCTTCAGAAAGAATATTCAGACACGCATACAACCGACAAGGCACTCACAGATGTTCTTTAGTGCTTTTAATCATCGCAGGCGCCTCCCGATGGTCCCCCTAGCCGGCGATCCAGAAAGCCCTCGCGGCGGAGTAACTGCGCAGATTATCCTCGCATGCTTATAGCGATACCTTCCCCGGATTGTGATAAGGAATAGTTACTTCCAACATGACAACGCCAGCACATTTATAGCCCACATCGTACGAGACTGGATCTATGAGTGGTGTAAGAGTCGAAGGGCCGAGGTGGTAGACTGGCCGCCTTGCAGCCCGGATCTCAACCCCATAGAAAACCTATGGGCGATCCTTAAAGAGAGGATTTGCAAGCGATATCCAGAGCTCACATATATGCCCAAGACCGACGAAGCAAAGCAGGCTCTTATTGCAGCTGCGATCGAGCTGTGGGAAGAGATTGAGCCAGAAGTCATCGATAACCTAGTCTACTCAATGAAGCGAAGAATGCAGGCTGTTGTGCACGCCCACGGCTAGTATACTAAGTATTAGATATACCAAAAGATACAGCTCTCAATTATCTATAGATTGATATAAAATAAGATGCAATTGGCCTTCATTTGGCTGCGCAATAAGGCGCTGAAGATGTAGTCTCATTTGGTGATGGTACTGATATAGCGGGGAAACCCGGAATGTGTCGTTACTTTTTGAGACCCACTGTAGCATTCTTCCACTCACTCACACAGTCCATTCATCACTTCATACCCGCCGCAACAAGACATGTGCCAAACGCATTCTAGTAGAACATTTCTCAAGTTGCCACCTTCGGAACATGAAACACGAACTCTTCTCAAACTAAGATCTTACATCTTCTCTATAGTATGCCCGAAACTCGTGACCTTTTCTGGCGCCGGAGCGTATCGTGAACTGTTGAACGTCTGCCTATTTCCGAAAAACACCGCGAAACATATTCTGAAGAAGGGGTGTGCCTACTAACTAAACTCTAGTGGGTGCTTGGGCCAGGATGCCGTTCCATTAGTGCAAGCCAGCTCGACCAGTTTGTGCCACAGTTCGTAGCAACAGCATTCAAGGAGGAGTCACAAATGTTCCAACTCTCCCGTCTACCACTTTTTGTGTGTACTAAGAAAAGATCGTGAGATCGACTACAATGAAAAGGTATTCTATACCAGTGTCTAACCTCTCTACCACCTGTGATATCGGTCCGGCTTGTTCTCCTCCACATCCATCAACTCAACCACATCGGAATCGTCAGAACATGGCATGTAAGAGACTGACTGCGTCACACTCTTCTGAATTCCATTGCTTGGGAACGGCGACTTGGAGCCGCCAATGCTTTTCGATCGGTACTCGAGGGAACGGTTGGTGCTGCCAAACAAGCTTGGGTAGGCTCGGCGTAGGAATGCGAGAAGGGCGGGCATGCAGCAGCAGATGATGGAGACGTTGCACTCGATCACACTGTATGTTGCAACCATGACGTTATTGTCTGAAAAGGTTAGTTAGTATCCGTGAGCCTTTTCAATCTTGAATAACTTACACGTTGGGTTCGAGGTCGCGGAGTACGTGACGAGACCAGAGAAGCGGACGATGCTGACGACAGTGATACTATCAAACATTAGTTGTGGCATTGGCACCATTGGGGGAATAACTTACATGATACCGACGCTAAACATCAGAATCAGATAGACCTTCTTCTTCCTTCCCAGCTGCAGCTTGAGAAGCTGAGGAATGGGGAGAGCGATGATCCACAAGTCGGTGACGATATTGATGGCCTACTCAAGTCAACAAGCCTTCTTTGCTGTCGCAGTAACTACCACTTACCGAATGAGCCCACCAAAAGGTATTGTTATCATAACAGACACCCTCCTTTGTTCCCTTCCAGTTCGTCCAAGCAGCCTCGACGGGGACGCAAGCTAGGATGGCAGCGATAGTCGTCGACACCATGAAAAGGGCGCAGTGTGCTATGGTGCCCCAACATACCATCTGAAAGATCTTTTGGGGGAAGACTCGGATAAAGATGGAGATGATGGCGATCTTGGTCAGGCAGATGGCTGGGATGTACGAGACTTGTGTGACCCAGGTGTACTGCAGGCTTGTTAGAGACTTGCTGGCCCAGAATACTTGACGTGGTTCTTACCTTGACGACATTTGTGATTTGTTGCTCGCTCAGGGTCCAGATATCCTTCCCAAAGCCGTTGGCCTTCACTGTTGGTTATCAGTATAGACGTCGAGGATCAAACTGGAGTCAGCGACCTACTGTAGAACTCAAAGACATCCATAGGTATAGAAGATACCTGAGACAATCAGTACTCTGTGCGAAGGACAACCACGATGCCCACTCACCATTGCACAAACGGCACAGATATCCGCCCATTGAAATTCCTTATGATACAAACACTCAAACACACGCAGCGCAATGAATGCCAAGGCCAAAGACCCAGATACAGCAGTTGCAACTGGCGCGATAAGAGTCCTGTCTCTTACTGGCTCCCCACAGAGCGTTGCCGTTCCATTCCTCGCAGCTAAGTATCGATGTTAGAGTCCGAAGCACGAAGAGGAGATTGTTCAACGCACCAAGAGCTTCTACCACAGTGCAGCTTGTGAGTGTGCAGGCGCCGACATTGTCGTTAAGGACTGTGTTGGCGCATATACATTCGGCATCGGTCGGTTCGCATTTCGAGTCTTTGAGGAACTTGACTAGACAATCGCTCTAAGAAGTGTTAGCTTGTCAAATTTATCGTTTGCGCTCTATCTTGATCAACTTACCGCACACATTGGCATCTCCTGTGTCTGTGCAAGCGTAGCTAGGCCAGCCACGGCCAACATTACCCATATTGTGAACCTCATCGTCTGCTGTTGTCGATACTCAAAGGATTATCAAAGAAGTATACAGGGAAACCAACAACAAGAAGCCTTCGGAACCGGCTCCGCTGATATTTCAACCCGAGAAGCCGTTGCCTGCGCGTCATTTCCCCACGCGAGAAAAGAGAAAACTCCTCCTGAGTATCACATCTCAAGACACGGCATCCCGGCTCAGCACGAGGCATAACTCTGCATTGCCTCCACAGGCAGAGATGATCACTCTACTGGGGTATAGTTAAGAGTCTTGGTATTGGGAGATCATCCACTGCATTCAGTCGCTATTCTGCGCTCTTGGACCTTGATAAGAGCCTTTACGTAACTTGGGCTTCACGAAGGAAGCAAAAAAGCAAATATGCCGAGCCTCTTCCATGTAAGTTGCGTCTTCTCCGAGGTCGAGATCTACATGTTCGCCTAACGTCCTTTGTTTCAGGGGCACACAGAGATTCCCGCCACCGGGCTGTTGGGACCTTGTCGCGGGAGGCACCCCCGCGAACCGGGCCCTCTTGGCGGCCGTTATCCCGGCGGGTAGCCAACGTCCCGGGGGGATTCACATCGCTAATTTAGCGCTTATATCGGGTACATAAGGCGAGAAGAGAAAAGTTCATGACTGGAGAGTGCCATTGCAGACGCCCTGTGGAGACATGTTGGGGGACTCCCCAGGAAATCCCTCCCATGTAACCCTGCTAAACTGACATGTCACTATCACCTCCAGTCCTCCTGAAAATCTCTCCGCAAGTTGGGTTAACGATGAGACTCTACAACTCAGCTAAAGCTCGCTGAAGAAGTTAGCAATCTCATAGTTGAAACGAAAAAAGCAAGCACTCTACAATCACCAACAGCAATGAAAGTCAAGACAAGGAATTGACTCCTCCCAACCCTGTTGGTTCACTCAAGGTTTACTCGATCAAGCATAGCCCTCGACTCGGGATTCTCGAAGGAGTAGAGATGGCTTGCTTAGCTGCCTCTCTGCTTCCTCTCCGTTGTCCCGCAACCGAGCAACTCCACCCTCATACATGAATACGATGGCACCTCAACGGCCGCGAGATACGCCACTTAAAGAAAAGAGATTGACGATCCCATGCATAATTATCTCTCTGCGCGGACCAAACCCGCGTCTCGCGATTGGGTAATTCCCGGGGCATTGATCCAGGGTGTGTCAACGTGGGAGGTAGATGTGCTCGAGTAGAAGAATACAGCACCCCCGAGACATTTCCCACGTGGAAACGTGTCTCACGGTGTTGGCTTTTGCTTTTGCGTCTCATTCGTGCCTTTGTTTGCCATGTTGTTACAAGATCGGCGCTCTCTGGGCCTCGCAGTTGTTGGAGCCTTTGTTGCATGGCTTCTAAAACGGTATCTCAGCGGACGAGGAAAGGGTCCTCTTCCACCAGGACCCAAGCCAGCTCCTGTGATTGGCAACATCCACCAACTTCCGAAGAGTCTTCAGTGGCTTCACTTGTACCGCTGGAGCAAGGAATATGGCCCAATCATGCACCTCAGCATGGGCGGCCAGCCGCTGATCATCCTGTCCACGCATCAGGCTGCCCATGATCTGCTCAACAGACGGAGTGCGCAGTACTCGCACCGGCCTCGCATGGTTATGGCCGGTGACCTCGTTACCAAGAACATGCACATGCTTCTCCGTCCTTACGATGAGAGGTACAAGCTGCATCAGCGCATGGAGGCTCCTCTCCTCACTCTCCGATCTGCAAGTACATACCGTCCCCTACAGGACATCGAGTCGAGGCAACTGCTGTTTGATGTGCTGGGCGAGTCAAACCAGGCGGGTGATAAGGGTGTCGACTTTCACCACCATCACGAGCGTGCAATGGCCAGTTTCATCTACTGCATGAACTACGGGTACCGTCTCAAGACTGGCTACGAGCAGGAACTCATGGACGGAAAGAAGGTCCAAGCTGAGTTTGCCAGAACCGGCCAAGTTGGTGCCTACATCGTCGACTCATTCCCGTCCCTCAACTACCTACCCAAGTTCCTCGCACCCTGGAAGAAGGAAGCCGAGGAACTGTACGAGCTCGAGCGACAGCTTCACGTCGGAAACCTCAAGAAGGGTCTTAACAACCGTGGCTGGAACTTTAGCAAGTACATGGAGGCTTCTCCTGAGGCCACCGACATGCCTACCGAGGAGCTTGCCTTTGATCTTGGGATCCTGGCTGATGCTGGTTTGGACACTTCAACTGTAGCATTAGACTGGTTCATCGTCGCTTGGATTACTTGTGGCGAACGATGGGTCGGCAAGGCGCAGAAGGTTCTTGATGAGGTTGTTGGCCGAGACCGCATGCCCACGTTTGAAGATCGTCCGAAGCTGGCCTACATTGATGCCATCGGTAAGCGAGCATCCCTCTCATGAAAGCGTCAAGTCCTAACAGCCCGATAGCCAGTGAAACCCTGCGATGGCGCCCCGTTGTGGTTGGCGGTGTCCCTCACTTCACCAAGAAGGAAGACACTTACATGGGCTACTACATCCCCGCCAACTCGATCGTCCTCGGCAACGCCTACGCCATTACCCGCGATGAATCCGTCTTTGGCGAAGACGTAGACGCCTTCCTGCCCGAACGATGGCTCGCCGATGACGCCAACACAAAGGAACCCAATATCGATGCTTGTGGATTCAACACAACTGCCTTGAAGGATCTCCCTCACACAGGTTTCGGCTTTGGTCGGAGAGTGTGCACTGGAAGAATCATTGCGCGGAATCAGCTGTTTATCCAGATGGCGCGCATGCTTTGGGCATTCAACGTTGAGGCAGGTATCAACGAGGCCACAGGCGAGAAACACAAGGTGGATGATATGGACTGCACCGAAGGTTTTGTGACGCTTCCCAAGCCCTTCAAGACTGTTTATCATCCTCGAGGCCAGTGGGTGAGAGATACAATTGCCGAATCTGGTACTACTCATGGGTTGGATCACGCTGCGATTCTTGATGGAGCAAAGAAGGACCGAGCCAAGGCGTAGGGGGTGGGATAGGGAAATTCTACTTAATATTGTGTGAATCAATTTATTACATAGCGTCTTTGAGATGGGCATTTTGACATAACAAGTTGCAAGAATAGCTTTGACCGAGAACTTGGGCGACATGCCTAGTTTGTGACAATGCATAGGAATATGATCCATTTCAGGTTGGGAAAACAACTATCAGACTACCTCTGAATCACTACTCCAACTTAGGGGGGAAAAAATTCAAATCAGATGAGATATATGACGGAGGTTAGCTTTCCCTCGTCGGACCGGTGCGACACTTCTTCCCACGTCTCATCGTTGAGCATCAAGCTCATCTCGGGATCATCAGCTATTGCCCACCCTATACGCCGAAACTGGTCGCGCGTCTGATCCACGGGTCTTACCAGCATGCAATGAAGCGCCGCTCCGCTCATGTCATAGTCACCTGCTTCAGGTCCATGTCTCCAATGAATGAGGTACAAAGCTTCTCTCTCAAATGTGTGGCGATCCGCGTCAGATATGTGAAAGTCTAGCCAAGCATCTAGTTCCACGGTGCTCGGTGATATCCCCTGGCCTGCTGAAATATGGACGATGGCTTTCCAATCGCCTTGTTTACGCAACTTGAGAGCCCGTACTCTTCCTCTGACTCTTAGCTGGAATGCGGAAGACGTCAATGGGGTGCCAAAAACGTCGTTTGCGAATGGCTGGTCCGGAGTGTTGCAATGTGGCCCGCTGTCGATGGAAACACACTGAACCTGTGGCAGAATTCCAATAGCAAAGGGCCCCGAAGAGTTGATCTGGCCTTTCACCGACGCCCAAGAAAAGGACGGGGCGTAGTATGGTGGCTCCTCGCCGAACAGGTATCGTTCTCGATCCGGGTACATCCACCATGCCAACTCAGCAGAAAGACGCTTTTGCCACATACCAGCCAGGTAGGTATCTTTAATTATGGTCTTCGTATATTTTGCGACTCCAGAGATTGCCACGAGCTTGTCGGAGGGGTAAGTGAACTGGCATTTGGTGTATGCTTTGATGATGTCGTCCCACACTTCATACGGCAGGTCTTCGAGGGGGAAATTCTCGTCTCCATCCCAATCGCAACCTTCCCAGAGCTCCGACGGCAGTTGCCTGAGAGAGACGGTCTGGCTCAGGTCCAAGAATTCTGCAGATGGCTGAGACTCTGGGAAGCTCTCACAGCAGAAGCGTTCACGACATTCCCAGAAGATCTCCTGGCGACAAAAGTGTATCACCCTAGGAGCCAATAGGCGTTCTTGGAACACCCAACCTCGTCTGTTGAGCGGGGAGTTATTCACTTCAGTTGCCCACATGTCCCTGTCTACTGAGGTCCAGTCTACGACGGCGCCCCCTTTTTCTCGTGTACGGACGCTGACCCGGCGGTAAAAGTCCAAATCACGATTGAAGAAGAGACCATCGATTTCTGAAGCGTCATCAGCTGAAATATTACAATATGCATGTTGGTAGACGAGGTTCATGCGTCCAGATTCCGCATCCCAGTCACGGCCATCGTCTCCACGTTGAATGATGCAGAGACAATCGATCCACAAGAATCGGACACCAATATAGCGAGCAACTATGATGGCTTCCTTGAAGGTACGTGAAAGAGCTTCGACGGGCTTTCCGGCTCTCAGTTGATCTTGATTGTCCTGGGTCAGCATCATGTCTCGTTGCGTTCCCCATCGGTAGCTGAGCGTGATATATGGTTCGTTGGGAACTGTTTCGTTGCCGGGGATGACCTGGAATTGCCCTTGGACGTTGCCAATATCGATTAGTCGCGTGGGACGGAACGTGCTAGTTATTCCAGACACACTGCACTTTGAATGGGACAAGACGCAATGGTTCAACCAGCCAACAACCAATTGAAGTGAGATTGGCGAGCCGGTGTTAGAAGGCAATTCCAGCGGTCGAGAGAACCTCGTGAGCTCTGTAACATGTTAGACACCCAATGTTAGGTATTGAGCAATTACTTATGCGAGACATGCCTGTTGTTGGTATGAGAAACAAGGCACCGCAAGCAATAGTCGCCTTGGCATGAACACCGTCAATCTCAAGGCCGAGAATGAGCTGTGGTAGCTTGTTTCGCACAGACTGGGCTACCTTCCAGGTGATTCGCGTGACTTGCTGTCTTTCGCCAACCAAGCAATGGGCAACACGTCCCCCAGACGTAAGTGTGCTTATCTGTTCATCTGCCGCTTCTTGGGATGCTAGCTCATCGAGCTTTAGCTTCCTATCAAGTCGAAGGTGGCGATATCCCAGCCAGCACAGATGACACCGCTTGTTGACAGCATCAAGAAACTCTGTGATGGAGGAATGATGTGGGACGGTAAGAGGACGAGAAGGAACGCTCTCGTCAAGGTTCAATACCTTGAGGCAGATGTGACAGAGACTCATCTTTGGGGAGGACAAGTGTGAGGGAAAAGGGGGCGATGCAGTTTCAAGTGCAGGGCAATGGTAGAAGCCTGGACGGATCAGAGACGAAAAGGGATGGGCTGCTAGAATAAGATATGCCGACGACGTGCGCTTAGACCACAAGAGGAGAAAGGGGCGATGTGACCCTTCATATAGTTGTTCTTATGGCATAGTGGCCTAGCGACTTGCTTTATAATGGAAACGTAGTGTGGCTCTGCTTCCTCACGTTTGAGAGCATGCTGCCTCGACAATAGGAGAGCTCTTCAGCACATATTTCGCAAATTACCTGATACCAGCAAACACTCTTAAAACTTGGAGCTGTGTGTAATAGTTCTTTTACATCCCTGGCACACTCGGTATCTCGGCTCTTTCCTATCGAATGCGAAAGCCACGGCAACAAACCCGTCCTTCCCTGGGTCATTACTCTTGACCAGTACGCTGGCATTGCCAACTGATACTTCCACGAAATTATATTGAGGGACCGTTTGAATCCCGAAAAGGCCTTCACAACCATTGGCCTTGAGCACAGATAGAAAGTCTGTCAAGAATGCATCTGTTGGGCTCGCAGTAGGCTCACTAAAAGTTAAGAATTTTGGTACGGCATGCTTGCAGCATGGGAGGAAACGCACTCAGAATACACTGCAGCAAGCTCCATTGGAGCGATACCAGCTGTAGAAGTCATCCATGCAGCAGGAACGATCTTGCTGTTGCATGACGCCACGTCATCCATGGCTTGTTGACCCATCAGATGACCTGTACCATTCACACGGACAATAGCTTCGCCATCTTTAATGTGATGATGGGCGTGCTGTAGAATGAGGCAGAATGCATCCTCGCAGCCGTGCTTTAAGAAGACATCCCTGATGGGACCGTTGAGCAGATGGTCAAAGGGAATGGTCTTTGTAGGCGACACTTGACGTTAGCCAGCGAAGCAAAATTCCATGAACCAGAATGGCATATCAACGCACTTTAATCTTGTCTTCAGCCTCCTGCAAAGTTGGAAGTTGATTGTAGACATGAGAAGCTATGGCGCAACTCATCCTGGGCAAAATGGAGAATGGGATAAACGTTGAATCTGGACTGCAATGACTACTTGTTGCTCTCTCACAAATGCAGTGACTTGATTCACGCTGGAACATGGCTATTTATTCAACTCTAGCCTAAAAAAGTCCAAGGAAGAAAGTGGCCCGTCACTCGGAGTTACTCTCGGGTCATGCACGCTCGAGTAGGTGAAACCCCGGAGACTTTCCGGCAGCTCTGCGGCGCTGCGATGTGCAATGATAGGCAGGCTATGGATCCGTGATACATTTGACGCGCTCATGCGAGAGCTGACCGGTCGATAGATATGCAGCCGCTGCGCAACCGCGTCCTCCCCCGGTCAGCTCGTTCGTTTGTAACAGAGCATGTCTCACTGCTACTTATGTGTAGCCAGTGCTGGACGGGGGATTCATCGTACAAGGAGCCCCTCTTTTAGATAAGAAAGTGGCGCTCGGTGAGACAGCGCGACCTGCCTACCTATCTACCCGTGTGATGGGGGTTTTGAGGCGAACACTGTATCAGAAAGCAAGCAAGTTAACAGAGTTAAATCATTATTATGACAGATTTACATCATGATGTTATAATTCTGTACTAATTTATGTATATTATGAGAAGATGCTATGTTAATTTCTTATCCTAAAGCCAGCAAGTTGACCCAAAAGTGTGATGCAAGGCGGCATGTGCCCCTCTTGCAAGCCCGCACAACACGGTCACCCACGGCCCCCCGCACTCGTGACAGCCTACCTCTTTCCAATCTCTTCCTACCTCCTCAAGAGGACAAAGTCTCTTCTCTTTTTCAACCCGAGTCGGACTGTTATCGCCTTGCCCAACCTATGCCGACATTCCCTCTTTTGTTGACTCAACACGTGGACTCATGCGCTGGCCCTTGCGGATGCCTCGCACCTCCCGGCTTCCTCAGCAGTGCAGTTTTGCGACAGTCTTTTCGCGCCTCGCCCTACCAGCAACCATGCCTTCGTCCCTCGCCCTATCCACTACATCCTCTGCTAATGATTGCCTTGGCGACGGCTGGCCCCTGATGTCGGATCCATCCCAGTGGGACGGCCGTGATCTTCTTGATCTGGTCGACAGAGGCTAGAGCCCTTTCACCACTACATGGGACGTCAATATTCTCTTCCAAGAGGCTGAGGACAAGACGGGAGCTAAAGTGATCGATGTCCCTCGCGCTCACACTGGGACCAAAAACTATGTGCGTAATCCTACTGATTAGCCATGAGCATGAAACTGACAAGAACTCCGAGTCTAGGCTTTCACTTGAAGCTATCCGATCAACGCCCTGTGCTGGCGCGTCTGGGAAACGCAGATGTCAACATGCCGCGCTATGACGGATTTTCTCTCCACTGGCTGCACCGACAACTCGACTTTGAGGTTGCCACCTACAAACTTCTCAAACACACCCCAGGCATACCAACCGACCGACTCCTTTATCACCGTCACCCTTTACAGCATGCGGGGATCAAGCACGGTATGCCCGCGGATATCAGTGGACGACGTTTGATGATCTTTGATATGGCACAAGGCCAGTGCCGCCTTTGGTCTGAGCTTGACGAACAGCAAAGGGTGAGTATGCTTGCCCGTTGACCCGGAGTGATTCTTGCTAACCCTCCAAGATGTCAACTCTGGCCGACGCAGCTACGATCCGTGCTTCATTGCTCAACCTGGTGCTTCCGTCCCAGTTTGTAAGCAACTGGTTGTTGTGGCGTACCCTCCAACCAGTGGAATGGATGCCAAAGAAGCTGTCTCTTCCCATCAGCGCGACCCGCGACTTCTGGCTCGCCACACTCAAGGCTAAGGTCGAGGCCATGATCAAGAATGAAGGTGACATTATCGGTTGGCCTGGGAACAAAGTAACAGTAGGGCCAAAAGCCCTTGCTGCTAAAGAGTTTATGTTGCGCTTGATTCCGCTGATACTCCCGGAGGGAGACGAGGCAGTCTTGTATCGCCCGGTGCTGCAACATGATGATTTCGGCATCCACAACTTGCTGAACCTGGTCAGTGGGGCAGTGGAGACAAAAATAACGTCAGTTTTCGACTGGGAAACAGCTTGCATTGTCCCCTTCGCCCTGTCCGAAATCGTGTTCTTTATCGCTGGCTGTACCTTGACCACGGATGAAGGTGGTAAGCCATCAGCTCAAGCCCGGTCTGAGTTAGCATCCAGGCCCGAAGAGCAAGCCAAAAACCAAGAATACTCTGCTGAGTTTCTCAAGGTTAGCCATTCAATCCCCACGTCCTTTTCTTTGGTGTGATCTAACTTGTGAGGGAAGCGAGTCAAAGAACAAGTCCCTTCCTTGGAGGAAGCCATGCACAAGGCCAATGACGCTCGCTATCTTTGGGTGAAGCTCAAAAAATGGAAGGGGCAGCGTCCTGAAGAGTTCTTTGGTGAACTTGGGGACTGGGCAGAGAGAAGATTGGCTGAAAGGGCCTCATGTGAGACAAGCAACCTTTAGGCCCCGATCATGAACAGGGGTCAAAAGGAATCACGCTCTGCGGAGGGACATACTGGCGCACAAAATTACGTTGGCCAGCGTCTTATACTCAAAACCCCGTCATGTTCAAAATGAATGCGGCGAGAGGGGGTGATTCATTTTGACTCACAAGATTATCGTCAATTGAGCTTCAAAGAGCAACTCCGCAACGTGCGGGAGCTCGTGGCGAAATGGTTACATGTCAGGATGCACTTAGGACAGTGATGCTTCTATTGCAGGTTGGGAGTGGTGCTGGATTGAGGTTGGCGCGGCTGATAGGTCTAACCCGAAAGCTCAAAGCCGGGTTCATTTTGAACCCCGTTCATGATCACGGCCCATGCTCGGGATATGCGTTGTTGCTGTTGTGGGGGCACTTTGGGAGAATTAACAATAGCAATCCGCTTGAGTTGAGTAGGGCACGTAGAGTAATTGTGTCATTTCAAGGAGCAACCGGCACACTGGCTACGAAGCTCGTAACACCCGGCTCTGACCCCTTCGCCATGCTTGATCGTTTCTAGTTGGCTATACATATTTCGTTTCGTAAACCCAAATACACCTTCGCCATTTCTCCCAAGCAATAGACTTTGCTCGGATTGTCATTAACAAAAGTCTGGGGTACGACTAAGGCCTAGGCGGGTACAAGGCCACAGGATGTAAAAAGACAACCTGTATCACGCACGGGCACTGGTGAATAATGTGACTGCGGACACTCCTTCAGCCTACTACCCACTCCCAGGGTGGCATTGGCGCTCCTTCCATAGACCTCCATAGACCTCCTTGAGAGGAAAGTGCCATGCGTTTGACATAATCTAATGTGACCCCACGTCAAAAGCTGCGTTCTTTGTTATTGTGGCCGATGGGTTCTTTGGGACTACGAGAACACGATGCAGCTGAAAGGCAAATAACAAACAACGTGACCGCATGTTAAGGCAAACGTTTCATTTTCTCTTCCCCTATCAACATCAGGATATCCCTTCCAACAGCTACTCGGAGCGTCCTTGACAGTGTAAACTTAGTCACTCCTTCAAACGAAGTTATCGGGTAATAATGACTACCCCACGCCCATTACATTCCCCGCAGATAACGTTATACTGGCCCTGACCGTTGCATCTACCGCAATTAACGGCGAGACCAGAAGGCATGAGTACCTGGCCTGTTCCAGTACACGGGGAGCATTGCTGCGAAATACTGCCCCTGCCGTTACAGATTGGACAGGTCACTTGCTATTTTGTAAACCGATCAGTTACAGCTGAACTATGCATGTGGACTGTTGCTCAAACTCACAAGTTGCATTGTGTATACCTGGTAGTAATGTGGACACAAGGAGTAGCTTGAACGGGGAAGACTAATACGCCTTGTAGAAGGTTACGTGAAGAAAAGAGATTTGGGAGGAAAGCAGATGAGTGATGGAAATGACGGCGTATATATAGATACCATCACAGCCTGGTTGCGGGAGTAAAGGCAACTCGAGCCGATATTCACTGAGCTGGCACGTCGTGATGGGCCAATGGGTAGAGACAAGCTATCATACCGGGTGAGAAGGATGCCTCATGATATGTTTGATTGGCAGTGTTTCTGCAAGAGGCGTGGTGGTGTTGGGATGATACGATGGTTGCATTGGTGTGAGTGCGCAGCCTCGTTTTGTTTATCTGGTTCCATCGTTATGAGAATGCTCACGTCTACTTTGACCGATCAGTTGCTTACAGAGTTGAGTTCAAGAGTGTTTTTTAGACTAGAATGCATCTACTCCTTTTATTTCGGGCGCTCAATGTCACGAAAGGATGGGAGCTTTCCGCTCTGAAGTCCCTTGAGTGTATCTACACACTACACAATCGTTACATTTGGTGTCATGAGAGGCAATCACAACCGTGATGCATAACATCCTGTCAGTTTCGAGATACACCAAAGCAATGATGACTGCATTAGGCTCTCAGCTTAGTCCAATAAGCACCGTCAGCTTCCCATCCTTCCAGTTTGACAGGTCTGGAGTGGGAGCCTGATCCGGTACATACTGTGCTATAGTAGTGATACTAATCCACCACAAAGTTTACATGTCTAGGCTCCGGCTCCCTTGCCCCTTTCAGGAAAGGAATGGCGCAACTACGGTAACTGTCTCTCGTTTCATACCCTCCTTAACGATTGTCCTCATCACACTGGTTCTCCTCCAAAACCCCAAAGAAGACCTGATCGAGAGTAGCCCTACTAACACTATAGTACTCGATCCCAAGTCTGCTCTTGGCCATCTCAATCTTCTCTAGCACGTCTGCTAATGAAAGACCGGCATCATCCCTACCCAGGGAAATCTCAAACTTCATCTGCCCGTGATGCATAGAGTCCGTGTCCACACTCTTCAAATTGCGGAACTGTCCGTGGACCCAATCATAGATATCCTCCATGTCGACTTGATTGGTGTTTGGTGCGTTGCGGTGAGCCAGGTGTACCGAGTAGCCGTCGCCGTATCGCATCTTCAACTCTTTCGTAGTGCCTTGGGCGAGCATCCGCTTGGCTAGGATGCCGGCTCGACTTGCGAGAGCGTTGGCCTCTTCCATCGAATGAGTTGTAAGAACGAGAGCTCTTCCTGGTATCACGGAAGCAAGTTTCCGCCACATCAAACGTTTGCTCAAGGCATCCATTCCTGACGAGGGCTCGTCAAGCAGCAACACAGTCGGATTGCCCATCAACGCAATGCCCAATGCTAGCTTTCTCTTGTTTCCGCCCGAAAGCTTGGTGGCCTTTCTGTCCACATACTGACGAATGCCAAGACCATCCAGAATGATGTCAATGTTGTGATTGGGGTTGCTGATTCCGCGAATCTCAGCGTAAAAACGCAAGTGCTCGCCAACCGTCATGGTGTCCAGTGGATCAATCTGTGGACAAACTCCCAGCTTCGACCTAGCTTGAGCAAGGTGTTTGATCATCGAAATGCCATCGACAGAGATTTCGGCATCGCGGTTACTAGGCGGAAGATCACCTTGGATCATGGAGAGACAGGTCGTCTTGCCTGCTCCGTTCGGGCCGAGAAGGGCAAAGCATTCGCCTTTGGGAACTCCGAAACTGACGTCTTGGACAGCAAATTCTCGTTTGAACTTCTTCTGTAGGCCCATGACCTCTAGGCAGTTGCCCTTAATCGTCGAGGTTCCGTTGCGTCGTGATCCCAGCTCGAGCTCAATAGGGTCACCATCTCTGCTGTTGGGCTTTGATTGTGGCCGTGGGAAGTGGAGACTGAAGCCCAAGTCGTTCCAGATCAGGATGGCCAAAAGTACAAGAGATTGAATGATAAGGTAGAGTATAGGTCCCCCATACACGTCGATAGCCCCAGGGTACGACGCAAAGTCTCTTCCCTGACAAGAAATCCCCCACAAGTTGATGGACAAGTAAATCGAGCGACCCAAGCTGGCTACAGGCGACACGGCACCCATGACATAGAAGATGATGTTTAAAATGAAGCTCTGGTCTGCCGGATCCTGAAACGTGAAAGTTGTGGTGTTGGCGATGAAAAAGATCAGGTAGAGCAGCACTTGGATTCCCGCTGAAATGGCAAAAACGGCCAGCTGAGACTTGGCTCTTAACGATAACACATAAGAGAAGAGTGTTGAAGTGATTCCGTAGAGAAGCAGAATGGTGAAGAGATACTCGAGATGGTACCAAACTCTTGACATGGCTGCAAAGATGATTGTGGCTACCGTGCTGACCAACAGCGTCACCAGGAAGTCAAATGCAAGATATGCCAGCCATAAAGACAGCGCATGTACTCCATTGTTGTAGTGCATCGCTCTGATACCTCGAAGCCTTTCAAATGTTGGATACAATCCAAGAAACGCCGGGTACACGGCCATGGCTAAAGCAAAGATGGTTGAAAAGATGAACAGGTCTCCAATGCTTCCAGAATATGGAACCGCGAGAACCTTGTAATTGCTCGAGATGCTGACGTTGAGGAGTTCGATATCGATCAAGTTTTGAACAGTGTGTCCAAATACCAGAGGTCCATCTGCACGCCAGGCAAACGTCGGTTCATCTCCCAAGAAGAAACCTCCCGGTGTGAGGTTGGCGTACTGTTTCTGGACCTCCTGGTGGAACTGGTCAAGGGTGTCGACGAGGGTCACAGATCCTTCGGGACTCTTTCTGATCGTATCCATTGCAGCGTCTGAGAGCTGATCTTCCGGGCCGGCGACAATTCGGTAGGATTGCGGGGATGTCGAGTCTTGACTTGACTTGAGCGATTCGATGCTTGGGTCACAGCTCGTTGCACCAAGTCCACCAATAAAGATTGAAGCACAGCCTGCAGCGATGATGGGTATGGCAATGGCTACCAAGTATGGCATTGGGTTTCTGCGGAAGATGGCAAATCTTTTGGAGAAGAGCACCTTGGCTTGAGTAAAGATGCTCGTTCGTTTCCCGGTCAGGAGGTTTTGGATCGATGACCCCTTGCGTGATGACCGTACTAGGGAAGTTGATGAGTCACCAGAGATATCTCGTTGATGACTGCGGCTTCTCCGGGACTTTCGAGCTGGCTTTGGAGAGTCTTCATCTGCAATCTTCAGAAAGACATCTTCGAGCGTTGGGCCATCCACTTGATACTCGGTGACACCGTCTGCCTCCAATCTCCGCAAGAGACGACAAGTGTTTTCAGAACTTCCAGACAGATAGACCGTCTCTTCATCCTGCTTCGTATGGAGTTCGTCGCCATAGACTTGATGTTCGGCCGAGCCGGGCGGATGGTAGACGTGGATGCGATACCCCAAGCCCAGGGTTTGCTTCAACTCAACCGAAGTGCCACTTGCCTTGAGTGAACCATGAGAGAGGATTGCAAGTCGATCAGCCAACAAGTCGGCCTCGTCCAGGAAGTGAGTCGTAAGAAGAATCGTCCGTCGGCCACGTTGCGCAAGCAGAATATCCCAGAGTTTCCTTCGAGAAAGAGGATCGACACCGGAAGAAACCTCATCGACGCAACAGACTGTAGAGTCACCGACCAGCATCAGAGCGAGCTGCAGCTTGCGTTTCTGACCACCGGAAAGAGCCTTGGCGCATGTTGACTTTTTCTTGGACAGGTCGCACCCTTCAATCAGCCTCTTGATGTGGGTTGCCGAAGAGCGTCCTCTGGTGTTCTTGATGCCGTCAAAGATGTGGATGTGTTCCTCGACGGTGAGTTCATCCCAGAGGACATTCTTTTGGGGGCAGTACCCAAGTTTTCCGCCACTCATCTCGTAGCTCAGTGATATTTCGCCGTCGGAAGCAGAATGCATGCCGGCAATGGCGTCCAGAGTTGTTGATTTGCCGCTACCATTAGCGCCGAGAAGGACCATAATCTCTCCTCTAAAGGCCTCAAGGTTGAGGCCCCGAACAGCGTGCACGGAGTTTAGCGGCCTCTTTATGAATCCTGACAGGAATCGTTGCATGAGTCGTGGCTCATAGGTCTTTGTAAACTTGTCGAGTCGAACCGCCACCGGAGAGTTGGGCGGACCAATTTTGCGATTCGCTGAAGTCGCTCCAAAAAGTGCCCTCTCAACAAAGGCGCCAAGCAGAGGGTAGACGAAGGCGTGGATGATGGCAAACAGCCAGAAGACAATGACGGGGTTGGTGGAATTGGAGTCTGGGGCTGATCCGACAAAACTTGCGCCCTTGCCATGTTTCTCCCATCGTGCCATGAGCACGATGAGGAAGATAAAGTTCATAGGAGGAAAAAGGAGCGACAAGATGACCACCAGCCAAGTCTGAACGTTGCCCGAGACTTGAGCTAAGATGGCAAAGACAAGGCCGATAAGGACGGAAGTGATTCCACTCAGTTGTGCTTTTCGAAAGAAGCTTCCGATAAAAATGGTAAAACCAGTCAAAGAAAGCCCACAGAGAATCATGGAGAGGATGGGGATGATAATCGTGGTCTTTCTGAACGCCATTCCGCCCATGACAGCACCCATGGCAATCCAACCCGGGCCATAAAGGATGACAAAGGCAAGATAATGAGCGAAGAGACGAACAGCCTGAGGCTGCCATGTTGCTTCGTTAGGCATCATGGTATCGAGAAGTTGTGCCATGCCTAGCTCTCGCTCGGTGGCCATGACTCCAGCGAGCTGGTAGAGAACACCGATCAAGGCGAGGTAGAAGAGAATGGCGAGAATTGAGATGATGTTTTTCATATATTGTTCATCAATAAATGTTTTCTGCTCCTTGTTCGATCGGCTCGTGAAGGGGTATTCAAGGACTTTGGTGGACAGAGTGTCTTCGGAAACGGTTGAGTTAATGCTGCCAATAGCAAAGTCGATGGCGTGCTGCAGCGGGAGGCTGTAAACTTGAGCATCATTATCCGACTTGTCAATATTGATGCCAGACCCGCCGAGAGAGCCGTCGGTCTGGAGGGTGTAGTTCCAAACGCCCCATTCTCCTTCAGAAGGCGAAGAGTGGAAGACTACTGCAGCTACGCAAGGCGAAGAGCCCTGGCCAGAAGTACTGCAGAGAACCCGCAGATCTCTCTCGCTCTTGACAGTCTTGATCTTGATGTTTGAATCGTGAAGGGGCCCGGTGACTTTGGAAATGACTTTATCGATGTCGCCTCCCGTGAAGCCGTTGTTGACAAAAACCATGCGATCACGGTGTCCGGTTACGGCACTGATAGCCTGAGGAAGCGTTCGAATAGCAAGAGGTTCTCCGATACCGTACGTCGAAGGTGGAAAGAAGAGGTTCTTTGTATAGCATCTAGCCAAGTTAGCGGGGCCTTGCTCCCAACCCCGAGGGAGACTCACAGAAAGACGACAAAAAGGAGTGGCAGGACAAAAGCGCGAAGAGGAGTCCATATCCATTTCCGAAATAGAATAATCCGTAAGTCCTTGACCGTCAAGGTCCAAAGCTGTCGCCAAAAGAGTCTCATCGTAAAAATAGGGGATGAAGCTGGTTCAAGTTGTGGTTAACGGTCACCTCCTTGACACATGATGGCCTGACGTTCTTATAAGGATGAATTAGAAGAATAAGCTTAAATTATTGACGTCAAAGACGCGCGTTTAATCGTCTAAAATTGGAGGCACAAGGCTGATTGATCATGTTTTGCATCGAGTCGTCGTCAACTTGGTGGTTACCGGCTCGAACGGGATTCCGTTCCCGGAGTTTTGGGCTTACGGGAGTGGTTGGTGGATGTGGTGATCCCTGTCTCTAAGCCTCGATGACCGGAATTTCGGGGCCCGGTCCGTAATGATTGTCGTTGAACCCTCAGTTTATTCGATTTGCCGGCCATCGGGATTTTATTGTCATAGAAATTCCGTCTGAAGGGATTCTGATCAAGTGGCAGTGTCGTATTAAGAGGCGCTGTTTTGACGCTTCCCGTATAGCAGTCATGCTTGATGAATTCATGGCGCTGATCCCTGTTTATTTTCAGTGCTTTGTTGGTTCTTGTTGGCAATCTCTGGGTATGGCTCACATAGCATCATTGATCTTGACTGAAATGGATCGTTTTCAACATTGACAGAATCTCACTTGGAACATACCATCCCCAATCCCGCGCTCGCCAAGCCACTTCACTCGGGATATCATTGGAAGATGGCTGACCTGACCCTTGCTTCCGGGCAAAAGATGATCCACCACATTTGCCTGGAGGGAGGCTGGAGCTTAGCGACGTGACTCAACTGTTGGTCCTTTCTCAACTCCTCCAACATCAAACTTCTTTTGTTTCCCAAGCATCACTTGATGCCGCTGTACATGCCTTGATAATAATGGCAGACTTTCAAGCGTTCCTTGACGATCAAGTCATCCAAAACGCAAACTTAGTATGCGAAATCAACCAACTAGCAATTGAACTTCGAGTCAATATCAATCAGCAAGATGAAGTCGACACAAGGATCAAGACGCTTCTCTTGGACATGTGCGACTCTATTGCCATGCTAAGCAAGCAGATTCGCCATCCCGACGTACGAAATACAGACATCCTTCCCGTCTGGAGATCCTTTCTGGCGCCCATCACGGCCCTCTCTCGGCTTCCGTCGGGACATTTCCTCTCTGCGCGCATGGTTCTTTACCTGTCCAGTGGGTTATTAAATCAACGCTCTCTAGACCTCAAATTCTCCAAAATCGGGTCAGCAGTAGGGGGTCGACCAGTGTTTCGACTGTGCAGGGAGATTGATGACACCTTGCTTGCATCTCTGCGCTGTATCTGGACCGCGAGTGGCGAGAGTGAACGGTTCGACTGGGTCTTTACACAATATGCTCTACAGCCTGAAGATGATCTCCAAGACGGAGCGAGTGGCTCAAGAAAGCTTGCACAAGCGCTCTCGCCGGAGGAACTAGTTGCCATGGGTGGGATTGAGGGACGTCGCTTCATATGGGCAATGTCAGCCGACGAGCGACAAGGAGATCTTGAAGAGTGGAAGCCGTTCCGAGGTAGTCTCCCAGGTGACGCCACAGAACGTGCGAGGTACTCAGTCCCAGATGACGACCAAGTAAAGCCTGGGGAATGTTTCTGGAAACAGGTCGGCTCCGATGGTCCGATCCGACAACGACTCCGCTACTATTCCACAGCTTCCGACCACCTCCGCCCAGCCAGTTTCAGACTAGGCTTCTATCATGAGCATATCGAGCTTCTTGAACGTTCGTGTCGGTTTATCTTGGACACGCGAAAAACGACGGAGCCGTGCTTGACAGACGCAGAATATGACCTAGTGCACAAGGCTCTCGTACAGGTCAACATGCCCCCGGAGATACGACGGAATATCATCAACCATCTAGAGCTTCCAAAGAGACACCCTTACCTCAGGCACTTTGATATCGCCAAGGCGTACGCTCCCTATCCGGATAATGAACGGCCTTGCGAAAGGTGTACGGAACCAGCAACGACGGAGAGAGACAAGTTAACCTGTCCGGAATCAACCTCTTTTGTATGGAATTTCGCTCTCAGGGCATTCCTTACGTTTCACCGACGTTCCATACTCGGCGACATCGCGCTCTGCAAGTATGGCTTTGATTGCCAGGGTCACCATCCCGACGATGACTGGGAGGTCGAAAACGAGGAGGAGTTTGTTAACCTGATGGAAACAATCGTCAAGGAACGATGCGGACATGGCATCAATCTGGACCAAGTCGGTTTAGGTCCAAGTAAGGAAATCACAGGCATAAACCAAGAGCAACTTGAAGCACAAGAGCTAAGGCTCATACAACCCATGGGTCCCCTTGAGGATGCAGCAGCCGAGCTGATAAGCGCCGGTGGCTTCCGTGGGTTGGTTAACTCGATGCTTTACGGTAGGGTGCTTGTTGCATTGTCGGCGGATCGGTACAAGTACCCCGCGCAATGGGGATTGGCGAGAGATCGGAAGGAGTATCTCAAGGCCATGCGTCTTATTTGGAGTTTACGGAATGAGGGTCACACAACCTCAAGCTGAGCGGCCTGGTTGCTGAAGATGGGTTTTGGGAAAGACAGGTTGGTCCATTTCATATCTGCAGTCACATTTCTGTAGGAGCTAGCACTTGATATAATGGTATTTGTGAGGTCTGCAGTAATTACACACAGGATTCTAACAGCACTGGCTGGAAAGACTCGACATTTTCATGCTACCTACAGGGAAACACACACTTGAGAAAACACCCAATAAAGAGATGGGTTTTCTCAGAGACGAAGATTGCTCTGGACCAATTATTGCAAAGCAATCAGAATGTCCTCAGCTCCAATGAATTCGCGAAAGTGCAGGTAAGCCTGCTCAGCCTCTGTCATTTGCCAACACTGCCACATTCTCATTCTTGGGCATAGCCTTGGGCACACAGCTGGGCAGAATTGCCCTGCCCAGCCACAACACGATTGCGATTTTGTGATGGCAACTCAAATTCTTTCGTTTCTACTCCATCCATAAGCTTGTTTGACGTCGAAACCTAACTCTCACGTCGACTACGCGACACAGGTATCAAGGCTACATCCCATAGTACAGGCATGGGTCACATCAGCTTCCAACACTAGCCAAGCTGCCATGCCTTGAACCTTCAAGCTTCTCCTAAAACTTCTCTCGTGGGATTTTCAACTTATCACTCTAAATACTTCTACAACCCAGCCATTGCCACTTCTCCAGAGACATCACTTCCGCTGGTGGCCTCCAGCATGGCTAGTCAAAATAAGATCATCAGAGTCGACACCACGGAGTCAACTACCTCGACCCCTGTTCCAGACATGGTTGGACATCCACTAGCCGATGCCTGTCCACAGTGGGAGTGGTTAAAGGCAGGGGTTAAATCGCAAGTTGGCCATGATAACAAACCAATGCAGTGCCATGCCTTCAAGCCAAGACCTGATCGTTGCAGGAAACAGTGCCAGCAGTGTCAACTTCTCCTACAGGCGTATCTTAATACGGACTTCGCAGAACATTGGCAAACTTTCCCACTTTCATGGGGCTCTACTAGGGAAGTTTCGGTCTTGAGATTCAAGCCCCCATCTAGGGGCCCTTCTATAATCCTGTCCGCAATCGCGAGTGAGTGATATTCCTTATCCATTGTAGCCTGTGTAGATACTTACAAGGTCAACACCAATAGACACTCCGAACCCGTGGGGTCTTCAAGGCCTGTTGCCATCGGCAGAGTCAACGGGGTCTTCCGCTTCTGTGCGTCTTGCTTGCCGGTGGTTAGATGACTGTATCAACAATCACCCGTCCTGTGGATCACCACACGATCCGGTCCTACCCACCCGAGTTCTGGATTTGGGCCTGGATTCATCTACAAGAGTATCAGTGTGGGAACCAAGAGGTCGGACTGGCCGCTATGTGTGCCTCAGCTACTGTTGGGGAAAGTCCGAGTTTACTATGACAACACAGGACAACCTTGAAAATCACATAGAACGAGGAATCGATCTCAAGGACCTCCCACAAACGTTTCAGGACGCCATTCAGGTCGTCCGGGGACTGAAGCTGCGATATCTGTGGATTGACGCCCTCTGTATCATCCAGAATGAGGACCATCACGAAGACTGGAAGCGCGAATGTGGAAACATGGCCAGCATTTACCGCAACTCTCACCTAACTATAGCTGCGGCTTGGGCAGACTCGGCCAACGGCGGATGTTTTACTACAACAGATCCCGGCGTTGTCTTTGGACCGGTCATGATGCGCAAGGTTTTCCATTTTCCCCCTGTACGAAATTCATCCGACTTCCCTATACTCGCAAGGGCATGGACTTTTCAGGAGCGATTGTTGGCGCCCAGGGTAATCTACTTCAGTCGACAGGAGATACTGTGGGAATGCACCGAACTACGCACATGCGAGTGTGGAGGAGTAACAAATCCAGTGCCAGGAATCGAGAAGCTCGACCTTAATAGCCAAGGCTACACCGGGGGCGTTGGTGAAATTTGGCGTCGGCTAGTGATTCAGTACTCAGGATTGCAACTAACATGTCCTGATGACAAGTTACCAGCTCTATCTGGATTGGCGCAAGCAATGACGCTTAGAAGTCAAGAGAACTACTTGGCAGGACTTTGGAAAGAGACCCTGCTGGGTGACATGTGTTGGAATGCGAGATATCCGAGAGCAAAGAGACAGCCTCAAACGAGATGGCGAGCGCCGAGTTGGTCATGGGCTTCAGTCGACGGGCCTATAGATTATTATGTGGACCTAAATAGCGAAGCCTTCACACGGTCTATTAAGGACCACGCGCTGGTTCGTGAGGCCAAGTGCACTCCAGCAGGCCCCTCTCTAACAGGTGAAGTGGAAGATGGCTTTGTTACACTGGATGGGTTTTTAATTCCTGCAAGTTTCGGGGACTCGGGCATCAGTGCTAACTGTTCAGACCTGAGATCTTTACAACTGACGTGGATTCCTGACTGGGTGTATGACATGGAAGAGATACCCGTCATTTATCTTATTCCAGTTATGACAATATGGAATGGATTCTTTTCGCATCTCTACGGGCTTGTCGTCAAGCCCCACGGTCAGGGTACAGAGATGACACGCGTAGGACTGGCGTCTCACGTGGAACCAGATGATCCCGGTGGTTTTGGCTTCTTGGATTGTGAAAAGCAGGTAGTTAAGATTGTTTAAATAATACATATGCCGTCTTTGCGCCTTCAAATTTCTCATGACCCGGCACCAGTGAGTTGATCAAGGCAAGGCCCTTGTCATTAATCATGTTACGGTGTTTGACGATTAGGTTTCGACGCCACTATATATCGATAGCTGTGCCTTTTTCTGTTGTGGCTGATGGCTTTATGTTATCATTACAGACAGTAATAATGGTAGTGATACATGAAAAGAGGCTAGTACTTGAATCCACCAACCCTCGTCCTCAGGACACCCTCAGGGTCGGCCTTGAGCTGAAGAGCCTTAAACTTGGCATAATCCTTATAAGTCCCCGTAACATTCTGATCTGCCATAGCATCATTCATAAACAGAGGAAGGTACTGGTCCGTGGATTGTCCATCAGACTCAAGCCACTCTGGAATCCTAGTCTCAATCCAATCCGTCAAGTCCCTAGTGAACTGGGGCACAATGTCATCCTGAGCCTTGTCGGTCCAGCTGCACTGAAGCTCCAGGATGATGCGGTCGGGGTCGTTCTTGGTGAGACCCATGGCGTTGCCACCTCGTTGCTCCGAGTGCTTTCCGATGATGGATGTGAGGGGTTGGAAGTCGACGGAGCATTGGGAGGCTAGGTTGAGGGGGTTGGAGAAGTACTTCTTGGAGATGGCCTTCATCTTGTCCGAGATTTCGTCGTAGATGCCGGGGTGGGAGGCAATGTATGGGATAGTGATAGTCTAGATGTGTTAGATAGGGTTGGTAGTCGACAGGTGTGGTCACATACTCTGAAGGACTGTCTCGAGTTCAGGAGGGAAACTCCGAATCCATTTGCCTTGAGCTGGAGCAATGTCAGTTAAAAGTGCCTTGCCATTCTCGCAGGTAACTCACCAGCTTAGGATAAGGCTGCGTCTTTGTCGTAGACACCAAAGTCTTGATCTTCAAGAACTTGGCAAACGGTCCCGTAGTCGGGGGCTTCTGGCCATGGTAGAAGTAAAAGACAAAGAAAGACCTCGCAGCGCCAAGAGTGTAAAGATTGCTAACAATAATAGCAGCCTTGTTGTCCTGGTTGTTGTAAGGCGTGAACTCGTGCAGAGCCTCAAAGATCTCGTCCGACTTGGACTCGTCGTAGATGCGAATGCCGCCCCAGACTTCGTTGACGGGATAGGCCTTGATGGTGAATTGCGTGACGACACCTGATGTTTGTTAGTTACGTGATCATTGGGAGGCAATAGGGAGAGACCAACCAAACTGGCTGCCGCTTCCTCGCATAGCAACGGCAAGCTCGGGTTGTTTAGCAGCATCAACGTGGACGATGGTGCCGTTTGCGGTGACTACTTCCCAGCCAACGATGTTCTTGAAAGAATGTTAGCACTATTCCAAAGGCGTTGTCGATAATACTCTTCGTCAGCCACAATAGCCAAGATAGATACATGACAGCATCAAAACCCAAACACATTAAGCTCCATCTTATTAACCTTTCATGGCTGCCGCCATAGAAATTCAAGGGTAGAGAGACGCTTATTGAAGTGCAAGATGCCACGTCTCCATTTCTCAAGGGAACAAGGGCAGTATCAACTTACATCGGCAGCGAGACCATACTGGGAGCTCAGGAAAGAGATGCCTCCTTGTAGAAGCAGACCACCGACTCCAACGACACCTAGGTTTGGTCAATACACATCTCATCCCGAATTTAATGTCCGACTTACCAAGGCGACCGCCAACAACGGCAACACCCTCTTTGTTGAGCTCAGAGATGACATCGTTCCATTCACCGCCTGGCTTCACGTACGCGACACCATTGTCCCGATCATACGTCGCCCCCTTGAGTTCCCCAAGAGAAATGAGCACTCCATTGTCGACTGTCGCATGACCAGCATTGGGATCGTGTCCACCACTCTTGACCGCAAACTTGACATCGGGGTACTTGTTCAGGATCTTGACGGCCGTCGAGACGTGCTCAGCCGATTTGGGAATAACGACGCAGGCAGACTTGATGCCGCGGAGGAGAGTGGACCAGTAATCGGACTGTTGGGAGTTGTAATTGATGCTGATGGGGAAGAAGACGCGCTTCGGCAGGGCTTTGGAGATTTCCTCACAAGCGTTCTCAGTGGGGGTGGTGCTTGGAGCCGCCCAAGCCACCGATAGCAACGAAAAGAGTGACACCTGAGCGAACAACATTTTGATGGAGTTGTTGCGTGGAGCTCACCTAGGGGTCAGAGAACGGGTAGCGTCGAGTAATAAACGCCTCCAAAGCCATATTTAATAGCCCAATGTCGGCTTTGTGCAAAGGATCTGCCGGACCATGTATATCCGCGTTGTCAGGTTATGCCCACAAATTGCAAGGGCTTCATGCGGGACGTGTTCTATTACTTTGACTGTCTGCCGTGTTCGGTAGGGGAGACTTGCGACTCAGAGCTGAGCCCTATACAATACTTAGTCTAAGGGGTACTCTACTACACACTCAAAGTACCTGCACAGATCCTCCTTGTCACCATTTAGCATCGCCCGCCCCTGAACCGTAATTAGATTTGGAGGCGCTCAGTCTCTGCCGGTGGGTACGCTAAGATGAGCGAGTCTATCGTTTCACGGCAGTTGGTGGTTCCACGACCACATTTGTATTAAAGTTTCCACCCTGACTCGTGTCCCCTTTAAGCGAGAAGAGGCTGACATAAAAATGAAAGAACTGATCAGTTGTCAATTCCGTTGAAGCCGGTGGGAACATTGTCTCACGTCAAAGTGGCTTACCCGAGGTCAAGGCGTGGCCCACTCAGCGCCACCGCTTTGACAATCCTTTGCTTCTTCTCAAGGTTATGAAACAGACAAGTTCATGCCTTTTACTTTTTATAGGAAATGTTCAAGATAGTGAATAGTTACCTTATCTTCTGCCGTGTCGTTTGTTTCACGAAACATGTTGATCTCTCCCAGATATCTGGAACTGCCATGTTTTTTGCCGATCGCGTGACGTGTGCCAAATCAGCCGGCGTAGTATTGCAACGTCAAGCGACAGGGTAGGATGCAATACCTGGCGATCATAATTTGCTCATGCCTGGGTTCGGGATCTTCTTGGAGGAGAAATTCCGACATGTTCTTTTGCTTAGAACCTCAACTGAGACATGAATGGTTGTCCAAGGCGTTTGGTGCAATGTCTACCTATACTTTGAAACTCGTGTTCGGGACACCCTGTTTTTCTGTGGAGCTATAGGGTATGCGATCTCATCACCTGAAGAGAAGAATGACGACCACTCCTGGACGATATAATGATGGTTCAGATACTGTTTACTGCTCGCTCTAAAGGATCATTCTATCAATTTACGCCAACATTTCTCGTTCACATCCATTTTTCATATATGTAAAGAAACACACGCATTCTTCTCTCATTTTCACCGACTGTTTTTAAGCAGCAGCTGGTTGTCGTCGTCGAGGCGCCAACGCCTCCTCCACCGTCCTCCCAAAAAGCTGACTTGGCATTAATCCATTGGTGCGAAAGATACACTCCTGACCATGCGTCTCCGGATTGTGTTCTCCCGGACGGGGCGTGATCTGGGCCCAGTCTGCGAGGCATATCCAACAGAACTCATGGTGACAATTGGAGCCTATTAAAGTCATCAGCTTTGGTTTTTTCGTCAAGAAGAAATTGCAAACTTACACGTCATGTGGAAACAGGCCTCGCCCTTTTGAATGTTCTGGTTACAGCTCGGACACGGTTTCGTGTTGTTGGCAATCCAGTCTTGCGTCTGCTGGTACTGCGGGTCGCCGTGATCCCTGGCGCTCTCAAACTCCTCACAGGTGAGGCCCTCATGCCAAGGAATCATGTGCTTGTAGCACATCTCAAATGCACACTCTTGGCAGTGAATGTGAGGGTCCGTTTCATCATCGTCGTCGTAAAGCTGGCCGTTGGGACATCCCTGGCGGAGACACCATCGGAAGTTTTCGAGACTGCTTATTGCGTTGAGGTGAAGGTAGCGGTCATACCTAAAGACTAGTTAGTAGCTTTTTTGGAAGACTTAAGAGATGACTTACAGCTCAAAGGTTTCCGGTTCGGCATACAGTCGAACTTCCTCGTACTCAAGCCGTCGAGTACAACCATCAGACGGACAAGCGAGCTGATCGCATCTACTCCGTCCGTACTGCTCAAGCTGCGTCTTGAGATGTTGCTCCAAACATCCAGTGCAAAAGTCGATGTCATGGTTACACCCTATCCTAAGCTTCACAGGGAACAGGAGAATCTTCCACATCCACTCACCGTGGAAGCCTTCGCACAGGTCTAGCCATTCTTCCACGGAAGCAAAATCAACATCAAAGAACCCGTCAGTACAGACTGCACATTCTTTTGGCGTTCGTTGTCGTCGGATGAACCGGATAAAGAGGGGAACTAGGATGCTGCCTCCTTCGTGATCGACGCGGATCATCTTGATGTTTCCGGGGTTGAAAGGGGGAATCCGACCAGCTTCGTCGGGCTCCGTGTTGTTGAAGACTGGGTCGAACAGTGAATGCATTCGACCAACTACGGCTAGTTGACTGTGCATTCTGGCTGCGATCTTCAAAGCTTCGTCACTTGGCTTGGGATCCAGCTTGGCGAGAGCAGCTCGGAAGATAAGAATGCGGTCATACCTGTAAGAAGTTAGTGAAATGCACAAGTAATGATGTTTATCAAGTGACGCTTACATGGCCATCTTGTTATCAGAGTCCTTGTCACCTAGCTGCCGCAACAAGTTTACAAGAGCTCCTCGATGAGTAAGACGCAGAGCATGGTCGCAGTTTGGTGCCGGGCAAGTCAACCAACTTCCTCTCTCCAAGTTACTCCACCAGTCGTTGGTAAGTGAATCTGTGATAAAATTCAAGTAACACTCGGTGCAGATGAACTTGGAGCAACAAGTAGTCGGCTGCGATGCACTCGCGAATTCATTGACACGAACTCGCGGGTTGTTGGACTTGTTTGCAAACTTGGGCAACTGACACAAGTCGCAGGGAAGAATCTTGAGATCTGCAGTTGAAATGTTTTCGGCTAAACGGCGAGCTTGTTGGGTATCGAGTTTGATGTCGAGGAGGTTATTGGTGAGCATCGCCAGCGAACATGACTGCAAAAATGGAGCCGCATTTGGTGTATTTCCAGGAGCTTCCGCGTTCTGGAAACCTTGGGAAAACATGTTGCTGACCAAGATCATCCGAGGTGTCGGGCTACTCCAAGGAACTCGAGCCGCTTCTTCCATCTGAGCCTCATGCCTTTGCCGCTCTTGCTCAACCTCTGCCATTTGTTGATCAAGAATAGCCTTGATATCCTCCATCTCTTGAACCTGCATAGCCAACTTCTCAGCCATGTTACTGTTCTCAGCATCGACAGCGCGCTTTCGTTGGTGCATTTCGAAAAGTGCTCTTCTTCCCTCGTCACAATCTGCTTTCTCGTGCGCCAGCTCAGTTTCCAGAGACCTGACCTTTTTCGTGAGCATGATCTTTTCTTGCTGCATCGTGGCGGGGGTGTCATCGGTAGGTTGTAGTAGGGCGCGGTTTTCGGCCTCAAGCTCGTCGACTCTCTCTTGTAGTTGACCTTGAGCTTCGGACATTCTGATATAAGACACTTGATACTCCTTCAACTGCTCGGCATAATCCTTTATCAGCGACTTTTCCTCAGCTAGGCGAATTTCCTTTTCCTCTAGTTGCTGTGCGTGTTGGTGTACTAGCTGTTCCTTCTCTTGTCTCAAGCGTGCAACCTTGTCGTTCAGCTGTCGAAATCTTCCTCTATCCCGGTCGACAAGCTGTCGCATGTCCTGGAGATCCTGATCCTTCGCCAGAAGCTGCTGCTCTAGGCGCCCTGCCTTGGCAATCTGTTGGTTTCGCTCCTGGTCGAGAGTCTTGATTCGATCGAGAAGAGATTCGACGACAGCATCTTGGAGATGAGTCTCGAACTGGGCCTCTTCATGGATCGACGGGGCAAAGGATGCGACATCTTCAAAGGCATTCGAAACACGACGAGGCTCCTGAGGCTCCTGAGGCTCGATCTCGGGAAACTCGGGGACAGGCGCAAGGGTGATGGTTGACTTTGAGGCCTTCTTGCCTCGAAAGACCTCGGAGAAGCTCCGTCTCAATTTGGTAGACATGATTGAACTGTTGCAGAACAAAAAGGAAACTGGAAGGGGCAGGCTGTCATATTTTTGCACTTGAGAATGAGAATCAGGCTGAGACGCGCAGTTTCATTTTTCCACAGCGGCAAGGCGACCGCATCCAAGGCCGGCCAAGTTCAGCTATGGCTGCATAAGGCTCTGGAAGAAACTGGATTTACTGGCCAGGTTCGCAGACACATCATGTCGTGGGATAGAGACTAGTGGTTTGACACAGCCTGTCACCGATTGCCAAGTCTCAATCCGCCTTTCTGCCTGGTGTGGTTCGCCAGCCGATATGATCTAGACCCTGTTTCAAAGTGCTGAATTGCCTATTGGGGCTGGTGTTTTCAATGGCGCGAGGCAGTCACATGCAGAACAGGGGTTGCAAGGCATTCGGATGGCTGTTTTTGCCTTGGCGTGAACGCCACCACCAGCTGAAGGCTTATGGGACAAGGCACACTTGACAGCTGTTATCACAGTTGTGGCATAGGACGAGTGAAATGTGAAAGGCAAAGTAAATACAGAGGAGTTACAGAACAGCGGCTTGTACACATGCGCTTCTCATTCAATTTTCGCCTTGAGGCGTATGCACCATAAGTTGCAATCCAGTCCAGATTGTTCAGTGATTGTGGTAGGCGATAGACCTATCGATTGACTCCGCCATTGCGATTTACGAAAGTAACATGACTATTATCCAACTCTTCTGCGTTCCCAAAAGCAGTATATACGAATGAAACTCATCCATCTTCCAGCCCGTTGACTTAGTATGTGTAGTGGAATCGGGGGTTGTGCTCTCCCAACTCCTCGGCCTCCTCCTCAGTCAGACCCTGGACCCTGTGATCCTCCTTACCAGCCATCTTTCGCTTGTTCTGGTGACGGAAGAAGGCCCAGAATGAGAGGTAGATGACCGAAGACATGGCAATCAAGGCCATGGAGACTGCGTGTCCCTTGACGAAACGAGGACCTTCATGGGTTTTGTACAACTGCACCGTGTCAGAAATCGTTCTTCAAGTTCATAGGAAGAGATTAAAACTTACAAATGGGGCTGGGATACCGGCAGAGTTTCCGATGGTGAGTTGTAGACCGGTTGCGACCGTACGCTTTCCATATCGAGGGTTGTTGCTGGGAAGCCAGGCGAGGGGAAGTCCAACGACGACGTACAAGCCCATGGCAGCGAGGAAGCAGCCAAAATACTTGACACCTCCTGGCGCAGTGCTCACGAGAATAGCATATCCAGTTGTGCAAACAAGACCGAAAATCACAGTAAAGACTGCACGGCGTTGACTGCGGTCAGACAGCCAGGCGACAGCAATGTAGCTGATAGCACCCAGTGCATAGCAAGGGATTGTAAGAGCCTGGACCTGCGCGATACTCCAATCACCAAGACCTCGGATAATAGTAGGCAGGAAAGTCGAGTAGCCATAAAGAATAACGTCTCCGCCAAACTGACCAATGCAGAACAGCCAGATCTTCCAGTCCTTAAGACCGGCATACACATCCTCCTTGTGCATCTGGTCCGAAGACTTGGTATGTCCAATCTGCTGTCGCATGCGCAGATCAATGAGTTCGCGTTCGTTAATGGTCAGGTAATGAGCCGAATCAGGCGTGTCGGCCAACCAGAACCAGATTGAGATGCCCAGGATTACAGTGGGAATGCCTTCAAGGATGATGATCCATCGCCACCCGCGTAGCCCAGCAACGCCATCCATGTGTCCGATGCCATAAGCGAGGAGTCCACCCATGGAACCGGCAATGGCAGCTGACACGAAGAGGTAGCCGATTCGGAGGGCGTACTCGCGCTTGGTGTAGAACATTGTGAGGTAAATCGTCAGACCGGGGAATAGACCACCTTCGAGGGCACCGAGGATGACGCGACAGGCCACCAAGCTCTTGTAGTCTTGCACAATGCCTGTCAAAGTAGCGACAATTCCCCAAGCAGTCGTGATGAACGCGATCCATCGCGACGGAGTGAATTTTTTAATGACCAAGTTCGAAGGAAGCTCTGAAAGAATGTAGGTGACGAAAAGCACCGAAACTGCAATCTGGTACTGGTCACCAGTGAGACCGAGGTCTTCTTCCATGCCGTAAAGTCGAGCGTTGCCAATATTGACACGATCTAAGAAGCTGAGGAGGTAAAGAAGCATGACGGGAGGAACAATCCATCGGTCGAGTTTGCGAAGGAGAGCCTTTTCGGCAGCTGGATCGATGTAAATGTCATCTTGAGCGGTGCGCTGCTGCTCCTCGATTTCCTTGTCAGGAAGGGTATCAGAAAGAGCTGTATCAATCTTTGAAGCCATGATTTCAAAAGACGAAGAAGAATGGTGATGGAGTGGAGGGAAAGAAACGTCAAAACAGAGAGTCGGGTCATGGACCATTTATGGGCCTCGTTACTCCACAATACCCCGGATCTTAAAAAGATAGTGAGGGGAATCTTTCGTTTGGAGATATCACCAGATTGTTCATGGATGGAGACTAGGATAAGACCGGCATGGGGTCCCGTAGGTCTCGACGACCTGCCTTGTCGGGGTGGAGAGGGCCCGGTCCGTGAGGGGTTTGCCGACGACATGAATCGTAGCAACCGGTATTTTGTGTGTTGCCGATCTTCTAATGGCAAAGCTTTGACGTCACTGGCTGGTGTCACCCGCGAAAAGTTAAGATTGCGTGGAATCCTTCTCGAAGCGAGGATAAACGGGTCAGGTGTTGAGTTTCACGCGAGTCATTTTAAACAGACCCCGGTAAGATACGGATATATCTCATAACAAACCCCGATAACAAACTTATGATTTTCTGCCTTGACCTATCTCGGATCCTTGTTCTGGTTCCCATTGTTTAGATAGGCGATATCTACAAGCGAACATACCCGTGGCAACTTTGAACTTGCCGACCGATAATAATGTTACGTTATCGAACTAGTCTATTTGTAGCAGGTATTCCGTAACTGGTTGATAGCCGGCCGATCAAGGAGCATAGTAAGACAGAGTAATTGCCGGGAATGCTGTCAATCATTGTAATCATTGCATGCTATCGTCATCTAATTCGAGGGTTCTCTCTACGCTCCAAACTGAAACTGCTCTTCAATCTCTGACGCAAAGTCTTTCCAAGTGCCATTCTCTGAGAAGAGGGCATCCAACCATTGTACCTGGTTCCCGTCTAGAAAACTACCAAGGAGAGGATTGCCGAGAACGTCAACATTAGCATAGTTAATAATGCCCAAATCTCCACCAGAGCTGCTTGGAATATTCATGGGCTGTTGAAAGGGATGTCCTGCACCCATCGTAGGATCTGGTGTCGCATCCACTTGTCCAGCAACTGGAGGCTTCTCGATGCATACGGGGTCTAATCGACCAGTGGCTCTGAGGTTCGAGACACCTGCCTGAATCTGCGATAACCTCTCGCAGAAATCGACAGCAGGGATATTTCCATCAGTTTTTAGCGACCGAAGCACGCTCAATAAGGTCTCGAGATGATCCGAGTTGACAGCCGTTGGCTTCATAACAGCCGACATGATTAGGATCATAGCCGCTGAAAAGATATGATGTGCATCCCAATATCCAAAAGTTGCCATTGAGCCATCAAGAAAGAGGCCCTCGACGATACGGCTGGATGCCTGCGCCGCATTCACGCAACTCTCTGCCAAAGCCAGGGTGATTGACGACACGGTTTGACGTGGCGGCACATCCTCTCGCACCTTGGAACCAAGTTGAAACTGCATTCTGAAGAGATGTAAAAGAACAGGGCGAGTTGTTTGGATGATGCATTGGTTGTACGCAAGGTGTAGACTCGCAACAGGTCGAAGCGTGCCACGCTCTTTGATTCGCATTTCGGGTGGCAGTTCGTCATTCCATGCTCGAAGTTGTTTCAAGATGCCGTGTACTTGATGAATATAGAGCCCGTTCGTCGCTTTCGGTATACCGTATATGTGCGTCACTGGCGAGTCAAGTTAGAACAAGTCAGGAGGCAGGGTGTGATGACTCACAGATATTTCCGATAATTCGTGCGAGCTTGATGTTGATGATCAGGTTTTGGGGATCCAAAAATTCTGCCATCTCTTCCCTTGTCAGACCATCCATACTTGGCATCTCGACGTCAATATCCTCATCTCTGACCGTGATGGGTTGACCAAGCTTCGAGGCCGAGAATCGGTCAAAGAAGTAAAGGACCCACCACGTTCGCCGACGGCTTTCTCGTTCGACCGGTGTGAGAGTTGTATGTCTTGAGGCGGATCGATGCATGCCTAGGCTCTGAGCAAGCCTCATGGCAATGCCACTGTAGCAGTATGCAGTTCTGATTCGACCGAGAATGTTGGAGGCCCATGCCTAGTTGTCTTGTTAGCAGGGTGACAACAATCGGATATTTTCTCTTACCAGCAGTGTTAGAACCTCGACCTGCATCAGAGAAGGCTCCTCATAGGCGTCTTGGTTCTCTTGGAGCAAGTTCACTGCCCGGACATAATAGTCTGTGCCGGGCACTCTGTTGCTGTCACCGACGCCTCTTCTATGTGTGTAGATTTCCCCTAGAGCCATCAGAGCGTAGAACTTGCATAACCATAGCGTTGACGGCATCAACTCCCGTCGATATACAGCATCAATCTCTCGCATGAACGTTACTTCTAGAAAGAGAGGATGGTAATTGCCAATGAATCGCCGCGCAACATTCAAGAGGAGCTTGACGTGCATCCGCTCTGGGAACTCGGAGCCGTCTTCGGCGGGCGCGTGGCTGTGTGTATTCATACGGTAGTAGTTGGATAGGCCGGCTGTTGACGGTGTGTAGGTGTCGTCAAGGCACGACATGAGTCGGTTACTGAAGGCAGCACATGATGCTTCTCCGATGAAGCCTGGCTCTGATGAACGCTCATGAACGGGCTTATCCGGTTGACGGTCGAATAGGGGGTTGAATAAGTTGCTTTCCTCTTTGGACAATGATGGGGGTTCGTCCTCGGTCTCGTTATCTTCGAAAGGGGTATTGAAGCTCGGCTCGCTCTCTGGTGTTGGGTTCTGAGTGACTGCGCGCAATCGTTTGCTGTCTGCCTCGAGCTTCTTGAGGTAACTACGCGAGGATATTCGGATGAGTTCATGGGATTGGGGCCTTGCCGGAGTACGCACCTTTCAGAGATTGTAATCTTTCGCTCCCTGGGAGGGAATTGACACTCGTTGACCCTACCAGTACTCACGCAAGACTGACATGGCTGGGTCCCTGAGCATTTGATCTTTTGAACGTGACATCTATGGCAGCTGCAATGCTTCTCAGTTAGAATATCTTGTACGTAAGATGCCGGAAGTAGGCGAGATGCTCACGCTGCCAGTAATCTTCTGGGTCGTCTGGTGGTCTGAACGCTCATCCTGGATGTGTGACAAACTGGGTGGATTCTGTTCGTATGCCTGGTCAACCCACAAGGAAATGGAACGGAACAGACTCGGTCTGCCGGAGAATGCGGGTCCGATGGATGTCTTGACTCCGGGGTAATCGGCCTGGCTTCGAGTCGAGTTGCCGGTTGGTGACCTTAGAGAGCCGAGGACGGAGGTGGAGACGTCGGCAAATGTCACGTTACCGAGTGGGTCGACCGGCAATCTCAACTTTGCCGATGACTAAGCTTCAATCCGACCAATGTCGTTTGCGGGAGACGAAGCCGAAGATTGCATCACGGAGTTCCCCCACAACATTGAGACTTTATCATTGCATCGAGGGTTGATATAATACACCATGGAGGCGGTCAAGATCCAGATAATCTTACAACTTCTTCTCCATCCTAGTCATCCTCCCCCGCCTTGAACACTTCAACCTTTACCCCACTCCTATACCTCCTTCACAATGGCGACTCAAGGCATCCGCATCGCCATCGACCGTGGTGGCACCTTTACAGATGCCTGGGCAGAGGTTCCTGGGAGAAGCGAACATATTGTCTTCAAGATCCTCTCAGTATGCCCAGATGAGTACGACGACGCCCCGACAGAATGTATCAGACAGATCCTGGAGATTGCCTTGGAGAAATCCATACCCAAGGGATCCTTGCTAGATCTCGAGCCCATCGAATCGATTCGTATGGGAACAACAGTCGCCACAAATGCTCTCCTGGAACGAAAGGGAGACAGAGTCGCTTTCCTTGCCACAAAGGGCTTCCGAGATATCCTTCTTATCGGCAACCAGACCAGACCAGACCTATTCGACCTTGCTGTCCGGAGATTAGAACAACTCTATGAGACAGTGGTCGAGATTGATGAGCGTGTCACAATTGAGGGTGCTAGCGAAGCTCCCGAAACCGCCCCAATCGATGTTGCATCAGACCCAGCTCTTGTCATGGGCCAGACCGGAGAAGTCGTGAGGATCATGAAGAAGCCAGACCTCGCTGTTGTGCGAGCCGATCTTGAGAAACTCAAGGGCCAAGGTTTCAAGAACGTTGCCATCGGTCTCATGCACTCTTACACATACCCGGAACACGAACTCCAGGTCAAGAACCTTGCCGAAGAGATGGGCTTCAAGGTCTCTGCTTCTTCCGTCCTCCAGTCCATGGCCAAGTATGTGCCTCGAAGTCAGTCCGCCGTTGCCGACGCCTATCTCACACCCATGACCATGGCCTATCTCGATGGCTTCCGCAAGAACTTCAAGGGTCAGTTGGAGGACGAGAGCGCGAATAAGCTTCTCATCTGCCAGTCTGATGGTGGACTGACAAGTTGGTCTAAGTTTACTGGTTTGAGGGGCGTACTGAGTGGTCCTGCTGGAGGCGTTGTCGGTTTGTCGAGGACATGCTACGATGATGCTGATGGCACACCGGTGCTAGGCTTTGATATGGTATGTGAAGCCCTTAGTTGACAAATTGTCTGTTCGTTCTAACAATTTCCCAGGGCGGTACAAGCACAGATGTTGCCCGATACTCCGGCGCTCTGGAGCACATCTTTGAGAGCACTATTGCCGAAGTTACGATCCAGACTCCCCAACTCGATATCAACACTGTTGCCGCTGGTGGTGGTTCCATTCTGGCCTGGGAAAACGGTCTCCTCAAGGTCGGCCCTAGCAGTGCTGGTGCGAACCCAGGACCTGCGTGCTACGGAAGAGGAGGCCCATTGACTGTGACGGACGCCAACTTCCTCCTCGGCCGAATCATCCCCGACTTCTTCCCCCGAAGGCTGGATCTTGACGTTGTCAAGTCCAAGTTTGCCGCCCTCACAGACATCGTCAACCTTGAAAAGGATGGTGGCGAGCCCTTCACCCCCGAGACGCTGGCTCTTGGCTTCCTCGCTATTGCGAATGCCACCATGACTCGACCTATCCGTACCCTTAGCGAAGGCCGCGGATATGGAGCGGCCAGTCATAATCTGGGCTGCTTTGGTGGTGCCGGTGGACAGCACGCTGTGTTTATCGCCCGTGATCTCGGTATCAAGCGAGCCATCATCCCCTGCTACTCCAGTATCCTGTCCGCCTACGGAATGGCCCTGGCTGATGTGGTGGTCGAGAACCAAGAGCCTGCAGCCATCACATTCTCCAAGGAAGTTGTGCCTGAGGTCAAGGGCAGACTCGAGTCGCTCTCCTCTCAGGGAGCCAAGGGTCTAGAATCTCAAGGATTCGACGCCAAGTCAACCGAACATGAGTACTTCCTCAACATGAGGTACAAGGGAAGCGATACATCCCTCATGATCCCCGTCTCTTCCTGCGTGGAGGAAGCCGGTGATGCTTTCACCGCGAGACATACGCAAGAGTTTGGCTTCTCTCAGTCCCGAGACATCCTGATCGATGATGTTCGTGTTCGAAGTGTGGGCAAGTCTCGTGTGCTCAATATCTCCAGCCCATTCGCAGAGCTCAAGAAGTACAACTCTGATGGCTTGACTCCTGTGCCCACGCCTATCTTTTCGCGGAAGATCTTCTTTGAGAAGCATGGATGGACTCAGACCAGCGTCTATGAGCTCAAGTCGATCAGCGCCGGTGTGCACATCACTGGTCCTGCTATGATCATCGATAAGACGCAGACCATCGTTGTCGATCATCTGAGCAAGGCTGTTGTCCTTCCTGAACACGTTGTCCTCGAAGTCGACAAGGCTGAGCAGCAAAGCGTGACTACTCAGACTGTCGACCCCGTGCAACTCAGTGTCTTTGGCCACCGCTTCATGACGGTTGCCGAGCAGATGGGACACACGATGGAAAAGACATCCATCTCGGTCAATATCAAGGAACGACTGGATTATTCGTGTGCCATCTTCTCTGCGGATGGAGGCCTCGTTGCCAATGCTCCTCATGTTCCCAGTCATCTTGGCTCCATGAGCACAGCCATCGCCTACCAAGCACAACGATATAAGGCCGGTGAGCTGAAGCCTGGCGATGTCATCATCAGCAACCATCCCACAGCTGGTGGTACACATCTGCCAGATATCACCACCATCACTCCAGTCTTTGATGACGAAGAGAACCCCAAGGAGATCATCTTCTTTGTCGCCAACCGGGGTCACCACGCCGATATCGGCGGCATCGTTCCTGGCTCCATGCCACCAAACTCGACCGAGCTGTGGCAGGAGGGCGCTGCCATCGAGTCGTTCAAGATGATTGATCAGGGCGTGTTTGACGAGGCTGGACTCATCAAGCGTCTGTACGATGAGCCTGCCTCTTACCCCGGCTGCAGTGGAACACGTACTCTGAACGAAAACATTGCTGATCTCAAGGCCGCTGTTGCTTCCAACCAAAAGGGTATTGAGCTCATTCGGTCTCTGATCAAGGAGTTTACCTGGCCTGTTGTGCAGCTTTACATGCATGCCATCCAAGATAATGCCGCTCAATCCGTCCGCGATCTCCTCAAACAGTTTGCCGTCAAGCATGAAGATGGTGTTCTCGAGGCGACCGAGTACAACGACGATGGCATCCCGTTTAAGCTCAAGGTCACCATCGATAAGGACACTGGCGAGGCTGTTTTCGACTTCACTGGTACAGGCCCCGAGCACTCAGGCAACCTCAATGCCCCCCCTACTTGCTCGTACTCTGTCATCATGGTGAGTTTCGCTTCATTGTCTCTAGGTTGTTAGTCGCTAACATTTTTCACAGTACTGTCTTCGATCTATGATCTCTACAGATATTCCTCTCAACCAGGGCTGTCTCAAGCCTATCAAGGTCGTCTGTCCCGAAAACACCATCCTATCTCCCTCACCAACTGCCGGCACTGTCGGTTGCACCACAGAGACATCTCAGAAAGTGGCCGATCTTGTCCTCCGCGCCTTCAACGCTGCAGCTGCATCCCAAGGCACCATGAACAACCTCAGCTTCGGTTGTGGTGGTACCGATCCCGTCACTGGAGAGGTCACCAAGGGTTTCGGATACTACGAGACCATCTGTGGCGGTGCTGGAGCTGGTCAGGGTTGGCACGGCGCCAGTGCTGTTCACACACACATGACGAACACACGCATCACAGACCCAGAGATCCTCGAGAAGCGGTATCCCGTGATTCTTCATGAGTTCTCCATCCGCAAGGGAAGTGGTGGTGATGGTCAATGGCGTGGCGGTGACGGATGCATTCGGGAAATGGAGTTCCGCATGCCGCTCCAGGTTTCCGTTCTCACGGACCGAAGAGTCACAGCACCATATGGTCTGGAGGGCGGAGAGGATGGCCAACGAGGCCAGAACATCTGGGTCCGCAAGGATCCCGTCACCGGCGCGACAAGACAGGTGTCGCTCGGACCGCGCAAGACGTCGCATTTCGGGGTTGGAGATCGTGTCATTATTATGACCCCTGGAGGTGGTGGTTTCGGCCCTGTGCCGTCAAAGAACGGCATCAAGGTGCCTCAGTTGATGGGTGCTGGCTTGGAGATCAAGGAGCGTGACGCGAGGTCATTGTTGACGAATGGGTCTTTGGGAGTGAGACATAGCATTGCTACTGGGAATTAGTTAGCGAGTAGATTGCCCTGATGCATGGAATTAAAAATTGTTAATTAGTTGCCTCTAACATCTTGATAGAGCCCATGGCTGCTTCGTTCTTGCACCCTGTTGCATATGAAAAGTGAGAGTTAAGCGCGAGCCTCGTGTAATCGCAATGCAGTGGTTTGACTTATATACGCCATAAAGAGTTAGATTAGAATTATGCAACTCCTTCATAAGGCTTACAGACTAGTGCTCTAAAAGAGCATAAGTTCTTCGCATAATGTGCTTAATTTATGAAGAAACCTTATGCTCTTTGAGGAACCTACCCTAAACTGTTGCGAGGAACGCCGTAGCCTCCTGATCTCGTTCTGATGTAGGTAGGTAGATGACAACGATGCCTATTCTCGCAACCTCGCACTGGCCATTGAGAAGTATCATTTTGTAGTCTTTGCGGGGAGAACGAGGAGGTATTCGTGACCCTCAGGCAGATTCCCCAGCGGCCAACGACCTTGACTCAGCGCATCGTTCATCGCGGCATCAGGTTCTTCGTGGCTGATGAAGAATTGGGTGTCAGCGCCAGAAACTAGGTCGGTGGAATCATTTCCAAATAGAGAGCCCTTGACGACCGCAGCTGCAACGTAGTCGATCGGAGAGGCTTTCAATACCTCCTGGGCATGTTGACGAGTAAAGTCAAGGGGCGGGTTGATAATGGAATCTGTAAAACGTCATCAGTAAATATGCTCACATGGGTTGGAAACGGGTTCACCTACCGCCAAAGCTGGTGGCTGCAGCCATACACGAGAACGGGTGCGAACTCAGGATACCATAGATGTCGTCGGAATCGGCCCTGGATAGCCGCAGAAGTCTGGTTGCGATGCCTTGATTGCGATATTGCGTGTGAACCACCAGCTGTGTTACCCAGCAGACACGTTTCCCATCCCAGTCCCATCGACATGTTATTGCATGACCTACGAGTCGACCGTCTAAGAGGGCTCTGGTGTAAGAGCAGTCGGCATGACCAGGTAAGTATCGATCTCGAAGTCGCTTCGGGTTGATCTTGATACGATTTCCTGGAGTATAAACATCAGAGAGTTGGCCTTGAAAACATCCAATGCAAGACATTACAGCTTACCCTCCAGTAATGTGCCACTGGCCCAGACGCCGTAATGCTCTCTAAAAAGAACGGCGGCATCGTCCAGGATCTTGTTCGTCAGGTCCTTCTGGGACATGGTTTCGAATGAGAGCGACATCCTCATAGGATTCTGTATTTACCAATACTAGGAGTTTTGGGAATAGAAAATGATCAAATATCTGTAAAGAGATAGAGGAGAGGAGACAGCATCTGGTGGAAGAGTCACGTTTGGCAAGAATTTTAAGATTTTTTTCGCAAGACGTGACGTGACTGTACATGTCACATCTTCCCAACACATTTCAGGCATGGCCCACGTGGTCTTTAAGGCCAGGCAGGGTTTTAACTTTGGTTACACAATTGGCCTTAAGTGGCATACAAAATGGATGGATCTATTATGCTGATATTCGAGATGCCCTGCCTACTACGGAAGACCATCTCAGTTCAGAGCAAAGCTTCCACGAAGCTGGATATCCAAGACACTCTTGCCCACCATGGCGTCGTAAGTATCCCGATCGAGAGCCCACTGCTGCCTAGCGGGATCCCAAGAGCTGAGATGACGCCTCTGGAGCGGGAATGTAAAGTTCGCACTCGCTAAAGAAGAATAAAAGGCAGGCGAGTCTTCCATCCAAGTCAATGATGCCAGTGAGCACAGGTATCCAAGAGATGAATATCAACATATTAGTGTTGTTAATTTTGCAACATGGAGTCTTTCCTACTGCCTCACTCATCACTTAACGCCCGTGTTGAGACGCAGTCGCAGTGCCAGAGATATTGCAATTCCACCATGAGCAAATAGAAGTATTGCCGATAAGAGGGCACACAGGCGCGTATACCTTGCAGCCAAGTAACGCTGCTTGAAGCCTATGTCATTGTATATACTTTCCGCGCTGCTGCTTGACCCTGATCGGGGCGTCCTCGCGGATTCAACTACTCCTCCCACCGAGAGGCATTGCCCCCCGCCGTTTGTCCCCTTGACGACCCATTCCTTTAATGAGACATGGTCTTTTCTGAGACAGACCTGGCCTCTTGTGCCGATGCGACATTACTGCAACATTAACTTCCCAGCTTTGCCCCAAATGGTAAGAAAAGACCCTCAGCCCCAGGCTCTGAGGCACAAATCCCCTGTCACACCCCTGCCTGCCCCTCAAGCTTGGAGCCAACATGCAGAACATGGAACCAACATGCATATCCTAGAACAAAAATGCAGAATTGCGAATGAGGGTCAACGGGCTACTGAAATGGGATAAATCTTGCCAGATCCCCTCTCCCCTCTCCTTGTCTTGTCTTGCTTCCTCATCCTCTGGATAGCCCTCACCAGATTCCTGCAACAATGTTGCCCAACACTCTATTTCTCGCTCTTCTTTGGGCGACTCAAACTCTCCTAGTCTCAGGACGCTCCTCGTTCGTTCGTACCCGCAGCCTTCCCGGGTCTTCCGGATACGACACATGGAAAGCCATGCGAAGAGCCTTTGCCGGCTCTGGTTTACAGAAAAGAGACAATACGGAGAAGAGCACATCCTTGGATAAAAGTTGGGAAGATGCTACACTCTTTGCCTTTACAGGGTGCGCCCATAGTTGCCCCGTTTCTCTCCTACGAATCAGACTTTAACCACGATACTATACATATAGCGAGCAAGATGTGGGCTCAAACACTTCAGTTTCAGCGGGCATCGAAATTATTTGCGCAACATGCTACATCAAAGGAACTGCCACGACAAAGTTCATTTACGACGGCGACTTCAATATTAGCAACGCATTCGAAAATTTCGCTAACCAGGTTGAGAGCGAAGTCCGTAGCCTGGCGACCCAAGTGACCGATTACGTGGAGGAATATGTTGACGGGGTGGCAAGGAACCTAGATGATGGAGTGGACTTGGACGATTTCGACCTACCACCAATGGATGTTAACTTCAACATTGATCTTCCGGAAATCCCAGAGTTCCGGCTCCAGTTCCAGTTTGATGGTTTGGAGATGTACATGCTGATCGACACCGTCCTTTCGGCCGGGGCTACCTATACCCTCAACTTGTATACCTCCACTACACCTGTTGGATTTGCGGTTAGCGACAACCTGGAAGTGGGTGTCATCTTCACCATTGACCTCATCCTGTCCGTGGAAGGGGAGATCAATATCAGCAGTGGGTTCCATCTCAGGCTGGACGATGGCGTCGTGTTTGACCTCGGCATCTTCTCTGAGGAGATTGCAAGTATAGCCCAGTAAGTCTGGACTTTGCGAGCACGCAGTAGCCTGAGCTGACAGAGCACTCGACAGCAATGGTGGCGAGTTCGAGTTTCTACCGGTCACGGTCGAGAGCGCCGGTGTCGTGTTCAAGGCTATCCTGTGTCTAGGGGTACAGGTCGGCTTTGAGGTAGCATCAAACGACTTGACTATCCTTGGAAAGGACGTGGCAAAGGTTGGTGCAGGCGTTGAAATGGGCCTCTATGCCAATATCGCCGAGTTCATCACTAATGTCACCCTTTCCATGGACGAAGACGACGACTGCCGCCTTCATGTTGAGGAAGGATATCAGTTAGCTGTCGGGCTTGCAGGAGGAGCTTCAGTTGGCATTCAGAATGCCACCTGGGGACCAGTGCTCCAAACCGAGACTCCCATCTTCTACACCACGTTGGCAGAGGCTTGTGCGATCCAACGAAGCCGCGGCACACCTTCAACCGCTGAGGCTACCATAACATCCGCCGCACTTGAAGCCAGAGATGAAGACGAAGATCAATCTGGCATGGAGACGACAATGATTTCTACCAAGGAGACCTTTGTCGTTGTCGCGTGTCTAGAAAGCCTAACCAATTGCCCAGTGTCGCTTCAGACAACGTCCAAGTACACGACTACCCGAACCCACGTTACAGTTATTCCGACCGACAGCGAAGCCAAGTTTCCTGAATCAGTTCGTAATACTGTCGCGAGCGTGATTCCATTCGGAAATGGTGCGAACAAGTTGGCTGCAACCTCGGGTGCTCCAAAGTCTTTCGTCCCCGCGTCGACTGAAACTGGCGCACCCGATGACGACGTTGGCATCTCGAACCAAAAGACTGGCCGAGTATCCAACAGCGTTATTATCGGCGTGAGTGTGGGGCTTGGTGTGCCTTTTCTGTTGGGAGGTTTTGCGGCCGTTTTGTAAGTGAACTGATATCTTATGTTGATCACTGGCTAACAATTGTTCCATTTGTTAGCTTTTTGAGAAAAAAGAGACTCTCTGCTCGTGCAACATTGGCGGCCCCTATTGAGACTGTTGAGCCTGCGTTGCCAAGTGTCAAGACTGCAGGCCCTTCTGTAGTCGAGCAGAGAGTTCCTCAATAGTCATTCAGATAAAGTACTTGGTAAGTTGAAATCAGCAGAGTTAAACAGCATGACATACACTGTTTTGAGCGCTTGAATTGAGAGTTATCGGTGGTGCGGGTCCTCAATATCAATCAATAGATATGACGCAGATTGCCAGGGAGGAATGAATTGGCCTGGCAAGACCTAAACTTCCCTCTCTTCCTTTATACTCGGCTGGACATCTGGACACGCTGCCTCCAAGTGTTGGTTAGGCGCTGCACCTTCACCTTTACGTCCTTGAAGAACTCCGCAGCCCTCCACCTACGGCGATAGGCAAGATCTCGCCCATCCATACCGTTCCTCCATGATACTACGCTACCTACTCAATGCAAAAACCCTTAACAAGAAGGGAATCGGCGTTCACTCACTAAGGTGGCTTGACCATAGTGTGGTTAAATGATCGATATGCTCCAAACGTTGTAACCACGTGATGCGGCTGGCAGTGATTGAGATTACCTCCCCCAAGCTATCATTGTTTCTCTCTTTTATCTGCCGAAAACTGTCATCGGAAGTAATGACTGCCTTTGTCACACCATAGTTCCTCCCCCGCGCCATCTGTTTGGTCAGTACTAGGCGTGTTCCACTGATTTCCTGTCATCCGCCCGTCGCCACCGGAGCAGCAATCGGAGCTCCAACGTGAGTCAGCCGGTCGCGTATTCGGTATAAAGCCCCAAGACAAGTCCACGCAACTGGCACGCAACCTCTCATCTCTACCAACGCAGATATCTGCAATTACAACGTCCAAAATGTCCTCAAAACCTATTCTTCAGCTCAACAGCTGCCTGGTGCGAGCTTACAGTGAAGGAGACGTTGAGTCTCTGGCCGAAGCGGCAAACAACCCACGAATAGCGCGATGGATGAGCAACGCATTCCCTCAGCCATATACTGTCGAAGACGCCAAGGAATGGATCTCCATCGTCAATACCCCGTCCCCAATTCGCGACTTTGCAATCTGCCGGCTGGACGGCTCAGCCGTCATCGGCGGCATCGGCCTTAAGGCGCGAGACGACATCCACTACCGTACTATGGAGATCGGCTACTGGTTATGTGAAGACTATTGGCATCAAGGCATCGCGACAGAAGTGGTCACTGCCTTCTCCAACTGGGCCTTTGGAAACTTTAAGCACTTGCTGCGGCTAGAGGCCGAAGTCTTTGAGGGGAATCCGGCAAGCGGTCACGTACTTATCAAATCCGGCTTTCAGTTTGAATCGAGACAGAGAGCGGCGGTCGAGAAGATGGGTAGGATCATGGATACCTTAACGTACACCAAGTTTGCAACGGGAAGCGGAAGAATGTTGACGAAAAAACATGCAGAACCGAGATGTCGAGAAATAGGGACAGTCCCAAGGATGACATTTGTGAAGTTGATTTGAGGAACCTAAGAAGGACTAAAGCTGCTCAGACATCACGTCACCATCTCGGTTGGGAAAGGACGATAATGACAGGGAAAATGCTATGCGGGTACGGTGTTTAAACCATTGGGTTTTTATGTTGGCAGGCGTCAATGACTGGGGTTTTTTCGTTATTGTGACTAATAAGGCTTTTTAAAAATATTAGGAAAGATTGATAATAATGCTATGCGGGTGTTTACTTACCTTGAAGACCGCCTATCTCATCTGCGTGTTTCTACTCTGCCAGGGTTAGACGACCCCGAGCTCAAAGATAAGGGCATAGAATACTCAGAGATGATAGGCAGTAAGGAGCCCCTTAAATGACATGCCAGTTGGCTCGCAGAGACATGTCAGATAATGTCAACCCAACAGTACAGTGCCATGGCCAAAGCCATCAATGCCACCAAAGCGGCTGAGAAGGCGGCCATTGAAGGTAGCCTAACAGAAGCTGATGGCGCACTCACGTGTGCTACTTTTTGGGGTCTCGGCCGTTTGTTTTTACACTTTTAGCAAAGTTATCTTCAGCCATTCCGGATTAGGCTACCTCTATTTCTTTAACAGCCGTAATACCCAAAAATCTTAATTACTATCTGATGTGTACAAATAAGATCGCTAGACCAGCCTACTGCTGATGGATCACCAGAGATTCTAGTTGCCAATCTTCCGCTTCTTAAACGCTCCCTCTCCCTGTCAAATTCGGCAAGAGTTCCGTGTTCGTCACCTGCTTTTCTATTTCGTTGAATATCCCTGCTCTGCGAGGAGCCCTTGTTTTTTGCAACCCTTCACGAACCGTCCCGTCGAGCCTAAACTTTGCTACAGGGAGTGCGAACAGGAATCCCATCCAGTTCTCTCTTCTCCTCTTCGGTCTGCCGCCGTTATGGCTAATGAATGGGACGCAAGCGCAATCTCGGCCGTAGTGGCCCTGGTTTTCGCATTGTTCGCTGTCCTAGTTGCTGTAGCCCAAGCACTGCAGCAGTACTTGATCACTGGCCAGCTTATCCGCCTCTGCGACAGTGTTGTGTTTGGCCCGCTCCCTGGCCAGGGCCGCCGTATCTGGCAACTCTCCCAGTTTCGATTCCGCGTGGTGTATTCTATCCCTCAAATTAGTCTTGAGGCCGACCTGTGGCCTGAACAGAGCCCACATATCAAGTCGTATGCCATCGGGCAGGAGTATCTTCCTGACCTTGATCTAGTTCCTGGGACTGACAACTTATCATCGAGTACCTCGACCTTCTCGGGCTCCCCAGTCGACGGCGCCACCATTGGAAGGCAACGTACCAGTATGATGGACTCGAAAGCCCAGGCAGCGGACGTGGACAGTGAAGCTTTGGGTCAATCGACTCGTTTTCAGCGCTTCCGTATTGGTTGGCCTTTCGTGGGCATCTGGCCGAGCCATTGGTTCAAGAAGGTCCATTCAAGGATGCCGTTCTTAAAAAAAGAACGGCAAGTCATTTATTCTGTTGACGGATCTGTGGGCGAGGCATCTTGGGTGTCTTTTTGCAAAGCCATCAATGGGCCATGTGGAGCCTCAGTGCGGTATCACTCTGTCACTTATGACGCCGATCGATGCCCTTCAGACCTGGTAACGGCACCAATGCAGGTCTCCATGAGGGACGTTGCCGTGATGGGGTTGACGGCGGGCATGAAGATTACCAGTGGTTCGTTCATGGAAAAGTCTATCTCGATGCAAGGCGCCGTCGGCTCGATTACTAGCTCCAACCACGCCATTCTCGGGCCGATACTTCATTTCACCCCTAGGGCCTTGACCTCATACATACCTCGATCTATAGAACCTGGAAGCGCCGATGGTAGGGGAATTGTTGAAACAAGATGGCTGGTGCGGACATGGAACATCTGTTCCGTCGCTGGAAGGTTCTTTAACTCGCGGAGGAGACGTACTGCTAAGCGCCTAGACGATCGATAAACCAGTTATCAAGAGGAGGCCAACTATCCCACCAACACCAAGGCACGCAAACGAGCGTTCCAAAAAGGCGGCATCATTCACATAGAAGTTAACCCGTTATACGACATGGAGGATGGGGCTGCCGAAACCCATGAAAATCCCAAAGAAAAACAGAACGTTCAATTGGGTCCTCGGTCTGTTACCCGCCGGACCCAGGACGGCCTTTGGACCATCACTCAGCCTAGTTCGCCTCCCCGATCAGGTGCTGTGCAAGAGCTTGGAAGCAAAGACAAAGCCCCAGTGGTGAACGTCCAGGGCGGACCCGGGGACGATGAGAAGGCTCATGCAACACCATCACATCCACCTGAGTCGACCATTGACCCAGCCTTGTCTAGAGGGCAGGCTACGACATCCGCAGAGGCCGGTCAGGAGAAATACCCAGACCTGGAATCAACCGCCAAAGAAACTCCTGAGTCCAGCGGGGTATATCCCGTCATGGGTGAAAGGGCTGAGCATGCACTCCGCCCTGACCAGACTAATGACTTGACGCAAGAGGGCGCCAAAGAATTGAGACAAGGTGATGATACTCACCCCGCGCCGGTCCCAATGCCCACATTTCAAGGCGAAGCAAAAACTGGTGCATCAGCATTTCTGATGAAAGATATCGATGAGGAACAAGACCAGGATGAGTCACGGCGAGTCTCTTTGGAAACTGGTGAGTCTGGGCCACCAGCACCTCAAGCCGGTGTAGGAGGCTCCCCAGCCGCTTTCGGAAGGCTAGCGTCTTCCCTACTTCTCACACAGACGCCGCATTGGGGGGGATTGCCCGCAGGAGGGCCTCAAGAGACGACTAGCGAGCGGCCAAGAAAACGCCAGCCGCGGAGACAGGCCACGGTAGAAGACGCGCCAAATAGTGATGAAGAAGAAAGGGCATCTCACGCTGGAAGTTCACTGAACCCCGGAACGCGCGACCGGGGCCTTGCTGCCAAGATGAGACAAGAAGCACGGAACGAGCGTGGTCGCGAGATCCAGAGGGACAAAGCCGTTGTTGAAGGGTCAAAATTGAGTGAGGGCAGGCCCCAACTTTTGCTAACATACCCACAGGACAATTCAGACTCAGAGGCATCAAGGCCAGTGTCATGGACAGAAGAGCAGCTGGCTTTTGAAAGAGAGGCGGAACGCCACGAGAGAAGAGAAGAGAGGGAACTCGAGCGAGACAGGCGGAATAGATTGCGAGGAAACGTTGTCTCCCTCAATCAGATGGACATGTATTGGTTCTGCCAGGTGGACATCTACCAAGGATTCTGGGCCACGCCGTGGGCATCTGTCGCACCCATGCAGACATCACTGGTTGGTGCTATCGCCGTTATCCTGGAGGCGTTGCTGGGGTTTCTGGAAGAGAAGACCAGCTTGATCTACTGCAACTCAAGCCTCTTCTACAACCAGACCCAGGGCTGGATCTATCACGGCAATGCATCGTATCCGGCTTACGCAAGCAATGCCCGCGGCGGGGTCATCGCGCAGGGTGTTTACAGAGGAGTGCACGTCCCGGCCTTCTAGTGCACCATCCTAGCGCTTGAGCTGCTCTATTCATACGACTGGCAGGTGTCTAGCTCCCTGCACGACCAAGAACGCTACTGCGAGGAGCAGAATATCGAGCTGATGCGCATCGACGCCTGGCTCTCCTACGTCGGTCGGACTGAAGAGATCTCTCGTGGGCCCAGGGACCTGCTGAAGGGAGCGCCGGCGCTTGTGCAGATCCTCCAGGACGAGTTCGAAATCGACTTCATGAACATCGACCTCTCAGCCAAGGAAGGTGGGCACCAGGACATCCAGGGCCTGGCCGATAATGTCATGGACTTTCTCACCGACGAGGAGCTAAATGAGGCCGAGCAGCTGTACATACTTGTTGCTCTACTCCGCGCCGTCAAGGTGTGCCAGTGCGTGTTGGCTGGATCAAGCACGACCGAGATAGCCGATATTCTCTTGAAAGACGTTCAAGCACATCTCGTCTAAGTTTCAGTTATCACTTTAGCAGAAATAGAACGTCTAGAGCGAAACTCGAGCAAAACAACATGCTTTTATGCCCCTATGGTGAAATTATAGACATGCTGCATAAGATATGCGTTGTCAAGGGGCAATATGGGCGGCGTGTGAAACACGGTCCTAGAACTCGTCGTCCTCTGCTAGGAGACGACAAGCGTGTAGTCTGTCAAGACGGTCAAAGCGGTGGCTTGGGTCAAGGCGACTACAAGTTGGAATCACGTCAAGGTCGAGCCACGGGGAAACCCGCAGTTGAGGATCAAAAACTGCCCGAAGGAGAAGGACGAAAGCTTGAAGCTTGATATTGGCTCGGCGGATAGGTCCATGGGAATGGGGTAAAACAACTTGAGAAGCGGGACAATGTGTGCAAGGGAGTTTATTGGTTCAATAGTCTCTCTTTTGTCCATGATATAGCCTGATAATTACGTCCCTAAATCCTCTCGATTCAAGTTGCTTCTGATGCATGCAGAGGAGTCTATTAGGGACACGTGGTTTATCACGTGTCATGGGCTGCGACTTTAGCCCACTATCGTGTCTGGGCACTTCGCAGAAGAACATCTTCGCTCGACTCTTCGGTCTCAATCCTACGCTGTGACTATAGATCCCACGTTTGGCATCAATCTATTCAATCTCGGTTTTCGAATATCAACCCACCGCCCTTTTTCACCTAGTGGCGCCACAATGTCGAATCTTCTCTGCGATATCTGCAGCGCGATTTTCAAAGGGCCTAAACCCGAGCGATCTCGCGCTGGTGAAGCCCCAGCTGTATTCGATCACCTGAAATCTCTTGAACAACTCCAGAGTGGGATTTGTACCGGATGTGTTGTTTGTACCGGGCTTGCTCGGCGTGTGGCGTCGAAATCCACTGGACTAGAGACTCTAGACTCATTTACATCTGGTTATCTTTTCTTTGACTTTGGTCACCCCGGCCACATCACATTTCTCTTGACTTGGAAAATTGATGGTAAAGTGGAAAATGGCGTTCTAGATTTCAATCTACTTCCACTTAGTTCAGGTAAGAAGACACTTTTCTGCCCAGATAGGACTTACTCACATGTCAATATCATAGATGCCGAACTTCAGCATCTATGTTAACCAAGAAACTCTGGTTTCGAATCCGACGCCACTGTTCAACTGATGCAGAGTTGGCTCCAAACTTGCCTTGGCTGCCATCAGAAGTGTACACAGCGCGGCAAGGATGCTGAAAATTTCCAACTTCCAACCCGGCTTCTCGACATTGGGTTGCTGGGAAGTAGGAGCTGTCGACTAGTGTTGACTAACTCAGAGTCCGTCTCTGGAGGATATGTCACTCTCAGCCATCGCTGGGGTTCGTCCCCGTTTCTACAGCTCAACTTAGAGACTATGAACGCCCTGACAGCGGGCATACCGATTCACGAGCTACCGGCCACGTTCCAAGATGCCATCTACATTGCACAGCAGTTAGGTGTGCCTTATATATGGATAGACTCTCTGTGCATTCAGCAAGACTCTAGGGAAGACTGGATCAGAGAGGCGCCCACTATGCGGAATGTCTATGGCTTCGCTGTTGTTAACATAGTGGCGGGTCACTCCGATGGCCCTCAAGATGGACTCTTCCCTCCACGGAACTTAGCTTCAGTTGAATCAGTTGTAGTCCAATCGAAATGGGACAATCAGATCAAGACAAACTATCTTCTTTGGGATGAGTCGGCTCTGCAAGACGACTTTGAATCCGCTCCTCTGACCCAACGCGGCTGGGTTTTTCAAGAACGACTTTTGGCGCCTCGCATCTTGCAATTCGGCAAGAGGCAAGTGTACTGGAGATGCTCAGAGCTATTTGCGAGCGAGGCCTGGCCCCAAGGTGTTCGCTCTGCAACAGGCAAGGCCCTTAGATTGGGCACCGACCTGGATGCGTTGGATGAGAAGGCTTGCATGGAGATCCCGCCAATTTCGAAATGGAGACAGTTGGCGGCCAACACTGTGTCACAGGAGCCAGTTGCGATATGGGAACGCCTTGTTGCTCAATATTCCCGCACCAAGCTTACCTTTGGCGATGACAAGCTGGTTGCTCTCTCTGGAGTGGCCAAATTGTTCCAACAGACGTTTAAAGATCGTTATCTCGCTGGTGTATGGTGGTCACCGTCTGCAAGGCTTCTTTGCTGGAGTCGAGATGATCGTCGGGAAACGGGAGTAGTGACTCGACCTGATTACCGTGCACCATCGTGGTCATGGGCGTCAATTGATGGGCTCATCGATTTCACAGCTCGAATTCCGGCGATAGATTGTCCTCTGCTCTTGGAGGAGTACTTGGCCGAAGTAATAAACGCAAGTGTTGTGCCACTCGGGAACGATGAGATGGCCCAAGTTCAAGGCGGACAAATGACGGTGAAATCAGGACTACATTCTTTCAAAGTCATATCGCAACAAGAAAGTCAGTTGACATTTGAGATGGATGGAAAGGTCATAAAAGGTGAAGAGGGCACATTTGTTCTTGACACAGCACTCCAGGATGAGCTCAAATACCAACAACTGTGGATTATGCCGACCATGCTTGTAGTGCAAGGGATGCCGGGGGGACCGTGGAGTAGCGCAGAAGGGATGGTTTTGAAGAAAAGCGAAACACAGGGAGGGGCTGGTGCTGGTGATACTTACGAACGTATAGGCTACCTTTTCGCGCCTCCTGTTAAAGGCGACAGGGGAGTTGAGCTTTTCGGGCTGCATGTAGAGACAATTGATGGGGATTCTGAAACAGGTAGCACGCTGAGAATTCGGCGAGAGACTGGACTATTGCAGACAGTGACAATAGTTTAATTCATTGCGCATTGGTAGCATTGGAGAAGCAGGAACGTCGTTGTTAAGATGATATGTCTTTGAGATGGTAGAAGGAAAGCTGGCTCTGAATCTCGCTGTTGAGCGGCATATTGCTGTGTTACTGTTAAAAGCAAAAGGGTTAGTACATCAGAGCCTTATTGGGTCTTGTATTTTAACAGTTACCTATAGTTAGGTATCTCTAACTGTTGTCGATAGTGCAACGGCCTATTGTTTTCTATTCTTGCTTATGCTGTCACGATGGGGTGCAGGTGTCGGAGGTTTTATCGTCACTGTGTCGTTGTCCATTGCTCGACAATCACAAGTGTTTACCGTGCCAGCGTTTCGGGAAGACCAGAGACCCAGTAATTAAGAAAAGTGATTGAGCCGATACTGCATCTATATAATTAAGGGTTATGCTCAAGCCGCACGGCTTTTTCTCTCTGTCCTTCCGGAGAGGTTTGATCCGCTTCTGTCTTTCATGAGGCTCCAAACATCCGGGAACTCCCCCATCCACCCTGCAGCCACTCGGGAATTTAAGCAAACAAACTCGGTCGTTTCACAGCCGACATCCGGTAGACCATTGATTCAAATGAAGAGGTGCCAACAAAGGATCCTTGGCAGGTCCCGTTTCCAGGGACGCGAAGCCTGTCACTGGCTGCGAGTTGTGCGCTATTCCAGCTCAAAGAGTCTGGAACCAGAAAAGTCAACCGCCTCAATCAATAAACTCCACACTTTATTCTTGGCGTCATCAAACACATGGCCAAAGCAACCGATCGAGGCCCTGTCTTGTTTCTTAATCAAGCTTAAATCTGTTCTTGATTCGGCTGCATTTATGAAGACATGAACAGGCCCCTTGGCAATTACGGCTTTACTTGCGTGTTTCTCGGCAATGTGATGAAACGAAACAAATGAAGGCAAAAAAAACAAATGCAAAATTTATCAGCTCCAAGTCTCCAGTTGCATCAATGGCGCGGCGGCATGTGAAACTGTACCAGCTGAACATGTCGGTAGAGACGGCCAACCGGCGCCCCCTGAGCTATTGGTTACTATTTCCAAAGCCACATCTTATTTTCAGCTCAGGTTCGCAAACGCTTCAATTTGATCCGGTAGCTCGTGACTGTCTTGGCATCTGGCGGAAAGGGGCCGGACAGCATATAATGGAGGAGACACTCCGCTCTCTCTTGGGAGCTCTCTTGTTTGATTTCCCAACCGTCCAACTCGGTGATACTTTCGTTTTATTCCTCACACTTTCTTTACCACCATGCGTTCTTTCTTTGCTCTGGGCGCCCTCGCCCTCTCAGGCTCCATTGAGCTCGCCGCGGCTGCCAACTGCCGGCCTTCTGGTACTACTACTAGTGCTGCGCCCTCTTCCTCCGAGACTGGAAGCTCTGGAGGCAACAAGGTCGTCAGGAACTTGGTCGCCAACGGTGGCTGCAACGAGCTCAACCCCAATGATCCCTCCGACATCCCTAACTTCCGCATCGAGGGCGGCGGCCAGGGCGTCACCGGCCAGGGATACACCGGCGGCGGTAGCAAGGAGACCAACTGTGCCTCTCTGACTGCCAATGCTACTCCCAGGCGCAAGAGAGCCGTTGGACCCTCGGTCGCCATCTCGCAGGATATTTCTGACCTGGATACGGCCACCTTTTACACGATCCAATTCTTCTACCGGATCACTTCGCATCCTAGCAACGGGGCCTGCCTGCTAACAGCCTCCCTGGGGGATGGTCAGTTCTATTCGGAATATGTTAGTGATAGCCAGACCGAGTGGAACAAGGTGCTCCAGAGGACCATGCCCACCCAGGAGACTTCCGCCCTCAGTATCAAGATGACCTGCGAGGGTGACGATGCCACCATTCTTGTCGACTCCATCTTCGTTTCTGATGCTGTCACTTCTGAGACTATTGACGACTATGTCCTTGACTTTGGTGACGGTGGTGCGCAGCAGACTGACGCCACTACTGGCTCTGTCACTGCCAGCGAGACCGCCGTGAAAACAGCTTCTGAGACCGACGCTCATACTGAGGAGTCTGCGGCCGAGACCACTGACGCTGCCACCGTCATTGCCACTTCCTCTGCCGAGGAGACCACTACAGCCGAGGAGACCGCTGTTTCTAACGAGACCTCTTCTGGGTTCGAGACTACCACTGTCGCCGAGACTTCTAACGCTGCTGAAACCTCTGCGGGTGATGAGACCACCTCTGTTGAGGAGACTCCTGCCGCCGAGACAAGCACCGCAGAGATTGAGTCCACCACTATCACTTCCGCTGCTAGTGAGACCACCTCTGCTGCCGAAGAAGAGGAAGAATCCAGCACCACCACCCCTGCCACTGAAACCACCTCAGTTGCTGACGAAGAAGACCAGACAACTACCGCCACCTCAGCCGCGACCGCCACTGACGGCTGCCTACCCTCGACCTGGGATGACGGCCCTGTCTTCTGCGAGCCCAAGCTCGAAACCGAAGACACATTCTGCGCCGTCCAAGGCAACGCCCCCTCCACCGCATTTGAGCTGCTGGATGTCTCCAGATACCCCTGGCAGGGATACGCAAAGCGTTGCGCGACCATCTGCCAGCAGACCGAGGGCTGCAAGGTCTTTGGCTACACTGATGAGCGCTGCGCCATTGCTAGTGTCAACACTGTTAGCGACATTGAGTGGGAGAGTGGTGGTGAGGAGGTTGATATGATGGAGTGGTCTAACTTGGACTGCTTTGTGTGCGATGAGACTTGCATCGTCACTGATATCTAGGACTAATGGTTATGGCTTGTCTGTGGGGGATTGATGAGGGCCTCTTCAGGCATTCACGCTCTTTCGTACATGTGTAAGAGTATATGGTAATATTAATCTGGCATATGCCTTCTTTTCTTCGGCAGCCATGGGCTGACATCCATGAGCACAGGCGATGGGCAATTGAAGCGAGCAGAGTTCGCATGTCTGTAGGGTATTCTATTCATAATCTATGTCATCCACTATCCTTCACTCTACGGCTAAACAACACTGGCATCACTCCTATGATAGTTGGGCGTCGATGCGGTGCTTCGTGAATCAACGTGAATTGTGGTCTCTTGAATGATGTGCCGACCACTTGAGTCATCGTCATGCAAGCGATCCCAGTTTCCTTTTCCTGAGACTGTTGTGCGAGTCTATTGTGTTCAAAGATGATGTGTGCACTAACCATTTGGCAATTCGCCGAGATATTATATTTAAGCTCTAACTAAGCCTATACTCCTATTGACTTACCCTAGTAGCTACTACCTAAACCTTTATATCTTTATGACCGAAACCTTCCTTCTTAATAGCTTAAGTCACTCCTATGACTTAATTGTTACGGCTTGGTCCCCCGTAGCAGCGATTGAAGCCCTATAGGCAGTTGAAGCACCTTCTGTAATTGCTACAATAGCGATTATGGCCCAATCTTTTGCCCCGTGGCGCAGTGGCTAAGGTGCCCACAGCTGTGACTGCCGTCACATTAATGACTTGAAAACCTTAATCCCCTCCCCCTATAGCTAACTTCCCCGCTTTATATATATTCTATTAGCGGCTTTAATATCATAATTAGCTCTAGTAGGCTATTGACTTAGCCTATATTTATTATTATTGCCTTAATAAGGCGGCGCTTTATAGACTTTATAAGTCCTTTAAGCTCTAATAGCTTTATATATTATATAAAATGCCTAAGCTCTTAAGATGCCCCTAGGCACTTTAAAGCTATAAGAAATACCTTATAGGCTAGGATAATTAATTTAATATATTAATTTCTTTTAAATATTATTTATTAGAAGTTATAAGGTAATATTATATTAATTTAATAGATTAAGAGCTATTTTATATTTTATATAATTTAGCTTTTTTCTTAATAATTAAGAAAATAAGGAAAAAAATAATAATCCTTATAGGTAATAATAATAATAATAATAATAATAATATTATTATTATTAGGGTTATATTATTAATTAATTATAATTCTTAGTATTATATTTAAAGATATAATATTAAGAGATTATTATCACGGCCCAAGAGACCCCCGGGTCACGTGACAAAAGGGACCCATATTATCCTACTAATCACAAAAGGATCAGAATAGATCATAGCCTATAGGCCATAATCCCCTCTGATCTAGCAAATAGGATTATAATGGCTTAGGCCCTATAGGTTATAATCTATTATAATCTATCCTCTCGCATAAAATATATAAGATATATTTATTATATTTTCTTATAAAATAGCTACCTTAGCTATTAATATAACTTAGTTATACTTAATACCTTAAGTATATTACTAAATATAATATTATATTACCTTTTAAGGTTATATAATATTCTTCTCTATTAATATAAACTAATATAATTAGTTTATCCCTTAGGAATCCTATAATTATTATATATTAATAGCTCTTATTTAGAGGATTATTTATATTACCTTAAATAATATTAAATATAATAGTTACTTAGGCTACTCCTAGTAATAATTACTAATAGGTCCTACCTATTAACTACTTACCTACCCTTATTATATTAATCTAGGCTAATCCTAATAGCAATAAAAAAATAAATAGTAATAATAAAGAAATTAAGTAACTCTATGCCTAGGTTATTACTATAATTATTAAAATAGAAGAACTTAGAGGACTTATTAACTATATAGCTATTACTTAGTAAACTTAAAATTAATAATACTATAAGAATATTTAGAATATTAATAATATAATAATTATTATTATAAAGGGTAAAGATATTAAAGAAATCCTAAAGCTAAAATAACTAAAGAAATTTAATAATATTATATATAAATTACTAATATTTCTTATATAATTATATATATTTGTATTCTATTACCTTACTTAGTTTATTATAATATCTAATAGAATCTAATATATCGCTAGGTATCTCACTAAGTATATTATAGCCTAGTTTAAACCTATTATAAAGAAATACCTTATTAAATTACTTAATAAATACTCGCCCTAGACTATAAACCTCTACTCTAGCTTTAAAGCCTTTAATACTATACTTTAATAAGCTTTTAAAATAATAAATAAAAAGGCCTAGGTAAAAAAAAAAATTATAGTACTCTAATAAACTCGCTTTATATTAGAATATAATATTAAATACCTCTAGCTTACCTTAAAGCTTAATTAAGACTAAGAACCCTTAATATCCTTTTTCTTTAATAAACTTAAAAAAGAGGTATAGGCTAAACTCTATAAAAAAAACTAGCCTAATAACCTTATTAATTATATTAGCTAAGTAATTAAAATTAATAATTAATAGTTCTCTTAAAAGAAACTCTAAAACCCCTATAATAATAATAAAAATTATTAAAAACCTTAATTTAATACTAATTAAGGGTAATATTAATAAAATAATATATCCTATAAAACCTATATAAGACTTATAAAACTTAAAGTAACTTAATAAAAAAAATATAATTATTATAAATTTAAATATTAATATTATTATAAAATAAACTATATTAAGAAGATTTATTATAAAAAATAATATAATATTAAGGAAAGTTATTATTAATAAAAGTAATAATAATTCCCTAAAGGTAAAAAATAAATAAGGTTTATATAAGCTAATAATAAACTATAAATAACTCTTCGGATAATTAAAATACTTAATATAGCCTAGACTAAGTATAATAATATTAATCTAAAACTAAGAGAAATTATTATACCTTATAACTAAGTATACCTTACTAAAGAATAATTTAAATATAATAATTATCCCTAGCTAAAACTATAATATATTATAATAAAACCCCTAAAGATAAAATAATTCTATCTTATAAATAAGTTAGGATAAAAACTATTACCTAAATTAATTAATAAACCTAATAAGAGCCTTAATACTAAGACTATTATAATAATAAAATAAATTAAGCGATATTATAATAATCTTAATTATAGCGCTAAAATAAAGGCTTAATAATAATTAATAATAGCCTAGATTTAAAATTAATAAAACCCTAAGATAAATAATAACCTATAGAGAGAGGAATATTACCCTTAGCTCTATAATAAATATAATAATTAATATTAGAATTCGCTATAAGAATAATATATTTAAACCGCAAAGAAATATATAAATATTACTAATATATAAGATATATATATCTATATATATTACTAAATAATAATTAAGGACCTATAATACCTAGAGGTATTATTTAATATATAAGATAATATTTAAACTTACTTAATATATAAAAAATACCTTAATATCTTATAGATATTATATTAATACTATTAATATAAAAAGTATAAAAAAGAAAAATAAAAATAAAATTATTTCTTAATTCCCTTATTATATTAGCCTAATAATAAACTATACTTATAATATAAAATAGAGAGATATTAGGTTTTTTATTAATATAATTTTATTAGTATTATAGAAATATAATATAATAAAGACCTATATAAGGTAATATATAAATATAAATAGAATAACTATAAAATTAAGAAATAATAAAAATAAATCCTTAGAATTACTTAAAGGGAATTAAAAACCTCTAGATTAATAAAATAAAAGGAGGAAAATAACTTAGATATAAAAAATATCCCTATCTAAGTATACTATAAAGAAATAGCTATAAACTTATAATAAGGATTATATTATAATATAATAGATAATAAATATACTTAATTAATATACCCCTAATATAAAGAAATCTTATAAATCTCTTATAAAGACTATTATTATAATATATATATTTAAAATAAATAAAAAAATAATTATTTTCTTATATAACTATAGGGACTTAATAATAAGCCCTATTTTACTTATAAAACCTATTAATATAAAATCTATAAATAAAATAAAGAGATTAATATAATTAATATTTATTTTATCCCTAAAAGAAATAAATCTATTACCCTTAAATAATAATTTATTATTATTATATAGAAAATTATAATAAAAGAAGAATAAGCCCTTAAAGGAAATTACCTTAGTATAGAAATAATACTTTATAATAAAGATATATACCTAAGATATAAGAAATATATCTTAGCTATATATAATAA